CTCATCAATGTCACCAACAAAAACTCTTTGTTTAAGTTACAAGCCAGGTAAATATAATTTATTTTGAAAAATCGTTCTTATTTCTCACTTGTCACTCTGTAGATTTCTCATTCATGATTTTTCAACTGTAGGTATGTAGTGGAGAGGATGGACGGTGATCTCTGGGATAAGGTTCTAGAAGAAACCAATGAGTATAGAAGACAACTTATTGACCAAGTTGTGTCTACTGCTCTACCTGAAAGCAAGAGCCCAGAGCAAGTCTCCGCAGCTGTTAAAGCATTCATGACTGCTGATTTGCCGCACGAGCTTATTGAGCTTCTTGAAAAGATTGTGCTTCAAAACTCTGCCTTTAGTGGAAACTTCAATCTGCAAAATCTGCTTATATTGACAGCTATTAAGGCAGATCCATCTAGAGTTATGGATTACATTAACAGGCTGGACAACTTTGATGGACCTGCTGTTGGAGAAGTAGCAGTTGAAGCCCAACTGTATGAGGAAGCATTTGCTATTTTCAAGAAGTTTAACTTGAATGTTCAGGCTGTCAACGTATTGCTGGATAACGTTAAGAGCATTGAGCGTGCAGTTGAGTTTGCTTTCCGGGTCGAAGAAGATTCTGTTTGGACCCAAGTCGCTAAGGCTCAACTCAGGGAAGGACTTGTCAGTGATGCAATTGAGTCCTTTATCCGTGCTGATGATGCCACTCATTTCTTGGAGGTCATACGTGCCTCTGAAGATACGAATGTCTATGATGACTTGGTCAGATATCTTCTGATGGTTAGACAGAAGGTGAAGGAACCCAAGGTTGATAGTGAGCTCATCTATGCATATGCAAAGATCGATAGGTTAGGTGAGATCGAAGAATTCATTCTGATGCCAAACGTTGCCAACCTGCAAAATGTTGGTGATCGCCTGTATGACGAAGCTCTGTACGAGGCTGCAAAAATAATCTATGCGTTCATATCAAACTGGGGCAAGTTAGCTGTCACCCTTGTGAAGTTGCAACAGTTCCAAGGTGCTGTTGATGCCGCAAGGAAAGCAAACAGTGCAAAGACATGGAAGGAAGTCTGCTTTGCTTGTGTTGAAGCAGAGGAATTCCGGTTGGCCCAGATCTGTGGTCTTAACATTATCATTCAGGTGAATAAGTACCTGATTTTAGTTCTCTGGATCTTTTGCAAATAAGCTCTCTAATACGGGTTTTAAATTTTAAATTTGTATTCTATTATTATACCCGACGTATCTCATATATAATCCCGGGCCACTGGTAATCTTTTGGTGTTAATAGGTGGATGACCTGGAAGAAGTCAGCGAGTTCTACCAGAACAGAGGGTGCTTCAATGAATTAATCTCACTTATGGAGAGTGGACTCGGGCTGGAACGTGCTCACATGGGTATCTTCACCGAGTTGGGTGTACTGTATGCGAGATATCGTTATGAGAAACTTATGGAACACATCAAGTTATTCTCCACTCGCCTCAACATTCCCAAGCTTATACGGGCCTGTGATGAACAACAGCACTGGCAGGAACTTACCTATCTGTACATTCAGTATGATGAGTTTGATAATGCCGCGACCACTGTCATGAACCATTCTCCTGAAGCATGGGAGCACATGCAATTCAAAGACATTGTTGCCAAGGTTGCGAATGTCGAGCTGTACTACAAGGCTGTGCACTTCTACTTACAAGAGCATCCTGATCTAATAAACGATCTTCTCAACGTGCTTGCTTTGCGGTTAGATCACACACGTGTTGTTGATATTATGCGGAAGGTTTGAATCTGACCATTTGATTTTCCCTTTCCCTAAAACCGGCCGAGCTGTCTTACTTAACAATCGTTTTCTTCTGATCTCAGGCTGGTCAGTTGCGTCTTATCAAGCCATACATGGTTGCAGTTCAGAGCAACAACGTCTCTGCTGTTAATGAAGCGCTGAATGAGATATACGTGGAAGAAGAAGACTATGACAGGCTGCGCGAGTCTATTGATATACACGACAGCTTTGACCAGATAGGCCTCGCTCAGAAGGTAGAGTTTAAAATCAAAATCCACTACACTTTTTATATCTTCTATCTTTAGGAAAGAAAGATGCAGTGGGCGATGATATTAATCTTCTTGTGAATGGTGCTAACAGATTGAGAAACACGAGCTTGTTGAAATGAGACGTGTGGCTGCTTACATCTACAAGAAAGCGGGTAGATGGAAGCAATCAATTGCTCTGTCAAAGAAAGATAGCATGTACAAGGACTGTATGGAAACTGCTTCACAATCCGGCGACCATGATCTTGCAGAACAACTGCTGGTTTACTTCATTGAACAGGTATGGTTGATTTGAAGCAGGATTACGTTAGAAGCTATATTTTTTCGTAAACCTGTTGGTCAAGAAGATGAAATTAATAATCCTCGTCTTATCTTATACTCATATTATACAGGGCAAAAAGGAATGCTTTGCAACATGTCTCTTTGTATGTTATGATTTAGTCCGACCAGACGTTGCTCTAGAACTTGCCTGGATCAACAATATGATCGACTTTGCCTTCCCGTATCTCCTTCAGGTGATTTTATCCACTAACCCTCGAATACTCGCTCTATTCTGAAACAAACCATTTTTTTAACCCAACGACAACCTTTCATAATCTGTTTTCTGTTTTGCAGTTTATCCGAGAGTACTCAGGCAAAGTGGACGAGCTAATCAAGGACAAGCTAGAGGCACAGAAAGAGACGAAGGCCAAAGAACAGGAAGAGAAAGATGTCATGTCCCAACAGGTAACATACATAATAGCTACACTCAGATATCATCGCTGTGTCTTTTTTTTGACAAATAACTTAATATTGGTGGTCTTTTTTTCGTTCTTAAACCTAACAGAACATGTACGCCCAATTATTGCCACTTGCTTTACCGGCACCACCGATGCCAGGAATGGGAGGTGGTGGTTATGGTCCGCCACCGCCAATGGGTGGGATGCCTGGAATGCCTCCCATGCCACCGTTTGGAATGCCACCAATGGGTGGCTACTAAGACACGCACCAGTCACCACACTTGGAAAGTTATCCGTCAGGTTTTTTGAGAAACCCATTGAGTCAGCCTAATTTCCCAGGGCGGTGTTCGTCTGCTACATGTCTGTGACCAGAATTCGTCTGCGTTAAAGAAAGGTGTAGTGGGAATAATGTTTTTCATTGTTTGATTTTATAAGAGGTATGTGGATAATATAACCTACTTTCGTTGTAATATTCTTTGGGGATTATTTAGGGCGAGTCATTTTTTCCTTTTTGTTGAAAGCCATTTTTCTTGGGAGAGGATTGTAGTCCTCGAGTCTCTCTTTTTACTATCATATGAGTTTCTGCTTTCTTTCAGCTTCCTTTCAGCTTCTCTTCTTACACTTCATTTTCGTTTATCCCATAGCCGTTTTTGAGTTTTGCTCATTCGAACTATTGACGCTTACTGTCCATGTATTGTCTTCCGACTTTCGCTTTTACAATTGAATGAACAATGGCTCAGATAGCTGCAAAATTGTCTGTTTATAATATATAAAATTGGATGCAAGTGTTAGCGTCTGGTTTATGGCGTTGCCCGTTAGATCTGTAAGAAATATACCCTAATAAATAATCTCAAACATCTCCTTACGATCGTATAGTATATGAGTTAGTTACTTTTTTGCCTTTCTAAACACGTACACAAGTTACAAAATTATAGTCAAGTACTACCATATTTTCCGTCCATGTAATTTCGTTTTACAATGCAACCAAACTCCCATAGATGACTCAACTTCTTCAACAGAGAAAGAACTCGTAGTGTTATAAAAGGCGATAGTGATCTAAATATCATGAAACTAAAAAATGCAATTTCTCAGTGAACATACGATGTTCCTTTCTAAATATCTTCCAATCAAGTCCTAACACAAGTTCAGGGAAAACAGAATTCAACCCACTACCACATCTTTTTCTCACTACCACATCTTTTTCTCATTCAATCAAAGGAATGGATAAAGACTATTTTAAATCGAGTAAAGCTCATAAATCCAAAAATAATAAGCATTTCTTCCGATCCTATAGTCTACTACTGAATCAGGATGACATAATGCACATAAGCATCAAAATGATCTAATAGCTTCACTTCGTATTCCTAATAACAAAAGGTTCGTAGCCTCGACGAAGACACAAGGATAAATCTATTCCTACGCAGGCAGTTAGCAAAGATCATCATCATAGAAAAATATAGGAGAATTGAGAACTCATGTAGATCTTTCAATGTATTAAACATAATTTTAATAGAAACCATTGCTCCGATTTGGTCCAACAAAAGATTTCAACTCAAACTGAAAAACCAACAAAACTGCCACAAATGTTGGTTTTAAGAAGAAAACAGACAAAACAGGTTTCAAATCTACTTAGATCGCTGTCTCATCTTTCGTCTCTTCCTCTTCAACCTCCTCATACGCTTCTTCTTCCACTGATACAAACCAAACACAGACACCATTAATATCCTACCCACTACTTCTATTCCTCACAATTAGAATCCACAACAAAATTATACCCATTACTCACCTTAGCCCTCATGCTGGTTTCGCAGAAGATCTACCCTTTCCCTCCTCCTCGTTGGATTGTGCTTAGATTCAAGGAAAGGAGCGGCGGAGATGTTGGAAAGATTTTGTACATTGTGCTCAGAATACTCCTTTAAATGATATCAAAACCCTAGAAACTAGTTTAATGGGCTCTACCATTTCAAAGGCCCAATAAAGCCCAAAGCCTTTTGTAGGTTCTCCTAATCATTTGGAATGATTTGCATTTTGGATATTCGCAGGAGAGAGACTGAAGATCTGATCTTCGACAAGGTTGAAGATTGATTACATGGAGGAGATTCATTAAATATAGTATAGATAGATAGAAGGCGACAATTTCTCGTTAGACACAAACCCTAAAAGCAAATTATTCTGACTTGCTTCATCATCTTCGTCTCCAATCATCGTCATCAACCCCAAGGATAGGATCCGTCCTTCCTTTTCGTCATGTCGAAGCAAACGTACAAAGTGTGTTTCTGCTTCCGCCGGAGGTTTCGGTACACTGCATCTGAGGCACCGCGTGAGATCAAGACCATTTTCGACAAGTACTCGGAGAATGGGGTTATGACCGTAGATCACCTCCACAGGTTTCTGATTGATGTTCAGAAGCAGGATAAAGCCACCAGAGAGGACGCACAGTCGATTATCAATTCTGCATCTTCTCTTCTTCATCGAAATGGTCTCCATGTTGATGCTTTTTTCAAGTACCTTTTTGGTGAAAACAACCCTCCTCTTGCTCTTCGTGAGGTACTTCTCTTGTTTCTCTCTTTTTCGATTCTCTGATTTCAAAATTGAAGTCAACTGTGATTGATTGACAAAAGAAAGTCGAATTTTGGATCCTTTTTTGGTAGCTGAAGAAATGAGTGGGAAAGATAGATTTTTTGAACAATAATATTGTTGGGTGTTTCACTGAGTCTGATTCAAGAGTTCAAAGCAATATATATTTTTTTTTTGCTTTATATGCCTGGCTGCTGTGAAAAGTAAACTGCAGAAAGTAGCAAGAGCTACGAAGTTGTTAGGAAAGTGACATTTTCTCTAATCGGAATTCTGGCTCAGAAGCATTTAATTCGTTACAATTCCGGCTTTCATACATGTTATTGTGGCTTTAACTTGGTCTTATCAAGTGTTCAAAGCAATTTAATTCATTTTCTTTTATATGACTAGCTAGCTACTGTGAAAATATAAATTGCAGAAAGTAGAAGCAGCTATGTACTTTTTTTAGGCTTGTGACAGTTACTCTTTTTAGGAACCCTGACACAAAATCCATGCATAAGTATATAATTATTTTCAATTCCGGTGTTGTGGTGGCTGAATTATTGCTAGCTTTCAATTTTGGATTGATTCTCGACTTATCTCTAATGAATTCGTTGTATGATTTTCAGGTGCATCAAGACATGGATGCTCCTATATCGCATTACTTCATTTTCACCGGTCATAATTCATATTTGACCGGTAATCAGCTGAGCAGTGACTGCAGTGAGGTGCCTATCATAGATGCATTGAAGAAAGGTGTTAGAGTGATTGAACTGGATATATGGCCAAACTCCAACAAAAATGATATTGATGTTCTTCACGGAAGGTATATTTACTGATTATTCAATCAAATGAAAATTAAGGTTTAAGTGCTTGTTGTTTACTTGTGTAATGAACCATTCTAATAGGACTCTCACTGCACCTGTGGAGTTGATCAAATGCCTAAGAGCTATCAAAGCACATGCCTTTGATGTGTCCGATTATCCTGTTGTTGTAACTCTTGAAGATCATCTTACTCCAGAACTTCAGTCCAAAGTTGCTGAGGTAGCCTCATTTTACATTTCTTTGAGATTTTTGTTTTCTGTTTCAAAAGATCATTAAACTGATTTGGAGATGTGTTGTTCTTGTTGCATTCTAGATGGTTACCCAAATATTTGGGGAAATCCTGTTTACTCCTCCTGTTGGAGAATCTTTGAAGGAGTTCCCATCGCCAAACTCTTTAAAAAGACGGATCATCATCTCAACCAAACCCCCGAAAGAGTACAAGGAAGGCAAAGATGAGGAAGTGGTGCCGAAAGGTAAATCCTTGGGTGATGAAGAAGTTTGGGGTAGAGAAGTTCCAAGCTTTATTCAGAGAAACAAAAGCGGTGGCGGCAAGGTTTGTATGGAGACAAATCAATCTTCATTCAGTTTTGTTGGTGTTCATATACATATACAGAAGTTGTTAATTTTCTTTCTTGTGGGCAGGATGAGTTTGATGATGACGACGACGATGATGATGATGATGGAGACAAGTCTAAGAAGAATGCACCACCTCAATATAAACATTTGATTGCAATCCATGCTGGGAAACCAAAAGGTGGAATCACCGAGTGTTTAAAGGTTGATCCTGACAAGGTCAGACGCCTTAGCTTGAGCGAAGAACAGCTTGAAAAGGCCGCAGAAAAATATGCGAAGCAGATTGTGAGGTAATCCGTTGAGTTATGGTCATAGAATTATGATTATCTTTCAAATTAACCATTGCAGTCCCTCAAATTCCCACTGTGGTGCAGGTTTACTCAGAGAAATTTGCTGAGGATTTACCCAAAAGGAACTAGAGTTACTTCGTCTAATTACAACCCCTTGGTTGGCTGGAGCCACGGTGCTCAAATGGTGGCCTTCAATATGCAGGTTTCCTCTTTTGCTATGTCACAAATTTCTTTTCACAGGATATGAAAACCTTTACTGTTTTTTGAAGAAGCTTATACTCCATCACTATACAGGACATCAACCTTATTCCTCAGCTAATTTTTTTTATTATGATATTCCCATGTACAGGGATATGGAAGATCATTGTGGCTCATGCAAGGAATGTTTAGAGCCAATGGCGGATGTGGATACATCAAGAAACCCGATCTTCTGCTGAAAGGTGGCTCAGATTCTGATATCTTTGACCCAAAAGCTTCTCTACCTGTGAAAACAACACTGAGGGTGAGATATCTGAGTCTCTGTTTGATCTTTATGTTGCCAATGCAAATTCCGATAGAACTTGGTGAACTTATTCACTCTTTATACCCTTAGGTAACTATATACATGGGAGAAGGATGGTACTTTGATTTCCGCCACACCCACTTCGATCAATATTCACCACCTGACTTCTATACAAGGGTAAATTCAGTTTTCTTAGTAGACTAGAAACTGTTCCTTTTTCTCTTAGATTTCCAGTGACAAGCTCATATAATCATACATTGTCAGGTTGGGATAGCTGGAGTTCCGGTGGATACGGTTATGAAGAAGACGAAGACGTTGGAGGATAATTGGATACCAGCTTGGGATGAGGTTTTTGAGTTCCCATTAACCGTGCCAGAGCTGGCTTTGCTGCGATTAGAAGTGCATGAGTATGACATGTCAGAGAAAGATGATTTCGGTGGGCAGACATGCTTGCCTGTTTGGGAGCTGCAGGAAGGAATAAGAGCATTTCCTTTACACAGCCGCAAAGGAGAGAAGTACAAATCCGTGAAGCTTCTCGTAAGGTGTGAGTTTGTGTGAGAACTGAGATACGGCATTGAGGTCAAACACTTTTAAACCACGAGTTTGTGAATTTCCGGTTTGGAGGATTTGGTGTGTGTGCGCGAGCGTGTTTGTGTGTGTGTGTGAGAGAGAGAGAAGAATGTTTGCTTGATTTGTTTGTTGTGTGTAATATATGTGTACATAAAAAGGCAAGAGAGACGATCTTGTATCCTTTCTGTGTTGTTGTATTATTATATACTTGTTGAAGCTACCGTGTAACTCTGTATTTGAAATTAGTTTATCATTTGTGATGTTATGTTCATAATCTCAGCAACTGACGATAAAACAAAACGGTCAATAAGAGTGTAGAAAATTGGGAGAAGAAGGTTGTGATTTCTTAAAGGGAAATTGCAGTATATAACAATAAAAAAAGGCATATTTAACAAACTAACCATACGAAATACATGGTTAGAATATACTGTATATTTTCTGAAATAATGGCAAAAATAACCTTCTATTGAGAAAGATAAGAAACTGCAGATAAATTTCAATGGAAACTGACGAAGTGGGATCCGAGCAAAATCAGAACTGAAAGGAGTATAGATTAGGGTTTATGGGTTGATAGGTTGCAACTTGCAACTGAAGAGGGATTTACAAACAATAATTAAGAAACCAAAACCTGCATATGTGTTTTGGTATTCGTCTTCCATGAGAGTCCAAAGATGACGTCATAATCAAATGCCATTTCAGAGGGAGTTTAGTGTCATTTACAGTGGGCCCATGTTATATGAACAAATATAAACTTCACTATGGTTATTTGATTAATTTTGGTGCTCAATATTGTTATTCAGCAAAATCACCATTTCTTAAAAGTCTGTTTTATTTTGTCTTCTTGAACGAAGAAACATATATATAATAATTAATAAATAATCCTTTTTTATTATTTTCAAGTTTTTTCTTTCATTTTCATTCGATTTTCCAAAAGAAAGAGAGAGAGGAAAAAAATGGTGGGTTTTGGATTTGCAGTGTAAAGAGAAAAGAGGATTTGATAATTTAGGGGAAAAGAAAAAAAGAGAAGACGCAAATGAAGAGAGGGAGCTGGTGGAGGTGGTGAAGCGAGCTCTCAATCTAATAATCCCCACAACAATTCAAAACCGTTCAATTTCCTCACATAAAAAGCTTCTTCCCCTTTCCTTCCTTTTGATTCTCTTCTCTTTCCCTCACCATCGAATCTTTTTTTTTTCCTCCTCGCACAATCCCCAGATGTCCGACAGGTAATATCCAATATCCAACTTCTCGATTGATCAAACTCTTCCTCTTCAATTCTCGTCATCTTCGAATGACTTAATCGTGAAAAAGTTTGACTCTTTTGATCGATTGATTGATTATCGGAGCTGGGTTGGTTTCTGGATTGATTTTTTCTTCTTCATTTCTTATAGGATACTCTGCAAGTTCTTTGTCCATGGCTCGTGCTTGAAAGGAGAAAATTGTGAATATTCCCATGACTGTAAAGATCCGGCGAATAATGTAATGTAATCTCTGCTCAAAGATTCTTCCTTTCTTCTCAAGAATCAAACTTTGGTGACTTAATTTCTTTGCAATGGATCAGGTTTGCACATTCTATCAGAAAGGAATATGCTTGTACGGAAGTAGATGTAGATATGAACATTCCAGGACTAGTCTACCACAATCTTTATCTCCCTCCAATGTTCCTCTTCCCTCAGATTCTCAGCCACAGTCTTTATCAGCCGCTTACAACTCTCTCCTCACACCCTCGTTGAATCATCTGCAACAAAAAGGAGATGACAACAATGACGGTGAAAAATACTATATCGACCCAAGAGACTACCCGATTTGCTCATTCGCTGCAGCTGGTGATTGCCCTCGGGGAAGCCAGTGTCCGCACATGCACGGAGACGTCTGCAGCACCTGTGGGAAGAAGTGTTTGCATCCTTTCAGGCCCGAAGAGCGAGAAGAGCACACGAAAGAGTGCGAGAAGAAGCAGAAGCAGATGGAAGCTTTGAAGAAGAGCCAAGAGATTGAGTGTAGCGTGTGTTTGGATCGTGTCTTGTCAAAGGCAACTCCAGGGGAAAGGAAGTTTGGGCTGTTGACTGAGTGTGACCATCCTTTCTGTATACAGTGCATTCGTAATTGGCGCAGCAGTGCTCCTGTTTCAGGGATGGATGTGAACAGCACGTTGAGAGCGTGTCCTATATGTCGCAAGCTCTCTTATTTCGTTGTCCCTAGTGTTGTTTGGTACTCTACTCCTGAAGACAAGAAGGAGATCATCGATGTATACAAGGCAAAACTCAGGTATTTATAGAGCTGCTCTTCAAAGTTGTCCTTCAAATAGTTAAGTAGATACATTTTGAGAGCGGTGTGTTCCAATCTTTGCAGGTCAATTGACTGTAAGCACTTCAACTTTGGAAATGGGAACTGCCCATTTGGAGGAAGTTGTTTCTACAAGGTATGAATAAAATGATGTATTGATGTTATCTTGTTTTCTTTGTGGATTGCTTAAGGAGCATCAGAAGAATGATTTTGAGTCATTTTTTGGTGTAGCATGCATATTCTGATGGTCACTTGGAAGAAGTTGTTCTACGGCATCTTGGTTCTCAAGGAGAAACTCTAATAGCAGACACTTTGAGGTCTTGTCCCAAATCCCAATATGATTTTAACTCCAGATATCATTTCATTTCCCTTGCTTCCAGTTTTATTAATGAATTTGGCATACAATGTGTTAAATATTTTCAGGCTATCAGAGTTCCTTGGTGGCCTGCAGATGTAAATAATCATTCCCAGAGAAATTAAATGTAAGTTCGAGTTCCAAACCCATTTGTAATTATCAGGAATTTGTAGAGATTTGTGTGTGTTGAAAATTTGAAATTCATGAAAGTAAGCTTTGTTGCTTCTCTTTTATGACTGAAATTTCTTTGCAAACGCAGAATACAGATGGTGATGACAACTTGATTTCTTTCCAAACTGGTGTGGTTCTTAGTACTTTTGGCAATCCTCTGATATTAGGTGAAGCAATTTCTTCCTTTTTGTTCTTGTTCTCTTTATGTTTCAGAATATCATGTTGGCTGATTCAAGCTATGTATCTTCTGAATTATAGAAATGGAGACATGCTCAGGGAGGATCATAGTTCAAAAGATATCAGGACATAGAAGAAACTCAATGTACAATAATATTTAGATAGGGAAGGTCTACTATACAATTGTGTACAAATAAAAAGAATTGTTTGAACAGTGCGTGTTACACTATATACTCAACAAATAAATGTAAATAATAATGCTTTCATAACAGTAATGAGAAAGTCTTTTGAGATATTAAAAGTCTTGCGTTTCTCTATTCACATCTTAATGTTATGTGAAAGACAAAAGTATAAGAAGAGAATGATGTTTTCCATCGATGTTTTAGATTTGTGACAACAAGAGTAAAAGACAGAGGAACATAAAGAAAAAGATGTCATTTTGTCTACCATCTGAGAAGAGCAAATCCAGAGAGGACGAGAGAAGAGATGATCATGATGATAGACATTCCTGGAAAACAGGAGGCTTCTCCTGTCTGTGTCTGTGACTCTGAATCGTACTGCGCGGAGGCGGTGAAGGCAGAGGAGAAGGTCATTGCGGCGAAAACGGCCATCGCTGTGTATTGATTGTAGGAAGCCATGTTTGCTCTCTCTAACCAATTTCTGACCCCTCTGATTTGGCTTTGGCTATGGCTTTTTAGTGTTAACAAGGTCTTTTTATAGGGAAAGAAAAAGTTCGTGGGGACGTGAGGAGCATAAGTTTATAATGCTCAGCTCATAGAAACCACTTTCCAATTGTTGTAATACTTGTTCTTTTTCTTATGGTTAGGTCAACAATTGTTACAGTATAGAACAAAACCTCAAAAGTCAAAGGCCATATAACATTTGTGATATAATCTCTGGAGCATAGAGGTCAATCCTTGAAAACTTGTGAAGATTCTGTATGGAACGCGAGCAAGAAAAAAAACAAACAAACGTGCAATTAAAGAAAGCCCAATAGGCAGCGTGAGCCCAACGAGAGTTTATAGGCCAAATGATTTTTGAAGCCAATACTGTCTTTCAAGCAAGTTTCAAGGCTAGTCGCATAAGATCGGATCTTGAAGGCATCTCTGCGTTGGAGTCTCTGTCTTCTGCTAGATCTTATCCATTGCCGTGATCGAACCAATATTTAGCTACATTGTTTTGTTAGGAAGAATTTTGTTTGTTCATGAATTTGTTTGGCGTTGTGTTCCTACTTTTTCTCGTTCGTTTTCTTCAGAACAGTCGAATCGACTGTTTTGCAAATTTCTTGAAATGAATTGAAAATTTAAAGAGAATGGACTTAAAATGATGATTTCTTTCTGTTCGTTCACTTTGCACAAATTCTTACGTTTGGATTAGTTATCCTCTGTTTAAATGTGTTAGGCAATTATGATGCCATTACATTTTTAACTAACGACTCCCATCAATTCTATAATATTCCAGTATGATCAATATTTTTTTCGAAGGATCTTTAACTCGCTTCTACTATTCTTTTCTTTATTAGATTCGGTTGATTGTGTCGTAAAATGGAAGTTGCTTCAAAATAAGCTTGCCTACAGGAATACAAAATTACTTCTTCTTTTTTGTCGGCAAATACAATATTACTTTAAGAGAATAGAGATAGTGAATTTCGGTTATTAGTTGTCGTTTAGAAAGAAAAAACAAAATTAATGAAAACTAATGTATGTTTGATACTTCAAACACACGTGTGTGGTGTGGGGGTGAGAGAGAGGTTGGTCTTGTTCTTGTCTTTGACTCTAACCAGTCTTTTTCGATGCATTTTTCTTCACTCACAAGTCTATCATCATGTTTTTAACGAAGACATGTTTGTTTTTTTTTATTATTTCATAACAAATAAAAGACCCACCTCTTGCTTCTTCTTCACATCCCCATTTCCTCTCTCTCTCTCTCTATTAGAGACTCTCTCTACTCTACCCATCAATCCCAACAAACACTTTTTTCTCTCTCTCTTTCTCTCTCTCTCTCTCTCTCTCTCTCTTTCATATCCATTACACATACTCATATCATTCCAAAGCAATCCCCACAAATCATATCATCTTCTCCATCCATCCTTCTTTCCTTCCTTCTTACACTCTCTCTTTCTCTTTGTGAAGTCTTCTTCAGAAAGGCTCCACCAGTAGTCCAAATGATGATGAGGAATCCGGAGGTTACTGCGATCAGAGACAAGAGCAAGCCGAATCATGCATGCGGTGGTAACAACAACAAACCGAAGCTAAGAAAGGGACTTTGGTCTCCTGATGAAGACGAGAAGCTCATTAGGTATATGTTGACCAATGGACAAGGATGTTGGAGTGACATTGCTAGGAATGCTGGTCTCTTACGCTGTGGCAAAAGTTGTCGCCTTCGTTGGATCAACTACTTAAGACCTGATCTTAAACGCGGCTCCTTCTCTCCTCAAGAAGAAGATCTCATCTTCCATTTGCATTCCATTCTTGGTAACAGGTAACTTTTCACATGTAAAACACATAAAATAGAGTTTGAAACAACCGAGCCTTAGAATGAGTCTTACACATCTTGGTAACATTTATGAAGTAACTTTACCTTTCTAATTTTTCACATGTAAATGGAAATGCAAGTTTTGAATGAGTCTCGTATTTTGTTCATGACTATTTTTAACCTAAAACATTTTATCAGGTGGTCTCAAATTGCTACTCGGCTTCCAGGAAGGACAGACAACGAGATCAAAAACTTTTGGAACTCGACACTGAAGAAGAAGCTCAAGAACAGCAACAACAACAATACTTCTTCAGGATCATCACCTAACAATAGTAATAGTAATTCTTTGGATCCAAGAGATCAACATGTAGACATGGGAGGCAAGTCAAATCCAATGATGGATGGCTATCATAATCATCATGATGAGATGATGATGGTGGGGAACACCATGCGCATTGACTCTTCTTCATTCAATTTTTCACCCATGGTTAGTGGTGTGGGGTTAAACCATCTTGATCCATTGATATCAGTACCGGATCATAACCGATATCAACAAACAGGAAATACAGGAAATTTGTTCAACGTTAATGGGTTAGGAGATTATGGAAACGTAATTCTTGATCCAATTAACAAGAGAGTATCAGTACAAGGTGACTGGTTTCTTCCCTCGTCAGAGAATACCAATGTTATTGCTTGTACTACAAGCAACAACCTAAACCTAGAAGTCCTTGAGCCTTGCTTCAATAGCAAAAATCTTTGTCATCCGGAAAGCTTTAAGGTAGGGAACATGATGGGGATGGAGAATGGTTCTTGGGAAATAGAAAACCCTAAAATCGGAGATTGGGATTTGGATGGTCTCATCGATAACACCTCTTCTTTCCCCTTCCTTGATTTCCAAGTTGATTGACAAATATTTTCTCATATTCTATCTTCTTTTTACTCATTTGTCCCTTATTCATTTTCCTATACATATATTTTTTTCCATTTATCAATGACGGTTTATATCTTCACGAACCGGATACAACTCAAATGTGGTCTACTCTCTTCTTCCCCTTTATTTTTCCGTTCATGTGTCTATTATACTGTTCATGGAAGCGAGAGGTATATGCATATATAGTTTATATCTATAGGAGGAGGAATTAGTTGCCATGCATGGTTCCTTTAGTACATGAAATGTGAATAGGAAGGTATACATTGAGATTTTATTTGCTGAGGAAGTACTTAAATAATGGCCCACACAGTGAGGTGATTAGTTGGTTTATTTGTATAGCTTTCTCTTTCTTTTCAATTCTTTTGTTTGTTGTTGTACAAATCCGGTCGTTTGATGTGTAAAACACGGTTTCGTAATAAGAAAGCATTATCTCTTTCATTCTCTCTCTACCCAAAAACAAAATGAAAATTACTCTATTGCTTCAGATATTGTAAACAGTGCTCAAAATCTCAACTTTTCCATCCAAGTTACAGAACAAAATCTATCATTTATCTACTAATTGAATTTATCCGATTAAAATTTTACTTTCTGTAGACTGTAGGTATGGATAAACTTAGAAGATGAAGTACTAGTGTACTACATACTATTTTTACGTAAGAAAATTAAATATTTATTTTGTGAAGATAAACTTAGAACGTATACTTAAAGGAAAGGGTATATCATACTGTATGTCTGTATAATAGTATCACAAAATTGTTTTGCGCCTTTTGGCTACAAGAAATCTATAATGTCTATCGTAAATTCATAATGAAGAAAACATTATAGTATTATACATGTTTGGCTGTGGTTTGGACCTTCGTAAATAAATGAGTATATGGGCCAATCAAGGCTCCAAGCCCAAACGAAACATTTGTTCATTTTATAAAGTTCGCTTTGGTTTAATTCGAAAAATCAATTCGGTTCCGGTTTGGAGACGGTCCGCGGTTTCGTTCGGTTGCAAACTGGTTTAATATAATTAACATTCGGTTCGGTACGGTTTAATATAGCTTTTACATGTTCAAGCAAATCATTTATTGGAAATATAAAAAATGGGAATTGAAGCGAAACTAACAATAAATACAAGAAGAAATTTGATTTAATAATATTCCAGAAAGAAACTTACTACTATAAGATAAAACTAAGAAAATAAACACTTTTTGTATAATGTAAAAGTATTATAAAAGTCTAAATATATAGTGTCCTAGGTAGTATGATTGGTAAAGTAGTTATCATTTGTAGTTAACCTTAAGCAAGGAGGAAATCGGATTACAAAAACAACAAACCCAAATCATGACTAGTGTAATGATAGTTTTCTCCACCATATAATTTAAAACGTCATAATTGATGCTTAATTTGTTTCGCATGAATAAAACATTTCAAAGATCATAGACATCAATGATCATATGATTCGTACCTCTCTCGGAATTATATATATGAACCCATCGATCACATAGTTTCTCTCATCACACACTCACAACAAAAAAAAAACCTGAAAAAGAATAAAACATTAAGACAATAATGGAGAAAAGAGAGGAACACAACTCAAACTACTTCGTCGAAAGCCCTTCATCGGGTTTCCACGACCCGGAATCCGAATTCCAGTCCCCATCTCGATCTGACTCAGCGTTATTGGTCGTAGCCTGCGTTGACGAATTCCCAAGGTACGAAGATTTGTTGAGATACTCTGAAAACAAGTGCGTGTATAATGAGGATGATGAGAAGATGTCGATGCCATTACCGAGCCCCGATTCGGGTTGGTGGATCGTTCTGCAAATATCGTGGAGATTCTTGTTTAGCTTTGGAGTTGCATTGCTTGTCTTCTACATTGCTACTCAGCCTCCTCATCCTAACATTTCTCTTCGAGTAATATGCATCTTTACCTTGAGTTTCAATTTAGTTTTAATTTATCCGGTTACAATTTGATATAAACTTGCACCACTTTTTTGTATCATTTTGGTACAAGAAGTCGAGAAAGAACTAAATAATAAGCAACTCATGTTGGTCTAGTAGTTGAAAGCAACCATGCATGTAACTTTAGGGATAATATAGTTAATTTGTATACTCTATCTAAAATGTAAGTAATTTCACAGATTGGAAGGATTAATCAGTTCCTATTAGAAGAAGGCGTGGATTCACATGGAGTGTCGTCTATGTTCCTCACTAGCAATTGCTCTGTCGAGCTCATAGTAGATAACAAGTCTAATGTCTTTGGCCTTCACATTCATCCTCCATCTATCAAATTCTTCTTTGGCCCCTTCAACTTTGCAAAAGCACACGTAAGTCTTTATATATAAACCTAGAAACGTATATATTGAATATCAACTTAGTTCAGCTACATGTAACCGTATATTGATTTTTTTTCTTTAAATTAATTAGGGAACGAAACTATATGCGTCGAGTCATGAGTCGACAACATTTCAGTTATACATTGGAACAAAGAACCGGGCCATGTATGGGGCGGGAAGAGAGATGGAGGACATGCTTCAATCGAAAGCTGGATTGCCCCTAATACTAAGGATGAATATAATCTCCGATTTTCGAGTTGTGTGGAATATTATAAACCCTAAGTACCATCACAATGTTGAGTGTTTACTATTTCTTTCTTTCAACGAGAAGCACGACCAAGTTACAGTGGTAAGAGAAAAATGTAGATTGGTCTCTTAACCAGAGATGATGCTCCCTAAAGGCATATGCATGTATAGGAAAAATGCAGATGAGATGCGTCATGATGTATTTTTTCCGTGTGTTTAGTTGTTTTGCGATGAACAACAAATCTACATCTTGTTAACCATGATGTAATGTACAAAACCAAAACCAAATTTAGAAAACAAATTAGTAGACCAAATGAGAACTAGTAGGGAAATTTCTCAAAAATACCACAAAAACTTATTTTTCCAAAAATACCACGAAACTAAAATTAAACTTTAAACTCTAAAAAGTGAACCATAAACCCTGAAATTAAACTCTAGACCCTAAATATTTAACTCAAACATTTAAATTATAAACTCTTAAAAATCACTTTTAGTGGTTTTAGTATTTTTAGAATAATGTTATTTATTAGTATTTTATAAAGAAAAACTAGTGATGGTATTTTTGGATTAAATGACTGATTTTATTGATGTTTTAAAGTATTCCACTTTTTAGTTTTCATGTTTACTTTTCTTAACTCTACATTATGTCAAGGGAAAATTCCAAAAAAAATAAATAAATTAAATTTCTATTAATTTTCACGGTTTTTATAAGATAGTGAGCATCTACCAACATGCACTTCAAAACGCAAAGATATAACAAAATCTGCATTTGTCCCTATTAGCACATCTTTCAAATAATTTAAAAAAAAAATTATTGATGGATTGGAGAGCGTAGCCTACGAGGTGGGAAAATCTTTCTTTTTTTTTTTTTTTGATAAAGGAGGTGGGAAAATCTTTGTTCGACCGGAAAAAAGCAAATGGTAGTAGACATAAACCAAAATTTTAGATCCTTTAAGTAAACATAAACCAATTCTACTTTGAGGGATATATCATAGATGTTTACCTTAAATATAATTTTGTTCTAAAATCTTTCTATCATTTGCTTTTTTTCCCCCGGTCGAACAAAGTTTGTCCCACCTCATAGGCTCTCCAAATCCATCAATACATACATCCAATGGTCAAAATTTATTTGAAGGATGCGACTAGCTAGGGACAAATACAGGTTTTGTTTAAATGCTAGCCTCTTCTCTTCGAAGCCACAACGTATATTCCGGACTGTATCAGAATTGACATATAATATTATATAAAATGATACCAATAAAGCAATCAGACAATATAAAAATCGTTGCTCGTGCCGTTGTACGAGTAGACATAATGGTGTCATACTGGCGTGTGGATGTCTTTGTAATTAAATATTTCCTGCTAGACGTCAAGTGTTCTATGAAATATTTAAGTTTTGGTTCATGTGTACTTTTGATGTACTCTTTATAGTTTATACTAGAGTATTGTGTGTTGACAAAATAATTTTATCTTTTGAATTTAGAGTGCGCGCGCACTACATAATTTTTGTTTTTAAATAAGTACTTAATCAGAAGAAAAAATATCCAACAGTTTCATCAACGAATCATCTTGCATATCGTATCTGCCAATAGTTTTGAGATGTGATCATATGAGTCAATCAATCAAAGCACATTTGGATAGTTAAATAATTAATTAAGAGCATAAGGATAGCTTATAAAGGTAGATGATAAGAAACGTGAGGTATCAAATGTTGTGGTATCGTGATGGAAAATAATATTAGGTAAATTGAGGACATAACAATCAAGATATATACAGTGTATTAACTATTAAGTAATAACAAATGCGAAAGAAACGACAAATGAATGTTAAACTAATTTATCATTGTTGCATTTTAATTGGGAATCCTACGAAGCCCACTTTTGTTGTATGAACTGTTTCATTGATTGGGACTGTTACGTTGATTGTGACTTCAGCGACTACGTCACGTCTCTCGTCGTTTTCTTTCACTTAGTGATTTTGCTTTCATACGCAAATCGAATACTTCATATTTCATACTCCAGATTCTTTAAATCGCGATTCTAGCCAGTAAACTAAATTTTTTGAGCGGTAAATAGATAATCGAACTGACTAATCAATATAGCAAGTGACTTTTCGATCGATTAACTGGTTTACTATTTAACAGGACCGACTAATATCGTTTAGTCGGCTAATTATTAGACTATTGGGTTTTTGTGCGCAAATGACTATTGATACGGTTAAATTATCAAATTTCTAGTATGAAAAGCTTAATATATTCTACAAATGTACGGTAGTACAGTTTGTAGTAGTTAAAGTGTTAATCCGCAGTAACGTTGATTTACCACAGAAAAAACTTTGAATTAGATTAAATATAAAACACGATATGAAGATGGTTTTAAGGTTTTCATTACATCAGAACAAATAAATTGAACTAAGACGGATAGAAAATGATGCAATTACACAAAAACGTTCATATGCGTTTCGATTCGGTTTGGTGTTACTTACTATGATAAGTGATTATGCGGTCGGTAGCTTAATAAAAATTTGGTTAAGCATTGATGACTATATACTATCAAGTATCAACCATATCTTGTCACTTGTAATCAAGATAGTGTAACTACGTAGCATGTATTTGCAATGCCGAAAATTTGCATGCATAAATTTATAAACTTATTATAAAAAAAATGGTGTAGGAAATTTAGAATATTGTAAGTGTTATGTACCTTAGAAAACTGTAATCAAGTAGCATATATTTACAAGTCAGATAATTTCCAGTGTTGAATTACCCAACCTTTTTCTATCAAATATTAATATATACATATATAATATAAAGTAAAGTTTATACAAAAAGGATATGCATTACTTTATACAAAAAGCAAAGTTTGGAGAACATATGGACAAAAATGCGAGAGAGCGTATGAAAGGAATTTCAGGATTTGTGTATAAATTGGAGCCAAGTGTTTGCATACACTTATTAAATTTGAGCCAAGTACTACTTACTGGCACACGCCTATTAATTATCCCCTTCTAACTCTCCCAATCACTCGCTCACTCACTACTTATCTCAAGTTCACGTGATTACTTATATAAGCGTCGACTAACATACTATACAGGTAATATATTTCTCTTCGCATATCTCATAACTACGTTCTTTGATAGCTTCTTACTTTCTTAGTATCGCAAATATGCTCTCTATGTATCCCTACACAAGGGCATCTTCATGTGTGTATAATTATGTTGGTGAGAAAGACTTTACAGTATGTGATAATGTGAAATTTGGTTGATTTTAACATTTACCCACACACACACACAAAAACAATAGTGCATGATTGTTAAAATTTTACACGCCTTCTTCCTTTTGGATGTATATGTTTTCAGATATATTTTAAAAAAAATTCACAACAATAATGAATGATTAAATTAATAAGCAGAGTATTGTTATATTTGTGATTTTAACAATACTCTGCTTACAAATATAACAATACTCTGCTTATTAATTTAATCATTCATTATTGTTGTGAATTTTTTTTAAAATATATCTGAAAACATATGTAGTTTGATTTTAGATGTCCACAACATTCAGTGAATTATATAATAACGGCTCAGATTACTTATAAATTTATTTTATTTATTGATTATAGTTATTAGTTCACGCATATCATAATCTGAACGATTAAATAAAATTATGGATCAATTAAAATATTATGTTACAAATTACAATATATGGGGGAAGTGGTAATGTTGGTAATGAAATAGACGTGGATGCTTTGGGAAAGATGGCTTTATCTTACGGAACAATTACATACACGACACGCACTATATACAAATCACCTGTGTTGGTTTGTGTTGCCATCTTTTATGTTACTTTTTTTTCAAACTATCGCCTTCCTTTAACTAATAGTATTAGAATTCTCTTTTAACACAAACAAAAATACTTGGAATTTTTTCCAACTGTCGATCGAAACAAGCTTTCAAATTATAAGTTGCTATTTAATGATAAAGTTTCATTTTTTTGCGACTAGTGAATCTCAATTATGGAAAACGATTCACTTTATTAGTGGAAGATATCAACAATTAAATGAGGATCTAAGGAGAAACTAAAACTCTTTCCCACTATGATGAATAAGATAGAGAAGGAAGCCTTTAATAAAAGTAGAAGAAAGAAATCAAACCTATTTGAATAAATTAAATACCAAAGATGTGCATGTTCATTACGTGTCTATAAATACACATACATTTTTACATAGTCACGAATGTAAAAGCTCCCATTGCTTATTCGAATATTTGAAAACACTTGCGATATCTTCAGAGAGTACAACCCAATCACCGAAAAGGCTTCGAAGGAGAAGATCGATGACGGAAACTGGTGATCTTACTTCGGTCCCAGCCAGCGTGATCAGGCCGATCCCATTTCTTGTTATCTTCAAAGATTTAACGTAAGTGTGTGTTCATATGAAAATGGTGGATATTAAGAGTTAAAACAAGTGATGCATAACATTTATTTATGTACAAAATTACAGACATGTATTCAGCATGGATGCAATTGGCCGAGAGATACTAAGCATTGCGTTTCCGGCGGCTTTGGCATTATCTGCTGATCCAATAGCGTCTCTGATTGACACCGCTTTTATCGGGCGTTTAGGAGCGGTTGAGCTAGCAGCGGTTGGAGTATCCATTGCGATATTCAATCAAGCTTCTAGAATTACGATATTCCCAATTGTGAGCGTCACAACCTCATTTGTCGCAGAGGAAGACACCATGGAGAAGATGAAAGAAGAAGAAGCAAAGAAAGCTTCACTTGTTCATGCAGATACTTTAGCTGTTCAAGATTCCTTGGAAAAAGGCATTGCGTCTGCCACAAGTAACAACACCAACCAGCCGCAGCAAACCCCAGGTACCATCGTTAATTATTTCTGGTTCATTATAGTGTCTGAAAAAACGTAATGAAAGTGACTAATTAATTTAGTATTATTTTTATTTTTTGTGAACTAGCTTCGGTGACAAAGTTAAGCAGCGGAAACAAAGCTAAAAAAGGAAAGAAGAATATAAAATCTGCATCAACGGCCATGATCATAGGGTTGATCTTGGGGCTTGTCCAAGCTATTGTCTTGATTTTCAGTTCGAAGGTGCTTCTAGGCGTCATGGGAGTGAAACCGGTATAAGATTATATAAGTAAATAAACATGCACATATTGTTGGATATATAGGACAAAATGTTTTTGACTAATTTGAGCTGACTTTCGATGATCAGAATTCGGCAGTGTTATCACCAGCGCACAAGTACTTGAGCATACGGTCACTGGGTGCTCCTGCATTGCTTTTATCGCTTTCAATGCAAGGCATCTTCCGTGGCTTCAAGGACACCACAACTCCTCTCTATGCTACTCGTGAGTTATTTACAGTTTTGGTTCATCTTTATTTAACCTCCTTAGATTACCACCACATCATGAGTTTGATCTAATATATATCATCTTGATGCATGAAACAGTCGTAGCAGATGTTATCAATATCATTCTCGACCCCATTTTCATCTTTGTGCTTCATCTTGGCGTCAGTGGTGCGGCCATTGCCCATGTCATTTCTCAGTAAGAGAACGCTCTCAACTTTTATCACAAATGCAAATGTCAAATATTTTACTAAACATAAACCCATGACTAACAAACCCAAGACTTGCTCAAATCGAGTTTTACAAAAAAAAACTAAGGGTTTTGCTTGTGTGAAGGTACTGCATGACTCTAATATTGTTCATCCGCCTCGCGAAGAAAGTTAACTTGAGGCCACCAAACTTCGGAGAGTTGCAGTTTGGAAAATTCCTTAGAAATGGTAGGGACGCATATTCAGTAAAGCTGTTTTTCTTGCAATGGTCAGAGTAAAGTTTATTACTACTAAATTTTTTTTTTCATGGCTTTTTTTAAAGTTCAAGTAAATATTTGGAAACAAAAAAAAACACTTTTTGAACTTCTATGGTTTTAGTTTTTTTTTAGAATATAATGATGAAAAATATTTATTTACATACTAAAAATTAAAAACATACCAAAATGTGGATGTCTAACAAGCAATAATATTGTTGTACAAAAATGAAAAGGGACGTTATTGCTGGCGAGGACCATAGCTGTGACGTTTTGTCAGACCTTAGCAGCAGCAATGGCGGCTCGGCTCGGAACAACACCAATGGCTGCTTTTCAGATCTGTTTACAAGTCTGGTTAACTACTTCTCTCCTCGCCGATGGTCTTGCCGTTGCTGGTCAGGTAATCATCAGTTGTTACATAACCATGTTTGCATATATTGTGTATATATAGTATATAATATGTGGGATTCATCATTTAACTGAATCATTTGCATGCAGGCTATTCTGGCTTGTTCTTTTGCCGAGAAGGACTACAACAAAGTGACTGCTGCTGCATCCCGTGTTCTACAGGTTATCCCTCGATCGATCTTCTTTTTCTTCTTATAACAATAATTATTATGGAACGATACTAATCCCTATATATGGATGACCTTTTGAAAATGCAGATGGGTTTTGTGTTAGGACTTGGACTGTCTGTTTTCGTTGGACTGGCTCTATACTTTGGTGCCGGAATATTCACCAAGGACCCTTCCGTTATTCACCTCATAGCCATTGGAATACCGGTACTAATCATACGGTCCATAGAACAACATTAATAATACATAACAAATACTATGTTAACAAAGGATTAACCCTAATATATTTATGTGAGATACATCAGTTTGTAGCAGCAACACAGCCAATAAACTCACTCGCTTTTGTACTGGACGGAGTCAATTTTGGAGCATCTGATTTTGCTTACACTGCTTACTCCATGGTACGCACTATTCTTCATTAACTAATAGTATGTTTTTGTTATATGCTTTTAAACGATTAATTATTAAAATTTGACTGTTTTTTTTCGCTGATTGATTATGATAAATCAGGTAGGAGTAGCGGCCATAAGCATTGCAGCAGTGATATACATGGCAAAGTTCAATGGGTTTATAGGAATATGGATAGCTCTTACGATCTATATGGGCCTCCGAGCTATTACTGGAATCGCCAGGTAATTTGAGCCTAGTAAATTGTATCAAGCCCACTATTGTAGACGTGCCAAATATTTATTTGACTCGGGTGTGTAAATGATGGATGATGCAGGATAGCGACAGGAACTGGACCGTGGAAATTCTTGCGTGGACGATCATCCCCTTTATCTTGATCCTAAGAGTTTTAGTTTTAATAATGAGATGCAACTTTTTCGTCTTTCTCCGTTTCGGTTTCTATTTCTCGTGTTTTCATATTTTGTTCGAAAGATCGTTATCTTGTTGTTCCTAACAATTTCAGTCATATAAAATAATTGGATCAAACTTTTGTCTCTTAATTGCATAAGGAGCTAGCCTTGGCTGGCTATACATTTTCATTTGTACCGGTCGGTATATGCGATATGGAAAAACATTTCAAAGAAAAGTGTCGGTTACAAATCTGATAAAGAACAATATCAAAGTTAAAATTCAGTCTAACCAAACTCTAGTTTGAAATATTTGTACACATTTTTCTTATAAAAACTACTCCAGTATTATAAATAAATAAAAGAAACTTGACTGTCATTTTCAATGGTTTTCCAAGAATAAAAGGTTCCGATTTTAGAAACAAAACAATGTTCTTTCTCGCCGACAAAAGAAAAAAAAATCAGATTTAGTATTTTTTATTTATCAGTCTCACTTTTTCCAAAGGGGATGTTTTCTAAAGGTTTTCAACTACTTCAAATTCTACACTCTTTTGGGGGAGATTCAAAATTTACATTTTAATTTAAATTTTCAAGTAGTGATCACTCAACTAGATAAGTACTACAAGATAAAAAAAATTGTGTAGCTTTTCAGTTCTTGATAAAATTATCAAATTTTGCTGTAGCTTATAAGTTCTTGGTTATTACACTCTTCATTTAACTTGAAGTCTATAACTTAATACCAAAAGGAGCAAGACATACAAAGCAAATCACCAAGTTCATGAGCAGACTAACGCCGAGATTAAGAACTCAAGACGCAGTCGTGACAAAGCTTTTAAAAAAACTCAATCTAAGCGACATGAGAAACCACAATATCATCAATGATTGGACCACAGAGAGATCCAATATCAGCTTTCTTGGTATGGTAATAACCACTGTAGAAAGTAATCCTAGTTCTTGCATCGATCGCCTTGAACCTGAAACTCGCGGTCTTAAAGTGACCCCCACCAACGGAAGTGTGCGGCACTTTGAGTGTATCTTTGGCTGCAAAAGCTTCAACCATCAGGTCTCCATGGCAGTCGTTTCTAGCATCTCCAACGACGAACGAGAGGCTGTAGGTTTGACCAGGTGTAGTTCTAATGACTTGTGCAATGGCACTTTCTTTGCCCGCAACAAGCTCGATCGCTGCTTTACCAGATGGGACGTTGAAGTTCTTCGAGTCTATGAACTTGGCTGCCTTGAGTGACTCTATGATCCAACCAGGTAAAGGCGATGTGACATCTTCTTGTTTAGGTGGAAGAAGCACTCCTTGTGTCGAATTCACTAGACGGTGTGGTCCTTCTTCGAACCCTCCGTTCTTCACCAAGTTCCCTGCATTTGTCGGAATTAAACGAATAAATAAATGAAACAAATATTTTAACCAAAATTCGATGAAATAATCTGATTGGTTATGTTATTGAAAATTCAACCACAAAAATACAAAACTAACTAAATAAGAGACTTCACAAATTAATAGTTTCCATTATCACTAGAACTACAAAATGTTGATTAAGTATTTTAATTATAAATTTCAGATATTTTCCTGTCTAAAACCGAACAAACCAATTGCTAAACCGAACCACAGCGAATTGTTAACCGGTTAAGTTATAAATTGCATTCAGGTTCTATAAACCGACCAAAACCAAACCGAAGCATACCTCTGGAGTAGGTTGGAGGAGAGAGCTCTTTAATGGCGACAGCGTCCAACAATGGACCGCAAGCTGGATCTTCTTGAACGCCAGGATTATGGAAAGTCACTGTAACTTCAGAAGTCTTGGGAACGAAACCCCAAGCGTACACGTCACCTCCGAAGCTGTTGTAGAGCGTCTGAAGCGGCAAGTCGCCGGTCTGAGGGAGCACAGAGACTCGAAGAACCTCTTCTTGAGCGCAAGTCCTCGACGCACCGAACGTGAGCGCGTAGAGAGAGCCTGGGTTCACTGTTAGCTTCTGAGAGATGGTGGCTTCGTTTCCGAGCCTCACGGCGTGGACCCCGTGAGCCACCGGGAAATACATGCCTCCCGGTTGAGGACCACCGGCGATGTACTCGACGAAACCGGTGATTTCCCATTCGGGCAAGGCGGTTTTGCCGATGAGAACTGTTTTTTTCATGTCGGTTTTCTTGGGAGACTCCTCGAAGTTCCCATTACGAAGGTATCCTGGATATATAAATTAGCACAAGGACAAGGAAATCTTAGATCTACAGACAAAGATGAAATATTTCTTTCTAAAAACATCAAATCTTGCTTCAGACACCTAAACAGAGAAGACCCATCTTCCAAAATCAAGACTTTGAAAAGCAAATCCAGAGAGAGAGTGAGAGAGTTACCTTCATAAGCAGGAGCTCCAAGAGCAGCACCACATGTGAGTAGTAGGAGAGGTAGAACAATGGCTTTAGGCACTGCCATTTTCACTCTTTTTTCTTCTTCGGAGAAGAGTGAGTGAGGAGCTTCAGGGGAGAGAGAGAGAGAGAGAGATGGTCCGAATTTGGGATAGCGAGAGGAAGACGATCTCGAGATGCTACGACTTTATACAAGAAAGGTGAGAAGAAAAGGATTTAAAGCGAGAGATAGGGAGAGAGAGAGAGAGAGGAAATCACGTAGAAAGAGGGAATGGGAATGGACCCCATTGTTGCATTTTGTCTGTCTGTCTTTTCTTGCTTAAGCTGAAACCGACTTTCTCCTTAATTCATGCTCTCTAATCTCGTCTTGGCACTTGTGCCTATTTCAGTTTTCCCACAATCCAAGTATAGATATTGAAACATGAATATTTAGATGAATTTAGTATACTGGTTTGTTAGCAATAGTAAAAATCATCCAGGAAATAGTTATATGTTGGTAACATAGCAAATATTCTCAAGTCTTCAGTAACGAACTACATACAAAAAAGTATCATTTTATTGGCATTAAGTTTTACTGCATACAAGACCGTATACGAATTGTATAAGATTTTAAGTTTATGGGCTTATGAATCTTCTTCCTAAACGGGAGTTGCGGCAGATGCAGTTGGTAATTATGGAGTGAGAGAAGGTGTTCTCAATTTCTAGTTTTGGCTGGTTCGAATAATAATTGGGGGGATTAAACGAAGTATCCATACGTGGGGGCAAGAAAATCAGAGGCATGTGCAATATTATGACTATAGGTTATGTTACTTATAGTCAGCGAGCGCATGTGACTATCAGCTGAATTATAGTTATAACACATCACCAAATTACGATAGCTGTGGGTCCCTTTTCCCATCTATTGTTGTCCACTCGATGCCTTCACACGCCCATGCGGCCGCTCTTGCTCCATGTTGCAAAATTATTAACAACTCTACCAAATCGTTCAATCTTCATCCGATTGCATTTTTCATTTTTTCGGGCCACTCGCTTGCATTATTTTTATCGGATATATCGTTGTAACTTGTAAGTATGCATAAGTTACAGGAATGCAAACATATCATTATTATTATACATGCTGTTTTTCCTCGAACAAACAAACAAATGAGAGCAATTAATTTGGTAAGTTCAGTTAAAGAAAAGAAAGTAAGGTAAGGATGCTTTGTGTTGATGTTTAGTTTGTACACGTAACAATCCAGCCTGTTTTATATAGGACTTTAGGACCAGAATTTGTTTGAGCCCATCTATTACCAATTTTTGGACCAAAAAATCAAAAGTTAAAAAAATAGTTGGATTGAGCCCGTTGTAGTGTGATCGAGAAAACTGGAAATTCTGCCAAACCACTAGTCAATTGCAGTGAGCCGAATTGGATTCAATGGTTAGAGTTCAGCTAAGTTGGATCGAGGGAGCAATATTTTAGCTAAGCGAAATGCATGGATCTGATTACTTTGGTTGGGTGTGAATGATTGGTATACCAGTACGTTAACCATTATGTAGTCGTCTCCTGCTTGTCATCTTTAGTTTTGGTGTTATTGCTCTGACTTTTGTCAATAACTTTTGGTTTTGTGGGATTTTATGCTTTGGCACCACAACTCTTAACTGGTTAGGCTATAAGATAAAGAAAAAACTCTTAATTTGTTCTCGTAAAAAAATAATCAATTTATGTTTAGTTGATTAAGTAAAGAAATTGCATATTTTTAGTTAAATGGTCTTTTTATATAATTATATGTTTTACACATTTAGTAAAATATTAAAAATAATATTTTTTTTTGTGTCAAGAGTAAACCAAGCCAGATTTTTTTGAGTGTGCTGTTTTAACAGTTTTCACTAGCTGCAAATTTCTCTTTTAATCTGTTTTTCTGTTATAGTATATCTGACGTGGAATCTTTTGACTGGGGGAAGCAACAAGCAAGCACTCAGTTTCTTTCTCTTTTGGGTGCATCTTTAAACACCGTTTGACTAAAGGCTTTGGGATGAGAAAGCAGCAATCTTATCCTCTCTGCCTCCAAACCAAACTCACATCGCACAAAACAGACGAACCTTCTTCTACGCTTACAGAGAGAGAGAGAGAAAAAATAAAACACTACAGTATTGATTAACCAATTAATAACAATCGTATTATCGATCCTATAAGTTAATATTACTATTAACTTTTATAAGAAAAAAAATAAAATAAAAAATAAAAAAGAGCGAAGCGATCTCAAAAATCCAATCTTCGAATTTTTTTGCGCTTGGAGGCTGAGGAATAATTGTTTTGGGGTGAGATATATGGCCTTTCACGTAGCTTGCCCAATTACATGGTATCTCTCTCTAATCTCCTCCCTTTAACGCTTTCTCTTATCTCTCTCTCCGTCTCTTTTGCTTTCGATCGCTCTCAATTTCGGTTTTGGTGGTGTGTTAATCCCGTCTCTGTTGCAGCCGTCGGCTTTGCTTCTGCTCCCTAGGGTTTTCTCGGAATCTCCGTGGAGCCAATGCCAAAGAGGAGTTTCTGAAAGAGGTTGATCGAGTGGAGCAATTTCTCGTCGATCCATGGGGCTCTTCTAGGGTTCTTACGGAAGGTACGGTTCAGGTCAAGGTTCCTAAGGTCTCTCCTGCTCCTGAGACGGTTTCTGCGGCTTCCATTTTTGGGGTTGGAGATGGCGGAATTGATGAATTGGCGGAGGAAGCTTCTGCGCAGAAGAAGCGTGTTGCTCTTCAGAGACAAGCCGCCGTTACTGTGGAGGCTGCTGAGGATTACGCTCGGAGGTTTGAATCTGGTGTCAATGAGGTAGCTTTTTTGATGTTTTGATTGCTCTAGTTTTTGTTCAATACCAAACTTAGTTGCCCTCACGAGCTTTCATTAGCAATAGCATTGATTAAGCTTGTTCTTAGGAAGACGATATGAAGAATATTCGAATACAAAACTGGGGAAATTGTTAGTTTTTTTGCGTACATCAAATAAGCGATCAAGCTTTTACTGTGTTAGCGTAACTTTAGTGGAGATTTTTCTTTTTCTATTCTTGTACAGCTTCCTACAGAAGATTATGCTGGTGAGGAGCTAGCTCAGTCCGGGATGAATATAATGTGCAGAATGTGCTTCTTGGGAGAAGGAGAAGGAAGTGAGAGAGCAAGGAGGATGCTCTCCTGTAAAACCTGTGGCAAGAAGTACCACAAGAATTGTTTGAAGTCTTGGGCCCAACATAGAGGTACTTCATTCAGTTCGTCGTTCTCCTTTTCCTGGCTTGTTAAGTCTTCTTTTCTCTAATTGCTGTAAGTTGCAGATTTATTTCATTGGAGTTCATGGAATTGTCCCTCGTGCCGGGTTTGTGAGGTCAGTTGAGTTTGTTTCCAGTTTCTCATTTTCTACTCGCTGCCTATCCCTCACTAAGTGATTGATAAAACAGAAATTGATTGATACCTAGCTTTTTTTTACTTGCCTCACTGAGTCTTCACATTCCTTAGGTCTGCCGTAGAACAGGAGATCCTAACAAGTTTGTGTTCTGCAAAAGGTGTGATGCTGCTTACCATTGCTATTGCCAACATCCTCCACATAAGGTACTTGACAGATAACTTGTTCATGCAATTTTCTTTGAAAATAAAGTAAATTGGCTTATGTATTTTGTCTGGACCGCACAGAATGTAAGTTCTGGGCCGTATCTGTGCCCAAAGCATACAAGATGCCACAGCTGTGATTCTACTGTCCCTGGAAATGGCCTTAGTGTCAGGTATACATTCTTAGTCGTTTGCACTGTTGGTTAGTCTTATAAATGAGCTAAGGAATCGTAGAAGGATTGGCCTCGTAAAATACATTAATTAATTTTTCTCCCCCGGTTTTTTATTTTTAATGTAACAGGTGGTTTTTATCATATACTTGCTGTGATGCTTGTGGGAGATTGTTTGTGAAGGGAAATTATTGCCCTGTATGCTTGAAGGTATGTTTTAAGCAAAATGCGTCTTAGCACTACCCTAGCCTTTATAATTCAGTGATGCCCTTGGCCATTTCTACTAAATTTTTACCTCTTTAGTGTTGTATTAATCATATTACTTATCTTGTTTAGGTGTACAGAGATTCGGAATCAACACCGATGGTATGCTGCGATCTTTGTCAACGCTGGGTGCATTGCCACTGCGATGGAATAAGGTTTTTTTATCGTTATATGTTACATATATAGTTATCTCGTTTGCATCTGTTTTATTGAACTTGGAACTAGAAATATGCACTGCAAAATGCAATTCAGTTATATTAAAGCCATAATTGTTTGCTTTTGAAAATTGTCATGCAGTGAGGATAAGTATCTTCAGTTTCAAGTTGATGGAAACCTACAATATAAATGTGCCACATGCCGTGAGGAGTGTTATCAGGTATGTCTGTTCCTGTTGTTAGTAACCTCGTTCTTAGGCTATAGGTCATGCTCTTGTTTTTTATCTTATAAGTAGTGCTCGTTGAGCTGGGGGTTATCTTTTGGAATGGGAAGAGTATTAAGTAGTGCAATTTGCTAGTGTGTTAATTATGTAAGTTTTATTTGTTTTTAAATTCTATCTTGGCTCTCAGGTGAAGGATCTTCAGGATGCAGTTCAAGAACTTTGGAAGAAAAAAGATGTGGTGGACAAAGAGATGATTGCTAGTTTAAGGGCAGCTGCTGGTTTGCCAACAGAGGAAGAAATATTTTCGATATGTCCGTATTCAGATGATGAAGAAAATGGACCTGTATCTGGGCGCTCACTGAAGTTTTCTGTAAAAGGTTTAGTGGAAAAATCGCCAAAGAAAAGCAAGGAGTATGGGAAGAACTCTGGACATAAAAAACATGGTAGTAAAAAAGGTAATTACTCTAAGTTAGAGACCCACCAGGATTTTCATGCTGAAGTTCACCAGGAGATTGGTTCCGAGAGACGCAGACTAGGTGGTGCTAAAACTAATAGTGTGGGGTTTCAGATGATCGAACAATCTGATGTAAATTCTTCTGTAGCTGGAATTTGCTCAACACATGAACCTAAGATTGTAAAACACAAGAGGGTTGATGATGTTATGGTGACGGATGAGGAAAAGCCTTCAAGGATGGTCAGAATAAAGTGTAGTAAGCCTCATTATTCTGATAGTGAGGATATCCAAAGGAATGCTGGCGAGGAGAAATCTGTAAAGGCGAAGTTGGTCATTCATCTGGGTGCTAGGAAATTAAATGTCAGTGATTCTTCCAAGTCAAATGCTGTATCTCATTTACCGAGAGACAAAGATCAGTCCTCTTTGGGTGGTATGTTGCAATCTTTGCTTCAATACGCAACTGACATGGATTTTTTTGCATATGCATTAACTGGACAACTATTCAACATTGACAAGTCTATAGTTTCTCTAACGTTCTGCTACTGATGCAATTCTGCAGGGGATAAAGTTGATCAGACGGGTGAAGTACGAACCCTGAAGATTTCTGGAAGGTTTGGGAAAACTCTATCTGAAGGAAGTAAAGCTACATTTGGGTCGATCACACAGTTTCCTGCATCAACAAGTGAAGGAAATCATGTGGATGACAAATCTGTGCAGAAAGAAGCAAGACCTCTGCTGAAATTCAAACTCAGGAAACCCAAATCGGGAGATGAGACATCTTTGGTTACAACGCAGTCTGAGGATGAAAAGCTGAGTACTGCGAAGGGTCAAAGATCAAAGAGAAAGAGACCTTCAAGCTTAGTGGACAAGGCTTCTTCGAAGGATGACGGTGAGGCTACAACACATTCTCATCAGGACAGTTCAAGGAACGATGAGATGATGGATGCTAACTGGATTTTGAAGAAATTGGGAAAAGATTCAATAGGAAAGAGAGTAGAAGTCCATGGATCTCAAAGCTCATGGTAAGTTTGATCTTCTTAACTGATGAAGCTCTTGTGTTTTGGCTTTTGCTTATTGTATCCAAATCCAAATGTCTCAACCTAATGATACATTTCTTGTTAAAGGCACAAGGGAACAGTGACAGACATCATTGGAGACACGTCCACATTGTCGGTTTCTCTAGATGATGGAAGCACCAAGACATTTGAACTTGGAAAGCACAGCGTCCGCTTCATACCTCAGAAGCAAAAGAGGTCAAGGAGTTGATTTGGAGCATCGGGCAGGGTTTTTAGTCACTAACTTTCTGCGTGCGAGCCATGAAGAATAGATTTGAGTGTTGGGGCTCATGCGTCTTAAGCTCTTTTTGATGGTAACTTATTAGTGAAGACGAAAGACGAGAAACTGTGTAGATATTGCTTGTGATATTGAAGGTAGCTACGATCTTGTTAAGGCATTGATTGGTCGTTCCCTGTAACGCACTCACTTGTTAGGTCCATACTTTTTGCAGACTCTTGTAACAATTTTCTTCAAATTCAAGTATGTGAGGGAATCTCCAGGTCTTCTTTGTTAGTAGATGGCACAAATATTGTATTACTAATTCCATTTCTCAAAGTGAAATTAAACAGGGGGTGGTGGCAAATCAATAAGAAGCCAAAATCCAACACAATCATCAGAATCCAAGTCATCTTGAATTGCAAGAAAATGCAAACCTCCACTTGCTTTCTTTGCAGATTCCCAAGCTTCAGCTTCATCAGTAGTAACAGGTGTTTTCTTGTAGGTAGCGTACACATACCTCGTCGAGATCCCAACAGCTAGAATCAAACATCCTTTGGAACTGTCTGCTTCGATCGAACATACCTCAAGACCATTCATCCAAGCTACAACGACCATGCATAAAACTCAGGATCAAAATCCTCATTACATCAAGATGGCTTTAGCAAAGAAACCACACACTTACCTGCTAGAGGTTTTGCCCGTGAAGAAGCAACAGAGAGACCAGGAATGAGTGTGTTTTCATCAACTTCAACGCCAAGCAAATCCAAGTCTAAGCTTGCACCAAACACAAACTTCTCTTCAAAGCATGAGATCTCTTCTTTAATAGCTGAGTAAGGTAACTGAACAAACGCCCATTTCTCCCCAAATAAATTCTCCGGAAGATTCATTGGAAACGGATTGTCTAGAGACAGAAGAGGCAGCGATCCCTTTTGGAAGCCCGGATGACGCGTGTACACAGTGTCGTAACGTTCTTGCAACCATAGAAACAGAGACAGACACTGCAATTTGCAGAATTTAGTTTTGTTCTTGAACTTGTTCTAAATATAAAAAATATGTTGCTCACCCTTTTACTAGGCACTGACTTTATGGCAAGCTCTTTGCAAGCTTTTGAGATAATAGTTTGCATCTGTGACCTGCAAAACCACACACACACACACACAAAAAAAACTACTTCTTTACCCAACCATTTGAAGATAGGAAACTGAACTCTGAGTTTGTCTTGTTTACCTGAAGAAGCGAATCTTCTCAGGGAGAGGAACACCCAAGTCTTGTGTGATGGAGACAATGGCGTCTTTGAGAGTAATACTGTTGATGACATTGTTTGCAAAGTATTTGGTGACTTGAAGGGAGAGGGAAGCATCGCAAACCACAAGCTCCCATATCTTTTTCCCTCTGGAATCGAGAATTGGCCTCGAGCAGAAATCCAATTCCCACTCTTTTATCCCCTCCGCGTCGGTTTCCGGATCCAGATAGCTCAGCTCCGACGTTGGATCATCTTCCTCTACTTCGTTTACTTCCTCTTGTTTGATGAAGGTCTCTTCTTTTGCAATCGAGAGTGAGCTCTCCGGTAAGGACCGAGAAACGAAACGACCGCGTTTCGAGAGGGATTCGGAGGAGGAGAGAGTCGTCTTGATGGGTTTAGTAAAAGAAGACGATCGAAGGATTCTGGGGAGTGAAGGTGTCTGAATTCGAGCCGTGTTGAAGCTTAGCGTCGCCATTGAAGGAGAACGCGCTAGGAAGAAGAAGAGAAGAAGAAGAGGATGATGTTGAAGAAATGATTTATCCTTTTCGGTTGGTCCTTTCTCAGCCACATTTGTTTTGGGAAATTTGAATTAAAAAATTACCGAATATAAATAAGTATTTTTCCTTTTTTTCGTCACTATAAATGGAGAAAAAAACAACAAAACAGAGCTTTTCAAAGTTTATGAAAACAATTGATCATGAAGAATGGAATTGAGCTACTGGTGAGACGAGTTTCAGCGATACCTAAACACTCCATTTCTTCTAGCTTCCAGTTTCTTCCTCGTTTTTGCTCATCTTCTTCTGATTCGCCCAGTTCCAAGCTATTCATCGGAGGTTCGAATGAGTAATCATATAGTTACAGTATCCATATTTACATATCTACATGATTATGAAGATTTTTAGTATTAATATGCAGGATTATCCTGGTCGGTAGACGAGCAATCGCTCAAAGACGCTTTCTCTTCCTTCGGTGAGGTTTCCCAAGGTAAGCTTCTGTAAACTCCTCCAGGTGCTCGACGAAATGTCTGAACGAGACTTTGGCTGGGACTTTTGTTGGATGTGTTAGTTTATTAACGAGTTTATAGAAGCTTGAAGAGCTATTACATACTCGAAATCATTGCCTGACACTCTTGACAATGAAATGCTTGAGTTGCAATTTTTTCCACTTTAGATTCCCTAATGTGTATGTTTTTTAGTTAGGATTGCTTACGACAAAGGAAGTGGGAGATCAAGAGGATTCGGTTTTGTTGATTTTGCAGAGGAAGAAGATGCTCTGTCTGCAAAACACGCCATGGATGGAAAGGTAAAATGCAAGAAAATTAAATATTTGTATTGTGTTATTGTGTTGCTTTCAGTATGAGTTGTGTGGTTAAGTGACTTCATGGTTACAGGGACTATTGGGTCGGCCATTGAGAATAGGTTTTGCTCTTGAAAGAGTGCGTGGTGGTCCTGTGGTTGTTCCACGTTTTGGGAAACCCAAGAGAGACGACAGATAGAGGCGCTTCAAGTGTTGGAAGCATTTTGGAGAGATCTTTCAAAGACTCTTTAACCAATTGACAAGGGTCAGCATTGTTGTATAAGCTCATGTTTGGGTCTTTGGTTTTACTTGTGGGGTATAAATCCAAACAATGCATTATACATAATACAAAATGTAGTGTGAAATACTTTGGTACAAAGTGACTTCAAAAGATAGAAAAACTGGTTGAGAATTTGGTACAAAGTATCTTATGAGTCATAAGTTATGACTTGTGCTAAACAGCTAACCAATGGTGTGTAGAATTTGGATGCACCAAGGGTATGAATGAAGAGACATTGGGTTTATTGATGAGGAGAAAGAAGAAAGAATAGGAATATGGTTGTAGAGATCAATTCAAGGTTTGTTTTTTCTCAGGCCATTGGCATCGGTTTGTTCTCTAAGAAGGATCTGAAAAGAATAAAGGCTTGACGGGGACGGTGTAGAGGCACTTCATGACCAGCTCCTACTACTGTCACTAATGTAAGCCCTTTGTACACTTGACTCCACCCTCCTACCTACAGATTCCAATGAAACACCCCTCAAAATCAATTTTCTGCTTCTATATAGATAGATACTTAACTTGAGAAAAGCTCCATATTTCTCACCTTGCCATGATCATACCATGGGTACCAGTTCGTGACAGTGGCCAGCTTCAGTGCATCTATAGAGTATCGAGTTGCGGTTACAGGAACCACCGCATCTGTATCTCCACTGCACATTACGTAGGGAGATTCAGATTGATCAAACAACCTTCATTTGTAATTAAGGGAAACATCACAAAACGTTTTCAAAATACAAATTGGTACCTGAAGACCCATATTTTGAGACCTGCAGCAATCAGTTCTCTGTATATTGGTAGCATAGAAACAGGGGAATCTGTCCAATAGCTTCCTACAATGTCACTGCAAGAGACCAACGACAACCAAAAACCAAAATTTCAATCAAAAGTATATAATACCCTTTTGATACAATCAGAAGTAGAAACTTTCTAGACCTGCATGATTTCCAAGGGTAAGTTAAGCGAGTGACATTTGCGTGTAGAGCCTTCTGAACATCCACGCGGTTAAAGTAAACATTAGAATACCTCTCTGTACATGGATCATATGCTCTTGACATCCATGGCTGAGTCAAAGTGTAGCTTTAACTCATAAGAAAAACAAAACAGAAAGGAGCAAAGATCCAAAATGTGTTCTGAATGTATGAAACTTACGTAGCGACCCTTTAAGAAGCTCTTAAGTTGCACAGTGTTGTTGCAGGGTTTGGTGAAAATGCTATACGGATCGATGTTTCCTTGCTCTAATTCGGCACTTCTCAAAGCTTCCACACACTGCAGTGAAGGATGCAGAGATGATACTGAGTAGCAAGCTGTCTTTAGTTGGTGATAAGTGGAATCTGATATGAGACCGTGATTCCACCAATACTCGAATGTTCCTATGTAATCATGATAGTCATCTGTAACAGCATTTCCCACCTGAATAAGCACACATTTAAAAATCCCAAAAGCTTACAACAATCTTGGGAAAAGTCTTGTAATTTTATCCAATCTTTACCATGAAACCTTTGAGGTTTAAAGCCGGGTTCTTGAATCCCTTGTTTCTTTCATGGACAAGTTTAGACAGTTGAGGAACAAAATGACCTGTCCAAAGAGAGAGTGAGTCAGAGAGAGACTAAAGACTAAGGCATCAGCCATTTCTGAAAATCAATGAGAAAATTGTGAAACCTGCATAGCTTTCTCCAACAATGTAGAAATCTCTATGTTTGTATTGTGGAAACCTCTCGAACCAGTTCACAAGAAACCTATATGAATCTTCAGCTGCATAATTCATCAAGATTAAGCTCAAGGAAGCCTGATGATTACAAGGTAGTAGATTCAAAGAGTAGTACCAGTTCTCTGATCACCGGTTGTGTAAAGATCCGAAGTTGTGTTTGTGTAAGAGAAACCAACTCCAGCTGGAGACTCCAAGAAAAGCAAGTTCGCCACTGGGCAGAGAGAAAGATAAACAAATCTGAATCGGAATTGTAAAAAAGAAGAGCAATTCAGAGAGTCAAGAGTATATAGAAGGATCTTACATTTGTTCCAAGCATAGAGTTTGGGATAAAGAGTTTTCCCATCAGAACCAACACGGAAAGGTCCAATTTCTTCAGCAGCACCATAAGCAACAGAGGAACAACCTGGGCCACCATTGAGCCACAGAACCAAAGGTCTAGACTTTGGGTCACGGTCCGTTGGAGACTCGACCAACCAGTAGAACAGAGCTCTTCCACGTTCTTCATTCACAGTGATGTAACCTGAGTACTGTCTGAAATCGACATTACTGGGTTGTCCAGGTAACTCGATGATCCTGTCTCTCTTTTGTTCTTCCACGTAAGTAGAGGCAAAGCATGAAGAGATTGTGAGTAAGAGAGAGAGTAGAAGAAGAGAGCAATCCATTGAAATCAGATCTATGAGAGTTAGATCTGGAACTCTGGATTCCTCAAGATTTGGAGGATTCACAGAGAGTGAGTGTAAGAAAAGGACATTAAATTTTCTTAAAGTCAAACTTACACTTGCAGTTAATAAACAGAACACTGTCTGCACCATTACTGAACTCTAAACACGCGAATCATTGATTAAAGAAATAGGACAATTTTTCTTTAAATATTTTGACATCCTTTATTTAAATCTTAACCATAATTAAATTTTATTTGCATTTGAAACTAATTTAGAAAGGATTTGTGAAAAGTGAAGCTAGTTTGTTAAAATATTTGTTTTTGTTTCTTGCATTGTTCTGTGTTTTTTAACTAGAGGTTGCTCTTTATGTATTATCTCCAACATGTATGTATATGGAGGCATAATGGAGAACATAAACTTTAACCATATTGGAAAAAAATTAGAAGAAAAGAAAAGAAACTTTTTACTCCTTCGAAACCAACAAATAAATTGACCAACTCTCTCCTCCTCGCTTTTAGCGGCCAGTTAGGATGGGCCTTTAGTCCTTTACCCGACATTATTTTGGTCTGACATGGTGGCATGCCTTGCTTTTTTAAAGGCTAGAATTTACTTGGCAGATCCTCTACCTTTACAAACAGTCACTTTTCTATAAACAAAAAAAAAAAATTGTCTTTTAGTAAATTGTGTGTTTCTACATAGTCAATTTTTTTTATAAGAAGTACAAAAAGGCATTTTTCTACATGAATATCCAAAAATTGGACTGTTTTGTCACCTTTCGATCAAAATTCATGGAGATGAACAATGTTGAAAGTTGATCTAACTCTATATCAGTTTCCAACTATTGTAGACCATTTGGATGAGAAAGAAAACAGATGAGCACAATAATCTTTTGGTTAAGGGTTGGAATTAACATCAACAGTTCACTATTCATCGATTAATTTTTCTTCACCTTAAAAGTTAAAACAAAAAAAAACAGTTCACTATTCAACGAAAGTAACAAGCTCAAAACCAAAACCGGAATGACCTTTCCTCGTGGACAATCTAGAACCGTTTGATGCTTGATCAACCAATCTATTCCTAGAACCACCTCACAGTGGTTCAATTGCATGTTTGCTTTTCTATTTTTGTCGGATGATTCTGTTTTTGATTTGGACTCAGTTTTTCTTTTATGGATTATGACAAAAATATTCAGTGTAAAAAACAAGCATTTGAATATTTGGACCGGCTTCTACAAATAGAATCAGAAAGGCCAGAAGTTTACAGTTGTGGAAATAAAGGGGTGAAATCATAAAGAAGAAAAAAGATATAGGCCCCATAAATAGAATTCGGACATAAGTAAAAAGTATCCGTGTTAAGACAGTAGTTCGTCAACTTCCAAACTTGGTTGTCTTTCTTTCCGGTCAATTTCCAAACTTAGTTTGACCCAAAAACTTGTCTTTTTTCCTTTTTTTTTTTTCCGGTTTTTATAATTTATGATTTTTTAAATTAATTTTTGATATTAATTTAACAACTGTATTAACGCTGGCATCGAATCTTTAACCCATCTCGAATTCCTTAAATTTCTTGCTAATTAAAACCCTAATTCATATTTTTCTTCTTCTGAATATTTCCCTCGTAAATGGATCGGTTTCCTTGAGAAGCAATTGTTCGTTTTGCTGACGGAGGAAGGGAAAGGAGAAGAAATTAATGGCGCGACAAATGACGTCATCCCAGTTCCACAAATCAAAGACTCTCGACAACAAATATGTAAACCTGCTTCCTTGTTATTCTGCAATTCCTGGGATTTGGGTTTTATGGCTCAGCTCTATGATTTTTGAATTCGGAATTGAAATGCGAAACCTTTAGTGGAATTCTCCGACCTTAGAACAAGCAAACATGAAAATTTGCTTGTTTGATTCGCTCCAAGGTTGATTTTTTGACTTTTGGCGCAGATGCTGGGAGATGAAATTGGGAAAGGAGCTTATGGTCGAGTTTATATAGGATTAGACCTGGAGAATGGAGACTTTGTGGCCATTAAACAAGTCTCATTGGAAAATATTGTTCAAGAGGATCTTAACACCATTATGGTTTGTTATTTTGTTCTGTCTTTATAAAACTAAATGTGATCTCTTCATCTTCTTACACTGCTTTTCTGACTGAATCCTGGTTTTACATTTTGATGGTTCTCTTCTCGGCTGTTATTGGGATGATTATTCTCCAGCAAGAAATCGATTTGTTGAAGGTAGCTTCTTTCTACCATTACACATCCTTTAGCTTTTATGCAGACTTCCTCTGTGTCTTCTAAATATTTTTAAATGCAGAACTTGAACCATAAAAACATTGTCAAGTATCTTGGTTCGTTGAAGACAAAGACTCATCTTCACATTATTCTGGAGTAAGTAATACTTTTGTGCTTATTTTGAGGACAATGGTCTGGAAATTCAAGTCCAATAATATGTGTGCAGGTACGTTGAGAATGGCTCTCTTGCAAACATTATCAAACCGAATAAATTTGGACCTTTCCCAGAGTCGTTGGTGACTGTTTACATTGCACAGGTCCGTATAAAAATCCATTTTTTCTAGTTGAGTTAAAGTTTCTTTAGAATTTGATGTACTAACTAGTGAATACAGGTCTTGGAAGGTTTAGTATATCTGCATGAGCAGGGTGTCATACATCGTGATATCAAGGGTGCTAATATTTTGACAACGAAGGAGGTGTGTGCTTTTCTCTACATTTGTTATTTTTCATGTCTCCAGATTCACAAGATTGTTCTTCCTTTGATGCTTGACTGTTCTCATACTTCAGGGTCTTGTTAAGCTTGCTGACTTTGGAGTTGCCACTAAACTAAACGAGGCTGATGCTAACACTCACTCAGTGGTTGGAACTCCTTACTGGATGGCTCCTGAGGTACACCTTTGTATAAATTAATTTTCGTATAAAATTTCTAAAAATCGACCTTGTTCTTGTTTAGACAGATGCATCTTGTTTTCTTCTTAAGAATTTTTTTTAATTGATTACTGATGGATGCCCAAATTATGTTACAGGTTATTGAAATGTCAGGAGTTTGTGCTGCTTCTGACATTTGGAGTGTTGGATGCACTGTTATCGAGCTTTTGACATGTGTGCCTCCTTACTATGATCTGCAACCCATGCCAGCTCTCTTTCGTATTGTTCAGGTGCTTCCAACATTCTTACGAGTTTGCTTTAAGTCTATAGAATTATAGGTTGTAAATCACTTCTCTCCTGAAAAAAAAAATGCAAAAGGTGTTAGACATTAATTTCAAACTATTGCCTTCTCTGGTTTGGTTTCAGGATGATAGCCCTCCTATTCCTGATAGTCTCTCTCCAGATATTACAGACTTTCTACGACAGTGCTTCAAGAAGGTATAGTTTGCTGCAACAGTGTTTAATCATTCTACATACATGTCTATCGGAACCTAGGCACTATCCAGTATTTACACCTTGCATATTGCAGGATTCGAGGCAGAGGCCTGATGCGAAGACACTGCTCTCTCACCCTTGGATACGGAACTCTAGACGAGCATTGCAGTCATCTCTTCGGCATAGTGGAACCATCAGGTGAGAGAACCTCTTTTATTTTACTTTTAACTTTTGGAGTTATCTATCTCATCTTAGGGTTTAGCACATGTGTTCCTTTGGTACTCAATCCTTTGCAGATATAAGAAGGATACTGCTTCAAGTTCAGAGAAGGATGGTGAAGGTAGTCAAGATGTAGCTGAAAGCCTCTCAGCAGAAAAAGTGGGGATGTCAAAAACTGTAAGATTTCAGAGATGAGCAGTGTAACACATTGAATCTAGAAATGAATTTTGCTAAAGCTAGTGATCCAATACTTTTTTCTTTTGTCCAGAACTCGAAAAGCAAATTACCTGCGGTTGGTGCGGGGAGTTTTAGGTCTGAGAAAGATCAGTCTTCAGCCAGTGATCTTGGTGAAGAAGGAACGGATTCAGAAGATGATCTTATGTCAGATCAAGCTCCTACTTCGTCTATCCATGATAAGTCTTCTCTTCAGTCTGGTTCTTGCAGTATATCTTCGGATGCAAAGGAAACATCTGAACATGATGAAATACCTGAAACGGAAGCTTCTGAAGGTAGAAGAAACACTTCAGCAGCAAAGCATGTTGGAAAAGAAAGTTCCAACCAGGCGGAGCAGAGATCACATAGCTTTAACCGGAAAGGCGAAGATCGTGGCCATAGAAAGGTCAGTTGTGTTCTTAAGTCATTCTCGTTCTAGCATTTACTTAGAAAAACATGGCTGATTTGTTTGTTGTTATATCTATCTTTAAAGGCTGTCAAGACTCAATCTAGTTTTGGTGGGAACGAGCTGACTAGATTTAGTGATCCTCCTGGGGATGCTTGTTTGCATGATTTGTTTCATCCACTGGAAAAAGTTCCTGAAGGAAAGCCAAAATTAGCCTTGACGTCGATGCATACGTCAAATGTCAGTCAGGGTGACTCTCCTGTCGCAGACGGTGGGAAGAATGACCTGGCAACAAAGTTGAGGGCAAGAATTGCTCAAAAGCAGATGGAGGGTGAAACAGGGAATTCAAATGATGGCGGTGATCTTTTCCGCTTAATGATGGGTGTTTTGAAAGATGATGTTATTGACATTGATGGCTTGGTATGCTCTGTCTCAAGTGTCCATGTTTTTTTATCATTCAAGTAGTATACTGTTAACATTTTTTTTTCTCAGGTATTTGATGAAAAAGTACCAGCGGAGAATCTTTTTCCTCTGCAGGTATTCTACAAATTTATGTTATGCTACTTGTGAAACTGTGGCTTCTTAGTATTAATTGGTTAAGTTTCTTTAGGCAGTTGAGTTCAGCAGATTGGTGAGCTGTTTAAGGCCAGATGAAACAGAAGATGCAATAGCAAATTCTTGTCAGAAACTTGCTGCCATGTTTCGTCAGAGACCTGAGCAGAAAGCAGTGTTTGTGACACAACATGGTTTCCTCCCTCTTATGGATCTACTTGATATTCCTAAATCTCGAGTAATGCTGCCTTTCTTCATCAGTAGTTGTCAGTTCGATGTGAATAATACCAACTGGCTTATGCTTGTGAAATATTTTCTGGTGTTTTCAGGTAATATGTGGCGTGTTGCAGCTGATAAACGAAATTATAAAAGATAACATCGACTTCCAGGAAAATGCTTGTCTCGTTGGTCTTGTAAGTCTTACTTTTAACTGGTTGCTGACTTAGTGAATCACCATTAGTTCCATCAAAGGCTCATACCATATGTCTACATTTCTATCTTAAATGTCAAATTATATCACTCAAGTTTTCTTGATGTACTCAAATAGTAAACTCTGTTTGCTTTGATGTGACAAAAAAATCCCATGAAAATTGATTATTCCAAGTGAAATGGCAGATTCCTGTGGTAATAAGTTTTGCTGGCCCTGAGAGGGAACGTTCTCGAGAAATTCGTAAGGAAGCAGCCTACTTCTTGCAGCAGCTTTGTCAGTCAAGGTTATGAGTCATCAAACATTTATAAATTTGCTTCTCTTAAATCTTTCTTCTGTAAGTCATAGCGTTGATTTGGTAGCTTCTTTGCAGCTCCTTAACATTGCAAATGTTCATAGCTTGCCGTGGAATACCCGTTTTGGTGGGATTTCTTGAAGCAGATTATGCCAAATACAGGTGGGTTTGGGCTTTGGACTACTCTCAGTATACAAGTGCAGAAGTAATGTGATAAATATGTACTAATTTGATCTTATCTTCTGTCCAGGGAGATGGTTCACTTAGCTATTGATGGGATGTGGCAGGTGTTTAAACTCAAAAGATCGACTCCAAGAAACGATTTCTGCCGTATAGCTGCAAAGAATGGGATTCTTCTTAGGCTAATCAACACTCTTCATAGCTTAAACGAGGCAACTCGACTGGCTTCTATGTCAGGAGGCGCATTGATTCCTGATGGTCAAACTCCACGAGCAGGCTCTGGTCAACTCGACTCAAACAATCCTATGTTTAGTCAGCATGAGACTTCATTCAGTGTCTTTGATCATCCTGATGTGTTGAAAACTAGGCATGGAGGTGGTGAAGAGCCTTCTCATGCTTCAACTTCAAATTCTCAAAGATCAGATATTTACCAACCAGATGGCTTGCACCTAGATGGTGATAGGCCTAGATTAAGCAGTGTTGCACCAGATTCCACGGAAGATGTTAGACAACAGCAGCAGCAGCATAGGATCTCTCTCTCTGCCAATAGAACATCGTCGACAGATAAGCTTCAGAAGCTGGCAGAGGCTGTGTCTAATGGCTTTCCTGTTACTCAGCAAGAACAAGTCCGGCCTTTGCTTAGCTTGTTGGAGAAGGAACCTCCTTCAAGACGTTTTTCTGGTCAATTGGATTACGTAAAGCACATCTCTGGCATGGAGAGACATGAAAGTAGACTTCCTCTTTTGCATTCTTCAATCGACAAGAAAACCAATGGAGGAGGAGACCTTGATTTCCTGATGGCCGAATTTGCAGGTAATTTTCAATGTTCTCAAGATTGTAAACACACATGGAATCTTATTCATTACAATGTTTCTTCAGAGGTCTCTGGACGTGGAAAGGAAAACGGAAATCTTGATGCTACGCATAGATATTCCAGTAGAACGATGACAAAGAAGGTTATGGCTGTTGAAGGGGTCGCTTCCACATCTCAGACAGCATCTGGTGTACTGTCAGGTTCGGGTGTTCTAAATGCTAGACCTGGAAGTGGCTCATCATCTGGTTTACTTGCTCATATGGTCACTACGTTGAGTGCAGACCTCGCAAGAGAATACCTGGAGAAAGTGGCTGATCTCCTTCTTGAATTTGCTCGAGCTGAGACCACAGTAAAGTCATACATGTGCAGCCAAAGCTTACTCAGTCGTCTTTTCCAGATGTTCAATCGTGTAGAACCTCCTATTCTCTTAAAGGTACTGGTTCTTCTTCCTATTCGAAGCTTGGATGTGTGGTTTAGAGGATGTTCAGGTCTCATGCTTACAATGTCTTTTGTTTTGGTCAGATACTGCAATGCACCAATCATTTATCCACTGATCCGAATTGCTTGGAGAATCTTCAGCGTGCAGATGCAATCAAGCACTTGATCCCTAACCTTGAGCTTAAGGATGGGAATCTTGTTTGTCAGATCCATCATGAGGTTGTTGTTACCTTCTTGACTTGTATAGAGATAGCTTTCATCTGTCGGATTCTTGGATTCTTGTTCTTGTCTTGATACCATCCGTTTCTAAATTGGTAAACTTTTGTGTAGGTCCTGTGTGCACTATTCAACCTGTGCAAGATAAACAAGAGGAGGCAAGAACAAGCGGCTGAGAATGGAATCATACCACACCTGATGCTTTTCGTCATGTCGGATTCTCCTCTGAAACAGTACGCATTGCCACTACTGTGTGATATGGCTCATGCGTCTCGGAACTCAAGAGAGCAGTTAAGGGCTCACGGCGGTCTGGATGTTTACCTGAGTTTGCTCGACGATGAATATTGGTCCGTGGTGGCCTTAGATTCAATTGCTGTCTGCTTGGCGCAAGACAATGACAACCGCAAGGTGGAGCAGGCGTTGCTCAAGAAAGATGCAATTCAGCAATTAGTTGACTTCTTCCAGAGCTGTCCAGAGAGACACTTTGTCCACATACTGGAGCCATTCTTGAAGATTATCACGTATGTATTAACTATGAGTGAAGTTACCACTTTATGTCTTCTTTTAAAACAGAGCTAATCCTTCTTCTTGTTGAATCCTAACAGGAAATCATCTCGGATCAATACGACATTGGCTGTAAATGGATTGACTCCGTTACTAATTTCAAGGCTAGACCACCAAGATGCAATTGCTCGGCTTAACCTCTTGAAACTCATAAAGGTAAAACAGATCATTCGACTGTTCAAGTTCTTGTTCTGTGTGGTTATGTGTATGTGTCGTTGAGTGTGTTATTTTTTTGGCGATGATTGAAACAGGCTGTGTACGAGCACCATCCAAGGCCAAAGCAGCTGATAGTAGAGAACGATCTACCTCAGAAACTGCAGAATCTGATAGAGGAGCGACGTGATGGACAACGTTCAGGAGGTCAAGTTCTGGTCAAGCAAATGGCAACATCACTCCTCAAAGCACTTCACATCAACACCGTCTTGTGAGCCTGCAAAACCAACCTCTACGACCTTAACTTAACTGATATTTTAATTTAATTTATTTATAATCATAAACAAAATTGAACCAATTAAATGTCGACAAATGTCTTTTGGTTCTCAAATAATCTCTTCTCACTCCCTCTCAGAGCATCATCAGCACAAATTTCATGCACTTTAAATATTTAACTATTAAAAAAACACAATTTTTGAGGAAAAACCTATTTTCAAAAAGAAAAGAAAAACAAAAACAAAAAGAAGACACATGAAATAACGTCATGTGTTCAATTTAGGTCAGAGTCGATTCTTCCCACAGAGACAATTCAACAGAAAGCTTATGCCACATTATTTCTAACTTCATTTTTTCTTTATTTTTCGTTTCAGAAAATTTGCAAAATCTGTGCATTGAGGATGCTCTCATCACTTTTGATTTTTTTCCTTCTTTTATTGTGAGAAACTCATGAGAACCGGAGCTTTTAATATCTATTATCCAAAATAAAATAAACAATAATATAGCTCAATTTTTATTTAATAATAACAAAATAAATAAATAAATAGTATTGCCGCAAAGTAAAAAGTATAAACACAAAACCATCCGAACAGGAAACATATATTCCCATTTGTACAAAGTATATAGCTCAATGCATTTTATCTGCCTTCGGAGTTGGGACTATACATTTATTCCCAATTTTTTTGCAGGAACAAGTGTATATCTTATTCTTCTTTTTCCATTTACAAAAGTTTTGTAATTGTTGGGTTGTGTGGCTCACTTGTGTTTTCTAGTCTCCGAGAGATGTCAACACTTCTGGTTTCTGCAAATATATTCCTCTAATAAAGTATTTCTATAGAGGATATTTTCTTGTGATGTTTTATATTTTTCATCTATCCTCCAGGTCCTTATCTGATATTTTCCAACTATTTTGATTTAATTTATTAATAATCATAAACAAAATTGAACCAATTAAATGTCGACAAATGTCTTTTGGTTCTCAAATAAATATCTTTTCATTCCCTCTCAGAGCATCATTAACACACGGTTCATGTTCATAAACTCTTTAAATATTTAACTATTAAGAAAAACAAGATTTTTGAGGAAAAAATTATTTTCAACAAGAAAAAAAAAAAAGAAGACGAATGAAATAACGTCATGTGTCCAATTTGGGTCAGAGTAGATTCTTCCCACAAAGACGATTCAAGGGAAAGCTTATGCCACATCATTTCTAATTTCATTTTTTTCGTTTAACATTTGCAAAATTTGTGCATTTATCACTTTTGATTTTTTCCTTCTTTTATTGTGAGAAACTCATGAGAACCCGGAGCTATGTTTCTTTTAGAGGAATATATTTTATAATATATCACTTCTGGTTTCTATAATATATTCCTCAAGAAAGTATATCTTTTAGAGGAATTTTTCATGTGATATTTGATTTTTTTAAGTAACGTTGGCGAGATATGATTTAAATGAAATGCTAATTTTGTCATTCTCTCAACAGATCTTTCCAGTCTAAATTATGTATGTATCATGTTAAAGATTGTGATTTAATATTTTCCAATTCATAATATCAATAGTATTTCTCTTCAGTCGATTAGGTTTCTCACATGGATTTGTTTTGGTAATCTGTTTTCTCTTTGATCTATTCTATTGTACTGAGGATGAGGAATTAGACTCTATGCCATGTTTGGTGTTGCAGTGGAATTAGTTATGTGTGATTGACAGTGCATAAGCGACAATAAGCATGTTTAACAGTGCGTAAACATGCTTGAGAGTTTGGAATTAGGACATGCTTGAGAGTTTAAATTTAGTTCAATGTCGTAACGAACATACATATGCTGCTTATTGAGTTTAATAATGCAGAATGCTTAAAATTTGCAGTATAAGAATTTGGCCACCAAATATTTTCATTTCCGTCGATGCGGCCACCTCCTTCAACACGAAGGTTATCGACATTCTCGAACACAATCCAGTGCCTACGTTCCTTGTAGTCTGATGGATTTTTCCATGCCTCAAATCTAATTCACACTCACAATAATTATAAATAATTAAGATGATGAAACATTATACCAGAGTTATAAATTTATAATGCATTGGTTTATATCATACCTTATAAAAAACAATCAAGGATAATTGACATGGACCGGAGAATTTAACCGGTTTTGGATCGTAAGCTGTGCTATTCGGGAACGAGGACACAAATTCTGGTTGACGAACAAGCTGCTTCCTAAGCTTTCATAAATGCCTACGACTCAAACATATATTTCATTTCTTCCTTTAACAATAACTGCTGAAGGAGAAGATCTAGGAGCCTATGAATATCCCATGGCGATTTTTCATGTGACACTGTTGCGTGTAATGTGGCCATGTAGATGTTCAGTTTTCACGAAAAACGAAAGGATCATATCTACAAGCGAAATCGAAAAAAGGATGAAGAGGATTGTTAATAAGATACATTTTTTTTGTGTTTGTGTGGGAGTGGTTCTCTCAAAGGTGGATTAAGGTTGGGTATCACGTGGCAGGAGTGATGATGAGGAAAGAAATGACAAAGGAGTGATAATGTGTGTTCCGAAAGTGCTTATATTTATCGAGCTGAGAGGAGGCCAAAAAAAGAATAGTAAATATTTGTTTGCTAAGAAAAGGAGACAAATTTAAAAATTATATGTTGAAAGAGATTTAGAACAAGTTTATTTTCCTATCGTAGAAAATCAGAGGAAAATGTTCGGTACAAATCCTCACTTTTATTGGTCCCCACTTTTATTCGTTATTCCACTCTACTGGTAGACTTTAGGTCCAAAGCCATATTTTACTACAAAATACAGAGGTTGTAAGGATTACATTACGAAGAACACATTACGAAGTGTACTCAGGACAATATCTCATTAATCCATCCTACGTCCACTACAAAAGAGAAGCATTAATCCATCCTACGTGGGGGCTATTGGATCTGAGATAACTCGGGCATCAAGCGGAGCTCCAAAAGTAGGTGGTTCCAGACCCTTGATTTTCGCATCCATCGTCACAGCTTGCCTATACTCTCGGTCCGCAGCTACTAAATCCCAACCAGTGGACTTGCCCTCAACCCAATCTCGCATAAGCTCCCATCTCGCAACGACCATACCCCAGCTTTCAGCATAAACCACCTCTTCTTTTGAGGAATCCTTCACTTGACGAAGCTCTTCTTTGGAAGAAGAGTTCTCCTTCCCCAAAGTGATGTAATCAGCTTTCATTTTGGCCACTTCCGCTTCAAAGCCCTCCACCTTCCTCTCAAACTTTGCCATGCATGCATCCTTAGAAGCAATTGCAGAATCAGCATTTTTCACACTCTCTCTCTCAATACTGAGCTCCTGACGCAAACCAGCAACCAGATGACGTTCATGCTTCAGTTCTTCTGTGAAAGACGACGACTGGCCTTGGAGGTGGTGACACAAGGTACTGGCCTGCAGTGTGAAAAAAAAGCTCAAACAGTGAGTAAACGTAAAAAAACAAAGTCAATCGTATAAGTTACATCGTGACCAGATCTTAGTGCTAGCTACCGTTTGAAGGCTGGACTGAAGTCTCTCTAGACCGACGCTCATTCCGACATCTTTCAAGGACTCTGACAACTCGGATTTTGTTGTTCCTCCAGCAGACGCAGAAGGGTTCAGAGAAGCTACTGCCTCGGATTGAGATGACAACGGCATCCCATCACTATCACTGTAAGTAGCTTTAGGTCCTCGTGTTATCGAGAGAGTAGTCGTAGCCTCAGGAGTCTTGCGCTTACCATTGATGCCTAGTGCATCATCGCTAGAAGTTGGCCCCTGCGAATGTTCTGATTTGTTGAGCTTAGCCTCGCCTGCTTTCATGAACAATTGGAAGGCTCTATCTCCTAGCCCAGGTTGATTCGCCATGATATCGTAGCCTAGGAACAAAAAAGGCAGAATAAATCAGTTGTAGTAATGATCCTAGAGGAATCTACAACTAAATTTTGATAAAATAGCAACCAGTTATAGTTCATTTTTTGAAGGTTACATACAGCATGGTAAAGCCAACATCCCATGAGGAAAGCCATTTATTACACCACAAACGGTAACCGTAGCTTAAACATGACCATGACCATGACCATAACGAGAAAATCAATCGACAAGGTTCTAATAAAAAAAAGAACAATCTACAATCTACAAAAACATCCACACGGTGAATAAATACAGTCGTCTCTCTAGAGACACTAAAAGCTATGCGCCCATATAAAATAGTCTAGAAGATTATATTCACCTATGCTAAAGGCAAAGCGCGTAGTTTCATCTACGCCTCATAAGTAAAGACAATCGAAGAGAGATTGTCTAACCCCGGATAGTAGTCACAGGAAGAACAAACTCGCTGGTCAGGAATTCCACACAACGATGTTCGACGGGATGCTCGGTCACCTTGTTAGCCTTACTTTCTCCTGATTCGCAACGTCCGGTGAGAATGACTGCAGGAGACACAAAAAAAAAAAAAAAAAAAAAAAGAAAAAAATTAATGAACCTGAAAGCTCCTGTGAACACATGAACATAATAGGTACGTCTACCTCGCCGGTGCCAAGAAATAGGAAAGCCCGGATTAGTACTGACTTTCATGAACAAGTATCTTTTCTTCCAATCACGGTCAAGAGGTTCAGGGCTGGCGCGAACCAGAGGAGTCTGGCGTGGATGCATCTTAAACCTGCTCTCCTCTTTTGAGCAGTTTCTAAGGCTATACGCGTATAGAATCGCATCTAATCCAATCTCAACAGAGAACAACTCTCCAAAAGCTTGAATAGCAATCAGTGTCGCCCACATTGTCGGAGAGAATTGGCCAGGAGAGACCTTGAGGAGTGCAGCAACTTCAATTACTAAAGATGGAATCACTTCTCGTAGACCTGATGCGAAGAAATCTTTGTAAACGACAATTTCGTCACAGCCAGCTCCATCAGCTCGCTCTCCCGGCAATGGAACTCGTAAAAAGATGCTCTCCGATAAGCCGTAGTCGAGTTTGATCCCCAGAAGATCTATCGTCTTTAAAATTGAAGCAGGGTTCTTCTCAACCACAGGTGTAGGCAAATCGCACGCCGGTTCAATAACTAGTGTTTCTGAGGCTCTACGTACCCGTTTCGATGGCTTCCGTCTACTATTCAGCTCCAATGGATACGAACCCTTGGCGCTTAAGTCACTTTCACTATCAGATTCTATTATTGTCACCCCAACCCTATCGTCTAAATCACAAGTACGCACTAATGACGACAGATCACTCATGGCTGACAAGGGTTCTGGACCTTTAAAAAAAAGTTCGTTTGAGCAAGCTCACCTATTTTGGTCGAACCGGTCAAATTGCCCAGATGCCCAACGAGGTTACACACTGAAAATCACGCATCCTGCAAAGATAAAACAATATAACGAATCATCATTAGCGGAGCTGAAAGAGTAAAAGGATTCAATTCATGGGAGCAAAATTACGAGGAAAATTAGCGGTGAAACAACATCAATCGAATTGAAGTTGCGAGAAATCCAACAAAAGTATAACAGCAAGTAAAATCAGATGCGAGAGAGGTTGGTTATATATGCTGTGGAAATGAGCCAAACTGAGAACTTAGATTGGTAAAGCTAAAGGGAAATGACACTTACAGAAGATGAGGGGTAAAATAACGGAAAGAGGAACGGACGTAACTAGAGCAAACAAGAAGAAACTGAAAGCTCACAACTACAAAGCAAGTGACATTGAAAGTATATATACGGAGGCGGAGCAAAAAGAAGAAGAAGATAACAGTGCATCCAACACTCCAAATGTCAGAAGCAGCACAAACTCCTGACATTTCAATAACCTGTAACATAATTTGGGTATCCATTAGTAATCAGTCAAAAGTTTTCTAAACAAGAAAACAATATGCAAACTTTGACATTTGGAATAAAGGTGTACCTCAGGAGCCATCCAGTAAGGAGTTCCAACCACTGAGTGAGTGTTAGCATCAGCCTCATTTAGAAAGAATGGTGTTAAGATCCTCTTGAACAATATTTTCCAATGAGACATATTTAATGGCCACAAAGTCTCCTCCATTCTCCTATATAAACTCGACCATAAGCTCCTTTCCCTATTTCATCCTCAAACGCATCTTCTGCTTCTTCCATTTTTCTCTCCTTCAAATTCTGGCTATTGGATTCTCGTAAAACCTTGCAGAGATCTCTCCGTTTCTTCCTCATCGCTTGAACAGTTCTCTCTGCGGTTCGCAAATCAGACAATTTAGCATTCTAGAAACCTCTGTTTGGGTTTTAAACTGACTAAAAGCAGCGACGGATGATATAGCAAGAATCCAAACTTCAGTCTTTCAAACAGCAAGGTTGTACCAAAGACAGAGGAAAGCTGTCTCTATACAAGCCAAGAAGGTAACCTCAAACAGCATGGTTGTAGCAAGACGGAGGAAAGCTATCTCCATGCCTTTAACGTATTCCAGTTGACCAGATTAACGTCTTGAAGGAGGTTCTTTCTCCAACAAGCTAAGCAAAGGCCGGACTTGTTCTGGCTGAGTAACAGGAAAACCATCAGACACAGCCTCTGCCAGTTTCTGAAGCTTATCTGTCGACGTTCTATTGGCAGAGAGAGAGAGAGATGCCCTATGGTGTTGTTGTCTAACATCTTCTGGTGCAACACTGCTTAATCTATAAATGTAGATATGATTCTGTAATGGATGTTTAAAATGGATGTTTGACATTTAAGATAGAAATGTAGATATGATTCTGTAATGAAACAAATTGGCCTTATACACTACTCGTGAGTCACTAAGTCCGCAACCAAGTGAAAAGTAAGACTTACAAGACCAACGAGACAAGCATTTTCTTGGAAGTCGATGTTATCCTTTTATAATTTCGTTTATCAGCTGCAACACGCCACATATTACCTGAAAACACCAGAAAAGATTCACAAGCATAAGCCAGTTGGTATTATGCACATCGAACTGACAACTACTGATGAAGAAAGACAACATTACTCGAGATTTAGGAATATCAAGTAGATCCATAAGAGAGAGGAAACCATGTTGTGTCACAAACACTGCTTTCTGCTCCGGTCTCTGACGAATCATGGCAGCAAGTTTCTGACAAGAATTTGCTATTGCATCTTCTGTTTCATCTGGCCTTAAACAGCTCACCAATCTGCTGAACTCAAGTTCGCTTCTGCAAACAGAATTGACTATTTGAGACATCAAGAAAACTTGAGTGATAAAATGCTGTTAGCTGTTAAAACTGGATGTTTGACATTTAAGATAGAAATGTGTAGACATATGGCATGAGCCTTTGATGGAAATGTTTTTGCCAAATTCACCCTACTATACCAAGGAACTAATGGTGATTCACCAAGTCAGCAACATTCACCAGCAACGATGAGGAAGAGAACTGTTCAATGGTGATTTGCGAACCGCAGAGAGAACTGTTCAAGCGATGAGGAAGAAACGGAGAGATCTCTGCAAGGTTTTACGAGAATCCAATAGCCAGAATTTGAAGGAGAGAAAAATGGAAGAAGCAGAAGATGCGTTTGAGGATGAAATAGGGAAAGGAGCTTATGGTCGAGTTTATATAGGAGAATGGAGGAGACTTTGTGGCCATTAAATATGTCTCATTGGAAAATATTGTTCAAGAGGATCTTAACACCATTATGGTCTGTTGATTCTATCTATCTTTGTTATTTTGTTAAGTAAAATATTGTTCAAGAGGAACATGTCTAGAAAATTCATTATTAAGTAACAGATGGAGGATAGCTCAATTTTTTTTCTAATATTACCAAAACAGATAAAGTAAATAATATTGTCGCAAAGTATAAACACAAAACCGTATAAACAGAAAAAATTCTTAAAAGAGTCGCAGTATAAACACAAAACTGATCTAAGTTACTCTTTCCTATGAAAGAAGTTTGTAATGGTTCAAATGGTTCTTGTAGTCCAAACTTTTTCCCCGACCCAATCCCACTTTGAATTATCCGGCTTCAGTTAATTGAATATAATCCTTGTCTGTTACAAAATACCAATAATGGTTTGCTTCGAAAAATTGATGTACACACTTCTCAGCACTAATCATATCATTAGCATACACGTCAAAGTCTATGATGAGAAAGCGCTAAAGTTCTAATGCATTGTTTTCAATGTGGGGGAGTTAAAAACTCCTCAAATACCTCTTGCTATGTAGGGTTGGACCATAGGCACTTGTAATCATGCAAGTTTGTCATTTTGCAGATAATAAGCATGTTTAAGAGTGCATAAATCGTGCGGCTTGAGAGTTTGAAATTAGTTCAATGTCCCTCTTACATTAGTGAAAGAACAAACATATGCTGTTTTATAGTCATGGTGAAACATGTTGACGCATGTCAACATACAAATTACCTATGATATTATTATAAATTTAACGCGAAAAATTTAAGTAAAAAATGCATACTAATGTTTGTGTGGTAAAGAAGAGGAAATGTTCAATACTTTCTTAATATTTGATTCTACATTTTTATGATTTTGCATATTTTTAGTGATAAATTTATGTATATTTTATATTTTATAAACTTTCTAAATGTTCAATACTTTCTAAACCCTTTGGCTAATGGTTTCGGTGCTTCCCAACTTTTTCCAAGATCCAATTCATGCGGCTAGTTTAGGGTTTTGTATGTGAAATACCTGATTCGTTTTCCATCCCCAAGCTTCTTAACCGGAGAAGCTCTGGAACTATATCCTTTCCAAGATCTGGTCTATCTTTCTTCCTTAGCTTCTTCGACAGGTCAATCAGTCACGACCGGGTCAAGCATATCCTTGAAAGTTCCTTTATCGATTGCCCTCGACACATGATGAGCCAAGCCCATTGGACTCTTAGCAGTGATGATCTGAAGCAGCATTATCCCTAACGAGTATATATCTGATTTCGTCGCTAACATCCCCGTTTGCTGGTACTCAGGGTCTATGTAACAGAACGTTCCTGCCGCAGATGTCATGTGATATTGCGTGACGTTATTAGCCACTGACGCAGGGACTAACCGAGCTAATCCAACGTCACTGATCTTGCTCACATAGTTTCTATCTATTAGTATATTGGCTGGTTTTAGGTCACGGTGAACCAGAGGTTCTGGCTTTGTTTGGTGAAGGAAAGATAACGCCATAGCGATCTCTGCTGCAATCTGAAACCTTTTCCTCCAAGAAAGAGGCGGCGAGTTTCCTCTACGAAAGAGTCTATCCTCTAAGCTCCCATATTCCATTAACTCATACACCAAGCAACCATATTCCGGACAAAGCACCAAGTAGAAGAACCATGTGAGGATGTCTTATGCAACTTAGAACCTCGACTTCTTGGTTAAACTGCTTCTTCCCTTGAGCAGCATCAGGTCTCAAGACTTTAATGGCCACAGGAGTGTGATCAAGCGTGCCTTTATACACTGGTCCGTATCCACCTTCTCCTATCTTTCTGTTGTTTGCAAAATTATCAGTAGCTTCTTCAATCTCTTCTATGGAGTATTTTCTGTACCAAAGCACTAATAGCACGGTCTTTCTCCTGCGATTCTCTTCTTGCTTTCATCTCTGCTTGCTTCCTTCTCTCTCCTTCCAATCCCGCCATTCTCTGAGCTTTCTCAGCTGCTTCCAATGCAGCTCTGCACTTAGCCTTCTCCATCTTCGCAACAGCAAGAGCCGCCTCTTCAGAACTCCTAGCTTCCTCAAATCTTCGAGCTTCTTCCATTTTCCACTGATTAAGCTCATGTGCCTAGAGAAAACGTAAGAGCCAAGAAAGTATTAGACAGAGCAAGAAAACATTCTTTATCAAGTATCAACTAGCTAATTTTTTCTTACCTTCTTTCTTGAAGTAAGTGCTTCTTTGCAAGCTGAGCTATACATGTTCATGGTTTGCCTGAGCTCAATCTTTAACCTTTTCATCTCAGCTTCAACATCTCTCTGCAAATAATCATCCAACCAACTATTTAGTTCTTACTTCTTTAACACAATTTATCATAAAAGTTATAGTTCTACTGTTAACATACAGTTGACTGTGGAATTGACTCATCAGAAGAAGCAGATCCACCTCCCATGATACCAAAAATTACGAGCAGTTATATCAATGGATCCCATCATGAGAGATCCACCATCCGATTCATCTGAAACCGAACTATGACCACCAGAGTTCCTCTGACCCTTTGCCGGCTGAAAATCATGATGAAAGTTCATTGATCCATTTGTAGGACTTCTGAGCCTTTCTCTCCCTGCTTTGAAGCCGTTATCATGATTAGGAATAACGTTAGGACTTCCTCATTACTGTCCCTGAAGAAACGTGTTGAGGCAATTGCCCGGCTTAACCTTCTAAAACTCATAAAGGTAAATGGATCAATCGACTATTCAAGTTCTTGTTCTGTGTCGTTATGTGTGTCGTTGAGTGTGTTATTTTTTTGGCGATGATTGAAACAGGCTGTGTACGAGCACCATCCAAGGCCAAAACAGCTGATAGTAGAGAACGATCTACCTCAGAAACTGCAGAATCTGATAGAAGAGCGACGTGATGGACAACGTTCAGGAGGCCAAGTTCTGGTCAAGCAATTGGCAACATCTCTCCTCAAAGCACTTCACATTAACACCGTCTTGTGAGCCTCCAAAACCAACCTCTGCCTTCGGAGTTGGGACTATACATTTATTCCCATTTTTTTGCAAGAACAAGTGTATATCTTATTCTTCATTTTCCATTTACAAAAGTTTTGTAACTGTTGGGTTGTGTGGCGGACTTGTGTTTTCTAATCCCCCAGAGATGTCAACACTTCTTGTTTCTTCAAGAAAGTATTGTTTTTAGAGGATTACGGAACATGTATAGAAAATTCATTATTAAGTAACAGATGGAGGATAGCTCGTTTTTTTTAATAATAACAAAACAAATAAAATAAATAATATTGTCGCAAAATATAAACACAAAACCGTCTAAACAGAAAACACTCTTAAAGAGAGTCACAGTGTGAAAAGATAGACAAAGTATCTCAAATCCAAGTGGAATCCAAACTGATCAAAGTATAGTATACTCAGGCTTCGGACGCCTAATGTCATTCAACTGTTCCAGCCTATCGTGGTGGTCCATCTTTTCTTTCAGGGCGCTCGGACACATCCCGACTTACAACACCTGCTAAATCATGACGACAACCTTCTTCATGAGAACTAGAACCAGAACCAGCAGCAAAACATTCAGGAAAACCAGCAGCAAAACAACAAAGATCAACACATCCACGTCCAGCAGGCTGATGAGAATGACAACTGGCTACAACAGTATACTAACTTTGGTGTTGGCTACGATGACTACAACGAGCAGCAGGATGATAATGGTGGCAACCAGCAGTAGTATGAAAAGTATACAATCACTTCTAACCAATATCGAGCAGAACATCGAAGAGGGGCTTTGTATACCAAATAATATATTTTTCCAATTCATAACCGCAAAACGCTATTAAATGCCCATATTTAACATCATAGCCATGACTATAAAGCAGCATATGTTTGTTCTTTTACTAATGTAAGTGGACAATGAACTTATTTCAAACTCTCAGGCATGTACTATTTATGCACTGTTAAACATGCTTATTATCTGCAAAATGACAAACTTCAGACCCTATATAGCAAGAGGTATTTGAGGAGTTTTTAACTCCCAATGCGTTGGAACTTCAGCGCTCTCTCATCATAGTTTTTATTTGTTTTGTTATTATTATATAAAAAATTGAGCTATATTATTGTTTATTTTATTTTGGATAATAGATATCAAAAGCTCTGGGTTCTCATGAGTTTCTCACAATAAAATCAAAAGTGATGAGAGGGAGTGAGAAGAGATTTATTTGAGAAACCAAAAGACATTTGTTGACATCTGGGTTTTGGTGCTCAGCACATTTGTCGAAACCAAAAGACATTTGTCCCAGCAAAGTTCAATTTCAATACCATCTTGCTAATGGTTTTGGTTCGTCCCACCTTTTTCCAAGACTCAATTTCTGAGTGAACTTTGCGGCTAGGTTTGTTTGAAAGCTGGATTCAGTCTCTCTCTAGTAACGAAGTACCACTAATATCTCCTTGCGAAAAACTGATGCATCATTGCCTGCTCCGCGCTAATGGGATTGTTAGCATACATATCAAATTAGTGTTTTTCTATTTCTATTGAAATTGTGCTTGGTCAAATACACCTATAGAAATGAGACATATTTAAACAATTACGAAGTCCATCGCATTTGTTTCACTTCTAACCAAGCTCATATTCCCTAATTATAATCTTACAATCCCACTTCATCAATAAACCTTCATAACGTTTCAAACCATATCTTAATCTTAGTAGCTAATATTTCATAACATGGACTGTATTGATACTCTATATATAATACAAAAATATAGAGAAAAAAGACTGAAATCAATGTTTGTTCTTGGGGATCAAAAGCGATCAAGTGCAAAGAGGAGAAACACGTCCTCGGGTGTCCAACTTCACATTGGAGCAAGAAGCTTTGGAGACATCTTGCTGAGTTTGATCAACCAATTTAACGTTTTGCATTGAAATGCCTCGACATGGAATGCTCTTGCTGCATTCAAATTTCACGGCTATGGGTCTTGAGCTCGTCCCTTGGATGTTTTTGTACAACACATTGCTCACTTGTACCGCCGATTTCTGACATGTATCCCATTTCAGCTTTATTATTCTTATTATTACTCCAATTGTGTTGAAAAGATTTTGTTACTTTGGTTCAAACCTGTTCGGGACATGATTCAACACGATCACAATAATCCTGGTTGATGATTATTGGGTTTGTAACGTTTTTCATTATGATGTCTTGGAATATGATGTTCTTTGCCATTCCATGTCCTCCCTAAATAAACATCATATTAAGTTTTATAAATAGATAAAGATAGTATTGATAAATTAATAGTGTTGGGGATTTACCTGCCAAGTCTTGATTCTCACTCCATTCGTGGTTCCTATAAGAGTCGCTTTGTTGACTACCACATTTGAAACATATGCTTCTGAGTTATCTTCTCCCAAACTCCCAATGCTATTTTTATTCAAGAAAAATCCAAAAAATATCAGTAGTATATTAAGATATTAATTAGTCTTTAGTCTTTAGTCTTTACATTGGCCTTTTATATATATATCTTAAGCTCATAAAGATCTTATTTTTTGTTAAAATCGGTGGGTATACTTATTGGATTGAAACAGTGCATTTATCTTTACTCGTCTATGCATAACTTGTAGCATCGACTGAGTTTGAGCATCAATTTTATATTGTTTTCTGTTTTTTGAAATTTTTTTGTTGATTTCAAGTGGATAAAAATTAGCTGATAATTAAGAAGAACAGTTAGTTGATTCTAGTTGACAAAAGTTTAGGTGAAATTAGGGAGAGAGATGGTTAGACCTGATTCCATGACCAGGCCCGCATGTAATGCCCGTCGCTCTCACATTCTCCGACCCACTCACTATCGATATACAATCATCACCTTCATCACCAAAAACAAACCCAACACATTTCTATTTATTATCCACAACAAAACAAACAATTTTGTTACTAATTTGTTTTTTTTGTCCTTTAAATAGTAAGGGGACGAACGAAACATATTTGTAACCCCTATGTAAAAATAATAATAAAAATGTAAATTTCATTAAATAAATATTTTACCAGTTCGGATGACAGAGTCTTGAATGAGGATATTGCGAGTACCGGTAACGTGAATGCCATCGGTGTTAGGACTATTAGCCGGAGATGTAATCATAATATGCAAAGCCTTGACGTTCTTGCATTCTTGAAACGTCAAATGCATTTGCTGAGCGTTTTCCAACCTAATGTTACTTACCTTCAAGTTATTGCACTCCACAAACGTAACCGCCTGCCCATTTATTTCATTACATCAATTTGATTTTCTTTTTATAGCTCCATACTATACATATTTACATATATAAGTAGCGGCCATTATAATTGAACACAAGGCAAGGCGTTTGAGGTTCTCACCGTTGGAGCTCCCAGGCATGGCTGTTTCACAAAATAAAATGGTATTTAATATCTTAGTTAGCCACTTTATATAATATTTTTATTTTTAAAAAAATTAAGACATTGATCCAAATTAAGAAGAGCTTACAAGTTGAGGGTTGATTTTGCAAGAATTTGGCCACCAAATATTTCCATTACCGTCGATCCGGCCACCTCCTTCAACACGAAGGTTATCGACATTCTCGAACACAATCCAGTGCCTACGTTCCTTGTAGTCTGATGGATTTTTCCATGCCTCAATCTTTCCGTAAATCTAATTCACACTCACGAAAGTGATTAACATTATACAACAAATAAGCCTACACTTGCATTGGCTTATAACTTTATATCATACCTTAAAAACAATCAAGGATGATTGACATGGACCGGAGAATTTAACCGGTTTAAGAATGTAAGCTCTACTATTCGGAACCACGACATAAACTATTCCGGTTGACGAACAAGCTGCTTCCCAAGCTTTCATGAATGCCTACGAGTCGAAACATATATTTCATTTTACTAACATTGATTGTAAAAGATTTGATTACATATCTCGCTAGGAAACAGATAATATGGATACCTTAGAATCGTCGTTTCCGTTGGCTTTAGCACCGAAACTGTTCACGTTAAAAGCTCGAGGAGAAGATCTAGGAGCAGAGGAAAATCCATGGCGGTTTTTCATGTGACTGCTGCGTTTAATGTGGCCATGATGATGTTTAACATTGGAAAACACGAAAGGATCATATCTATAATCCGATGGGTAGCTGCTGAAACAAGAAGGAATAGACGTCAAGAGAATTGTTAATAAGATTATGATTTTTTCACACATTTTTCTTTTTGGTGGATTCTCTGAAAGTTAGATTAAGGTTGGGTTTGACGTAGAAGGAATGATGAGGAAAGAAATGAGTGATGTGTCATAGAGAATGCAAAAGTGCTTATATTTATAGAGATGAGAGAAAGGAGACAAAGAAGTATTAGTTGAAAGAGACTTAAGAGAAATATATATTTTCCTATTGTAGAAAATCAGAGGAAAATGTTCGTTATAATTCCTCACTTTCATTACTCAAATCGTTTCTAAACAATTTGCACAATGAAGTTAATTTATTTTAGGTGATTTAATACCTATTAAAGCCACTTTCAAGACTGTGACCACACACGAAAAACGCCACTTTTAAAACATTTGATTCCATGTTATAAAATGTGTCCGCCTAGACAGCCTAAACCGGTTAAGAAATTGATCAACAGAATTTGAATGGTTTTCTTTTTCCTCTTAGACGTCTGATTACATATTTACATGGTCCTAGACGCCCAATTAAATTTTCTGTTTATTAGAAAAATACAATGGGTAAAGCTAAACATTTACAATCTGTTTTAACAAAGTACACTAGCTTAATCGTAAGAATATATTATTTATCGTACATTATCGCATTTGAATCTGGATTTATGACATGGCATGATTGATGATTGATGGCAATGCCATTGGTATTAAAATATTAGGTCACATGACAATATGACATGGTCCGTAGAAATACATTTTTACTTTAAATTTCGTTAAAACCCCATAAGTTTCTTAAATGTGATGGGAAAGGATTAGCTAACAATTTGAAATTGTTGGTCATATCCCAACATTCATGGGTAAGAGTAAGAGGAAAAAATGTAAAGATCTTTATCGATCAAACAAAAAAGTCCGAAAATGGAAGAGCTAATCTCGGCCTAAATAAAGAAGTAAGTATTGACTTTGGCTTTGAATTAGGTTATCTGCAAATAACTGAAATACAAGTCTAAACCAAAAGCAGTTTTGTTGGTTAAAGCTTTAACTTCAACTTTGTTAGATCATTTTCAATCCAACCTTTACCCTTTTCACACTTTTTTTGTTGTTTAGTCTTAGACAATGTGAAGTCCAAAATTCTATCTAGCCAAACAGAAAAAAAATTCAATCCATTTACTCTGAATTATTTTTCTCTTCGATACTGTTGTATTGCGGTCAAAGTACTTAGTTATGTCATATGTGTTTCGGTAAGTAACCAATTCTCGTTTATATCTGTATTTTCCCGTATTATCTACGGTGGGAAAATGTTATCCTAGAACTAGCTATAAACGGAAATAATTCCAACTACGTCAATTATATAGCAAAATAAAAAATATTAGAAGATATAGCAAAAAAGTCTTATTGAAAAATAATCAAAACTATACAAAGATATAGCAAAATAAAAAATATTAGAAGATATAGCAAAAAAGTCTTATTGAAAAATAATCAAAAATATACAAAGATCATGTGTTTGATGACCAAAATTGTATATGATTTAAACGTTAAATCCGAGAATATGATAAGAGTTTCTAAAAAAAAAAGTAACATGTTTTGGTACATAGTATGAATCAACGTACAGTGATAGTAGGCAGAACTAACAAAAAAGAGGGAAGATGGATAATTGGTAAATAATGTCAAAGGTTAAGTTAGAGAGGGTTTAGATTGTTACATTGGATTCGGATTTTGCGTGTGTGACTTCAATTTTTTCACTCTATGCTCTTTGTTGGCTTTAGGTTTATCAACAGTAATGACACTATTTTTCATACATTTGTAATAACTCTCAAAAGTTATTATTTCTTTTTTTTTGTTCTAAAAGTTTATTATTTCTTCTGTTTCTAAAATTTGATGTTTTAGAATTTTTTTTTTGTTCCATAAAGCTTAATTTTTTAAATTTCTTTTTTATTATTTATTAACAAAAAGTAATTTGATTGTGAAATCAAAGAATATTGTTGAATTGCTATTAGTTCAGATTAATGATAAAGTGGTTAGTGAGAAAAAATAATGCAGTTAAAACTATGTATTAATTACTTCTTAATCTAAGTAAAAAATCTATAACATCAAGTTTTTAGAAACAGAGGAAGTACATCATACGTACATAGACTAGGTGACGTGTATAGGCATACCGATTGAAGGACCTTGAAAACATTACATTTCCTCTTCTGTTTCAACACTGAAAGTAAAGTTTTTAGAAAATTAAGTTTCTTTATTTCAGTCTTTAAAAATCTTGCAATCACAATATTTCTCTAAATTAAACAAAAACTCTTAAAAGAAAGTATCTTTGATAGTAAAAATAACAAATAAACAGATCTTTTCCTGATAATATGACTCAGGTCTGGATACCAAAAAAAAATCTTATTTTAAATCAATGATAAAACCGTATGTACTACAAACTAATTGATTCAATAATTTAATAACCATTAGCATTGACTTTGAGCTTGGCCTGTCGAGTATGCGTATCACCAGAAAACTCACATAGTCAACTTGTTCTCACGTATTAAAAATCAAACTGGATATCGGAAATAACCACGTCTAAATTAAAAAAAAAAATGAAAAAACTAGAAACATGTTCTGTTATGTATTGGTTAATTAATTATAAGAAAAGTAAATATATAAAGTTGGGCGGGATTAGATAATTTAAGAAATACAAGTCAACATCTGTACACATCCTTTCTTTCACGTTTAAAGAAACGCAATACAAAACAGTATCAAAAAAAGAAAAATGGCAGAGTATTGAACTTTAGTTACAAAAGAATCAATTTTTCTCTACTTGTAAAGATTTGGTTAAATTATAATAAATTTACAATTATTTCTATATATAGAACCAAAAAAATTTCTAACAACAAAAAAATAAAACCTCAACTTTGTTGTTGGGCATTTGGGCGTGCAAGTTAGACTGGATTGTTCTCTCAAGAGTCCTCAACGAAGATCCTGAAGATGAAATCTCTGAAACGTCGAGAGTATTGCTTAGGATCAACGGCTGAGATAGAAGTTGGATCATACTGCATTGATTTGTATGCATGTTCAAGCTTCTTGCTGATATCGTAGTCTTGAAGAATGTCTATCACACCAAAGTAGAGAATCACATCGTAAAATTCACCAGTTGGTTCTCCAACAAGCTGATTCTCACAGTCACTTCTTCTCACCGTTCTCTCAACTCTTGCAGGCATGTTTATACCCAGTCTCATTGACGCTAACCTGTACAAAAAATCATTTAAAAAACCACACTTATATTATAAAACACATTACATTTTTTCACTTTGTTGAGGAAAAAGACATTTTTGGTTATTTACTTGCTGGCATCAAGAAGAAACCGGTCCATTTCTGCTCTGGAGACACGTTCATGATTCCCTGCTTAAAAAGATCATGAAATTTCTTGAATCGATGGAAACTTTGAAAATTTGAGTTTAAAGATTTGACAAGATTTTACCAGTTGGGGTTCTTGCACCGGAAGTAGGAGTAGCAGAGTCCTTGGAAGAAGCTTCTCGGAAGTGAAGACCAACCAAGAGACTATAATCCATGATTCTCTCTTGTTCAAGGAACTCACAGTCTCTGTCCACTTGCCTGTTCAAGATTTTAGTAATTAAAGAAGTGATACATAACAAGAGTTATGATGATAAGTAATGAATGAATCACCTGCAGAATTCTTGGAACCAGTTCTTCTGTAACCGGAAAATGAAATTAAGATCAAGATCTTTAAGCGTTGTGTTTGGATCGATCTCAGACTCTGGTTTAGTGGTAAGACGGCCATGAGAGGATCCTTTGAGGTCAAACCTCCTATGGATGGAGTAACCAGTACAGAATAGATTCCCCATTATCACAAACCTAACCTGCACACGCAATGCATTCTCCATCACTAACATCCAAAAAACTCAAAATGCCAATAAGAACAATACAGAGACATGAAAACACAAAAATGGTAGTTGACCTTTTTCTGAGCAGTGCCAGTCAATTTCACGCAGTGAAGACCGAAGAACTTGGTCACAAGAGTGTTCTCACATGCCCTTACATGGTTGTAGTAAGCTGGAAGCATCCTTATAAGAACCTGTTTCAACAGAAAAAAAACAAAATGAAGCTAATCCTTAGTCAACAAAAGCTCTTAGATTTTTATTATCATGGGTTACTTTAGTTTCTGCCTTCTTCATAGTCTTGATCATGTAACGGTCATCATTAGTCAAGTAGAAAAAGCTTCCACTTTTCCCTGGAGATGACAGCTCCCTAAGCGCATCATTCCCACAAATCGACAACATATAATCTGCTGCATCCACACTAAACAGTTTCCTCAGAGTCCTACACCAAACACACAACATTTTATTTAAACATACAAGAGAAGACACCAAAGAAGACTAGTTTTCTTACAAAACTCCTAACCTGAAAACCACAGGACAATAGTCCTTCCACTTAAACTCAACAGACTGGTGTGGAGGAGTGTACTTAGACCCCTCAGATGGAAACTTCGTCCAAAGCTTTTCCTTTGGATCAAACGCCGAAGCCTTCAAATCAAGCGATGTAGCCGGCGCTGGTCTTCCAACAGAATGTCTTCACCAAAAACAAAAACAACATCAAAGAAAGCAAAGCAAACAAGCACAAGCAAGATTTTCAAGAAGTTTAGTACCTAATCCCAAGCTGCAGATTAAGCATGAGGTCATAATTCTTATGACCTTTAGAGATGGTTTGTCCTTGTTTCTTAGCAGGTTGTATTCTCAAAGCCCCTAACGACGATCTGTTACTACTACTACTGTCTGAATTGTTCTCATCTATCTGAAGATAACCAGAACCGTTGTTCCTCAACTCCATCTCACCGTTACTAACTCTCCCATCAACAGATCTCCTCCTCGGCCTCTCGTTGCTGCTGCTATTACTGCTCTTCGTCCTGTTCCCACTACTACTCTGCTCCGACGAACCGTACCAAACCGGCATCTTCTGCGACGGCAAAACCGGGATCCTCTGACACGTGCAAACCACGCACTCGCTCAGATCGACGTAGAACACTTGCTGCGGCTGCCATTCGAAGTTCCCGGAAGACGTCGATGGGTAATAAGTCCCGTTCTGCTCTTTCGGATCCTTGCTCCAGACTCCGACGTAGAAGCTCCCGTCCGACCACCGGAAAGTTCCGTTGCCTTTGGGCGCCGCGTCTTCCCAGGACCCGTCGTAACGGTTCCCGTTGCTCCATATCATGGTTCCGTTGCCGTTCATCGTACCGTTCTTCCATTGGCCGATGTAGTGGTTCTCGTTCTTCCACTGGTACCTCCCGTGGCCGTCTTGTGAGCCTCTCCTCCATTCTCCGTCGTAGCAGTCTCCGTTGACGTAGCTTTTCGTTCCTTGCCCGTGTCTTAGATTCATCACCCATGATCCTCTATACAAATCCCCAGAGGAATCGATGTAAGTACCTGTCGTCGTCACATTAAACAAAATTTTGAGAGAAAAATTTGGGGGAATTTTGTTTTATTTTTGTTGCCGGAGTTTTGTGAATTTGAAATTTACCTTTGCCGTCCATGTAACCGTTTTTGAAATCGCCTTCGTAGGTGGCACCACTGGGCCAGCTGAAACGGCCCTTGCCCATGGTTTTGCCTCTGTGCCATTCTCCGACATACATACAACCGTCGGTCCAGAGGTATTTGCCGTGTCCGTGTGGGAGGTTGTCTCGCCATTGTCCGGTGTAGAAGTCTCCACTGGGCAATGCTTTCTCGGCGTGGTAAGACTCTCCCGTTGGTCGGCTGTAATCGTCGGCGTCGTCTGCGTGTGCTACCGACATTTCTCTCTCTCTCTGTTCGATTGATTTTCTTCTTTGAAATTTCACTCTTTTTTGTTTTGGTTTTGTCTGTTCCACATATTTCTTGTTGGAATCTGTACTACGTTTCTCTCATTCGTTCCTCCATACCTAGATCGCGAAGCCGCATTTGCAGGAATGTGTCAAATGGGAGGATCTGGGTCTTCTTCTTCTTCAGAATTTATCGGATTCCAATGGAGGAAAATGTAGTATAGCTAAGGACGACGAGAACATAGATAGAGAGGAGGGAGCAAAAAAAGAAATGTTTTTTGATTGATTGGTGTGAATAAACGAAGAGCAACAGAAAGAAAGAAAGAAAGAAAGAGAGACGGGAATATCGAAGAAAAAAAGGAAAATTGGAGGAATGTGTGTTGGTGAATCGATGATTCGAAAGAGAAATTGAAGAGTTTGGTAATGGCCATTGTTATTGGAGCTCCGCGTTTGATTCCTAAAGCGACTACCAAACCAGACATCTGGAGGGACTCGCAATATGCGACGTGGTTACCTTGTCAATGCTGACGTCATTTCCTATTTCATTTTTGCTTTTTTGTTTTCTCTCTTTTTTTCTTTCTCAGAGATAAATAATACTCCGGTCCGGTCTCCCGGTTTTATTCAAATATTTGTCCCCATGAGATCCTTTATTTTATGTTATCTCTCTTGCTATAATAAGAGAGGCGTTTATCCACCCTTTCAGAAGTAAACAAGTTTTATGCTTTGTTTATCTTTCGGATTGACTGAATAGAAACTTTGCTTCGGTGTCTTGCAGTTTCACTCTTTGGTTTCCAATTTAATACAGAAACATTCTTTTGTGTGGTTTTAGTATTAAGAGTGATCGGTTTGCGACTGTTTAAAACAAAAATAACAAGTTTGGAGAACTGATGAAACATGTATGAATTTATATTCTCTCGTCCAAAGAAGAGGTTTCTCTAACTGGTTTGTCCAAATCGAGCTGTCAAAGGGATTTACGGAGAGGCTGATTTGATTCTCTATATAAAGCCAATTTCATAAACAAACAAAAAAAGTGTTCCACCTGAAACAATTAAGAACCCACACAGCTTCTTCAAAAAGGTAAACTGCAATCTCCACTTATACGCTATCCAAAGCATCACTCTGCAACTCATCTTTGTTCCTTGCAGGAACCAACCTTTCCGTTCCAAGTCTTTCCTCTAAAGCCCTTGCTCCTCTTTCTCTGCAATAAAAAGTTTTTTGCAAGGTTAATGAAGCTCGATATTCCTTTTGGGAACCATAACTTGTTTTCTCAGGATTTTGGTTGCTAAGTCTTTACAATTTGATAAAAGTGATAATGACAATCTATTCCTAGATTTGTATGAATAGGATCATTCATTACTTCGGGTTTGCATCAACCAAATCCTAGATTATGTTTTAACAATTATAGCCAAAAAATATTTCTACTAATGTTTGAAGTCTAGGACCCAAATAGATACGGATTGCATCAAACTACCATTGAAGTAGACCATAGAGATTAAAAGACAAGCAAGAGTAAGAGAATAAGAATTCTACCTCCTCCTAGAAGCTTCAGCAGAATCAGAACCCGGTAATGGAGCGCCGCCGGTAGTATAACCATGGTCTTCGCTGGTGGCATTTGATCGTCCACAAAGCATCCGATGAAAGATTGAGGCTAAAGGGTCAATAACCGGTCTGCATTTTATTGGTGAAAAAAAATTACAAAAAGCGTGTGAGGAACTTATTACTTTGCGGGCAAACTCAGTTGAGAAAAGGAGAAATATTCTTTCACCTGAGCAATTCAGGAAAGAAAGTAGAGAAGGCAAAGTCATCACTTGGATCACCTCTGAGCTTTGTTTCAGGCCTCTTCTGTAGGTATCTGAGGTATAACCAGCCCATGTATGTACCGAATATCAAAGTGGGAAGATATGTTGCTGAATCTAGTGTGAAGAAGCTTGAGGCTATCGACAAAACTAGCATAATAGAAGGCAACCACTGCACACAGAAGCAAGAATCAAGAATAGGATGTGAGAACTTCTTCGACTAGCCGGAGTTAAAGAAAAATGTCAAAGCTTTTATCATATCTTACTCGAAAGGAAAAGATTACCTTTGCTTTTATCTTTATCAGCAAAACTTCCTGGTCAGGTATGATCTGCTTTATCCCGACAAGAAGGCCTGCCAAGACACCATGAAAACCTGAAAAGGGCATATATCTAGCCACGAGAAAGCAGAGAAAAGGTCATTGTACAGCAGAAAATAATGAAATTAAACAAAACAACCCTTCATATATAAGTAAGAGAATGAAATAAAGCTAAGAGTAGTTACAGGTATATTTCCAGCCTCGTGATGTAGTACAAAGCAATGGCTGTAACGAAAACGCAGAGATACGTAAGAAAGTTCACCACAAAGATGAACTTAAGGAACTCCTTGGAACCCCATATAGGCTCCAGGAACTTTCCCATGAAGAGGAGAGAGACGGTGCTGAAGACAACCTGCGACATTGCAAACAGTCACTCATGTATCCAAGTACTAAAGATCAGAAATCTGGACTGGGTATGAACAAGTAGAGCTAGAGAGAAAAAATAAAATGAAAGCATACCCCATATACTGACAGCTCAAAATAGCCACTTGTTACCAGATTCCAAGCAAAAGGTATAGTCCTACAATGAAGAGATTTCACAAATGTAACAAGTCAGGAACTAACTAGAGAATGATATATGTTACCCGAGGAGTCATTCTCATTACTAGATTCCACACTGAGCAAGGAACATCGAAAGTTTTCACAGTGGAATTTGAAGAACAATCAGGTAATTTTCCATGCGAGAATCAAATTCGCATCTCAAGTATTACATACTTCTCACTGATTTAACACACAGGAAGCCTAATTTCGTCCAAACCGTGAAGTATCAATCACGCAGAATCAAGCAGATTGGGGAGCAACGCAAAATCCATTCAGTAAGAAGATCGCAAAACCTAGTATTGACAGAAGGAGAGAAGACGAAGTACCTCGCCGGAATGAGAGCAAGGTAAGGGACGGTAGCGGGAATGAACTGAACCACGAGGTGCCCAACCACTAGCACCAGAGCAAGTCCTTTGCAGAGCTTGGTGAAATTGGTGAACATACTCGTTCCCTGAATCAAATGTAAAAGTCGATTTCATAGATCAGAGACGACGATTCATTCGAAACGAAGGAAACGAAAAAAAAATATCAAAGCCAGTCGACGAAATCTCGTAGATCTGCTATACCGGAGAACTCATGACGACGGATTATCAGCGAGAGTGTACCAAATCTGAGATCCTGATAATAGATCTCGTCGACGAAGCTGAAAACCACCGGAGATTGTTTCCTTCCTCTCCCTTGTTCCAGAATTGGAAATCGATACTGATATATATAATTTTATACTAAACGTGTTACCGGACTGTTGTTCATTCCCAGGGACCCATATATCTACATAATAAATAATCAATGTGTTTACAACAAACTAAACAAGGTAATTAATTTTTAACATCTTTTTATGTATTAAAATATGTGATATTAGGAGATTTGAAAGCTATGTGATATTAGGAGATTTGAAAGCTATCTTCTATGCTCGGATTGTTGCATTCTATAGAGTTTTGGCCATTATGGTTTTGACAAAGAATCATTTAAAAACAAACAATAAATCCTTTAATGGCTTGAAACTCTTGATTGTGTGATTTCATAATATTTGGTCTCCCGGAAGAAGCTAGGATTGTTTATATGAAGAATGATTTTCAATGAAATAATGGGTTTTTACATAGGTTTTGAGGTGGATTCAAGAAAGAAAAGTAGAGCATCTCTTCACTAATAAATTAAAACGAAACAAAAAAGAATTAAGAGGGAGAAATCATTGAGTGAGAGGAAGACATTCAAGCTGGATCTCAAGAACACCTCTTTCAACTTTTTGAAGCCTAAGAGAAATGTCTTGTCTCACTTTCCCTTCTTCAAGCGAGATTATGCCATCACTCACCAACGTGTTCTCTTTGCTCGCCACCCAACTTCCCAGCTGCATCGGTTCTTTTATGCTTGATGACTCGTAAGCTTTCGCTGCACTCACCAACGGTTGTATGTCTATCTCTGCCTCTCCCATGAAATCATCTGTCGAGAATGTATCCTTGTCGTACACTAGCTGCAAAAATTTACATGTAAAAAGAGTGTTATATAGCTCTAACAGGAATCTTCAACTATGTAACTTTTGTTAATAACAAACTTGTGCAATTACCACTTTGAGAGGAGGCATCTGATCGGGAATCGAAAGCATAAGCGTCTCATTCCACACTGGATTCAAGTTGTTCTTTATCACTCGTGTTTTCACCGACTTCAAACAACAAAACAAAAAGTTTTGATGAGTTAGTTTTGAATGAGACTAGTCTAGAGAGATTTTTTTGTAGAGGGCTCACTTGTTGGCCAAGAGAAAGGATAACATAAGGATCACTGGTCATGACGTCTCGGACCGCAAGGTTGGTTCCTTTAACAACATTAACCTTAATCAATCCCACAAACTCCACCATACCTGCCTATAAAACACCATACAAATTTTAACATTAGGAACATTTCGATTTCATATTACACAAAGACATGTGTGTGTGTGTATAGTGGTCGTTACCAGGGAATTGCTCTTCTTAGGTCCTTTGTGATCAGATTCTCTTCTTCCCCAGCTATTCCTAAACGCATTACCGATTCGGTTTTTTGCAGATTTGTGGCTAGCAGAACATAGAGACGATGTTGAGTTATTTACTCTGCTAGGTTGCTGATAAGTGCACAGAGTACCATCTTTTGGATCCATAAACTGATGCAGCTCATATTTTTTCCTGCAGATTCAATATACATAAAACAAATGAGATTGATTGATTGATTATACAAACATGACATTATTAGTAAATTGTAAGTGAAAAAAAACGTAACCTGATGAAATCATTGCGATCCTCGTTATTGGAATCTGGTTTAGGTTTCTTTAACTGGTCGAAGTTGCAAGCTTCGAATCTCTGGTTGACCGCAGTGTTTCCACCGTACCCTACGAGCATGTCTACTTGATCATCTGTCCATTCGTCTAGCTTTACTGATAGAACCTTTGATATGTGAACTCCAAGACTTCTGTGTACACCGGAACACTTTATGCAGATAAACACACCCAGACTTAATGATCTAAACAACAACCAAAAAAAGGAGACGAATCAAATCAAATCCATCAACAGAAATGTACAAGCGTAGATACACATGTCAATAAACTTACACCCATTTAGGTTCGGGAGATCCACAGTCAGCACAATACTTATTCCCAGGTTCCTTTAGCAACTTCTCCAACCGATCTCGAGGATCTGAAAAAAACGTCAAACAGGGCAATGAGATTATCTCCAACTAGAATGTTGCAGGAAATGAATTCGATCATAAACTAGAATGAGTTAAAATTACCAGGAGAAGATAACAGCAAATCCATTTGAGGAGTCCCTTTTGGAGTCTCTGAACATAGAAGGTCGTATAAGCAAGCATGCGACCCTGAAACAACATTTGAAACCCTTTATAAAGGTCTTCACAGAAATTCTTGCAAATAGAAATTAAAAGGATTGTGTTGGATACCAGAAACTTCGACAGGATCAACATTTTCTTGGCCGAAAGACATTTCGAACTAAGAGCCGAGACAATGAGAACACGCCAATGTTCAGAAGCAAAAAAACTGGGACATTCAAAAAGGATTGTCCGAGAGATTTTTTCCCCAAAAATCACGACATCCCCTGAAGAGCCATTGCAATTTTCAAAACAATCTGAATCAAAAATGACAAAAATAATAAACTCGATTGCACCAATGGAAAAAGTTTAAGGGATTCATCGAGAATACCGTAGACAGAGGGAGAAACTGGAAAATCAAACCCATCAGAGCCTCCTTCCAAATTCAATTTCTACGAAGAACCTAAAAACTCTCTAAAGATCAGTTGAATTTTATTTTCGTTTGGTTGAAGAGAGACAGAGAGAGAAGAATAATTATGTTTGGTATAACTACCAGAGGAGGAGGGAAAAATCCTAAACGAAGGAAAAAACAACAAAATTACGAAATTGGATGAAAAATTGTCTGAAAATTTGCATTATCCTGCAGACAAGGAGATGGAGAAGCTATGATTAGGTGTTTTTGTTCTATTTGTCGGCCAGAGATGAGATGAGGAGGAGGAGAAACAACAACACCAACACCAAGAGGATTTTTCAATTTTTGTTGACAAATGTTGTAATTGACACGTCACAAACCAATTATTACAACATTTATTTACTTCCTTGCCTTGTTGATTTTTAATTAGTTTTGGCAAACCAACCGTATAAATCTCTTTATTTAGAAGCACAGGTTAAATGATTAAAAGACATACACAAATTAACGTTGTGATTTACCTGTCTACAGAATTTAACTTATTAAATTTTACAGACTCTCAATTGCTTCAATGTACTGTATGCGTTAATAAGTTGTTTTGGCCTTTTTTTTTCCCCTGGTACAAAATATTTAACTTTCTCTAATGAGTTTCGGAATTTCGGATTTGGCTCACAGCAGTAGTTGGCTCGTCTTTGACATTCTTTTGATTATAATAATAGTGACTTGGTGCCCAATCTAACTCATAACAAACTTTGAATTTTAAATACAAAAAGAATTCGAGGAAGTCGCATAGCTTTTGAGTTTTGTGACCTCACTATTAATGATACCATTAGGCAAGATTCCATTAACAAATTTTAAATTTTTCAACATTAGACGCAAAGTTTTAAGAATTAATTATTAACTAGAAGGGTGTTTTATCAATTAATACGTATTAGGAGTTAAATGTAGCATAGATATACAAAATTAGGGGTTGTAGTGTAAATATAAAAACTTGGGACGATAAAAGCGCATATAAAACGAAAAAAATTAGGGTTGGTAACAGAAAGTTTCATCATCTGCCTTTTGTTGTTCTGTCTCGCTCCTCGTTAAGACCGATCCTGCATTGCATACCTCGTACGGTTTCCAATTCCTTTCTCAATCATGGCTGATGCAATAATCGAGATGCCTGTGAACGATGAGCAAGAGGTATGTTTTCGGCTTTTATCCTTTTTGTTTAAACGGATCCTTGATTGATTTTGGTTGATCGGGCACAAATTATACGTAGATTTTGGTTCTCTTCGTTAGGATCGTCTTGTCTCATGCTTGATTTTTGATTGTGTATGGATTGTTTCTGTGACTCTATTAGCTAGCACCCTTTGATCCAACCAAAAAGAAGAAGAAGAAGAAGGTTGTTGCCGCCGAGAACTCAACAGGGCCACGGACTGAGAATTTCGATTCAAATTCAACGCCAGGTACGTACGATGAAGATTTTAATTATGTTCCTTACGAAACAAAAACAAGTTTGTTTCTCTTGAATGATATTGTTGATACTGAATTGCGTTACCTTATTTCTGTTTCAGCAATTAATGATGGTCTTGAAAGTTCATTGGTGAGTGTTTAATGTTTATTAGTGAATCCTAAGATCTTTTTTTTTTTTTTTTTTAATTTTGTCAAACTTGTCCTTTTGATGAATCCTCATCACCCTCACATTGTTTTTATATATTTGATGTTCAGGCTGAAACTAGCTCGCTAAAGGACGCAAGTGTTGAAGCTGTCGTAGATGGTGGGGAAGAGGAGGAGAAGAAGCAACGTTATCCTTGGGAAGGAAGTGATAGAGATTACTCTTATGAAGAGGTTAACATATATCATTACATAACTTTTGTAGTTGATTGATGAATATGCAAACTTTTTTCTGACTAGCGTTAATTATATATGGGCAGCTGTTTGGTAGGGTTATTAACATTCTGCGTGAAAACAATCCGGAGCTCACTGGGGATAGGCGTCGCACGGTGATTAGACCACCACAAGTGCTTCGTGAAGGGACAAAGAAGACAGTCTTTGTCAACTTTATGGACCTTTGCAAGATGTATGAACAAAACTACCATTATATCTCTGTCTCTTCAAATTATAACTAGCTTGTTTGTTTTACTAGATCGTATAGTGATTTTTTTTTTTGAACTTTTTTTTTTATCAGGATGCATAGACAAGCAGATCATGTGATGAATTACGTGCTGGCTGAGTTGGGTACAAGTGGTTCACTTGATGGGCAGCAAAGGCTGGTGGTTAAGGGCAGGTTTGCGCCGAAGAACTTTGAAGCCATTTTGCGGACATATGTCGGTAAGTGACCTTTCTTTTTTACTCTCAAGATTTGGACTAACATCCTTGCGTTGATTATCTCAAAGTGATTGATTACTGATCATTGCGGTTATTAATTATTTTTCAGTCAACTACGTCATCTGCACTGGTTGCAAGAGTCCAGACACAATTCTTTCCAAGGAGAATCGTCTCTCCTTTATGAGATGCGAAAAGGTAAATAAAGAAGTACACTGTAACGATTTACCTTGCCTCGCCTAATCATTCAAGAGATATCCAGTTTGAGTATTGTCCGTATTCTGAATAATCTATAATTTGTTTTGGCAGTGTGGAGCTGGACGATCTGTTGCAGATGTTCAAAAAGGGTATGTTGCGCAAATTGGTAAGAGGAAGAAGACTTAATAACAACATATCATGGTCACATATAGTTGTGTTTTGTCTTGTATGATTTGCCAGATACTTGTTCTGTTTTTGTTTTTGAAACTAGTGAATAATTCTCCATTTATGTTATAAACCTGTCGTTGGAGAAAGAAACTTCTATCTTTCGTTGTTTATGTTACTTGTGTTTCTAGACAAAAATGTTGCACCTTTTTTATTTTGATTTTGATATTTCAATTAGAGAAAATGAGAAATAACTATAGTTATCATGATGGCAAAATTACAAAATTTTGGCTTGAAAGAAACCGTAGATATATGATGATGGCCTCTCCCTATCTTCTGTGACGATGGAAGTTCGATTTTTCAAATTTCAATTATGGTCTGCTTTTATCTTGGTTTTAAAGTTTCATTAAAACTTTAATCTAAAAAATCACTGGAAATGCAATTAAAGCCGGGTTGGGCCAGATCCGGTCGAGTCGGGTGGGCTACTATTAGTAATTTGGGTCAAGCTCTAAACCAATGACGCCTTTAACAAATTCGGTTCGAATCGGTTTAGATTGGTTATTGGATGAGGTCGGTGTTGTGTTTTTGTCCTTGTTGCGAAAGGCAAAACCGATCCATCGTGCAAGCAAAACTTCAGAATTAAATAGCGGCGAGTGAGACCACCGCAAAATCATTTCCCGACAGAAACAGAGCAGAAGAAATTGTCCCTAAAACCTCAATTAAGAAAACTAAAAAGATGGCGAAAGATAGTTGTTTGGCCAGAATCACTGCCGGAGTTGCCATCGGTGGCGCTGTTGGCGGCGCTGTAGGTATGCTTTCTCTCCCTTCAATTTCTTTTCCACTTTGAAAGAAGAACCCTAAATTCCATTTTCATAGTTTATCGAATGATTGGGTACAAATCTCGAATCCGATTTGAGGGGTATATAATTTGTTTCACTAGTTGGACCACTATTAGATGGATAGATTTCTAACTTGTTCGTTGACAAAATCTATGTTTCAGGTGCTGTTTATGGAACTTTTGAGGCGATTAGATACAAGGTAATGGATATTTCTAATCATTTTTCTGTGACCTCTTTCAAGCGTTTTAAAAGTCTGGTTTTTTTGGTTAATTAAAACTCTTTTCTGATGAGAAATTTGAAAAAGAATGATTCGTAGGATTTCTCTTGTGGACAGCTCTTCCTTCACTTTGTATACTAACTAGTAGACTCATGTATCTATGTCATTGTTGCCATTTTTCAGTAATGAGTTCTCTTGTTGTGCTGCTTGTGAGCTGGAGAATCTTAGATAAGAAAGATGTCTAGACTAGGATTGCTCTAGTCGTCACTATCTAAATAGATACTTGTGTGTGGGATTCATATTGGATATTACTGTTTGATGATCATTTGTTCCGTTTGTTCTCTGCTTCTGTGCAGGTCCCTGGGCTTATGAAGGTTAGATACATAGGGCAAACAACCGTCGGCAGCGCAGCGATTTTCGGGCTTTTTCTTGGTGCTGGAAGTTTGATACACTGTGGAAAGTCTTACTGATTCTCATCCGTCCATTGGTTTAGCTCTAGAAGCTTTGAGTTTGTAACCTGCAAAGTTTAGTTTCCTGGTGAAAGATTTTGTTCCTCTTTTGAAATACATTGAGATTTTTGTTTAATAAGTATTGGATGAAACTGTCTCTCATATGTTTCTGCCACTAGTTGAATCATCATCATCTCTTGGTTTTTGATCAGTAACGGTCTCTTATTCTTTTTGCCTATGATATAATCTTGTTATAAAGGAATTTAATTTCAAAATAAAGCACAGAGAGTATAAAAGAATGTATTATACTTTGATTAAAGATAAATCTTTGTCTTGAAACCATTTGTGCCTTTGTCTTGAAACCATTTGTGCAACAAAAGAAGTTTTAAGTAGTGGAACTGGATTGATTATTATTGCACATACACTCAGGAACAGGGTACTTTGTAACATCTCTTCCGGCTTTGCTAATCCTTAGTTCTGGCTGTCCTAGAGATTGTCTGTGTAGTTTCTTGATCATCTTCTCAAACTCTGTTTCAGTCATTGATGTGTTCAGAAAGTAAGGCAGCATATGTCTCTTGTTTGGTGTTATTAGCTTCTTGTGTCCTTCATAAGCCCTGTGACCCTGAAAAGGATTTCAATTTCAACACCTAAAACCGTGAAAGAATGTGTAAACGCAGACTTAAGAAATGTGTGTACCTGAATCGCATGGCCCATGTTCCCTCCATGAGATGCCATAAACACATCACTCTCCTTACACACTATATAGTCGATCGCTGCCATTATCGAAGCTCGTTTCTCGAAAGGTTTGAGCTCAAGGGGTAACGCAATGTCGTGTTTGTTGTAGAGATTTGGGAACTCAGTCATTAATGGTTCCAAAGCTTCCTTTCCACCAAGAGGTTCTCCTCCTGCCCAATAGATTCTTGCATCTCTCGGTGCTCCAAGTGCTCTAAGCAGCCTGAAACACAAATGTAGCATTATGTCTCTCTCTCTTTCTTAACACATATAAACTGTAAAGATCACTCATATAGTTTACCTTGTTACTTCCTTGGCGTTTAATGGACAGAGGCCAGCTAGTTTCCTCTCATTAGAAGTCATGCTAGATTTTGCTGTTAAGAGCTCAGGCCGCTTGATCCTCTCTATCTTTGCAATCTCGTCATACTTTGAGCTCAAACCAGAGAGACATCCAGTTCTCACCCACACATCTTTCTCCAGTCGAAGATGAAGCGCAATGTAAGGCCCTTTGCTCCTCATCCTCTCTGCTAGCTTCTTCCCCATCTCCATAACACGTGGCGAAAACTTCAGCGCTTCAAATGCTACCTGAAACACACTTTTCTTGTTAAACTGAGGATAACAAAAAAAGAAAAACACTTTCTGCTTCCGAGTCAGAAACATACTTTACAACGGAGCTTCTGGAGATCAGAAGGTAAGTCTTTAGACAATCTTGAGTCCAGTCTCCTTAAAAGCAGAACTCCTTCCTTATTAAACTGCAGGAAAAAAAAATGGTCGTTGAGTTTCTCATTTTTCCATTACTAAATGATTAAAAGATGTTGAATGATCTTACTCGCTTTAGATAGTGAGAACGAATCCATTGAGGAGAGGCATTGAAGGCCATACCACCATCTTCTGATGGTCTAGTCATTAGTTTACTTGCAGGAAGCAACGAAACTATCTTCACATCATTTGCTAAAACATTCTTGAATTGCTCTAAATCAAATATATCAGAGAATTCACTGCCCAAAAAGAAAAAGAAAAAAACATTCAGGATAATGGATTCACATTCTTACATGATCCATAGTCAGATTATTTTATTTACCTCTCGTCACCCCAAATGAGATTGATTTGCAAAACTGGGACGACAAGAACAGCACCTAGAATCCTGGCAATCACAACAGCGTCAACAATCTGATTCTTCTGCTGATTCATCCCACCAGAGACAACCACCATCAGATACTTTCTCCTCTCTCCGACAATCCTCTTACTCTCTGTCCTGTACTCATTGCTGAAATTCAAGCATGGCTTGTAACCTAACCCATCAGGCTGTTTCCAAAACTCATTCTTATAATCTCCCCAATCATGTCCACCACTTCCATTAGAGGTGATCTGCTTCGAATTACCACCACCAAAGGTCTCATTTTTCTCCACAGGCACTGCTGATTTTGAAATTTTATCCAAAGATCGATCATTTGCGTTCGAAATCTCAGCTTGGAAACTGTTTGATCGGATATAAGCAAAACCAAGATGGGATTTAGGAGACCCATTTGAATCCGAGCTCTGAAGTTGACTTTCGTGATATGAGCCGAAAGAAGAGAGACAAAGACCGAGTCTTAGTAAGAACAAAATCACCAGAACAGAAAGTGAAAAGAGAGAGAAAGCCAAGAGCTTTGGGTTTCTGAGGAAATGGAATCTGAACTTGCTTGTGTTCTTCTTTGGAGATTTATCATTCGGAAAATAGAGAAAAGAGTGTAGAGACGATGAGGAAACTGAGTTTATGATCTGAGATGGGACTGAAATGTAGTTCTTATAGCTGCTTTTCTTCTTCCATATTCCCATCACAACCTTTAAAAACAGACGATTCTGAGGAAAATTAGTTACGGCGGGAAGACAGAAGGATCAGTTTTGTGGGGTATACCGTATATGATCTTCTTACAAAACAAAATAGCTGCGTTGTTGTTGTTGTAGTATTATTCTTTTGGGTTCGTTTCCCAAGAAGATTCTCTCATGTTATTTAAAAATTTGGTAGACCCAGAGTTCAATAATCGAAATTACATATGGAGAGAATATCTGTATTTCTCGTGTGTTAACGGGTCAATTCCAAAAAATGCACCCAACAACACACGCAAGTTTTAAATTATAGTTATACTCAACTTGCTAAATTTAAAATTTAGGGTAGACCAAAATGTTTCGAAAGAGACATCTTATTTAGTTGTTGTGAGAATATGGTTCTTGGTTCAATGATTTCATTTTGGGTTTTGGTAGTTAACCAGAGGAAACAAATTTGATCAATTTGAATTGGTGATATGGGCCGAGAAATAGATGTTATAGGGCCCAATAGTGATCATGTGTGTGATCTTGTTGAAATGAGCTAATTAGAGGAAGTAGTCGTTTTTTTTCTAACAAAGGCTTTCGAGGAAGTAGTCGTTACAACGACATATACATACCAAATTGCTCTTTAGGAATAGGAATATAGGATCATGTCATACTCAAGCGTTAGAGTTCAGATCGAGCTGAAGATATTGGACTATAGCTATCATTCTCTATACAAAAGATGGATTATATAATTGCATAGATCTAGAATATTATCCTCTGAATCTGATAAAGTGGCATTGTTAATTTTTAGTAATGGTGAGGTTGTCTTGCCGCTTGCATGCGTCTTACAGGCCGGCAAAATTAATTCATCCCACGAATGCCTGTATTTTAATCAATGGCGTAGTGAAGAGCTAATTTCTTTTTATTATTTGTCACGTTGGCGAGGATGCATTTGTTTAATATTCGATAAACAAACGAACAAGATCATATCATGTATCTAATAGTGTTTGATACGTTACTATTTCTATATAGATTAGCGAGACTTTGCATTTCATTTACTGTATATGGTTGATTTACAAACAGAATGCATATTATATTTTGTTATAACGATTTTGGGATGAAATTAATATTTGTTAGATTCAGAGACGCAAAGATATGAAGGTTAGTGGAGTCGTGGACTCACGTATCGTTAAAGCAAATCTGATCAAATAAAAAATAATTACGATTTATGGGATACCATATTGTTTCCCCGGCCCGATGATAGAATATGATCTAAAAATTATAGTAAAAAATGTAAGTGTCATTATCATATGAACACCTTTTGATCCTTAAATATATAGGCTATATTGCACTTCGGCACGTTTCGCATTCTTAAGTTTTGAAAGACTTGTTAAACGCATGGCACGGTTCTAAATTTGAATTTGAATTTTGGATTCATAATTTACACTAACAAAAACAAAATCATAATTAAGTTCTCGATAAGGTGATAACAAATAACATTTCGTGGATGAATAGTTTTGTGGACCTCGGTTGATGGAAAACCGAACGATAGTGAAATGAAAACATACAAAAAGTTGAAAGAGATGAACGGTTGATTTGAAGATATTGGTATGGTGATAAAACGAAGATTTTGTTACGATCAAATCATTATTAGGTAAAAATAGACGTATGGTCTTGTATCTACTTTCGTGTATGGTCGAGAGACGGTAAAATATTGTTAGGTGAATTCGAAGTTTAGCGTAAATAAGAAAATTTTGAAATGCGTTTTGTAGCGTATAACACTATAACTTGAAAGAAGAAATCTAAATGCGTTTTCACACATCGTCTCCATGCAGATTTACACATTTGTCCTCTGAAAATGACAGAGCCCAGCCAATAGTGACCAGATATTCACAGGCAAATTAGTCATTTTAGTAAAGTAGGAGAAATTCAAAAATCTTGCCATAATAATGATTTCATATGACGTGTTACACAATTGTCATGACTATTCTCTTCTACTAATCCAGTCTCCAACGTTCCAAAAAATCATTATCATCTTTATGAAATTACAAAATAACCCCATAAAAATTAAAGGTTTCACGATTAAAACCCCAAACTCTTATCTGGAGATAACATCTCCCTTTCGTTCACACATGTCTCTCTCCTCCAACTTTTCTCAATCATTCTCCGCTCCTCCTTTCGACACCGAGAGACGCGGGATTCAATTCAACGCTCCTCTGGAATTCTCATTTCTTTCAGTTAATCATTCCCCTTTTTTACTTTCTTACAAACTGGAGTATTTATTTAGAGGTTGCTTTATTTCTCCTTTTTCCATTTTTAGTGTAATTGTTCCTCACGAGACAGACAGAGAGAGAGAACTAAAAAAAAAAAAACATTTGTTCTTGTCTTCTTTATTGTTTCTGGACTTTTTTTAATTCACAAAAAGAAAGTTCGATTATTATTGACTGTGTAGAGGTGAGAGAGAGAGAGAGAGAGAGAGAGAGAGAGAGAGCTTCAAGGCGATTGCGTTTGCAGAACGTGACGACAATAAAATATTGAAAGGTTCGCAAATTTTGATAAGATTTTCACTCTTTTTTTTTTTTTATAAATTAATTAAATTCAAAGAAAGGAACTTCATTTCTTATCTTTTTAATTTCTCATTTCTCTGTAGCAGCAGCCCCAGTTTTTCTCTATTTGACGGTGTCGTAATCCCAGAATCCGTGCTCGTGCTTGGTCCGAAATTGACGAAATTTTCCGATTGATAAAGAAGGAAGAACAATTCGAATTAATTCGGAGGATGTTTGGGATCCAAAGCCGACGGGATTTGACGATGGAGCTGCAATCTCAGATTCCGATTCTCCGTCCGAGCATCCACGCGAGACGAGCCAACATCGTCGTGAAATTCCAGGACCTGTACGGTTTCACGGTGGAGGGAAATGTCGACGACGTGAATGTGTTGAACGAGGTTCGGGAGAAAGTGAGGAATCAGGGACGGGTCTGGTGGGCTCTGGAAGCTAGCAAAGGAGCTAATTGGTATCTCCAGCCCGATATTCTATTGATCGGCGACGGAATCGCCTTGAAGACATCTCTCAAGATCTCCACCCTGACGAACGCTATCACCTTGAAGCGGTTGATTCGGAAAGGGATCCCGCCGGTGCTCAGGCCAAAGGTCTGGTTCTCTCTCTCCGGCGCCGCTAAGAAGAAATCCACCGTGCCGGATAGTTATTACAGTGATTTGAGCAAAGCCGTCGACGGGATGGTCACGCCGGCGACGCGCCAGATTGATCATGTGAGTTTGATTTTTTTATTCCAAAGTCTCAATTTTTGAACTTTTATGTTCTTCCATTCAAAGTGTTGCACTTTGCTGATTTGTTCTTCATAAAAGTTTATATTTTCAGGATAATTTTGGTTTGATTTTCATTGAATGTTTGCTTTAGGATTGATTTGGTCTGTTGGTGTAGATCTGTTGTTCACTCTTGTGTTCATGCAACCTAAGAGCCTAGTTTTGAAAACTCTGTTAGTGTTAATATGATGGTCATAGAAGGATTTTGATTTGTAGCAGAGCCTTTAATTCTGGTATCACTGTTTGATCGATGATCATTTGATTTCATTTACTGCAACATCCTCTGATCTTGTCATCATTTGGCTTTGAATTTGTGTGACTACTCTTGCAGGATCTGCCAAGAACTTTCCCAGGGCATCCATGGTTGGACACACCAGAAGGTCATGCTGCTTTAAGACGTGTCCTTGTTGGGTATTCATTTCGAGATTCTGATGTTGGTTATTGTCAGGTACACTTAGTTTTGATCCCCATCTTCACTTTCTCTGTTCAAGTGAGTGTTTACCATCTTAATCAATGCCGTTTTTGGTGTGCAGGGGCTAAACTATGTAGCAGCGTTGCTATTGCTTGTGATGAAGACAGAAGAAGACGCGTTCTGGATGTTAGCAGTGCTTTTGGAAAACGTATTAGTCCGTGACTGCTACACAACCAACTTGTCTGGATGTCATGTTGAGCAGCGTGTTTTCAAAGATTTGCTCTCTCAAAAATGTCCTCGGTTAGTCTTTCTCTGTTCTTGGTCCACATTCTTGCTGTTTGATCACTCACTGACACAAAAACGTTACATTTGTTTTTTGCAGAATCGCTACTCATCTTGATAATATGGGCTTTGATGTTTCCCTAGTAGCCACCGAGTGGTTTCTATGCCTCTTCTCAAAAAGCTTTCCTTCCGAGGTTTGTTGAACAAAGAACCACTCCCTTTGTTGAAAATTCTTTGTCTTTTAAGATTGGTTTACTAAAGTATACAGAGTAACTTTTGTTTGCAGACAACACTACGAGTTTGGGATGTACTTTTCTATGAAGGAGCAAAGGTTCTTTTCCATGCAGCTTTGGCAATATTCAAGGTTCTTACTTCTCTTCCTTCCTGTGATCAGCATTTTGCTAAGTCTCTCAGTGTACTAATCTCTCTCTCGTACATTTGCAGATGAAAGAAAACGAGCTGCTAATGACCCACCAGGTCGGAGATGTTATCAACATAATACAGACCACCTCACACCAGCTCTTTGACCCTGATGAATTATTAACGGTAAGTCCATATCCTAATCCTGATAAATTTATATATTCAAGATTTATAGATTGTAATATGAATGAAACAATTTTTATGCAGGTGGCGTTTGAGAAAATCGGATCAATGACTACAAACACAATATCAAAGCAGAGGAAGAAGCAGGAGCCAGCAGTGTTGGCAGAACTTGACCAAAGACTTCGGAGACTCAACTCTCTTAAAGAAAGTGGCAAGAGCTCATAATCCAAACAAAAACCTTGTTGGGAGAAGATGAGCTTAAAAAAGAAAAGTGTACAAGGAGGGTGTCCAATGGTTATTTATTTACCCCTCTTGATGTTTTTTTTTTTACTTTCACTTTTTTTACTTATTAAAGTATATAAATAGGGTTTTCTTAATTTTGAGAGCAAGACAAAAAGACCAAGATCCATTTTCTGAGATGGCAAATATGTCAAGGTTTCTTCACTTTTCCAAGAGGTGTACTTGCCTTTTTGATATAATCAGTTGTGTGATCTTCATGTTTTCATAGATCCACCATTTCAAATTCTTGTTTGGTTTATAATATACTAAGATATTCCCAGCTCTTCTTCTCAAATCTCAATGTTATTTCTTTAAAGCAAAATAGAAATATATAACACGACGTAAAGAATAAGACTTCATAGCCAGTAGGAAGTTCAAGTTTGAAGTCTCCGTGTTTTAATTCTTTAAATAAGAAAAGAAATTGATATACAAATCCCACTATGGCACTATCTGAATTATACAAATAAAAACTAACGACACTGTCTCAGAGAAACGGCGGTTCAATTATAGACTACGTTCGATTGGTGACGATGTCTTAAACGTGACCGTACCGATAAACTAAGCAAAAGATTTTAATTATTTCTTGCTGGCCATTTACACATTTTGTGTTGTTCACAACATATTTATAAAAATTTATAGTAAATTTGTACTAGTAGACTACAATTTTCTTTCTGTTTTTTGCCAACAAAACTGTTAAACCGAAGAAGTTTTTGGCGGTAAAGGAAAAACAAAAAAAAAATGGTAGGATAAACGATAGTGGTAGTTGTTTAAAAGAATTTCCCTCCTCTTTACATCCATAAAATATTATTAAAAATCGACGAATAAAGGTGATGAATTATCAATCAAGCAAAAATTTTTTCTTTCTCTTTTAACTTTCATCTATTCAGCTTTGACTGAGACAATCATTATCCATCTCTCAGGATCTGACACAATCATATATTATCTTCAAAACACATGTTAAAGCGGAAGGAGAAACAGACTTGAGAGTTGAGAGAACAAACACAGACAATACTGATTAAGATCAAATACTGAAGCAAGTAAATGTCGTTCCCTCTTGTTCTACGATGATGATCTCGGAAAACGATTCACAATAATATGTTCAACGAAAAAAAAGAGAGGAGATAAGTAAGTGAAACAAACACAACTTCTACTGACAAACACATCTCAGGAGAAATGTCTTTGTTCTTTCAGTTTCAAACCGCAGGCCATTCTTTACGGATGTCGAAGCTGTAGTTGATCTCCAAGTAGCACTTATTATCATCATCAAGAAACTGAGGTCAAGAGTAATTTTACATAAGAATATCATAAAGAGTTAGATTACAAAGTTCTTAAACCAAACCAAACGAAACAAACCTTAGTTCTTGCAGAATATGATCCTCGAGCAAACATGCCAGAAGGAGTAGTCTCTTCTGGCATCACGTGGTTGTATGGCTCCAACTGAGGACTAAAGGTTCCAAGCATTTCCTTTCCTCTGTCCACTGAATTCAAACAAAAAAGGAATTGGATCACATTGTCTCTAAACCATTGACATTAAAGACCAAACGGTATGTTGTTGTTTTTTCTACCTTTAACACCGGTCTTCCAAACAGTATTGGTGTACCTAAGACCAGAGACGATGTTGTTGTTAACTTGAAAAGTGAATTTCAAGTTGTACTTGCTCCCTTCTTTCAAAGTAAACCACATTCCCTTTGGATTCCCATTCTCCGGAACCATAAGCACAATATCTGGTCTTCCAGGGGATAAGATCGCCAAGCTAAGGATCCTCACTTCCGGATCCAGAGTCTCTGCATTTTGGATAGAGAATCTAACTTCATGTATACACAAAATCACTCGAGAAAATGCATAACCAAGCAAGAACATAAACATATATGATAAAATCCAAGACTTTCTACATTTGATAGTTGCAAAAAACCAACCAGATCTAAGCCTTACCAGAACTTTTCACATGAATCACAGAAACAACAAAGATCTAACCAGATTCTTAAAATGTCATCATCAATCATTTCCAAGATTATAAATTTTCGCATTGTTTCCAAATGAAAAAGTAACAAACCTCCAATGTTGGTGACATCAACACTTCCCAGGAGCTGTTCTTTCCACTTCCTCAGGCTCTCATCATCCTAAATCCCAAAATGTCAACCAGATTCGTCGAAAACAAATTATTCTTCACACAAGATGTAATGTAAAGATTTGTTTTTTTTTATTATATAAAATTCAAAAAAAAAAAAGAGAGACTAGACAATCAATCAAACCTTATCCTTCTCGAGATGCTCCTTGATAGTGTACTGAGGGCCCAATTGTAATTTGGAATCATCGTCTTCTTCTTCCTCGGTAGCGCAAAGAGAGGACTCGCTCATCTGTCTCCCCAAAGATCCAACACCCTCATCGTCGGTGCTCTCGTGATGATGAGACGGCGCCGTTCTGGACGTGTTTTCCTCGTCTCCTCCCATGTCCCTGGAACCCGATACAGCTCCAGATACCAAAGACATCAATCAGCTTCGCACCTCCTCTCCCCCAAAGCCTTTCGAGGAATGTCAAATGTCGTTTGGGGATCTAATCGGAAAGGAAAGAGAAGAGAAAATGAGGGGTTGGGTGAAAATTTAGGGATTTAGGCTCTCTGGTAACGGGAAGGAGATGGAGTCATGTGGTGATCCGAGTTATATGAGAGAGAAAGAGAGAGAGAGAGAGAGATCGTGAGCGTCACTAACGAGAATTCCGAAAAGCATAATTGTATTCTTCTTCCACGCGCAGAGGAGACGAGCCTCGAGCCACGACAACGACAAACATTATTGTTTTTCTAATTAATTACCTACCTCACGGATCAATTATTAATTACTAATTTCATTTTGATTGCGTTAATGAATGACAGCCGGTTTGATCCGGTCTGATTTTAGAAATCCAGTGGCATTGCATGATGTTTCAATTTCAAACAAGGGCATATGGGCAAATGCATGCTTCTGATGACAATACTAATTACTACGCCGTTTTGTTTGGGAGGTCGCACCGTTAACGATGACCATCTCTAGAACATACATAACATAGAAGTTCATAACATAATACTGAAGTTTTAACCCCTGTCTTAAACATTCGTGAGCATTGATCTTATCCTAACATGTTCTCACTACATTTCTATCAGTTTTTATGTTATTTCCTAATCCTACCCCGAAACCATGCACGCAATATACAATGCCTTTTCAGAATCATATATGCCTATTTTGCTCGGATAATTAGTTGTCAGCTTGGTCATGCAATTAGCCTATATGACACATGACGTAAACTAATTGGTTTCGTAAACAACCGGTCTAATTCATGCAATAATTATTTTAAAAAAAACACACACACAGACATCGAAAGGGAATGAAAGAAGGATAAACAATAATTGATGTCATCGCTGCCACTCCAATTTTTGATGGGTCTCTACCGTTCTCCATTTCTCTTGGTCATCTCATAAACGAAGTTTCTCATATTTTCTATTTTTCTTATGTGAGAGAATGGTAAGTTTTTTTTGTTAAAGGGTTTGAGAGAATGGTAAGTTGCATGGTAGATTAGTAGCAAAATGATCGGTTTTTACTTTTTATGTTATGAAAGTTGGATATTAATTGAGAAAATGATGGTACGTAGCACACAAGTTACTCCACTATTTGAAAACCGAAAACGACATATGTTCATCCAACAGCAATAATGTCCCGGTGACTTTTTTTTCATTTATCACAAGAGCAAATGATTATCGGTCGTTCACATTGTACTTGATATATGATATATCCAGTAAGTTCGCCATCATATACAATTTTTATGTAATAATCCCGACACCACAAACAAAATGAAAAGACTTCCATTTTAACAAAGATGTTTAGATCTTTAAAAAAATAGAAAATAAGATGTTTAGATCTTACGATGAATAGAGATTTCAAACGATAAGGAATCTTTCCACATGGGTTTAATATTCAGATCGAGGGATCACACTATAGTTGTCTTTATTTATGTACACATTTCTGTTTTTTTTAGCGAGAATGATATGATTTGCGTGATTTGCGAAAGCCTTCTTTTTAAAGAAATGATATTTCTTTAAATTTTGCTTTATCGTCTTTTATTATCTTGTTATGAACTTCATATAGATCTAAGAATATGCTTAGAGATTCTTTTTCCTGGTCGGATTGCTTAGTGTTCGAGCATACTATATGACAAGTCATATGATCATATTACATAAACAGCGGCCTTGCTGTAATGAAAATGAATTGACACAACAAAATGGCGATAAAAAACTCCAGCTATTACCGGAAACATTTACGGCTAATATTATGAGATTATATATACATTTAACCAAAAAGACAGGTAAGAAGATGCAGGAACAGACTCATAACCAAACTTAAACAATTTACATTAAAAAAAATAAAATAACTACCATCAATTTATCAAGACTATAAAAGGAATCAATATGTATGACTTATTTTTATGAATTGCTTATAAATCAAGTGGTGTATCAAACCAAGACAATGTTCCAACATGAACAACAGTGTGAAACCAATTAGGCAAGCCATTGAAAACAAGATCTTTAAATTTACCCACTTTTGGATCATATGCCACAAGAACCCTATTCTTATACTCCAACAAAACCTCTCCATTCTCCAACACACACAAAACCCGAACCACTTTACCATTCTCAGCGTTCTTCCAAATCCACATCGGTCGGTCCAAATTCTGCTTTAGCCCCTTTGGCAAGTAAGTCCCAATGCTATACTCTTTTCCCCAAGATTCCTTAACCCCATAACTCCTCATCACCCATATATCCAGTTTCATATAGTTACCATAAACGACCGCGCATAGACACCCTTTCAGGTTCACTAGCCTATGGTTGGTCCGGTTTAGCCCACCACAGTCCGGTTTAGGGATCTCTCTAAACTCTTCATCTCCAAGATCAAACGACACAAACTTACGATCCGGCACGTGCCTACGAGGCCGTGTCACGAAATGTAACCTTCCGTTGACCAAAGCCTCCGATGAACGTTTCACAAACTTATAAGGAGCTTTCCCTAAGCTTCTCCAAGACAAAGATCGATCTGTTCTTGATGACAAGGTTAAGATCTGAACCTCTGATTGCTTGTACTGGATCCTACCGCGACCTCTGTAGTTACTGTTGCTACCTCTAAAGTAAACTATCTTGACGACTTTGTATTCCTTTGTCGTTTGGTGGAATCCGAAACCGAAGACGAGTTCTTGATCGTGGTACTTGTTGGAACACTCGGGAAGCTCTAAGGAGTTTGTAGTGAAGGGGTTGTAGAGGTAGAGTGAGTCGTTGTAGAGAGAATCAGACATACAGAGCAAACCGTTACACGAACCAACCACGTCGAACTCCGGCATGGAAGATGCGAATCTTAGAGAGAATTTCTTGGTCTTGATGCGTTTCTCTTCTTCTGATAGGTCTAGGAAGTGAAGGCCGTTGCGTATCGGGAAGTCGCAGTGAAGGAGAAGACATGGCTTTGTCGGGGAAGAGGAAGAAGAAGAGAGACGACCGTGTTGAGTCAAAATGGATCTCCAAGATCTGCAAACGAACATAAGCCGAGCTAAGGAGGAGATGGGAAGGCGAGAGAATATGTCGGTGAGAATATCTCCGGGAAGGGAATCTAGTAGTCCTTCTCCGTCGTCTACGGTTGTGGTGATGTCATCAGTGATCTTTCTCTTTTTGAAACTGTTCTCTGAATCCATGGAAGGTGATGAGAGAAAGAGAAGCAAGAGTTTGATCTTGAGATGGAGAGAGAGAAGCAGAAGAAGAAGAAGTAGAAGATGATAGAGCAAAAAAAGAGGGTACACGTTGAATAAGCATCACAAAATAATAATTCTTCTCGTGGAGAAGTTTATTTTTCTTTAATTTAAATTTCTTTTTAAGTGAATGGAACAAAGAAAGATGATGATTGGAGAGATCTAGACCGTAGGATGGGATTGGAGCTGCGGTTGTCAAAAGAGAATAAAGAAAACGGAGGAAGAAAACAAATGGGAGGGGAAAGTGTGATGATGACAGAGCAACACTTAATTTTAAAATTAGTTTTTCTTAGAGACTTTAATAATAAGAACAAAAAAAGAAGTTGCCAACTCATGCAAAAGTCCCCTCTTTTGCATCTCTCTTTCCTTTTACTTTGTATTACTATCTCTTACCTTTTGATTTATAAACTTGTATACTTTCAAAATTTTGCAAAAGAAAATACCTCTTTTTGATTAGAGTTCGTGATGCAGATTAATTATATTAAGACCTTTTTCTTTTCCTATTGATATAACAAGACTTCTTCCTCGATTTTATATAAGTTAATGGGTGAGATAAGCATTTAGAACAAATCCATTGTTGAGACTTCAAGATTAAAGTATGTCTATTTGTTGTGCCCGGTTTCGGCCATAATTATTAATTAGCGTGTAAACATAACTTAGATGAAGAGTTTGGATGGAGACTTACAAAGCTATGGAGAGTTTACATTTACTATTTTGATCAAGGGTAAACTCTCCATAGCTTTGTAAGTCTCGATCCAACTCTAGAACAAGTTTATTACCCACAATTTAGAGTAGCAACTTGAAAATGAAAATGTGAGTTTGAATGATTTCATTTATTCATATGTTTCATCATAGATCAAGTACAACACTGTTGAGATTAGATATTGGAAGGGTTAGTTAAATATTAGTTGATCAAAAAATTTCTTCTTCTTATTAACAAATAGAGAGATATCGCAAATGGTGGGTGGGGGCAGTTGTGCCGTGAGTGTTCTTCAAAGGCTAAAAAGTAAGATTTAGTGTAAGGAGTTTCCCACCACTTTGGTTTTTCCCAAACACTTAATACTATTTTTTTTTGTTTTTAGGCTGTAATTATATGATTTAGCATTTGTAGGTCCATCTATGTTCCAAGCTTAAATTTAAACAACTCAAGACAAGATGTCTATTCTTGATGTGTTGACTTTGAGACGAACTTTTAAATTATTGTACAAGAATCAAATTCGCCATCAACATTTCAATATGGTTCGACGTATGGATAGTTTCCCGAAGAGTGTGGTCCGGTCATGTACCGTCCGTCATACACGTTTTGTGAGAGTGTAAACTATAGAGCACAATGGGGTGAGATAAAGTTTTAGGTTAACTGAAAAAGTAGAGCTTTTCTTCTATTATTCACATTGCGACCAACAATTACAACTATATATACAAACTGTAAATGAAGCAAAATTGAGGAATCAGCCAAACATCTAGTGATTTCTTCATCTTGTTTCAATAAAAAGAACACAAGCTTCGCAGTCAAGCGCGACACCTTTCTTTCAAAGCATCGCCAAAGCATCTATCTGTCTTTCAGTTTCGACGTTCGGTTCTCAGCACACTCTTGAGAACCTTTCTGTACGCTTCAAATCCCCACACATCCTTCACTGGTCTTTTCAAAAGGTGTGGACTATTCTTATTCGCATGGTAATCATCAAGTTCCCATTTTCCTTCTCCGCCATCTCTCGTCTCCTTCCCTGTTGACTCTCTGCATTTGCGCCATTAAGCTCGTGCCCTGCTGGTTCTCGCATTGGCACCATTAAGCTCGTGCTCCTGGGCTCGAGTTTAATGGTGTCAATGCGGAGAATCAAGCAGGACGAGGATGTTACTGCGGAGATGACTGACTAACTCACTACCTGATCAAAACCCACCAACTGTAACATTGATCAAAGTCCCAACAATAAGAAATGGCAAAATTAAAATCGACGTCGAGTTAAAAGAGAACAACTTTCGATTTATATTAGGCAGCAAAGAAACCCTCAGAAGTTGCCAAGTATCTACAGCAATGGTTCCTCTAAAACCTCCATGGAAAATATTTTCCAAGAGGGAGCCCCATTTTCTCACCGTTCCAGATTACTAAAACTTTCATCACTGGGAATCTAAACTCAAAACTGGTCATTCTTGAAAAGTATCTTAGGGTTCCTATTTCTTACTTAGCTCAACTGTTGAACGACATAAAAAGGTTTTGGAATCAAGCTTACCAATGACATCATAAGATGTAAAATAAGCTGAGAGAGATATTGGTTTTGGTTACCATCGTATCCAAAAGGCTTCAAGAAGTCTTATGGAGAGAACGAAAAAGACGATGCTTCTTCCTCTTTGAGTGTCTTCCATGGCCTTTCTTCATCACATGTGGAATAAAGGCCACCTGTATTCATGATGACCAATCAAAAACAAGATTATAAGACACAGAGCATAACAATTTCAATCAGAGTACAACAAACAGAGCCAATTAACACTTATATAAGTAGGTAAACCTGAGAATTGTTCCGGATTCCGACGTCCTGAAGAACAGCGTCGTCGTCAATCAACTTCTCATTATTGCACGAAAGGCAGAAGTTCGACCATACATGCTTCCTGCATATCCCCAGAAACTCCTAATAACTACAAGCTCTCTGCATTCCGAAAGTGAATCAAAGGAGAAGCTATGGTGTAGCTCGTTCTCACCAAGAAATGTGGCGATGACCCATGTTTGATTGCTCCATTTCGTTAACTTTCTTCTTGATCAAAAGCTTCAGATCTTTCAAAGTAGCTGAATTCATGACCGCCACATCTGCCAATACCCAAGTGGAGCAGAGAAACATGTAAATGCTAAAATGCACACCACTCGTTCGAAGAAATGCCCAAATGAAAAGTTATGAAGCGTACCCAAGGAGGAGCCGTCGAGTTTGACGACGGAGAGACGCATTGCGCTTCCCTTTTCCAGGCTGACGAGAGTGACGACGTCTAACAGAGTCGGATTTCTCGGAACGTCGGCGAGAATCGGATCGGCAAGTAGATGAGAGAGAATCGATTTCAGCTTCTCTCTCTTCATCTCGACGTCGTAATCTCCGATCACGACACTATCGCCGCCGCTCTCCATTTTTGCCTCGTAGGGTTTGTTTTTCTCTCGTGAAGAATAAATTAAAAGAGAATGTTCATTGTTCATCGAACACCAAGCCCATTAACACACACTCTTCACATTTGGGCCCAAGTTAGTTAATTTTGTTCTCTTGAAATCAAAATATGAATACAAAATTTGTTGTAGTGTAACCGAACTAAACCAAATCTTAAGTTTCATCAAACTGAGCCAAATTACAATCGTTTGCTTTTATTTGGTTTGTTTTTGTTAAACCAAAACTATAAACCGGATTTCCAATCACTAGACGAGGGAAAAATTGTGGCATGCATGTCTCCATAAATAGAAAACGAACCAAGTCAAAAGGATTGAGCATGATTTTCTAATTATATACCATAGACGAAGTACTCAACACTATTCTTAGGTAGGTAGGAATGTGTGGTATTCAAACTCCTTTTGCGCCTCTATAAAACGAACTCTCGATTCATCAGAACAAACCAGAAAAACAAAACAAAAAAAGTTTCTAAAGAAAAGAAAAGAAAAAGAAGATAAGAAACAATAAATTTTTTTAAGTAAAGAGAATAAAAAATGGCGGGTTTGTTAAGAGCAAAGGCAGTGCTATTAGTAGTACTAGTGGTTATGGCCGCAACAATAGCAAACGGGGCTAAAGATCTCAAGGAAAAGAATGCACCAGCAGCTGCACCAATTGGCACTAGAATAAAAGATGATGTCGTAGGAGCTGGAACCAAGATAAAAGATGGGGCCAAAGCAGCTGGAGGCAAGGTCAAAGATGGGGCAGACAAGGTCACAGATGGGGCCAAGAAAGGGGCAAAGAAGGTCAAAGATGAAACCAAAAAAGCTGGAGGCAAGATCAAAGATGGGGCCAAAGCAGCCGGTGGCAAATTAGGAATGAGCAAAGGAAGCGCACCTGCACCATCTACAGTGGCCAAAGGAGTCAAAGTAGACGGCAAAACCAACTAACCACATACAATAGAGCCTTTATAAATTAATATATTTTGATAAAATAATAATTACTATGATATTAAATAAATTTTCTCCGAATAGAAATCGGATCAATGTAAAAATTAGCTAATTTTGGTAAGATTAATAAGACAATAATTTTTTTTGAGAATGTTCAGTTTTCTTTAATATATTCAAAAACACATATATAGTATTGTATTTTTCATATGCATCCAAAGATTATAAAAAAAAAAAAAAAATAGACGCGATAATTGCTTTTTATGCGTAAGTATTTCTTTTTAAAGATATTGAGTATTGTCTTCAAATTCATCATACTATTGCTTCTAAATTCTAAACTTTTAATATTTTTACATGGATTGTTCAGTAGGCTAATAAAACACATTCTATTGCCACATTTGAGATTTTTAATCATAATCTTAAGTTCAAGTAAGTTATTTTGCGGCTGTATGAAAAGAAACATGTGCAGCAGCTCGAGCATAGTTACAATGCCAAAGGGCGAGTATTTGGTGAAATGCTTAGAGCTCAAAGGTCCATGCAAAGGTCTAGTCACTTTAGAAATGAATGGCAATCTAAAAGCTCCCGCTACGGCCACTACCGGTAAAAAAATTACAGATTTCACTTTGAATGGAATGGAGCCATTTCTGACGGTCGATGACTGCGCCAAAACTGGCAAATGCTACACTCTAGCCATCGTAAGGACTGACAGTTAGACATAAAATATAAGCCTGTCTTTTAATTCAAATATAAAATTTACCAACTCGGTAAATATAGATAAGGATTTGGTAACATAATATCCGGTTCACTGGTCTCACAAACTCGAAAATTATCCGTATGACATCAACAAACAGCAAACTTTTCCACATGAACATGATTGGACCTTCCGTAGGCAAACTTTGCAAGGCCTTGTTTTAAAGAAAAAACAACAAATTCTTTATTTTTGTATGCACCTGAAGTTGATCAGCGGAAGTGTGACTAGCTAGTGCGTTGGGTACATATTTAGAAAGCCTTCACTGAAGTGGCGACTTGCGTTCCCAAGCCACTACTCTAACTTTTAGTTCTTAAAATGCTATCACAAAGGTCTAGCTAACTATCCGATTTTCTTTCTCTATGAAAAAAAGTTTTGTTGAAATGTCTTTTCTTTTCTTTTATGTGTATGGCAAAGATTACTGTCAACAGAGTTTATTTTTTTTGAGGACATTTCATAAACTCTGGGCTGACTTTTAATTTAACTTAATTTTTTAGTACTATTTTTAAAAACGTAAAATACTTGCATTTGTGTTGCGTTAATTTATAACATATTAAAAATCATATATTTGTTTGGATAGTAAAAGTATCAAATAAGACGAATTGTTGACAACAAAAGTATGTAAGATGAATATTTCAACTTTTTAAGTTAAACATTTCTTAAGAATTTCAAATTACACATTTTCCTTTTGCACAGATAACTTGCATTTACGACTTTACATGAGATAATTTTGGTAAATACTAAATACAGACTGAAACTATAGAGGTTTCATTAAAAAAAAAACACTATTTCAACCTAAGCGTATATAAAACACATAGGACAACAAAGTCCATAGTCTGTTTGTGTAGAGAAGGTTCACTTTTCCTATGGTGTGTAAGCATCTTAATTTGTTTCGGACTATTCACACTCAGCCTTAATTTCCAAGGCAAGGATCGATACATTTGGGAAAGTGCATATGATGATAATAACATACTTCAGCTAAAATTAAACCTCCCAAAAATTGTATTATACAAATTCTATAAACATGAGTAGAACAAGTCTCTTGTCTACCAATAAAACGCTAATTTCTCAAAACTAGACCTAGTAATTAATTCCGCAAAAGCGGATCAAACAACCTAAAAAACGAAACGTTGAGAGAAAATGGGCTTCAACATCTCTCCATGCAAGGCACTATATAAATCAGCCAAATGCTTAGCTAAGAACTCAGAAAACAAAACAAAAAACATAAAAAACATAAAAACAAAAAAACAAAACTATAATAAAAAAAAACAAAACAAATATGGGTTCGTATTTCGGAATATCAACAATTTTGGTCCTATGTTTGCTGGGAATCTCAGCCAATGCTCATGTGTTCACGGTTCCTGGTGCTCCAGGTTCTGATATTACTAAGGTTAGTTCTACTGCTTTTCGTTTCTTGCTCCCCAAGAAATCTATAAAATGATTTCTTTCTCTTTTTATTTTGACTTACTCGTTGTGTGGGTTCCACACTCTTCCACTGCAGGCACTTCTAAAAGCTTTCACCGATGCATGCCAAGCTCCCGCACCGAGCAAAGTAGTGATCCCAAAAGGTCAGTTCAAGCTTGGTGAGATCGAGATGAGAGGTCCATGCAAAGCTCCAATTGAGGTCTGCATGCAAGGCACTGTCAGAGCTGACGGTGGTTCTATCGCGGGAAAGGATAGATGGGTCGTCTTTTCAAAAATTAATGGATTTAAGTTGAACGGAGGTGGAATCTTCGACGGTGAAGGCAATGCAGCTTGGAGGACCAACAATTGCCACAAGACTTTCCAGTGCAAGAAACTTCCCATGGTACGTGTTACTTATTGAGATAAGGATATATTCCTATATTGTAATAAGGATAACTTCCTATTATGTTAGGTTTCATAGTCGGTTTAGGCTTTACCATCTTGTATAAGTACTATGCTATGTGAATCAATACAATCAAGTTGTTACCCATAAGAAAAATATTAGAGAAATAAATAATAGAGGACAAAGAAAATTTGTCGAGAAATTTAGTAGTAGTAGAAGTAGTAGAAAAAAAAAAAAAATTGTAGTAGAGATTTCTTAAGAATCGATTTCCATAGTAGAAGAAAGAGTAGACATTATTCTTTAGGCAAAAAGAAAATATGTTAAACGGAAGTAAGAGAGAAAAACCTAGGTCAAAGGATCTTTTGCTCTGATACCATGAAATAATTATGGGTAACAATTTGATTGTATTGATTCACATAGCATAGTACTTATACAAGATGGTAAAGCCTAAACCGACTATGAAACCTAACATAATAGGAAGTTATCCTTATTACAATATAGGAATATATCCTTATCTCAATATTACTGTCTTTGATAAACCCTAATCCGAGCTAGGGTTGCTAACAAAACAATATATTGATGCTATTGTTAATTTATGTTTTGTTGCAGAGTGTAAGGTTTGATTTCGTAGACAACGCTGATATCAGAGACATAACCTCGATCGACGCCAAGAACTTCCACATTAACGTTATCAGCGGCAAGAACATGACCTTCGATAACATCAAGATCAACGCTCCAGCAGAGAGCCCCAACACCGACGGTATCCATTTGGGAAGATGTACCGATGTCAAGATCCTTAACACCAAGATCGCCACCGGAGATGACTGCATCTCCGTCGGAGATGAAATGACCAATCTTCTCATCGAGGGAGTCACTTGCGGTCCAGGACACGGAATCAGTATCGGAAGTCTTGGAAGGTACAACTGGGAGAAAAACGTCAACGGCGTTACCGTCAAGAAATGTACTCTCATCGGAACTGACAACGGAGTGAGGATCAAGACATGGCCGTCCGCTGCTTGCACCACCACCGCCTCCGGTATTCATTTCGAGGACATCACCCTTGACAACGTTCTGAACCCAGTCATCATCGACCAGGAGTACTGCCCACACAACCAATGCAACAAGGCCGTAAGTAAAGCTTACATATAATCCCATGCTTGCCACTATATATATATATATATATAGACGTTGCAAATGGCACCAAAAATGAAAATTGTTCCCTTGTTTATATGCGCAGAAACCATCAACGATTAAGCTTGTGGACGTCAGCTTCAAGAACATTAAAGGAACATCAAAGACTAAGGAAGCAGTGAAGCTATTGTGCAGCAAGGGATTCCCATGCCAGAACGTCGAGATTGGAAACATTGACATTAAGTACACTGGAGCCGATGGTCCAGCTGTTTTCCAGTGCTCAAACGTTGTGCCTAAGCTGACTGGAGTCCAGAACCCGAAGGCTTGTACCGGACCCGTGACCATGCCACCAGGACAAGACTAAAGTGTGTAGACGCTCAGATCAACATCTAGGGCTTCTCACATCCAATTTTCTTCAATTTTGATTTTCCTTTCTTTTTGTTCTTGAAAAGTCTCATACGGGAGACTTGTACAAATAAACAATGATGCCAACACGTATTTATACATGTGTGAGTGCATAATAATGTAATAAACAAAAGTTTTTTTATATATTTTTTTCTTGCATATGAATAACCTTTTCTAGTTTTAATATGTTAATTTACAATTGATTTAGTTCAAAATCATTGGCAATAAATAAATTGTTTCGTGTATCTTACATATATATAGTCTAAAGTTCTCTCTCACTTTCGATATTGAATATTATTCAACACTTGTTCTTTTGAGCTAATCATCTACTTAGTAAAGTATTTCAATCCGAAAAGAAACTTGATTAGAAGAACTAATTACAACAAAACAGAAATCAAGTGCAGTTTCAAGTTCTGCATCGATTTTAAAGAATGGTAGTCGTCTGACGCAACAACGTATTGGCCAACCATATTTAGAATTTTGGCATTTTAGATGGATAGACCACTTTTGCACGAAGATATTTGTGTATAAACCAAATTACTAATGTGACCATATTTGAAAAATAAACATTTCTTAATCTTGTAGTACAGTGTTCAAAACTTTTCGGTACATCTGAAAATCTCTTAGAACCTCCTAAAAATTTGTGTGATATATATGATATTTAAAGAAAAAATGTTGTTTTCCCCTTTTAGATAATTTTTACCCTCCAAAGATACAACAAATTCAGATTTTATCACCAGATTTTGTTTTTACAAAAATAGACATCAGCATGCTAAAACATGGGTCAAACAATTTTCCTAGAACATGACTGATGCATCAAACAACCTAAAAAACGAGAGGCTGTGAGGAAATTAGACTTTGATATCTCTCCAACAAACACACTATATAAACGTAAACAGCAGCTTAATCAAATTCCAGAAAACAACAAATCAACTAGTAGAATAATAAATAGAAATATTAGTAGTAAATACACCATGGGTGCATATTTTGGAGTTTCTACAATTTTTGTTTTCTGTTTGTTGGGAATCTCAGTCAATGCTGAGGTATTCACCATTGGTTCTTCTCCAGGTTCTGACATTACTCAGGTTAGTTAATTTTTTGTTCCCTTTCTTGCTCTCCAAGCAATCTGCAAAACCATTTTCTTCTGGCTTTACTCGTAAGGGTTTCTCACTGCATTGACATGCAGGCACTTCTGAAAGCATTCACATCGGCATGCCAATCTCCATCACCGAGCAAAGTGGTGATTCCAAAAGGTGAGTTCAAGCTTGGTGAGATCGAGCTGAGAGGTCCATGCAAAGCTCCAGTCGAGATCACCCTTCAAGGCACAGTTAAAGCTGACGGCAACTCTATCGCCGGAAGGGAAAAATGGGTTGTCTTCGGAAACATGAATGGCTTTAAGCTCAACGGAGGTGGAGTCTTCGACGGTGAAGGCAATGCTGCTTGGAGGACCAACAATTGCCACAAGACTTTCGAGTGCAAGAAACTTCCCATCGTATGTGCTTCTTCTATATACCCTTTTGAAATTTAATTTAGTTAAGATAACAATTTAGTGATATTGTTTGTTTTTTTTTTTTTTTTTTAACAGAGTATAAGGTTTGATTTCTTGGTGAACGCTGAGATCAGAGACATAACTTCGATCGATGCCAAGAACTTCCACATTAACGTGCTGGGAGCCAAGAACATAACCATGGATAACCTCAAGATCTTTGCTCCAGCAGAGAGTCCCAACACTGACGGTATCCATATGGGAAGAAGTGACGGAATCAAGATCCTAAACACTAAGATCGCCACCGGAGATGACTGCATCTCTGTCGGAGACGGGACGAAGAACCTTCACGTCGAGAAAGTCACTTGCGGTCCAGGACACGGAATCAGTGTCGGAAGCCTTGGAAGATACGTACACGAGCAAGATGTCTCCGGCATTAGGGTCATCAACTGCACTCTCGAACAGACCGACAACGGGTTGAGGATCAAGACATGGCCGTCTGCTGCTTGCTCCACCACCGCCTCAGACATTCATTTCCAGGATATCATCCTCAAGAACGTCAGCAACCCAATCCTCATCGACCAAGAGTACTGTCCTTGGAACCAATGCAACAAGCAGGTACGTAACATGATTGGTCTAGGTTTCCACTAATAGTTTTTCTATCCAACGCATGATTCTGATTTTTTTTCCAATGCTTGTGTACTTGTGATTTGCAGAAGCCATCAACTATTAAGCTGGTGAACATAAGCTTCAAGAAGGTCAGAGGAACATCAGGCAACAAGGACGCAGTGAAGCTATTGTGCAGCAAGGGATATCCATGCCAGAACGTGGAGATTGGAGACATTGACATTAAGTACAACGGAGCCGATGGTCCAGCGACTTTCCAGTGCTCGAACGTAAGTCCCAAGCTTTTGGGAAGTCAGAGCCCTAAAGCGTGCAGCGGTCCAGTGACCAAGGCACTCTAAGAAGTAGAAGCTCAAAAACTATTAATTTTTTAAGCATCCATACAAGATTGTTTGTTTTCTATACACAAACTATGGTCTATGATGTATGCTACAATTCTATTTATTTCTAAAATGGATGCATCCGATGATGCCCTTTTTGACAAAACAAAAATTCTCTTTCATTTACTCAGATAATTCAAGTCATATATTTTTGTGGCAGCTAAGTAAATCTTATTTACGTATTAACTAACGGTTCAAGCCATAGAGTTTTGTGGAAAATAAGTATTTTCTATACATATTAACTAAGCCACCACTGTAGTGCTGCTTCCTCCGTGGACTAAGACGGATAGTGGTGGCTTGGCTACTCGAACATTTCTTCCTTAACTAGCACGGTTAATCTTAATCATAAAAACATCATATCTCTATTTAAATATACTCCTGCTAAAAAAACTGTTTGGTACAAGTTTTGCATGACCGATGTAGCTTTGTCTAGCAACAAATGTGAATTTTCATCTAAATGATTTCATCCCGAATATATTATCTCTGGAAGAATTCCACATGCCTCTTCCAATTATTTTAATTAGTTAATCGGAAATTTTTGTAGGATAATTAGATTATGTATTTAACATCGACTCCTCTCACCTTAATTTTTTAGCAAGAGGCACTAGACTAGGTTGTCTCAATTAGGTATTCTATGCGAATAACCAAACCAACTTTTTTCGCTCCCGGATTTGAAAACTCACAAATCATGTTTTAGGTAGACATTTATAGTAATTTCTTTTATTCGGTTTAACATTCTACATTTCCAAGCATATATGCAATCTAAGATCAGAATTATATTTTCGAATAAACATTGTGGAAATCACAAATGATGTTCTTGTTAAAATATTTTTTTCTAACATACTATATTTCCACACACTAATGCAATGCAGAGAAATACATAAGAATGATCATGAATGAACTAATCATGAGTAGATAATTGAAGGGGAAAAAGAAGATATGAGACTAAAACAAAGAGAAAAGATAGTAGACGATATTAGTTTCCTCTGATTCAAATCATATTTAAGGATCATCAGATTAAAAGAAAAGCATAAGAGAGAAATGAATAAAACATAAAAATAGTTTCTATAAAATAGAAGTACATGAACAGAAACGAGTTTGGTTGCGTTCGCATAAGACATACAAACAGCTTGAGAACAAAATAATCTCATAGTGATAAAAAGACTTATTCTCGAAAGCCCTACATGGCTAAATACTCTTTCCATATCTCACACTATCAAAAACCAAAAACCTTAAAAACAAAAGAAACATACTCTCTAGTACAATCTGCCTCAAAACACAAACCCTTAACCATAACCCCAAGAAGAAGAAGAAGAAAAAGAACCATTACATGACAATAAAGAAAACTGACGAAGAAGGATCATCTTTTTTTTTTTTTTTTTGTGTTGAACTCTTCTTATGTATTACCGCCTCGCCGGAGACTGATACAGTTTCTTCTGTCCCTCATTGAAAGAAAGAAAGACAAAAATAGGAAAAAAAAAAGAAAGCAGAAAAAAGAAGCCTAGGAGGACCAATGAATTTAGAAAAACCAAACCATGACAGAAAAATCTGTGGGATTTTCTGGTTAGCTCTAGCTGATGATATGATCAAGTTTCAGTCCTCGTGGGCTTTTGTATGAAGGAGAAGAAAATCTAAATGATTCGCCAAAAGACACAGATTGTTCACCGTGATGGCTCGCCTACAATATCGTGGTAAAACAAAAACGATTGTACTAAGTAGCAATTCCTGCAACACAAAGCGCAAAAGGGAGATACAATTCAGAGAAGAAGAAGAGTGATGATAAGAAACCATTCACACAATTCGGTTTCTTCATCACAAGTTTCTTAGACTTCCCACAGACTCTAGTGTGACCAATGAATAAAAATCTAACTAGTTTCCTACTTCCATGATCTCAAAAGCTCCTCTAAGTGATAACAGCAAATATGAAGAATGGCTACAGCTTTTTAACCATGGTTCCTACTCTATTCCTTTACTTATCAACTAGCTCATTGCATTCTTCAAGCAGAGAATCACATGTTAAAGCAAAGATTACTATAGAAACTTGAATTACCTCTGTTTGGTTGTCTCTTGTTCACACTGTAACTGCCAACATAACCTGGAGATGAACTTCTAGCTGAAACATCCGAAGAAGGACCTCCTCCTCCAATCCCATAGCTAAAAGAAGCAGGTCCTTCTGCCTCAGGAGTTGGTGATCTCCATGTTGGATCACTATAGACTGCACCATTCCCGTAAAACTCTGCAAGTCCTGCTGCATCATAACCAGTGTTGTTGTTGGTTGCTGAGGCAGAAGAGAATGAAGATGATGGTGCTGCCTTGCCACCCCCTGTGTTTCTCGCTGCATATCCACCTGCTCCTCCCAACCCAAAACCAGATTCACCGTTTCCTCCATAACCAAACTTCATGTTCTCGTTACTAACAGCATTGTTCCCTCCTCCTCCAGGAGCACCCCAATTGACTCCTGAATTGCCAAATGGACCGCTAAGTGTGTTGTTCCCACTCGTTGATCCTCCTCCCATGTAAGCATTGGAATTCGAGTTCGCAGTGTTGTTGTTGTTGTTATAGTTAAGACCTCCGTTGTTTCCCCATAGGTTCCTTGTAACCGAGCTGAAGAAGGACGAGTTCCCTCCTCCTCCTCCATTGCCTCCTTCATAACCAACCGCAGGAGCAAACCGGTTTGTGTTGCCAATATAGTAAGGACTCATTCCTCGCCCATAGTCAACGTTCCCATTAAAATTCGTCCCTCCAGTGAACCCTGTGGGCAGTCCCTGCTCAAAGTTCACATTCATCCCATAGCCAGAACCGAAGTTCGCAAACCCGCTCCTCCCAGCACCAACCGGACTGAACCGGCCATCCATCCTAAGCCCATAGCCTCCAACTGCAGCAGGATTAAACCCTTGAGCATATCCATTCAAGAGGTTGTTAACCCTATTGACTCCATAGCTGTAACCTGCACCAAGCGGGCTTCGACTTGGACCTGGAGACAACTCCTTTGGCACAGCTCGCTTAACCTCAACCATTTTACCGTTAAGTTCATGGAACGTCTTGAGCAGCACTTTCTCAACTGCTTCTTCGGAGTCATAAGTTATGAATCCGAAACCTCTAGGCCTCTGCGTGTTGTGGTCATACATGACGACCACGTCCGTCGTCGTCCCGAACTGCTCGAAATACGTCTTGAAGTCGCTCTCTGTGACGGAAGAAGGCAATCCTCCGACGAATATCTTCCTCGTCCGACCTGGACCGCCCGGAGAGCCTTGGATGCTACTGCTGTTGCTTCTATTTACCATGTTCTGGTCATCTCTCGGAACAGCTTTCTTCGCTTCAACCTGCAAAAAACGACATTTCAATACAAAAAATGTAACTTTTAATGGTTTAATAAGAACAAAATGTCATCTTTCAAGGGTTGATTGCGTAAAGAAGCTTAGAAAACAAGTTACATTGTACAGAAACAAAGCCGAGAAGAGTGTTGGGATGAAAGAAGCATACCAATCTCCCATCGATGTTGTGCTTCTCGGTTATGACAATCTCAGCAACGGCGGGATCGGCAAACACTACGAAGCCGAAGCCACGTGCACGGCCCGTGGTGCGATCTTTCAAGATCACAGCCTCGATCACTTCACCGAAGCTGCTGAAATACTCCTTGAGGCGTTCCTCATTGGTGTCCCACGATATTCCTCCGATGAAAAGCTTTCCATTGTCCGATTGCATTTTGCTCTGCACACATGGAAACTAGCTGTTTAGAAATCGGACGAAATGGTCACGAGAATCTGTCAGATCAAAAAGTTTTGATTTTTAAGCTATGCGGATGATAAATCAGATTTCATCGATTCTCATAAATCTGATCAAATGGAAAATCAAACACACAGAATCTGTATATGGCACTCGGATTCAATCTAGGAACAACAGATCCTTCATCTACCGATTAAGCAATACAAAAAATAAGAGAATCTGCGGCGGAGAGAGTTTGATCGGATTCGAATCAGAGATCAATCGAAATCTGAGATCAACGAATGGAAAAAAACCAGATATATCGAAAACCCACCAATCAGATTAAAACCCAGATGCGGAATCTCGTCGAGAAAACACTAAGATCTGAGGATAGGCACGATTTGAGTAGAGCGCATAATTTGAAAACCTGCCCCTTTTTCCACAGAAAACGAAAGATTTGAGAGAAGAAAGAAAAGTAATTTAATCTGTTTGTTCAATCCGATTCAACCCAATTTAACACAATTTCAATGGCGTCAATAAAAACATACTGACTACGCGCAGGGACGCGCTCTAGATAGAGAAAGAGAGAGAGAGTTGTAGAGAGAGAGAGAGATAGAGAAAGAAAGACAAAGGCTTTTCGGGTGCAAGAAGAAGATATGTCTGAGTATATATATACACATTACATAATTGGGGAGTTTTTTTTTTACAATTCCAACAAGCTATGTGCGTCTGTAAGGAAATCCGGAGTTAGTTTCTCCCTTCAATTTATTACACACCATTTTTTTACCATTGTTGTAAATATATTACCATATTAATAACAATTGGAAAATCTTGTTTATATATTCAAACAAAATTTTAGATTCATTAGGATGGTACATATAATTAAAAAAAAATGGAATAAAAGATGATTCCTTATGTAAAAATAGTTGGTTGGTTGATTGCATTATTCAGGCAGCATAGACTAGGCTTGTCGTTTGTTTGTGTAAGAACCACCTTTTAGTATGTGCAAATGGAATAGGATCTTGATTTTAAAACAAAAATTTCTGAAGTACGTAATTTGGTGCCGATTTTTTTTTTGTAAGACTATTAATATTATCTTAAATATACGTTTAATTATTGAATAAGATAGATAAATAGTTCGAAACGGTCTTGGATAGTAGTATTTACATTTAATAAATGGTGTGTATCTTTGTTATTGCATCTATGTTTTCAAAAATCTATTACCGCGATCAAATCCAATCAATCCATAATACAGTGACGCGAATATATACCGGTTTATGTGAAGGTGGAAGTTGAAATTCGAAGAAGCAAGAAACATTTGAAGAAGGCTATGAACATGTTCACCTTCGGGCCGAAGAAGCCTATTCCGGGCTTAAGCCCACATTTTAAAGAATAACTAAAAAGTGATAGATAAATCATAAATGACATAAGATATTGTAGAAAAAATTGTTTCATAATCCCTTTTGTCAACATTATATGGGTTAATTTGCTGAGTGACAATATTGAGTATGATATTTAAGTTTATAGCCATACTAATCTGAAAATAGAGTAACTAACAAAGAGAAAAGATTTTGGACATTACTCTCCCTCACACGTGTGGAAATTTTCCCTCCAAAAGTTCCCCTCACACATAACCTTCCCCCTAAAATGTCGTCGACGTCACCCATTACAACATGGAAACATTTATATCCACATCTATAGCATAACAACTTAGCTGTAAATCTAAAAGCTTAACCCCTAAACTCTAAAATATACTTAAATCATAAAATCTAAACCCTAATAAAGATTAGTGAACCCAACTTGATAAATATATAGTACATCTAATTTAGAGTTTAGGATTTACAGCTTAAGTTTAGAGATTACAAATCCTATTACAAAAGTTAAACTGAAAAGGGAGAAACGGATATAGACTATATCATAGTGAAATGTTCTTATACTATTTACAAAGGTAAGTAATGGTATAACAAAGAGTTATACATTAAGATCCAATGTGAAAGTGGATATGGACGATCTTTGGCCGAGAAAACAATCAAGTGTAGAAAACCAAAATGGTAACAAACATGAATGACAATGAAGTATGCGATTATGGGAATCTTCTTACTATACTATACTCGAATTCATTTATAGCCTTGGCACTACAATCACACATAGAAAGAAAATGGGCAAGAACCTCAATCGATCAATAATCAATTAATAGAGGAAAAATCAAATCACTTTAAATAACTGATTCTTCGATGAACATTTGTATATAGAACAAATGGAAATTCTACAAAGCTTCCACTATAGATTCTGGTTTCTGATAAATTACAACACTTTCTAATTACAACACATCATGAAACTCAGTTAAAAATAAACTGATTATTTTCTTAAGAGCTATCACCATTCCTAATCCAAAGAACTATGACACTCAAGATAAGTTGGATGAGGGAGCCGCAGATCTGAAGAGGAAGCCGCAGATTTGAAGCGTCGGCACCGGAGGTCCGTGCTCGAGGACTCCGCATACCCCATAGATCTAGTCGGAACTACACCGACATGAAAGACCTCCGCCGAAATCTGCCGAGCAAACGAAAGCAGAGACGGAGAGACAACTGAGAACCTCACCGGAGGAGAGCGCCACACGCCTCCCCGAGTCAAGCCACGATGCAGGAACGCCGGAGAACGACATGCACCGAGTCCAATCAGAGACTCAAAAGCCGCAGAAGCAACGCCGCCGGAAAGAGAGCCACCGGAGGACGACACAAAGAGCAGAAAGAGGAAAATATGAAGGTGACGAAAGTGCTTTCCCCGGCGGCGGCGAGAAACACTGAGCGATCGAAGAGGCGGCGAAAATTTTCTCTTTTTTTAGGTTTTGAGAGAGAGAAAGAAGTATTCTCGAAAAAGTAGCATATTTTTCAAATATTTTTGAAATTCTCACAAAAGGACTAAAATGGGAATACGACATAATATACACCGTATATTCTAGACATGTATTTACTATTGCTATTCCCTTAATTACACTCCATAATATTGTCATTCATTGCAATTTCCCACATTATATTGTAGAACTTTCTCACCAAAAATCTTGTTTTTGAATACTTCTTCTAACAAACATTAGTGGAGATATGTCCGTGTTTAGTTTTATAAAACTTTAAAATATTAAAGTGGATATTCTTTTGAAACTAAGTTTTTGTCTAAAACATTTTTAGCTATTTAAATTAACAAACACACAACAGAATATAGATCGGAGACATCTTTTTTTGAGCTAGTTTTATGCCGCAAGCCTAAAACACATGTTTAAATTTAATAACATGATTTATTGCAATATAGAAAAAAAAAACTAATAGAAAAATCTGTTTGTCATTTTAAAAAAGAAGTCCGTTTTTTAGTGTTACCGCCGCTTTATGAAAAGAAAAATTCCCTCTTAAAACATTTCCCTCCAAATTGTCAAATATTTCGAACTCTTATCTTTTGACGAATCTTCTCATACAATTTTCTTCCTTCTTCAGCCTCTGGATCTCAGTGTATATATATCTTCCACAAGTTTCTCACAATCGCTACCAAAACCACAAGCGACTTTAGCCCTTTTCTCCTTTCTCATCCCCCACCCACCATCTTTTCTTATCAAGTCTCTGCCATGGCGACCCTTAAAGCTTCGTTTTTGCTCCCAACCCTCGACACTGGCATCGCCGGAGATGTTCTCCCCGATCAGGGAAATCGCGGATCCGGTGCTATTCATGTTATCATGGGTCCTATGTTTTCTGGGAAATCGACCTCTCTCCTCCGCCGAATCAAGTCAGAGATCAGCGCCGGAAGGTAAAAAAATGATCACCATCTCCACAGATCTTTGATTCGTCCGATCCGGATCTGGGTTAGTGTTAAATTCCACGATTCAGAGATCTAATTTCTCAATTTCGTCCTTTTCTGGTTATGTAGAAGTGTAGCGATGCTGAAATCAAGCATAGATACGAGATACGCGAAAGATTCGGTGGTGACACATGATGGAATCGGATTCCCTTGCTGGGCTCTTCCAGATCTTATGTCATTTCCTGAGAAATTCGGAATAGATGCTTATGAAAAGGTAAAATTATGTTGCTTTCTGGGTATTTGGGGTCTTGATAGTGAAGGATCTGTTTTTTTTATTTGTTTCCTCTCTGAAAATTTGGCAGCTTGATGTGATTGGTATTGATGAGGCACAGTTCTTTGGAGATCTTTATGAGTTTTGCTGCAAAGTCGCTGATGATGATGGCAAAACAGTGATTGTTGCAGGACTTGACGGTGACTACTTGAGGTGCTTGATTTGACTTGACTCTTGACTTCATATTCAAACAATTTTTGTTGACTGAAATTTGAAAGTGATGATGATTCTTGGATGAATGCAGAAGGAGATTTGGTGCTCTTCTTGACGTTGTACCAATAGCTGATTCAGTGACAAAGCTTACCGCAAGGTGTGACGTTTGTGGACAGAAAGCCTTCTTCACTTTGAGAAAGACTTGTGACACGAGAACAGAGCTGATCGGTGGAGCTGATGTGTATATGCCCGTTTGTCGCAAGCATTACATCAATAATCATATGGTCATCAAAGCTTCAAAGAAAGTGTTGGATTCTGACAAGGCAAGAGCTGAGTCCTGTGTGGAGACAGTTGCAGCTATGATCTAACTGTGATTGATATGGAACTAGAAACTTATATGATAGTGAAATTACTTCTTTGTTTTTCTGTGTGCTTTCGTTTTACTCTGTCTGGGTTTATCTTTGAAATACACTTGTTATCTTCCTTGTATATATACGTGTGTTTGATGATTTTTCTATACCTTTCAATCCATGTTTCATGCTTTCTACTGGCTAATTTCACTAGCTTTGCTTATTGGTTTTGTACTTCCATAACTCTTCTTAGTAACCTGATGGGGCCTATTGGCATAGCCTGATACAAACAACCTGTTTTACTTCATCTCATGATCTGTCTCCATTTTCTTCGACCATCTGGCTTCAATAATTGGACTTCAAAAATCTCCTTTCCCGAGATTCCGGATCTTGATATGTGATACATGTGTTACTTGATATGTGACGGAAGGTGTTTCTCTAATCAAGATTCAGGATCTGATACTTGAGTTGCATTGTTCTGCGTCAAGAAAGCATGGTTTTATATAATTTTTGGACCAAGGTCATAGATCTGTCTCATGTTGCAGTGAAGATTTTAACACCTGTTACAGGCGGACCTTTCTCCTGACTATAGTGTGTAAGAATACACAAACATAAAACCATTATTAACATCAAACAATTCCTAACTCTGAGAGGAATACAGATAAATGGAACCTCAAAAGCTGAAGAGAGAACAATCTTAAGGATGACAATTATAAAGAAGCCTGAATTAGTATTACACAAAGGGGTACATATATTAAGAGAGTAAATCCCAAATTTCACGTGTGGATACTGCAACACTGAAGTGCGGTAAGCGATAGCCTGGGAGCAGAAAAGGAGCTACTAAGGAAAAAGAGAAGCGACGGAAATAAAAACCTGTATTCCATTTGGAAAATGTCAACAACATTTTAGCACAAGCTTATTAGTACAAGAAGAAGTATCTCTGTTGCCTCTGTGAGCACCAAAGCATTCAACATAAGATAAATCACAACATTCGAAACCATCAAGGCGACCTTTCCGAGGTGGTCCCATCTTTGCCAAATCTGGATACACTTCTTACACTCTTAGGAGTCAGAGCACCAGGACTCGCTCCACGGTAACTCGCACGAAGGCTCTCATCAACAGTAGAAGAAGACTTCGCTATTGCACGTCTGTAAAACTTCTGAGCAGCAGGTGAAAGCGTCCTAACATTCGGACTGGCACTTCCACTTCGATGAGGAGATGGCAACGGAGGTTTCTTAAACATACTGTTCGATCTCTCTCTCAGTTTCCGCGACGCATCCCTCGACAAAGAATGTGCCCTCACGTCTCTCGGAGGTGCAGATGGAATGTTGTAGTGCGGTCCATCAGCACTACCACCAATATCGAGAGGTGTATCCTCGGGATCTAATCGCATTGGTGTCCCATCAATCTCACCCCATGTTATAAACGGAGATTCATCAAGACCAGGTGCAGGAGATGGCGTTCTCACAAAGCTATAACCATTATCTGCTCTTTTCTCTGATTCCACATAGAAAGGATTCGGCGTCTTCCTCAGATCGTCAAGATCATACCTCTTAGACTTATCTCTGTCCCTACCTGAGATCATTGGGGAAGCACCTGCGATTGGAGTGTAGAGAATCTCGAGTGAACCATCTTCTCTTGGCCTAGTATCCATCGTCTTCCCATGGAAACGAGTGTTCCCTTCACAAATCTCCTTTGTCAATCCAAGTAATCTCACTGCCCTTTCCTCTTCAGTTAACGGTGCTTCACCACGATCAGCTGGATGATACATGAGAAGATTCTTCGCTGTGTATTTCCATCCATCTAAAGTGCTTGGAGGCTGATCAGAAGTTCCATACCCATCTGTGATCCTGTCTCTCTTCGCATCCTCAATCAGATTACTCTCCTTCTCACCTTCAAGGAGATGGGCGTACTTCTCCTTCTTCTTCCTATTTACTTTCTCCAGGATCTTTGAAAAGCTATCGTTATCCTCACTTGTGTATCTCCTAAAGAACTCATCTAAGGACATATCAACATCTATATCTCCATCACCACCTACGTCACCGCTATGTAACTGTTCTCTAACGGATACTCCAGGAGTTCTAGGGGTTTTACCATCGAATTCATCTAAAGGAGTGAAATTTCTCAGAAAAGTAGATCCAGGGGTTTGAGTTTTACCCACCGTGTCACCGAGATGAGGATTGGCCTTCTTTCCACGCCTCTCGATGATCTTCAGCTGGGCATCTCGGATTTGAATCGGGTCGCGGGTTTTCACCGCCTGGATCCAATCGAGCCGGTCCCTGAGCTTCGATATATCAGGAAAGTAATCGCGCTCGATGATCTTCTCGATCGCTTCGACGTACGCGTCCTCGTCGAGGACTCTCATCCGCTTTCTAGGGTTCCGAGGTGTGATCTTGGATGAGGAACTCCGAGTTGTCGATCGGAGACCATCGTCGGAATAAGTAGACGGCGACGGAGAAGATATCTGCCGTGGAGAGTGACCAGGGGAAAGAAACATCTCGAATCAGCGAATCCAAAAACTACGGTTAGAATTTCGGATCCGGCGAGCTTTATCGGAAATTCGGACACTAGGGTTTGTTTTTGGGTAGACAGAAAAAGGAAAACCCAATGATGGCGGATGAAAGCATCGGCGAGGATGATGATTCTTTATCAATTCCCTTTCGATTATACGCGTTTAACTTCGGGAATATTGCACTATTTCACCAAATATTCTGTCTTTGTCTATTTTAACCTCGTAGAAAAGAAAAATCGTTTTCATAAGCACTTGAGTATGACATTATTGCAAATAACTTTTTATTGAGAAACTTATTGCAAATAACTATTATGTCTTATCTATTTGGCCAAAACGTTGTCTTTTCCAAAGTCGGTGACCAAATTTTTTTTATCAATGAAGAATCAATTCAAATACAAAAGTTAATTTAGCAAGAAAAGAGTCGTATGATCACTAATTTTGTAGGTGTCATACGATTTAGTGTTTTTTCTACTGTCCTTAAACCATTATAAAGAAAACACACAACCACACATCATGTTAACACATGAACTACTTAAGGTACATGTTGGCTGAAATTAGATAAGTGACATAGTGACATAGTGAAGCACATGAAGCTCCATTTGTGAAATCAACAATTCTCTGAATCCGAGTAAACTCATGAGATTTTAGGGATATACTTTCTAAGAAAGTTTGCAGGAGATTTTGGCCTTAATCCAGAAACAAACTTCTGCAGAACATATTTTACACTTGAATACAGCTACCACAAGGCTTCACAACACAACACAACACAAAGATACAAACATCTAAGGATTGGATCTGAAAGGATTCCTCTGGTTTGATCTCGGATCTACTCTCGGCGACGACGACGCATTGTACCCATGAAGCATCTCTCTTATCTTCGAGTACATGACTGCTTGTGAAGCCTCACCACCATTGCCACCACTCTCCTGCTCTTTTATCTTCTCAAACAGATACTCTTTCTCCGCCTCTGCCTCGCTCAGCCTCAGTTTCAAGTAGTTGCTAGCGTATTCCTCTTCCGTCTTCTCCTTCTTCGCCTTCACAATCCTCTCCAGTCTCTCCGCTTCCACTTTTGCCTCGTTTGCTTTTAACTGAAACATCTCCGCCTCTGCTAGTTTCAGCCTCACTATCCTCTCCACCTCTTCTATCTGTTGTTTCTTCTTCTGCCTCTCCATCTTCAGCTCCGCCACTTCCTTTGCCTTTTCTTCCATCTCTCTCTCGCATTCCTCAAGCCCTAGCCGCGCTTTCTTGTACATCCTCGTCTTTTCCTCTCCCACTATCTCCATCTTCCTCAGCGTCTCCTTAACAACCTCAGCAATCCTGTTGCATGCGTCTTGAGGTGCTATCATTCCCCCACCTTCTCCGTTCTCAAGGCTCTTTGGAGAGTCCAATTCAATTTCTTCACACACACACACCTTAAGGTTAACACAAAAGAGTAACACTTTCTTAAATAACATAACCAAGTGGGTTTAGTTTACCTTGGAAGAACATGAGAATCAACTTGGCAGCGGTTGCTTCAGCCAGTCCAGCTTTGATCTTGTCCATAAGCTCCTCACACTTCCAGAACAGCTTCCTCCCTCTTGTATCTTCGCTTCCACGGAAGATCCTACTCACGAAGTCGAGCTCTTTCGTCAAAGACTCCTTATCCCAGTTTGGTGCACAGTGCTGAAACACATCTTTAACCCATCCAAGAAGCTCAGAAGTATGGTTACACGCTCTGCACTTGAACAGCATCTCTCCCATCCCGGACACACTCTTGGTCGAAACCCCCATCGAGATCTCTCCATCTCTAATCGCACAATCCGTATGAGTCCAATGAGAACACACGTCGCATCCAATCCAGCGGCACGTGTTGACAGCAAAGTCGAACTTGTTGCAGATCACACACATGCAGAGGTTGCAGAAGCCTTTCCTATTAGCGCATATCTCGCAGGGACAGTCGTCAGCCGGGAGCTCGTTTTGGCAAGCAATGTTTCTGCATCTCTTGTACAAGAAGATCTCTATGAGAGACGTTTGCGAGAGGTTGATGTTTGGATGCAAGAACGCTTGGATTCCAGTGTTGATCACCACAAGGATCTCTAACTGCACTCGGTGAGCTCTGATGAGTGTCTTCGAAGTTAGGTCAGATCTCGTCTGGACAAACTTCTGCAGAAACATAAACTCATCTATTGGCTGAGCACCGTTTCCTTCAAGGATAGCCTTGAGACCGTTCTTCAACTCCTCGAGATATCCTTCTGGTAAACGGAGCATTCTCTCTGAGACAATGTCCACTCTCTCTCTAGCGATGTCTCGTAGCGATACCTTGTCGGCGATGGAGACGTGGCGGATCAGAGGCTGCTCGTGAGAATCAGGTCCTGTCTTGCCGCTCTCTGACTTCTTAACCATGATGGATTTTGAGGTTGGCCACGTTTCTTGAGAGCTCGCGCTTTCAGCTGGTGATTCACGCACGATGCCGGAGTTGGACCGTGACAAGTGGGGATCCGAAGACACAAGTGAAAGAGAAGTTTGTAGTTGTTGCCGTGGAGGTAGCATCTGGTGAGGAAGGTTGGATCCTGATGATGTGCCCATCAATTTAATCCTGCAGACACCGACATTATGTCAATGCCAAAATTCATATTGACCACAAAATGTATCAAGCAAAGGAGAAACCTTTCACAGTCACAAACTTTTGAGACCTTGAAAAGTGCTTTTCATGGTGAAATGTAGTAAAGAAAACTTTGAAATTTGCAATGAAAAAATGTTTTGTAAAAGAGTACGATTTACCAACAAAATGACGTTCTGAGCATAAAATTTGAGTATTCATCCAGAAAAAACCCCTAATTATGTTTCAAAATCCCTAGAAATCCGTAGCGACAGAAATCTACAACGATAGACAAAACAACATCCTACGCTCAATTGAGCTGATGAAAGTTACAAAACAGTACGAGTAAGCCCAAGCAGGCGCCAGATGAAAGTTCCTCGAATCTGTTTGCCTCGTTGATTAGACGCTAGAAAAGTCAAACACGAATCTTCAAATCGAAAAAAAATCAAAAATCTAGCGAGTAACTAGCACAAAAACACAGTCAAAATTCGAATCAGCTCTCAGAACCACGCATCCAACTCGATCGCGAGAGTAATTGACTCTCACTATCACCGAATTTTGAAGGACCGGGCATGAACTCCAACAACCCAAATATCCAAATACTTTTGCTATGTTATCCACGGGAAACAGAAATAACCGGCAAGCAGAAAAAAAGACTGTCGGAAGGAGCACCAGAAGAAACTAAGGACTTACCGGAGAGATGATGACTGGAGACGTTACAAGACGCAGAGGACGAAGAGAAAACCAAAGGGAAAGCTAAAGATAAAATGGAAACTTCTTTTTTTCTAAAACAAAATAAAATAAAGACATACACAGCTGCCAGTTCTTAATGACTAACGGTTAACCTGACCAGTCGGTAACCGTCGACTTGTGTTGACTTTTGAACGCGTTCTATCTTCCCCAACGTTTGTGTCGGGTCCTACCCATACATTGTCTAAAAAGTAAAAACAAACCCAATTCATACAAAATTAACGCCCCTGCATTTATTGTACATTCAACTTTAGTCCCAATAGCTTTAATTTCGTGCAATAAAACCCCTTAGTTTTCATTCAAACAGAAAAATAATCGAGTCTCCTTTCGGATCTTATTACATCCAACCGAAGAGTTAACGCTAACTAAGGTTATCTCGAGGAGGATCAACTTAAACTTAACGAACAAGTTCAACATTCTCACTCTGTCAAAACATAGCTAGAGAATATCATTGCTTCTTTGCATATTGATGCTAAATTTAGAATTTTTGGGGCTTCTACTTTTGCTGCTACTTTCCTATGATGAAGTTGAGAATTCTAGCAGGATAGAGAAGACATTAGGCTTCTCTTCATTTCACTTCAACTGGTTCAACCACTTCAGCTTCTAAGAGCTCTGCATTGTGAGAATGTGCCATCGGCTGCTGCTGCTGAACCTCAGGCCTTGACCATTTCCCGGAAAGAGCAATGCCCATCATCTCATATATCTTCCCACCGAGCTCTGCTGGATTCTCGGGCTGTACATATTCAGAAACAACAACAAAGGTTTTTAATAATCTTCTCCCACATCGTTACAGAGAGAAACGAAAGAATGTGCTGATATAGAAAGCAAGTAGAGGCTTACCGTGAACCCACTAGAAACTAGTGCTGCATCATACATAAGATCTATGGCTCTCAACGCATCTTCATCATTTGGGTTACTCTTGCAAGCAGCCTGCGGAGTAAAATAAAAAGACAAGTCAAGGTTTCAATAAACGGCTCTTAGATTTAGTATGATAGCCAACCGCAAGTGATAAGGACTAGTGACTTCACATTAATGTTCTTTATAATCGAGTGGTCAGGATTGATCTCAAACACCCTTCTCCCTTTCATGAACTCGAGGCTTGTTGTGTCACCACCAGCTGATTGTTGCTTCATTAGCCTATCGGAGATAACATACAAATTCTATGTTAGTTCACCAAAAAAAAAGTTCTTACGTGGAGAAAGAAAAAAGGTTTACAGATCTTACTTCTCCATATTGGCTGACCAACCAAATTTACCAGATACAAGAACACATGGGGAAGCACTAAGACGGTTAGAGATCTGAACACTTGCGACCTTTTCGCCCAATCGTTTCTTTATCCAATCACAAGTCTGACCAAACTCCTTCTTCACTGCTGCCTCTTTCTCCTCGTTCTTGTCTCCTGTCAGTACAAGATCATAGCCACAAAGTGTTACTATGCGGTGAAGTGAGATTATCTGACATTGTATATCAAGGGAATTGCATCAGGTACTTGCCTAGATCTAAGTCTTCCTTGCCGATGTCAACAAAATCCTTCTCCTTGTAAGCTTTTAAGCTCTGTATCGCAACTTCATCAATTGGTTCCACCAAATATAGTACCTACATTCACAAGACAAATAATTGTATATCAATCACCTCAAAGCTAATAGGAGTATTTGCAAGAAAGAACAAAAAGTGGTAAATACCTCGAGCTCCTTTTCCATAAGCTTCTCGAGGAAAGGTGCATTTTTAGCACTTGTAATGCTGTCGGAAGCAATATAGTATATGGCTTTCTGTTCAGGTTTCATGTTCTCGACGTACTCATCCAAGCTTATCATATCATTCTCACTCTGGGAAGAGAAAAATCGAAGCAGTGGGGCCAAACGCTTGTGGTTTTCGCGGTCCTCGATACAACCCAGTTTTATATGTTTGCCAAAGTTATCCCAAAACTTCTCATAGTCCTGTACAAGTATAAAATCTTTAGTAGCAGTAAAAAAAAAAGGTAAAATATTTGCAAAGGAAATAAGAGTTTTGAGACATACATCTCTGTTTTCACTTAGGGATATGCCCAAGATCATATCAAAAGCTTTCCTCACCAGACGTTTCTTCATGATCCGCACCTTCAAAACACATAGCAAAAACGTAAGCTTAACAGAGCATTGCACTTCTACCAAAACATAACATAAATATATCTTAAAAGGCTATGCATAGAAACGGATTATTAGCACTTACAATGCGACTTTCTTGAAGAATCTCACGGGACACATTAAGTGGGAGATCATGTGAGTCGACAACACCCTTAACAAAGCTTAAGTAGCGAGGGAACTGTCCACAATGCACCACAGCATCACACCAACGATTAGAAAAAGCAGGTTTCTTATTAAAAAGATATTTTGAACCAAACGAAAAGAAATGTTCTCACCAATTCCCCGTCAAAGTCATCTGAGATGAAAACTCGTTTCACATAAAGCCTTATGTTCTTTGTCTTTTGGTTAACCAAGTCATCCTTCCCCATTGGTGAGACAGGTGGCACATAAAGTATGGACCTAAACTCGACCTCACCCTACAATAGGTACATTACAAATAAGATGAAATTATATTTATTTTGTGGATCCTCTTGGTGTCACCACTTTTCATCAGACATATTTTCCATTGTTATATAGAGATATCTATCTCAACAGCTATTTTCCATAAGTACCTCTGTCGTGAAGTGGGAAGATGCCAATGGGTCCAAATACTCATTGAAAGTCTTTCTGTAAAACTCATTGTATTCCTCCGTTGTCACCTCTTTTGGGGTCCGGAGCTGCAATGAATTAAAACAAACTTTGAAATCGATTCTACTGTTCTGATTTTGAGCACATATAAGCTACATCGGTGGCAGTCCTAACCCAAATTGGTTGCGTCTCATTCGTAAGCTCCCAATCCCAGTATCTCTCAACAACCTTCTTTGTCTTCTTCTTTTTCTGTTACAAGAAAAAACTTTCACTTGCTTAAGCCAACAATTATTCAGCATTGCTGGGATGCTGCTGATCAAGATATTCTCAGAATATGCAAAGAGAAGCAGGCATACCTCAGTTTGGTCATCAGTGTCTTCTTTTTTTGCTTCAGCTGGATCATCCTCAACTTCAACCTGTATAAGAGAGAACCAAACGTACAAAACAGGTCAACAAGATGAAAAACAACTTGAGCCTTCAAGCTATGACTAAGGTTTCGAATATCTGCAATCATGGCGATCATACCTCTTTGGTGTATCCCTTTTCCTGCCATGTGTATATGGGGAAAGAAACAAACTGAGAGTAGTTTTTCACAAGCTTCTGAATCCGCTCAGGATCTGCAAAGCCTTTGTCATCTTTCTACATTGAGAAAAACGAGAAAATTCAGGATACAAGGTTCTATGAGGAGGAAACAAATATTTGTGATTGAGCTACAAAATAAAATATAAAGAAACAAACAAACCTTAAGATGCAAAGTGATACGTGTTCCTCTAGGAATGATCAACTGAGGATCAGTCTCTTCCTGAATTGTGTAACTGCTTGAATCTGCTTCTCCTTCCCATACATACTGCTTATCGGACTTTGGGCTCTTGGTTGACACAACCACCTTTCAGAAAAATTAAAAAAAAAAAAACGAAATTCAGTATAAGTAGTGAATGTGTGGAGAAGTGAGCATATTAACAAACAGAGACTACAAGCATAAGAACATAAAAAATTTACCCGATCCGCAACTAAAAATGCTGAGTAGAAACCAACACCAAATTGTCCGATTAAGTTATTGTCACCACCTGCATCCTTACTATCCTGAAATCATTACAACAATGCTTAGTCGATTTTTTGTGATTCCTTGAGAGAAATAGGGAAATGGTGATTTAGAAAAATCATTAGTACCTTCAAAGCTTTCAGGAACTTGGCAGTTCCACTCTGCGCTATAGTCCCAAGGCAATCAACTAATTCTTGACGCGTCATACCAATTCCAGAATCGCTGAAAGGCAAGATATCATCAATTCTCTAATCACACAGTTGCTCAGTATGAAATTATACTTTCAAAGCAAGCAGAAAGTTACTTACGTGAGAGTAATAATTCCATTCTCTTTATCTGCATAAATGCGAATATCGAGATCAGCATAATCCTTTGAGAGCTCAGGCTGTGTAACGCTTAGATAGCGAAGCTTGTCCAATGCATCACTAGCATTGCTGTGGAACAACAAATCACGCAAAAATGCAGAACGTTAAAAACAAAAAAAACAGAATGAATTCAATTACCAAATCAAGTCACTAAACCAAGAGAAATACCTAATAAGCTCCCGAAGAAACACCTCCTTGTTGGAGTATAAGCTGTTAACGATGAGGTCCATGAGACGACTAACCTGCAATTCGTTTTAAACATGTGTGAAACACAGGAATGTTGATCACAAAACAATATATCCATTAGATATCGTACGTACCTCTGCTTGGTACTCAAATTTCTCAGCCGGAGGAGGAGCCTGAGAGGAAGATTGCGAGTCTGATGCTGCGGCGCTGGATTCATTCCGGTATCCCATAAACCAATTGGTTTTAATGTTCAATTGAGCCGATGACCCGATTCTCTGCCCATTGGTTAAGGATGAAGAATACCATCTGGCTTCGGATTCACTTCTCCCGGCGTTCTAAGACGGATAAAAATCAATAGCGAGGGTGTAAGTGAACCAAATCACGCAAAAAGGGCAATTGTTGATTTTTATTTTTACGCGTCAGTATCATCAGGGAAATTGAAGAGAGTACCGTGGCCGGTGGAGAAGAGCGGGAAACTGAAGATGCGGCGGCGACACGGAAGCTTCGGTCACCGGAACGTAGGAGAGTAGAGACCGAACGCTTAGAGAGCCTGAGCATATTCGCTACTTCTGAAAAAAAAAATCTCGCTAGAGGAAGGAAACGATGGAGAGACTGAGCAAATGGGTTTTAGTAGGGTTTTTATTTTATTTGGCCAGATGCGAAGCTTCTGGAGGAGGGCAATTTCGATATTTACAGTAAGTAATTGGGTAATTCCGTCATTATACTATAAACCATTTTTATGATAAGGTTTTGTTATAATTTTGTTCCATCAATCACCATGAATTATATAAATCATAAATCCTAAATGTTTGGTGTTTGGTATGATAATAATTTCTTCACAGAGATATTTGATACTCCGTTTAATGGAGAAGAGCTTTTTCGTCCAAGAGGATTACTAAAAGTGCTAATCTCCAAAGAAATAATGAGATGAGCTATATGCCAAATTATATCTCTCTAAGATATTTCGTGAGAAATTTTGGTCCAAGATAATGCTCGTATACGGATTTCTTCCCAACAACATTTGTGTGGACGCTATTTCTGAAAACGTTAACCACCGACGACGTCTCGTATTAAAATGGAGTATAATTTTGCAACTTTATCGCCTGTATAATTTCAATACTGTCCAAAAACCAAAATCACTGGAACATGTGAATTTATTAGAGAGAGCACAAATGTTACTATGTTTTAATTTCTTTCTCCACTCTCGATGTAGCTTGGGATTCAAGGCTTTTTCTTCCACACAAAATCAAACTACTACTTTAGATGAGCCAGACTATTTTATCTGTCACATATATATTGCACAAGCCGTAATAAAACATCTGAGAGAAAGATTTGTATACATCAAAGTACAAAACCCATAATTTGTTTCCCCATTACAAGATTTTACCAAGCCAAACAGCTTCTTGGCTTGAGTTTGTTTCTTCCTAGTGCATGTGGCTTTTATCTCCACAACCAAACCCAAACCAAAAGAAAAGAAAGAGGAAGAGAGACAAGTACGTACATAAACAGACAAAGTGTAATGTCAAGATTCAAGCTTTAGAGATACAACACGGGACTGTCGGTTGCGCTTAGCCGCCTTAACAAAGACTACTGAGAGACAAGACGGTGCCCACCATGGCCGTCGAACTCTCTGCTCACCTTTCAGGCAAGCCACTGTCAAAAACCACATTTCTTTCCTTAGTCAACAAATCTGCAGAAAAACTTAAGCTGACATGGAGAGAAAGAGAGAGAACCTTTAATCCTTCTAAGTTCTTTACAGAGGGTGATGAAGTCTCCCCATTTCATGTGATGCCTCCTTATGAAGTGGAGGATCTGTTCAGTTGTAAACACAGACATACTTTCTAGATACTCTCCGTTGACACCATTTTCTTTGAAAATCTGGCGGTAGCCACCAAGGTTTATCTCCTCAAGCCAAGATCCAACATCCTGCAAAAGCAAAAGAACAAATCTTCTCATCTACAAGACGCTCTGTGGACAAAAGGTAAATCCACAGTAGTAGCATCTAACTGAACAATATGTACATCATTGAACATAGATTCCACAAACTATCGCTACAAGTAACATTCTAAACTAAATGACCACTAATGGGACTTCAGGTTACTGGATAGGCAGAGGTTTAGTAATTTCTAGATTGCCTGATGTAATTGCAATCAAAGGTAACACCATCAAGGTAATAAGATTTCTTCTTTCAATAACCAAAAGAACTAAACCCGAAGTAACAAACATGTCCCAGTTCTTAGAATCAATCTGAAAAAATTGGGATCCAACAAGGCAACAACAACCACTTAGGCAAACTAGTGTCATACCTGAAATGATCACAAGGGGGGTGAGATCAAATCAACCCAGTGAAGGGTTTAAATTGGCTGAATTCAGATCAAAATTTGCTGAATTCAGGTCAGAATAGGGCTGGATTAATAATAACACGATTCACAAGAAGTCTAATGAACCACTCAATCCGAGAAACATACCAATTGAAGAGGTGGTTGAAGGGGGAAACAAAAAAAGGAGACTTTTTGATTGATTGATTGATTGAATTACCTCAACAGTCCAGATGAAGAAATCAAGAGGCTCCGGCGGATGTTCTCTGCTCATCGTCTCCTCTGCACAAAAGTCCCAATATAATTCGCCAACAATCATTTTACATAAGCCCAAAGCAACATCAATCTGAAATTGAAGTGAAAAAGGAAAAAAAAACGAATTGTCTATCCTCCAATCTGATGATGAAAAGAAGAAGAAGACCTACCGAAGAGACAGCTGTAAGATCCGAAATTTAAGCTTTGATCTGAGTGACAACACTTTCGATTTCTTGGGAAACAAACGGAGAGAGAGAGAGAGAGGAGCGGGATTCAGCGAACTTACAGGGGCAAAATGCGTGAATTTTAGGGTTCGAAGAGAGAGAGAGGGAGAGAAGGAGATAGGAGTCGGGGACAAATGGGTCCACCAGTGAAAGTGTGCTTTTTTCTCTTTTGGCTCTTTATCTCTTACTCACTCCACGCGCCTCTCTCACACCACAACGCGCCGCCGTCTCTCCGTACCACGACTTTTTTTGTTTATAACTTTTTGAGTTTTTTGGAGTACGTATGAACTAAATGTCAAAAAATAATAAATTTATGTATATTTGTTGATATTCAGTAAAACAAAAAGAAATAGTGTAAGATTTTCAACTAAAATTTTAATTACGTTATTTGTTTGACATTTAAACTAACTACAGTAATTACTAAAAGGAGAGATTTATTGGTAAAGTGGCAAAGGCCATTGTTGTGCTCTACCTAAGTTGTGCTTGCCTCTTGTTAGGCATAAAGGTTTGACTCTTTTCCCACAACGGAACAACAAATGAGCTTGGTGGGTGATAAATCAGCTTCTTTAACCAATTCAGTGTTTTTTTTTTTTCCCTTTTCAATTACTTTACCAATTGATTTCGATTTTATTTGTGAACACAGTAATACTCACTCCCTTTTAAAACAAGTGTCGGTTTCTAGCTATATTTTTAAGATGGTTTAAAGAATGAATAATGAGGAGAAGTGTTGAAATTGGAGGATTTGGGAGTTTGGAGAAGACAGTTGAATGTTTCAAAGTCATTTACCAAAACCCAAAGCTGAGATACACGTGATCTATCACTGGTGACACACACATACATATATATTGTTAATAATTTGACCTTTGGGTTTAATCATGGACCACACATATCTTCTCTTCTTTCAAAATCCTTTACTTTGTTTCCTGCTGACCTCATCTCAATTCTCATTTCTCCTCCCAAAATATCACAATCCTCATGTAACTTGTTGTGTTTTTGCACTTTAAACAAAGATCCAGAAACAATGGAGTAAACAAAGCCCTTAGCCTCATTAACAAGGAACCGCCCTTTTGCTTTTTTACTAATCCCTAATTGAAAATTTTAGTGTTTCCCTTACTATTATAATAGCAAAACACAGTCTTTAACACACCTTTTCTTAACACAAAGCATGGCACATTAGAACAAAGGGAAAATGATTTGATTACCTAATCTGTTCCCACTTCAGAGGCACATATAGATTCCATAGATACAAAACACGGTAGATCCAAAATTTGATCGTTGCAAACATATGCTCAAGACTCGTCTTCACAGGCCTCTGCAGCTGAAATCTCAGAATCAAGTTTGTTCATCAGAGTCTCTGACACGTGCTTAGCCACAGAGATCATGTCAAGGATGACGCTGGGGTCTAAACCAGACCCGCCTCGTTTGGTTAAACCACAGATATGGCCCGACCGGTTCACAGATATAGACACAGCTGAGCTCATCTGAGACTCTTCTTCCGCTGTTGCATCAGCTATGTAATGCGTTCCCACCTGGAAAAACCAAAGACAAGCATTTTACATTTAAAATGGCACACACAAGATTAGCATAAATTTACTTAAGAAGATGTCCATGTGAAATTCAACAGAATTAGATAAGCAATTTACTTTAGTTAACGTGACTATGACTGGGACACCGGAAGTGTCAAATTGCTGATACTCTTCGTCGCTGATGTCAATCTCCGGTTGCTCATTATCCGCCACTTCAGTTGAAACATTGACTTTTGGGATAGCGGTGTTGGCTAAAGCAGCCTGCAGGAGAACAGTCAGCAAAAGCATTAAAGCATGAATCAACCTTGAGGAAATATGACTTTTGTTTTTGATTATTGCAACATATCGTAAAGCTATGAAACCGCTAACAAGACAAATAGAGTCGGCTGATCTAAAATCACTTAACCAAAAACCTGACTGATTTCTCATCATCATGATTTACTCATTACAATTCGCAACCAAACAATATCTCAAGAGAATTACCTTAATGGCAGCACCTAAGGCATCCAATAGATTCCCATCAGAACTAATGACAAGGCCATCAATATAAAGGTCCCAGCAAACTTTTCCTTCTTTGATTACAAGCAAGGATAGATTTATCCCAGCCCCTGTTACCAAAAAGGAATTGCTTTAAACATTACAAGCTTAAAGCATAGCAATGTGCAGGGTAAAAAGAGCATTGCATAAACGTGAATGCAACAAACCTGCTCCGCTTTTGCCACCTAGAAGACATCTTTGAAGAGCTAAAGCAAGCTCAGAAGACAATTCCTCACCCCCTCTCCCCTGAGTAACAATAAGTCAAAAACTATTAGCCTCCTAGAGACTTAACAATGCAGTAGAGCTTTCGGAACCAAGATTACAAGGCCATATCAGAGAAAATCTTACCCCGAATGTTGGTTCTGCAGTTGGACTGCAATCAATGAAAACTGCAACCTTTCCTTTATCAGGTTGGAGCGAACTTGGCCTCCCAATTTCAGCCTGCAATTACACAATTGATTAGGTAACATTAACAATAGAACATGTACAACTTCACATTCAACAATGACAGTCCTGAAGAGAACAAAGAGAGTACCTTTACACTAGCAATCACATCGGTTCCACCTATCCTGACTCTCGCTGAACCATTAGCCTATATAGCCAACATAAGTCCAAAGAAGAATCAAATCTCTGAAATATATGACATTGCTAATCTGGGAAAGCAGAAACAAAGGAGCTTTCGAAGATTCGTTTACCTGCGGAATAACACCAGTTTCGACGTAGATAGGACGGTAAGTCAATCTTTTCCGGCCATCGGTACGAAGATCTTGAGCAATCCCACCTTTCACAAAGTGTTGCTCGGAAATAGAAAGCCCCACCATTTCTACACAAAATCGTCTCCACGGGTTTCAGAATAAGAAGTGGATCAAGTGCTCAAGAGCTACTAGCGGGATTAAACTTTAAAGTTCACGAAACAATTTACAAAGTACACATCTTTATACAGAACAATCAAAATAACAATTCAACCCAGAAGCCTTTTTACCTTCCCGGAGAATTCGATTGAAGACTGAAATCTGAATTTTCCGGCGACCGTGGCGGCAACTTTGGATCGGTTAGGTTTAAGGGAGAAGCGAAAACAATCAACTGCCGTAGGGTTTAAAGATGGCTTGAACATAATTATTAACTTTTCTTAAGGGTAATTTGGTCGTTTACTCTGTTCCCTTTCCTTGTTCTTTTTCTAACTCTTTTTTTATTTTTTTTTGAACAGCTTCTTTTTCTAACTCATTTTAGCGTTTTTTGTTTGTTTTTCGTGCTCTCGACTGGGTTTCTTCAATTTTCCGGGAAGAATTGCGCGAGCTCGGTGCCGATGGGTCGTTCGAAACTAGCTGCTCGTCCTGCTGAGGATGACGCGAATCCAGGGTTCGTCTAAATTTTCATTCTTCATCCGTTTTTAGCTCGAATTCGTCTAGGATCTTCTCTGGTTACTCACTTGTCTTTGCCGAAACATTTCTGGAATCTCTAGTAATCCAATTTAGTTGCGTTTATCGCCATGTTAAATTATCCGAACCAAATTTCTAGTTCGTGGGTTCTTGATTTTAAATTGCGTCCGTCTCTTATCTATCTCTCTCCTAATTTGTTGATTGCTAGCTGTTTCAGAAAATCGAAAAGGAAAAAGCTATCCTCAGGTTCCGAGAATGCAGTCGCTTCAATTTCGACCGGTATGATGGAGATAACCCTAAATTTCTTTCAATTGAATTTTTCTTTCCTGGAGTAGATACAAATATGAAAGCAATAATGTGTATTATCAAGCTGCCGTGCCTAAGAGTTGTTACATTTCTTGGTATTTTCTAGAAGTTCTTAAAGAGAATATAAACATTACGATTTCAATGTAGGAGGTGAAGCTGGGAATGAGAGGAAGGCTGGTCTTTACTGTTGTAACTATTGCGATAAAGACCTATCTGGGTTGGTTCGTTTCAAATGTGCTGTTTGTTTGGACTTTGACCTTTGTGTGGAATGCTTCTCTGTCGGCGTCGAACTTAGTCGTCACAAGAGCAGTCACCCATATCGTGTCATGGTTAGTTTCCGACGTCAAGCAGTATACTTTAACTCAACACAACACTCTTTGTTGTTTGTTGAATCTACCCTTTTGTGTGACAGGACAATTTGTCTTTTCCGCTTGTTACTTCTGATTGGAATGCTGATGAAGAGATACTTCTTCTTGAGGTACTCATTAATTGTTTCTGAACAGATCTTATTTTGTTTGTGATTGTACTCTTTGGATAGAGATTTCATTTGACTCTTGGGATGTTTCATCTATTGTTTTAGGCCATTGCGACATACGGGTTTGGGAACTGGAAAGAAGTTGCAGACCATGTTGGCAGTAAGACTATGACAGAGTGTATCGATCACTTCAATTCTGCATACATGCAGTCACCGTGCTTTCCGCTTCCGGTAAGAATTGATGAAAGTACACGATCTTCATATAGTTGAGCCTAGCTCGTTTATTTACTCAAAGCTCATCACATTGTGTAGGACTTGTCTCATACAATTGGGAAGAGCAAAGACGAGCTTCTTGCTATGAGTGAAGAGCATGCAGTAAAAACAGGTCAGCTCTGAATTTATTACTGGGGTTTGCGTCTTGGTTTGGGACTCGTATAGTCGTATATTAACCTTGAGAGAAGAATAAGGACAGTGCTGAGAGCTCTTTATCTATTTGTCACAGAAATACCTGCATCCGTGAAGCTATCTCCAAAAGAAGAGTCGCCAATGTCGGCTGAAATCAAGTACATACTTATGTTTGTAACAATGGTTTCTCTATGTTGAGTGTTCTTTTTCCTAATCCTTTAATGTGGCAGACACGAAGCTTCAGGGAAGGACAATGCAATAGATCAACCTTTGCCTGGCTTAGCTGGAGGTATTAAACACTTCTTGAAATGCTTCTATATTTATGGCCAAGGAGGCAAATTATCTGTCTTTCGTACAATAGCCTCAAATATTGTCTCTTCCATGTTTCTTACGTAAAGTAATGCATTTTGTGGACAGTCAAAAAGAAAGTCGTTGCACCACAGGCTACGGACAGCATCAAGTTGGAAGGTTTGTATATTGTGGAACAAGCTTGTATGTAAAGTGATATTTGAAGAGAAAAAAAAAACTTAATGTACTGAAAAGTCTGAAAAGACTAATGGTTGTTAATGGGCTTGTGTCGCAGCTGCAAAACAACAATCTGACAGGAGCGTCGGGGAGAAGAAACCAAGACTTCCTGGAGAGAAAGTTCCATTAGCAACAGAGTTATATGGCTACAATTTAAAGAGGCAAGAATTTGAGATCGAACATGACAATGATGCTGAGCAACTCCTCGCGGACATGGAATTTAAAGATACTGACACGGATGCTGAGCGTGAGCAGAAGTTGCAGGTTCTTCATATTTACTCGAAAAGGTACAGTTGTCACAAGAACAAACATTGTTAATCCGAAGAATTTTGTCGTAAGCCAATGCTGCAGCCAAGATCGTGCTTTGACTTTTGTTGGCAGGCTTGATGAGAGGAAGCGGAGGAAGGAGTTTGTTCTGGATAGAAACTTATTGTACCCTGATCAGTTTGAGCTGAGCCTTTCAGCAGAGGAGAGACAAATATACAACAAGTGCAAGGTCTTTGCGCGATTCCACTCCAAAGAAGAGCACAAGGAACTGATTGAAAAAGTCATTGAGGAGCACCGAATTCTCAAAAGAATCCAGGATCTTCAGGTTTGATGCTTATAATTTGACCAAACTTGAGAAACTGTTTACAAACTTAATCAGGCGGGGACATTAAGTAGAGCTTTTGGTAAACGTTGCAGGAAGCTAAAGCTGGTGGTTGCAGGACAACTTCAGAAGCAACTAGATTTATAGAAGAGAAAAGAAAGAAGGAAGCTGAAGAAAGTTTGCTGCGACAAAACCAGGGTGCACCAGGCAGTATAGCCAGTAAAACACTAAAAAGTCCAAGAGGGTCAGCCAGAAGTTTACAGCCCTTTGGTTCTGACTCGCTGTCAAAGGTCACACTTCCAGTAATATCTAGCTCTTTGGACAATTGGGATGTCAGTGGTCTCCTTGGGGCTGACTTGCTCTCTGAGACCGTAAGTACAATAACTTTCATATTAATTGTTGACCTTTTTACATTATTCCCATGGTTGTTTGAGAGATGGAAGCTGTGTGCTTTGTGCAGGAAAAAAAGATGTGCAACGAGATCAGACTACTGCCTGCACACTATTTGAAAATGCTGGAAACCTTAACAAGAGAGATGAAGAAAGGTCAGATAAAGAAAAAGTCTGATGCTTATAGCTTCTTCAAAGTAGAGCCGAGTAAAGTAGACAAAGTGTATGATTTACTGATTCAGAAGGGAATAGGTGTGAGTCCACATGATTCATGAGCCCTATGGAGAGTTCATATTCCTAACATGTAATTTTCAAACATAGATTTGCCATGTACATATGTAGGAAGAGTCTATACAAGGATGATGCAGGCGTTGGTTGCATAGATATCTTGTTTTATATTAGCTTTTGACAGCTTGACAGATTCTGATCATTACCTTTAGAGATTGTTGTTTCAATTTTTGCAATATGAAAAATAAGTCTGAGAGATTGAGATAAATAGAATCTTGGGTGCAAGAAACTAGTCTGAATCAGATTACAAGTCCCAACAACAACAACAAAAACACAAGATGAAGCATCCGCAAACATTAAGTCTAGATCAACCTGCTTATTAAAACAAAAGATTTACCATCTACATATGGTTGAAACTTGAAAGCATCACTTTTTTATCCAAGGCTTGAAAGCACCAACTTGAGCAACATTTTCCAAGAAAAAGAAGAAACCACGCAGCAACTCCAGTCTTGCCCAATCATCACCTTCCACACGCTTGTATTCTTCATCGAAATCAGGGAACTGCTCGAGGTAAGAGTCTCCCAATTCATCAGTCTCATAGTTGCTTTCCCTCCCATTTCGCAGTTCTCTACATCGAGTCACTGGTCTTTTCATCGATGCCCGACCAGAGAGCATCAGCAACTCTCTTTCACTGTAAGGTTTCTTCAAAACAACCATTAGCTTTCTTCTAAAACAGCTACTACCCTCATCCTCTGCACTCTCTTTCTCAAGATCAATCACGCTCTTGCTCTTGGACGCCACAAAAGGTGTATCTTCTCCATCCGGAAACGGGACGTCACTAATCGCAATTATATCCTCCTCATCATCATCATCATCAGACCAAGACTCAAGATCTGGCTCAACCTTCACTTTTACTAACAGACCCTCTCCAGGGACAATTGTGGAGTCTTTTTGAGTTTCTGAAACTGGAGGGTCCACCAAATCAGACGGAACATCAGGCTCATCTGTCGAATCTGTAAGGGTATCTTTAAGCCATTTGAGGTACCTCATGAAATCCTTATCCCCAGCCACTGCACTCTTCTTCTTCCTTGTCCCTACAACAACTCTTTTGTCACTTTGGATCACCGGAACAGACCTTGAAGTCTTCTCTACAGCCTTAAGCTCTGTTACTCTATTAAATCTCTCCATAGCAGGAACAACATTTGAAGTCCCTGCAGCCTTAGTTTCAGAAAATTTCTTCTTCCTTTGTTCAGCAATCCTATAATCTCGTTGAATATCTTCTTCGGTTGTAGCCGACGGAGAAGCCCTTAAAGTCTCTACCTTTAAGTCAACAAATTTTCTAACTCTGTTGTCTCGTTCGATGACCTCTTGGGTTCTAACAACCGGAACATCCCTTAACGTCTCAGCCTTTGACTCTGACATTTTCCTAGCTTTACTGTCTCGTTGGATGTCTTCTTCGGTTCTCACCAACGGAACATTCCTCAAAGTCTCAACCTTTGTCTCTGACATTTTCCTAGCTTTGTTGTCTCGTTGAATCTTTTCTTGGGTTCTAATCAACGGAACATCCCTCAAAGTCTCAAGCTTTGACTCTGAAACTCTCCTAACTTTACTGTCTCGTTGGATGTCTTCTTCGGTCTCAACCTCTAACCAACCAAAATTTCTAACGTTGCTGTCTCGTTGGATGACTTCTTGTGTTCTAACCAACGGTACATCCCTTAAAGTCTCAAGCTTTGACTCTGAAACTCTCCTAACTTTACCGTCTCGTTGGATGTCTTCTTCGGTTCTAACCAACGGAACATCCCTCAAAGTCTCAACCTCTGCCTCTAACCAACCAAAATTTCTAACGTTGCTGTCTCGTTGGATGTCTTCTTGTGTTCTAACCAACGGTACATCCCTTAAAGTCTCAAGCTTCGACTCTGACGTTTTCCTAGCTTTGTTGTCTCGTTGGATGTCTTCTTCGATACTAACCAACGGAACATCCCTTAAAGTCTCAGCCTTTGACTCTGAAATTTCCCTAGCTTTACTGTCTCGTTGGATGCCTTCTTGGGTTCTAATCAACGGAACATCCTTCAAAGTCTCAACCTTTGACTCTGACATTTTCCTAGCTTTGTTGTCTCGTTGGATGTCTTCTTGGGTTCTAACCAACGGAACATCCTTCAAAGTCTCAACCTCTAACCAACCAAACTTTCTAACTTTGTTGTCTCTCTTGGTGACTTCTTGTGTTCTAACCAAAGGAACATCCCTCAAAGTTTCAAGACTCTCAAACTTTCTAACTTTTTTGTCTCGCTTGATGACTTCTTGGGTTCTAACCAACGGAACATCCCTCAAAGTCTCAGCCTTTGACTCTGACATTTTCCTAGCTTCGTTGTCTCGTTGAATCTTCTCTTGCTTTATATGTAACGGAATAGCCCTTGAAGCCTCTAACTCAGCAAGATTCCTCTTTCTTCGTTCAGCCCTTCTATTGTCTCGTTGAATGTTTTGTCGAGTTGTATCAAACGCAACAGGTCTTGCGTCAAACCCAACAGCCTTCCTCTTTCTCTGCTGAGAAACTCTCTTGTTGATTTGATTCTCATTCTCAAACTTTGGTCTCTTTGAGTCACCACAACGCATATCGAATGTACGAGTTTCGGATTCTCCATTGTCGTCTTCGAAGAGAATGCCTAAACTGTTATCACGATCTCCGATATTATCTAAGAGCAACTTGTAGTCCTCGTCAATCTTAAGACCATGATCAATCTCATCGTCATCATCAATACAGATTGGAGCATTAATATCTCCAGACATTGTTGAAGTGTGGTCGCTAATTGCATTCACCAAAAACCGTCTGCATGAGAAACATCAAACATCATCAATCACAACGACTTCCTTCTTTATCGCAATCAACACTCTGTTCAATCCAATAAGTAAACGAGACAGAGTAAATTAGCAAGGAATTCTGAAAGAAGAAACCCTAGAAAACTATCGATCGATCGGTTGTAGTTCAAACCATAATTTCCTTTGAAAGGTAGAAAAATGCACTATAAAAAAAAATAAGATGAGAAGAATCATGCATACCGTTTTGGAGCGACTCTGCTTGTGAACACAAACTGAAAGAAGAAGAAGAAAAACTCCTAAAAGAGAGAGAGAAATCAGAAACGGAAAGAAAAGAAATCAGTGATACGTTAGGGTTTAATTGCAGATCAAATTTTGCTAACAATATTAATTAAGGAGATTTTTGGAGAGGGCGAGAGTTAGACTTAAAGAGAGAGAGAGGATGAAGGCTACAAATCTTTCGTAAGGAAGTTAAAGAGACCTTATAAAAAATATTTATCTGTCCTATTATCAAAATCCACGTATTTATTTTCTTCTTTTTCTCTTCTAGAGTTATTAAAAAAAGGAAAAAAAAATTATGAGCTATCCCAACAAATTTAAGGTATGTCTATCCTATGGCCTTGATAATATACCACACAACCATACATTCCGACATCAGAATAGTCATCCGGCCGGAATCCGTCACCGAAATACGGATTCCAGTCCGACGTCAATAGTAACACATTATTCAACCTTCAAATGATATATATCTACTCTAACTCGACGATCCTAAACTTAAATTCATCTATAAAAACGAAATAATTAACTTTTTGTCTTTTATGCAATTAATTAAGAGACAATGTATATTGCATACCTGATTCAGCCAGAAATCGACTTTTCAATTCTCGATCTTATGATTGAGGATGAAAGCTGAAAGGGGATCTTCGAATTCGATGAAGAAAACGGGAGAGGATCTTTTTTTCTCTTTTTTTGATGTGCTAAATAGACTTTTTAAATGGGTTTAGATAGAACATACATTAAATTTGTTCGGATGTTTGAGTAAATCTATTGACCAACTTTTTTCCTTAATTAAAATCAGGTTTCCTTAATAAAAATCTGGTTAAAAGTTAAATTTAGAGGTTAAAGAATCGAGTGTTGGTTGGAACGAAACTGATATTATATATTGTGGTTTCGGACCTAGAGGATGTATAAATTTTGGCCCAGAACCTCTTAATAATTCAACATCAAACGAGAAGAAAAAAAATCCAAACTCAGAAAATAACGATAACTTGTGTGAATGGAAGAACTAAAAGAAGAGCATGCATTGGGTCGTTGTGTTGTGAGAACCAAACTTCAAAATCTTTTCAAGTATTCTCAAAAACGAGACATCGGGAAACATGTTAGTAGGCTTGCGAAGTAGTCCATATTTTTGTTTACAACAACGTCACATCACAGTCACAAATTCACAATCACAAAAAAAAAAAACAATTTAGAAAGTAAATTTCTTGTATTTACCACAAAACAAAAGGATGTCATCTTTATTGTTGCTTCGATTTACAAAGACGTAGATAAAAACATAGTTAAATAAACTTCACCCAATCCGAAAGTAAAAAACAACAGAAAACAACTTAACACATCGAGTCTCATCACAAGCTATTCGTTGCTTGAAGCTCACGCAATCAAACATTTGATTTACCAAGAAGCCAAACCACACTCAGTTAGCAATAACATGAGTAAAGTTTGGAGTGAAGAAGAAGATATCATCAAGCCTATCATTGCTCGGCGAGTTTCCTCCATAAACCAACAAACCTTCCTTACCATCCCTCGATCCAGCCGCAAAAGCGCACCATCCTCTCGGACCGGATGCTCCTCTGTTCCAAACCCATCCTCCCATTTCCTCCATTCAAACGTCTTTGTATCCAACCCATAAGCTTCTCCTGTGAAGCTCCTAGGCTACTATTAACTATTAAGGACAGTTGGGAACACGTAAGTTTTGCAAGTTTAAAATTTAAAAGGAGGGCATAACAGTTGATAGATGCTTTGATAAATATCAGACTTTTCTCTTAATAATGGATTGCATTTCACTTACAATTTTTTTTCATTTCACTAAAATACATGTTATCATCTAATCAATATTAATTATAAAAATCCTACTTGTTAAGATTTCGTCCATCAAACTTATACTAACACTAAAATATTCTCTTAAAAGTTGCTGCTGTTCACGACTGGTTTACCAATCAATTAACTAAAAGAACTCAGTCTCAAATTAATGGTATTAACTAGTAACGGCAGCTGGGAACATGTTTGTCTGGCTGGATTAAAAGTTTAAAACAAAGAAAACAGACTAAAAAGCAGTTGACTTCGATTTAAAAATTTAAAAGGAGAGCATCGAAGTTGATAGATGCTTTGATAAATATCGATTGTTCCAGTTCTACTTTCACTCACAGACTCTCTCAATTTCTTCTCCTTCCAGAGAAAATAACTTTTGATCTAAAACACTCTCATTTCTGTTACATCTGCCTTCTTTCCGTACTTTTAAATCTATTAACGATGTGGCATATTCAGACGACGGCCTCATATGCTTCTTCCCTCGTTCAAATGAAACTGCCCCCATTTTATTCTATCTCTAGATACAGATGCCGTATGTCGGATCCGGCTCAGCCGCACCAGCTCCGTCGACGTGATGATCCTCCACTCTCTACATGCTTCTCGTGTAAAGGCGGCCCTTTGGAGGAAGCAGGTACTTACCATTATTACTGTGATACTTGCAATTTGGAATTCCACAGAGGTTGTTACAAGCAGCCCATGGAGATGAGACACCCTTCACACCTCTCTCACCCTCTCACTTTCACTTCCTTAGACCCTGATTTTGACGTTGCTAATGTTGCCGTGACTAGCAAGTACTCCTCCAATGAAATCTCACCAAGATTTTATACTTCTTCTGATGAGGCCCCTTTGTCAGCTGAAAACTACAAGAGATGCAATTGCTGTCCAAACGTTCTTAAAGGAGACTACTATCAATGCTCTATTTGCAAGTTCAACCTGAGTCTCACTTGCGCCATTCACCTTCCACCTTTTAACATCACAAACCCTAAGAGCCATGAGCACACCCTAACCCTATTCCCCAAAAAAATCCCTGTCCCATGTGATGCTTGTGGCTTGTCTCTCCAGGATCGCAATGATCACGTCTACAATTGTCTCCCATGCAACTACATGATCCATGGAAAATGCATCTACTTACCTCGTGTCATTAAGATCACCCGTCACCATCACCGTCTCTCTCTCACTTCCTCTCTTCCTGCTGGTGATTTTTCTTGCGGAGTTTGTCGCAAAGCCGTAAAAGTCAATTATGGGCAGTTCTCTTGCACTAAGGGATGCAAATATGTTGTCCACTCGAAATGTGCGACGAGGAATGACGTGTGGGATGGAATCGATCTTGAAGGACTCCCTGAAGAACCCGATGAAGAGGATACCAAATCATTCGTGAAGATTGATGCATACACGATACAACATTTCAGTCACGAGCATTTTCTAAGGATTCAGGAAATGGAAAAGCCGGAGGATCGTGAAAATAAGTTTTGCCAGGCTTGCATCCTTCCGATCAAAGTCTCTGATATCTTTTACACTTGTATGGAGTGTGATTTCATTCTCCACGAAGTATGTGCATCTCTTCCTCGCAAGAAACACCATCCAATACATAAACACCCACTTAACCTCCTTCAACCATTCCCTCCTAAGCGCTATGACCTCTGGTTTAATACTTTTGCCGAAGGAATGGCCAAATGCAGCGGTTGTAAAAGAACAACTTGTGGTTTCGTATATCAGTGCGGTGAAAGGGGTTGTGAGTTTCAACTAGATGTGAGGTGCGCTTCTCTTCCTGATCCTTTAATCCATGGAAGCCATCCGCATGAGCTTTTCTTCAATCTAACCCAAGGTAAATGCATGGGTTGTACTGCTAATTACTGTTCACCATATTCATTAGAATGCATTCAGTACAACTCCTTTTTGGGCCTTTCTTGTGCTACGTTGCCTTCGGTCGCGCACTACAAGCACGACAAACATCCACTTATTCTTTGTTACGGCGAAGAAGAAGAAGAAGAAAAGACAAGAAATCTCAAATATTGGTGTGAAATTTGTGAAACACTATTAGATGCAAAGGAGTGGTTTTATACATGCGATGAGTATTGCAATGTCACAGTTCACGTTACATGTTTGTTGGGAACAGGCATGTACATGAAGACTGACAATATCATCAAACTTTATAATACTGAGGTTGAGATCGTCCGAAACGATGGTAACTTCCGGCCGTTTTGTGAGCAATGTTCCTTTCGTTGCTTGAACAACTTGGTATTCAAGAGCCCTAGGGGAAACTATTGTAATCTGAGAGATATGGAGAGTTTATGGATGGTGCAGGCATTGCAAAAAAGAATGGATCGACTACTTATAAAAAGATGAGCGAAGCGACAGTGACAAATGACTTGTATTTGTGAATATTTTGAGTGTGTTGATTAAATTATAGCTACTTTGTTGGTTTCTTAATGTACTAAAACTTATATCCAATGGAGTCAAATTCGTTTACTTTGTTTACAACATCACTCCACAGTCAAAAATTCACAATCACAATCACAAAAAAACATTTTTGAAAGTAAGTTCCTTGTATTTACCACACAGACAAAAGGATGTCATCTTTATTGTTGTTTCGATTTACAAAGACGTAGATAAAACATAGTTAAACTTAACCCAATCCGAAAGAAAGCAACTTAATACAGTGAGTCTCATCACAAGATTGCCGTAGCTTGAAGCTCACGCAATCAAACATTTGATTTACCAAGAAACCAAACCAAGAAAATCAACCACACTTATTAGTTGGCGATAACATGAGTAGAGTTGGGAGTGAAGAAGAAGATATCATCAAGCCTATCATTGCTCGGCGAGTTTCCTCCATAAACCAACAAACCTTCCTTACCATCCCTTGACCCAGCCGCAAACGCACACCATCCTCTAGGTCCAGGATGCTCCTCTGTTCCAAACCCATCCTCCCATTTCCTCCACTCCGCCGTCTCTGTATCCAACCCATAAGCTTCACCTGTGAAGCTCCCAGCTCCCATATGCCCCAAATCACTCGGATCAACCTCCCCTCCAAATATCACAATCTGCTTCCCAACAACCGCAGTCGAAAACACACTTCTTGGAGACGGTTTCTCGCCTTTCGTCTCCACTTCTCTCCATTCTCCTTTCGCTATGTCGAAACAGTAAACGTCGTCGGCTTCATCTCCTGTGAATCCATACACCACCCAGATCTTCCCTTCAACAACCTCCAGCCCTGGACCGCCTCTTCCTTTACATGCTTCTCCCGGAGACGGGAACTTGACCCATTTCTGATCAACGACGTTGTAAGCCCACAGATCGTTGAGACGCCCTTCGACTCCGCAGCCACCAAAGACATAAACGTTCTGAGAATCAGCAGCGATGGAGTGGAAGCTCCGGTTTTCCGGACCGGTTTCCCCTGAAGAGAGTAGCTTCCACGTGTTGGTGGAAGTGTCGAAAGAGTAGAGCTCGTTGAGCTCCTGGTGAACTGCGTCCCGGCCACCGAAGAAGTAGATGATGTGTCCCACTGCAGCCATGGCTACACCTACTCGAGGAGGAGGAGCCTCCCCTGAAGCCTCCTGGATGGACCATGTCTCAGTGTCGAGGTTGAAAACGTAGAGATGGTTGTCGACGGGGACACGCGGTTCGAACTCTCCGCCAAAGGAATAGACTTTGTTTCCCACAAGAGCTATGGCGTGAGAGCTTCTTGCTCCTGGTCCGTTTCCTTTCTGTTTAAGCTGATCACAAAAGAAAAGTGACAATACAACACAAACACGACATAAATTTCCAAATGTTTACAAAATGAAACTCTTGATCTGTATGTACAGAGAGCGATCAATCAAGAGTTTTCTAATCATCATTACGTTTAGTATTAGCTGAAACCGATCAGAAACAAACAAGGGTCGAGTCATCACACAAAATTACTAAATCAAATTATGGCAAACGCGTCATCCACAAATCCAATATTCTAAATTATTTGATTAGTGAGTATGAGATAATTGTAGAACCAACCAAGTGATCATTAGCAGATGGCGAGAAAACAGCACAAAGATTGTAATGATAATTACAAAAATTCAACCCTCCATAAGTAAATTATCAATCAACACAATTATGTATGAACAACTCTGCGGCGAATACTGAATCAAATTTTTGTTTTTGATAAACTCACCATCCAAATTGTTTTATTAAGAGACTGAGAAGAAGAATTTTTTGAATTCAGGCGATAAAATATATGATCATATGAGCAATTTACCGAGAATTCAGGGAAGTTGACAGAAATCAAACGAATTTCAAAACTTCAATAGCCAATAACACTGAAAGTCTAAAGATTCGACGAATGGTTTTGATCGGACGACTAGTATCCAGTAGAAACTGGTTTCGGGAGAAAGAAGCATAAAGGAGATTGATTTAGAGATACCTGAACCCATTTGCCTTGCATTGGAGTCGCTGCCATGGTTGCTCTCTGCAGGATCACTCAACACTGAATGAATGAATGAATAAGAAAGAGTCGCAATTGGAATTGGTGTTGGATTTCTCCTCTTTCTCTTGGTGGGTGTCTCTATTTAAGGCCCAAAGGGGCAAAAATGGAATCTTTTCACTAATTTCTTTTTTGCTATCTTTTTTTTTTTGTCAACAGCCTTTATTTCTACAACAACTCGGGAATCCAAACTGGTGAAATAGAGTTTACATAATACACATCTGTAGGTAGATCTCGAGCACTTCGTGCTAACTTGTCTGCCTTCGTGTTGTTCGTCCTTGGAATATGCATGATGTTGAAAGAGGTGAATCTCCTCTTACATCTGTCAACCTCGTCAAGTAGTGTTGAGAACGCCGGCCACTCCTCTGGTTTAGACACCATCTTCACCACATCGGAACAGTCCGTCTGAAACACCATTACCAATTTGTTATGCCGTATCATGCATTACATGGCCCAAATGAGAGTCTCCAGCTCTGACTGAAGTGAGGATATTCCCCGCCTCAAATTACATGTTCCCATAAATTTATCAGGAGAATCCGTGTTAAAAAAGTACCATCCTAAACCAGCTCTACACTCTGTGTCTTTCCAAGCCCCGTCCACCTGACAAATGTCACCTGATATCGGTTTCTTTTTTGCTATCTTTAACTCAAATATCTTTATCAGAAATTAAATGTTTGCCGTATCATGCATTACATGGCCCAAATGAGCAAGTAGTGTTGAGAACGCCGGCCACTCCTCTGGTTTAGACACCATCTTCACCACATCGGAACAGTCCGTCTGAAACACCATTACCAATTTGTTATGCCGTATCATGCATTACATGGCCCAAATGAGAGTCTCCAGCTCTGACTGAAGTGAGGATATTCCCCGCCTCAAATTACATGTTCCCATAAATTTATCAGGAGAATCCGTGTTAAAAAAGTACCATCCTAAACCAGCTCTACACTCTGTGTCTTTCCAAGCCCCGTCCACCTGACAAATGTCACCTGATATCGGTTTCTTTTTTGCTATCTTTAACTCAAATATCTTTATCAGAAATTAAATGTTTGCCGACCAACAAAAAAAGTTAGATATATCATATATGTCTTAATTGTTTTTTTTTTAATATCAGTCTTACTAAAATACGTCGTACAATGTACCGTGCAATACAGTATGTTTAGTTGATTAAAACAGCATGGTATTCACCAAACAAAAGCGGCATGGAACTTGCAGTATATCTGCAGAAAAACAAAAACTAAAGACCCTTTTGTTTGTTCTTCCAACATTCCAAAGTCACACGATACTTATACAAAACTACATCTTTTTAGCCAAGATATTATAACGATGGACTACAAAAAAAAAAATTATATTCCTCACTTTAGCAACATAAAAATATTTGTGATTTCAGTAGCTTCGTGTAACATCTGCCAAGAATCAAGACTGAATTAGTTTATAGTCCTCACACACTACACACTTCATCAGTTATCAGTCACAAAATTGAACTGACTCTACCGTCCGTTAGACAGCCATATATATGTTTTACAATTCGACCTTAAATATTATGGTGACACACTTACGGCCTTGAATAGACCCTAAAGCACACTTAATTTATATTGGTTCAGTATTTTAAAACTCTTGTAGATCATATTTTGTTTGCTATCTCTCTGATTCATGTGAATAGTTTGGGTCATACTGTCACTGGTTAGTCCATTTCTTTAGACGAATAAGTTTCCGGTGGTTTATTGTTGGAGAAAATTGATTTTGCTGCCTATGAGATCATATAAAGGCCAAAAATGTGGTGAAGCGTCACAAATTTTTGTTTTTATCTACTTACTCCAAATATTTACCATTTATTTTCGTAAAACCTTTTGATGATTATTCCTAAATAAATTATAATCCACCAATTAGTCATTTACATCCAATTAATTTAAAAAATAAATCTAGTCAAATTCAAAATTTACGAAAATTAAATAAAAATAAAAAACTGTTTAAATAATAATACGCGGAGCACTCAGTGTCGACTGACCACAAATTAAACGTGAGAAGGCGAAGCTGGACACGCACTTTCCGTAAACTCTTTTCATAAAATCTGGTAGTAAAAGTACAAAGATTCTTTTCCTTGTCTGAACAAATCCAAATAACGGACAAAATTATTTTCGTAAGGTAGAAAAATCCGGTGGAACAACACACGTCTCATAAGGACGACAACTCCATACGCAACTACTTACTCCTCCTCTCTCTCCTTCTATTCCAAGAGAATCCTCTACTTAATTTCAGATTCTTACAGATTCCTGTTACGAAAACTCTGGGTCTGGGTTGATTTCTGTCAGCCCAATTCAATACTCAACTAAAGGTTCCATTTTTCTGATTTTCAACTTCTGCTAATAGTTAAATTATTCTTGGGTATTCAGAAATAAAAGTTCAGGATCAAAGAATCGTTCTGATTCTCTTATCAATTCATTCATCAGTCTATAAAAGTTAGGGGGTCAAAGATTATAAAAATTGATGCTTGTTGCGTAATTGTGTTTTAAGCTTTTGTTGTTTGTTTCTGTTGAACAGGTTTCTTTCTTATAAACCAAAATTGAAATGGCGGCACTATTAGCTTCTCAGAGCTGCTGCTACGGCAGTGAGACCGCAAGAACCATCAAAGCTATTGGTTTCAGTAGCTCACTGGAGAATCCTTTCACTGCTGAAACCAATCACTGTTTTGTCAGCAAGTCAAAGAGGTTTCGTGTTGAGATGAGACAATCGGAATCGACTTCCAAGCCCGGAATCAATGGACGTTCAGTCAAAATGGTTCCGTCTAGTGAGGTTCTGAAGAAGAACGATGCTGTGAATAATAATAATGTAAATAAAGTGAATGGATCGGTGGGGAAAGTTGTGAACGGAGTGAGTTTGGTTAGCAGTAGAAACGTCAATGGTAATGGTGCGTCGTCAACTTTGGTCAAGTCCCCACCAAAGCCAAAAACAGAGTCGTTCCTTCCTCCACCGGTTGAAGGAGTTAGGGTTCTTCCTTCTGATGAAGGTTTTAGCTGGGCTGATGAGAACTACAGCTCACTTCAACGTAGTATTGATGTTTGGTCGTTTGTTCTTTCCTTGAGGATTCGTGTCTTGTTCGACAATGCCAAGTGGGCTTACTTTGGTGGATTCACTGAAGAGAAACAGGTTTAACCTTTAGTCTCATTGGTTGATTGGTTAACACTTACCGTTTACGTTGGTCTTGGTTCTTATGTGTTGTTGTATGATCAGAAAAGCAGAAGAAGAGAAACAGCATCGTGGTTGAGAGAGAGTGTGTTGCAGCTTGGTCCGACGTTTATCAAACTGGGACAGTTGTCTTCAACTAGGTCGGATTTGTTTCCACGTGAGTTCGTGGATGAGCTTTCCAAGTTACAGGTTCGTTTCTCATGGTTTGAGTCTAAGAATAAGTTTAGATTCTCTTTTGGGTTTACTTACCCTTCTTTTGAACTGGTTTCAGGATAGAGTCCCAGCTTTTTCTCCAGAGAAAGCAAAGCGCTTCATTGAGACTGAACTTGGAGCTCCAATTAGTCTTATGTTCAAAGAGTTTGAAGAGCAACCCATTGCTGCAGCTAGCCTTGGCCAGGTTTGTGAAACTCAAGCCACCTTTGAACACACTTGCTTACTTATCTTTTCTTTTTGCATTTCATCTACATATTGATGTTTGTGTTTTAATGTTCCAAAGTTGATTCCTTTAGGTGCACAGAGCTGTGTTGCACAATGGAGAGAAAGTGGTAGTGAAAGTTCAAAGACCTGGACTCAAGAAACTTTTCGATATTGATCTACGTATGTAAACAACTTCTGTGTTATATAATACAACTTCAGGACATGGATGCTTGAGATGTTCTGAAAAATGTCTTTACTTTTTTGTCAGAAAATCTGAAGCTGATCGCTGAGTATTTCCAGAAAAGTGAATCATTTGGTACAAACGATTGGGTTGGTATCTACGAAGAATGTGCCACGTAAGTCTTTTTTTCTTTCTCTTTCCTAGGAAGTAGTTGTAGCTTAACACCTTGTAGGATTGATCTTCCCTTTTGGTTTCAGAATTTTGTATCAAGAGATTGATTACATAAACGAAGCTAAGAATGCAGATAGATTCCGGAGAGACTTCCGGAATATAAGCTGGGTTCGCATACCTGTAAGTTTCATTTTGCTAACCAAAAACACATGAGATCAAGCTGTATCATTTTTGGGATAAAATGAAACTCATTCTGGTTATTCTTGTTTTGCTTTATAGTTGGTCTATTGGGATTACTCTGCCATGAAGGTCTTGACTTTGGAGTATGTACCAGGTTTGTGTTGAAACTTGAAACTACCCAATATATTGGTTTGACTGATAAAAAAATGAAGTTGTATAAAAATTCTCTCATTGATTGGTGTAATCAGGTGTCAAGATCAACAACTTAAACGCCTTAGCTGCACGAAGTTATAACCGTTCAAGAATAGCAGCACGAGCCATTGAAGCTTATCTTATCCAGGTTTAATAACAATGCAGCAAAACAATCACTCATGTCCATGTCTTTTGGTTCTTTCTTATGGTTTCAGACTTATGTTTATGTTTTTGGCGTTTTTAGATACTCAAAACCGGCTTCTTTCATGCGGATCCGCACCCAGGAAATCTTGCAATTGATGTAGATGAATCGATAATCTACTATGACTTTGGCATGATGGGAGAGATCAAAACATTTACTCGTCAGAGATTGCTTGATCTCTTCTATTCTGTTTATGAAAAAGATGCCAAAAAGGTCATGCAAAACCTTATAGATCTTGAAGCACTTCAACCCACTGGAGATCTTTCATCGGTAACTTCATTCACAGTCTCACTCTTTCTCTATGTGAAGTTTTACGTATGTACACTCTCATACTCATTGCAACTCTATTCGTGTTTGTGTTAGGTAAGGAGATCTGTTCAGTTTTTCTTGGACAACCTGTTAAGCCAAACGCCTGATCAGCAACAGACTTTAGCAGCTATCGGAGAGGTTAAGCTGAGCTTCTTTCTCAAGCCATTTATGGATGTTACTATGTGATTCTTAAGCTGAAAATGTCATCATTTGTATGGCAGGATCTGTTTGCAATATCCCAGGATCAGCCATTCCGTTTCCCATCAACTTTCACCTTTGTCATCCGAGCATTTTCCACACTTGAGGGTACTTATTCGGCACTTCTTCTTTGTCAAAATCTTGGACAAGTTTTCACCGTTTATGGTTTTATATGGTTTTGCAGGTATTGGTTACATTCTTGATCCAGATTTTTCCTTTGTGAAAGTTGCGGCTCCTTATGCTCAGGTTCTTACCTCTTTTAGCAATCGTCTCTCTACTCTTATGTATGATGATGTCAATGCTCATCATGAACATCGATTAAAAAATAAACCAGGAACTCTTGGATTTAAAACAAAGGCAGCGGTCAGGAACTCAGCTTGTCCAAGAAATAAGGAAGCAAGCAGACGATGTAATGCTTTCGCTCTTATTTCATTTCCAGTCTCTCTTTTTCTCTCTGTTTGTACTTATACAACTTGAAAACACTGTACAGGCTAGATCTTCTACTCTGTCCATGCCATCAAGAGTGCAGCGAATAGAAGAGTTCGTTAAAGAACTCGATTCAGGGGATATAAAACTCCGCGTTCGAGTTCTTGAGGTAATATACACACATCCAACACCCACAAAACGTTTTTATGTTCAGTTGCCATACAGATCACTGAGCATCGTATAACAATAACAAAAAGAGACGCTTAATTTTTGTTTCTTTTTGGTTTCAGTCGGAAAGAGCAGCGAGGAAAGCAACAATACTGCAGATGGCGACAATGTATACAGTTCTTGGAGGAACTCTGCTTAATATTGGTGTTACATTTAGCAGCCAAGGAAACCAAGCTGTTGCTAATGGATCCTTCGTCGCCGCAGGGATATTCATGGCATTGGTACTGAGATCCATGCAAAGGGTAAATAAGCTTGACAAGTTTGAGAAGATGATATGATGATTGTGATTCTTTTGAAGCTCCAAAGCTTCAGGTATAGAATTGTCATGTATAGGTATAGGCATATATATATCTTTAGCTCTCATACTCAATACTGGATTTATAAATTAATTGTATAAAAACTATTTCATAGTCTCAATAAAAAGAAAGTCAAAAGGTATCTGAGACTGAGTTTCACTTGAAAGTACACAACTATAAACAACTCTATCTGTTCACAACTATATATCATTAATCATCAAATTACAAACTAGTCTTGCACCAAAGCCTAGCAGAGAAACGTATACAGAAGACGGCAGTGCTCAAGGTTTCTGACCAAGAAGCCATGGCTGGAAGAAGAGATGGCTCTGAGCAATCTCGATGAGTTCGCGTGGGTCATTCATCGTCTCATCCCGCAGTGCCTCAAGAACCGCCTCACACGAGAACTCCCTAACAACATTCATCAACGTATGACTGTGATTACGAGGTTCTAAGCTAAATAAGTTACTACAAGTTAAGGAAATGAGGATTACCTTGTTATAAGAATTTTGTAGAGCATCTTTAAGATGGGACAGAGCTCAGCAGGAGTTACATGTTTGCCCTCTTCAGGATGTTGAAGACTTAATGAGGACTGATTTAGCAACTCGAAAAATGCTTTCACCGCAGAGACTCCCTTTGTACATTACATCAAAACCACTTCATCATTAGCCTTCCACACAACTAATCTATGCAAAACCTATTTGCAAATCTTTACAGTAATCAGTATTTTCTCAGAGGAGTACCTGAATCATTCCCTTGCCTTTGATGCTGTCCCCCATTGCAAGGCTAAGCTCTCCTTTCGCAAGCTTCTGGCCATACCACGCATTACGTCCTTTCAACAACGTCACATATGTATCCGCAAGCAAAGGCCCAGCAAGTTTCTCTGGCTCCTTAGCCAACAGATGAGTTATAAAAACCATCTCTGAAGTACAATGCGCAAAGTATACTGACTTGCTGGTAGCACTTTCATTCGTCAGTGTAGCCACCATTCCTGTGGACACACAAAAACGGCAAAAACAAACACAATGGTTCATGAGCTTCGACCTAAGCTCACAAAACATTTCAGAGATCTCAAATCTTACCTGCGCCAATGGCATAAACATTCTTCAAGCCACCCATAACTTCATGAGTAACAAGGTCACTATTATCCCACACAATGAAATGAGACTGCCTTAGAAACTTCCCCAAAGGCTTCCTCCATTTCTCAGACCCACAAATCCGTGCATTCGCGTACTCCTTGTTGTACACCTCAGAAGCAATATTAGGTCCTCCAAGGTAAAGAATGTTCTCCAGAGGAACACCAGCTGCAAAAGAAGGAAACGACAAGCAAACTCTAAAACATTTTCAATGAGCAATAATAAGTCAACAACGTCATGATGTAGTGATTGAGACATTACTAGCTCGATAGATCATTTGAGTAGGAGTAACAATCCGAGGATGAGGAAGAAACTCAGCTTCAACACCTTTAGCCAAAGAGATGATGACAGGAGACGTAACCCTCTCTTTCCAGTACTTGCTAATCTCATTAAACACCTGAAACGTCTCAGTCGATGGTAAGCCATTAATGACGATATCAGCATCCCAAACAGCTTCTTGGAGATTAGTCACAACTTTCAAAGGACAAAGAGGAGTCTCGATCATGTTCAAGCAAAACCCATCTTTCAAAATCTCGTCTGCGTATAAAACCCTATCCCCTAACCTAGCTTCCACATACTTTAGATAAGCACACCGTCTAATCAACCTCCTGAGCAGATCCTCTCTCGAATTGATCACTTCGAACAAATGCTCCGCTGTGCTCTTGTCGATTGCTCTCCCTCCTCTTCTCCAGATTCTCACGCTCGCTTTCCCTCTGAATCTGCCGTAGTTCTCTTGCAGCATTGCGACGAAGACGCTGCCCCAAGCACCAGCTCCTACGCCTACGATCCTTAACGGATCGTCGTCGGCTTTACCCATTACTCTACGAATCTCGTCGAGCCTTTCTTCAACTAATCTGCTCGGAGCTGAGTTAGTTCCGTTCATCGTCTCCACCGAGTGATCCACCATCAAGAAAAACTTTTGATCTCTCTTGAAATTTCTTGAGTGGCTCGTCTACTGACCAAGCTACAAAATCCGTTGATCGGAGTTACCAATGCTTAAACTTGAACGACGAAATGGCTTTTCAGGAAAGTTTTTGTGTTTACTTTTATTTTCTCAGGTAACTTGTAAGATGAAGACAATAACGTCATCTTCTCTCTTGTGCTTCGCTGGCTAAGCTTTATGATGGGCTCACTTATGGCCCACTTAACTTATATGACTTTTTCCATTCTTTTCGATCTTATTCAGGGTTTGATAATTTTGATTTTCTGTTTGTTTGATGAGAAAGATAAGAAAAATATACATTAGGTAGAGAGTTGAATCTAAGACAGAGACTGATTAAATCATAACCACAAGTGGACAATTTCTTAAACAAGGGAAAACGAAAATCTTAGGACAGAACTACGGTTGTGTCTGTAAAAAGAGTGCAAGTAAAAATTCTCTGGTACATTATAACTTATGAGGCAAAATAAGTTCTTAGGGGCTAAAAACGACAGCCTCCATATAATGATAATAAACTCGATACTTTTTAGACACGAGACATGCCGAGTTTGCGTTCAAACAAGCGACACAGAAGATAAACTTGGAGGACACTTGCCCCGATCAGTGCAAACGACTCGAACAAAGCTTTGTGCACTGCTCTTTTGCTCATGTTCTCGTTCACTAAACAAAAAGATAAACAGTATCTCAAACTTTGTTACTTGCAGAAACCAAAAATGAAAAACAGAGCGGTTTTGAGAGAAAGAAAGTGTTTACCGATGGCTTGACGATCGGTCTGAGCCTCTAACCAATGTTGTTCGAATTGGATGTTGTATAGAGCTTCCTCTAACTTTGAGATTTGCTCCATCAAGGGAGTGAAATGCTCTGCACAAAACCAAACCATCTTTAGCTAAATAAAACCACACAAAAACCAATACGAAGCCAAACAGAGAATCTCCTCACCGTCCTTTGCGTGCTGATCATAGTACGCAAAGTGACCAAGCTGTACGTCAAAGTCAATAGTTTCGTGATAAGGAGACTTGTTTGTGAAACAAAAACGGTAAACTCCTTTCTTCTGGACAACAAAGTCGTGCTTTGCACTTATCTGCTCCCTGAAGTCGTGAATCTGTTCCCCTGTTGGTCCGTGTATCTGTTCAACATCCAAAACATTATCACCACCAAACACGAGAGCACTAAGATACAAATCTAAAGAGAAATCAATTTCTTTACCAATTCATGCTAGAAATTATCTACCAACGTATAGAGCAAATTGTGATATTCAAAATTGGAAATCCTAAGCATTGTTTTGCAAGATAGAATTTAGAAAGGGTTCGATAAGAAAAAGCATACCACAAGATCTACACCATCCTCGTTGAAATGCCATTGAGAATCAGACTTGATGACGACGAAAGAGACATGAAGCGTGTCGCCTTCATATTCAGCCTTGTGTGAGAAACATTCCTCTCGGTCTATCACGAATCTAATACCTAACGTTGCCTGGAAGCTCCATACGAGCCCTAATATTAGGATCGCAGCCTTCAAGCTCATCTGCCACATATAATTTGCAATTGTTTTAGAGTGAAAAAAACGGAATTTACTCGTATCGATTGGAGATTTTTCCAAATCCGATTGAATTGTTTCACCTTTCGATTCCTACGAAGTTGATGGATTTCAGACAGAGACCAAGAGAGATTTACCTTCCAAATCAGGGAATTGAGTGGATAAAATCAGACGAGTGATAGATAGATCGATGAAAATTCGTTCTGGCTGATGAGTGTTGAGAAAATCGGAGAAGAAGAGAAATTGGGCGAGAAAGAGAGGAGAGAGAGAGAGGATTCGTTCAGAATTGGACACAAAGAGCCTGTTTTGACCGAGGGGCAGTTTCGTGACCGGACAAGATCATCGAACTATAAACGACGTCGCTTGCTTGCTTCTTTTAGCTATTTGGTCAGCGGGCTTACGTGGCGTAATATCATTGGAGATCAAAAGACATTAAACCATTGAAATATTGCCACATCACAATTCACAAGATACCAAATTAACTCCATGAATAAATACGTTTCTTTTGGGGAAAAAAATCAATACGTTTTACCGTTGAAAATAATTTCGCCAAAAAAAGAAATTAAAAATAGACGACTTTTCCTGGTTTTTTTTTTTACTTTTTACTGTGAGTTTTGTTGCCTTGATTTTTTTTTTTTTTTTTTTTTTTTTTGTAAAAGGATATATTTTGTTGCCTTGTTCACAATATCGGCTGCGTGTTGGAGGTTTGCTTTCCGGTGGGAAGTGGTTAAGACGACTTTTAAGCGGTTTAATGAGCTCCACGAATGATAAGAATCAGTTTATGTACTCTATAGACAAAGAGAAAATGTACACGTCGACATAGTGATTGTACAAAAAAGAAACTAGTAAACATATAAAACTGACATTTTCGTAACATACTCAGATCCCAACAATGCCTACACCAATATTCATTTTTGGTTACATTTTTTGGTTGAAGCACAACGAAGCCTATCTTTGAATCATCTGAAAAGCAGTTGACGTTTCCTCATTCAACACTCACTTCAAGCTGAAGAAGTTCCTAAGTCCACTGAAGAGCCGTAGAGCCTTCAGCTCACCGCTTCTTATATCTCTCAGTCTCCTCCTCAGAATCTGAACCAAACAGAGAGAAAAAAAAAAACAGAGTTTTCACAAGAACATGAATTGATCAACATAGTCTTATCTGTCGTATTGGCTAGAGAGTGTTCCTTACGTATTGAGCACGGTAAAGTATCCTACGCTCGCTGGTGGACAAGTCTACAGCTAGCTGTTTCAGAAACGCTTTCCGGTTCAACTGTTTTGGAGATGTTATGTCCAAATCCATTGATCCACTTTCCTACAATTACATAATGAACAAAACAAACCATAACCATAAGCAGATGCGGTGCAGTTTTTTTCCCAGAGAGAGGAGCTGTTTTGGTTATTTTTACCTTTAAAAATCGGCTGAACTTTGATATGCTTGTTTCGCATGAGTCCAGTATAAACTGCAATGCTTCTTCCTCAATTTCGGGATAACTTAGATCCTTCTTTGTTGATGACTTATTCGAGGCAGCTTTCGCCATCTAAAAATGGATATAAATTTTAGTAAGGATGTGTAATGAACTTGGTAAGAATTGGATTGAAATCAACTAAAAAAGAGTCATGATGGAATTTGCCAAACCTCTTCAAAGCTGTTTCTCATATTTGGAGGGCTCACTACAAGATAAGCATATGCCATTAGCTCCATTGGCCAACCGGTTATCCTTACGGGGAAGCATTGAGGCCTGTCCATTGAATAGTTAACACAGACAAAACTCAGATTGATCAAGAGAGAAAACACGAATGGTGGGACAAATGATTACGTGGATAATCCGTGTTTCTTTAAAGCATCAAGCTTTTCCTTGTAACACTCATCGGTTTTCCTAAGTGACAGAGCTAGCTCTACTGAATCACTAGGATTGGTTCCTTCTCTGGGGACGAACCCGTAAGACAGTAATAGCTCTCCATTAGATTTATTCCCATACGATATGAAAACCTGCACAAAGTCATGCGTTGAAACATATCAGAGACTTTAAGACAACTCTGGTTCCTATCTAAAGACTAGACCAAACCCAGCATTTGAATTTGAAGTGATACAAAAAATGCACTACATATTTATTTACCTGCTCACCTGGTTGATAAGGTCGATCTGCTGTAAATACAACTCCTTTTGAAGACTTATCATAATCCAGGTACGTCTCAACCTGCCAAAGCAGAATTTGGAATATTATCATGCTTTCCGATTAGGAGAACAAATTAAGGAGCTAAATGGTTATATAAATAAGTACCTCACAGTTATGATTAAGCATATCTGCCCATGGAACTAAGGCAAATCTTCCATCCATAGACGGCAACCGTACCTGTGTTTGAGAAGCTTAACTCTCAATTGACGGAGACATGAAATAATGCTAATAACCGCTTCTGGTAAAGTGAGTTCTTACCAACCGTGAGAATAAAATTCCGAAAGACCACTTAAATGTCTCATCATTGAAAACCTGCAACCAATAAATAGCAGCACACTCATATACACGCCTAAGCAACAAATCTGAAGATGTGAATTCCCGCCTATCTCAGATAATAGAATCGGACCAACTAGTATGTTGCAAGTGACAAAAGAACCTCCAACAAACACAGAAGAACTGTCAGATCATTTACATGATGATTTACTCTGATTTTATCCAAATGGCAAGCTGTATACTTCTGTGTTTGAGTCAACAATAGCAAAATAGTTACCTCTTTAGGGAAAAGTTGAGGGTGTTTGGAAAATATCCTGCTTCTTAAATCTTCATAACTGGGGAAAAGAAGAAAAAAGAAAAACATGAGCAAAATTCTACACATGATCTCCAGCGGTTGATAGAAGGAAAGAAAATACAAATTTCTCACGTTCCAACAACATTGGTGATTCTTTCAATTGCTCGTTCTCGAATCTGCGAAGCTTCCAAGTACATATCAAGCTCTGTCCGAGTCCTGAATTAGTAACACGAAGTTGCTGTAGAGAGTAAGAGACTGATATAACAATGGCAATATGAGCAATTTCAGGTAGAAGTAGAAAACTTACCAGTACAAAAGCGAGTAAGGCTGACGCGGAAGAGCTGAGATATAGTTAAACCATCGTGAGCTATTCTTAAGACTTGCTTCACTTATCAGATAAGTTGCGAGCAGAGGCCAATCCGGAACATCGTAACGTTTCATCACTTCACCGGCTTCCGCGTCGGTCCATTTCTAAAATCCCAATCTCCAATATTTATTAGATACTCAATCAAATTCATGAAAAATTGGGAAATTCTGCCGAGTGAAATTAGGATTGTGTGAACTTACGGAATCAGCACTGATGACGAGAGAAGGAGGAACGAAGAGAAGTTTCTCTCCTTTCCTGAGGTTCTGAGAGGCGACGAGGCCTCGTTCTCCGACGTCGACTCTGTCGATCGACATTTTCTGCGGCGGGAGACCTGAATCGGAGAGCCATTTCTGAAGAGAGGTCGCGTTCTCAACGGAATCTATCTCGCAGCCCCATGATATGTCCGGGACTTCTTCCTCCACGGAACGTCTGGTGGTCTCACCGGCCGAAACTGAGCAGTGGATTCCGGGCCGGCATCGGGACGCCGGAAGCGGTGGGTAAGAGAGTACGAAGTTTTGACTGCGGAGCTGGTGGAGTGGAGAGAAAGATGGGATGAGAGTTGACTGGAAGACGCTAGAAGCTTTCGCCATGGAAGCGAAGAAGAGAGAAGAGAGACGAGTGGCTATGGATGAGGCTATGCTTGGCGGTTAACATGATTGGTGGTAAATTGTTAAAATAATCAAATTGTGGATCACGGTTTGGTTCGGTTTGTTTTGGTTTAGATTTGGATAGTTTTTTTTTTGGTCGAATTTGATTTGGTGTTAGGACAAAATCTAAAAATTGGCTGTGGATGAGCGTACGCACTATGCAATGCTTGGATGTGTTGTGCAGATAAAGATTTAGGATAAAGATTTAGGAACTTGCATAGACTTTTGACAAATTTAATATTTTTAAGATCTCTATGAAAAAGTTTAAAAATGATTTTCATTACTAAACTACAGTACCACTGATCGAAATTATTGATAAATTGTTGTTTGGCCGACGATTTTTTTTATTATTAACCGCTAAAAGAGAAAGCTTTTTTTTTTTTTTTTGCCAGCAACGGAAGTTTCATTAAAAGCCCAAAGGGCAGAAACGCAAGTACAAAGTGTTACAACGGCCCATTAAAACCCAATAATAAAAAACGCATTAAGTGCTGAGCTTTGACACGCGTCACACATGCTTGCAATAAGAAGACACGTGTCTTCCATCTTGTGGACCGCCATTGGAGCGCCGTAGACGATTCTCTCCGCCTCGCCGCCGCACCGTGCACCGTGCACCGTGCACCGCTTCAAGCTTATCGCAGTCTTTTACATGTACTCACCGGGAAGAAGTGGGCATCTGTTCACAACTCATCGGAGCAAATCCAGTTCCAGGAATCGTCGGAAGATCTAGGATCCAGAAATTCGCCGGTAACTTCAGCTCTACTTTTCTGGGCTAAACCAACCAATCTAAATTCCCCATCAACTTAAATCCTCCACCACTAAAGGAAATTTCACTCAAGTTCCTACATCGGAAAAGTGAAGAAATTACTCCCGTTGACAGAAGATCCAAGCATAACCGAAGAGAATAGAAACGCTACACTCCACCGGGATTTGTCTGAAGAAAAACATGCAAAAGAAGAGACAAGATTAAAATCCATCCATAGATCAAATCTATGGTGGAATTATTAATCCGATCTAAAGAAAAGATCGGAAGCAAAAGATCGGTCAAAGCCGAAAATATAAACAAACAAAAAGCTAAATCCGATCAATTAGATCGGAAATCGCCTTCTCTCTCTGAAAAATAAGAGTGAGAGAAGAGAGAGAGGGTTAAAGAGAAAGCTAATGCATCATTTGGTTATCAAAGATTCATGAATGAAATTCAATAATTATTTTTTTTTTTAAAAGGAAGGGAAGCCAAAAAAAAAAGGAAGGAAAAAAAGAGCCCTACGCATCCAAAATCACAGTGCATATTTTTGCTAATTCCCCTTTCTCGCCCCCCTCTCTCCTTTCTACTTCCTCTTCCTCTGCTTTTTCTTCTCTTTTTTTTTTTCCTTTCTTCTTCCTCCTCGAAACCAACTAGTTTCAAATCCCCATCCTCTCGTGCTGATTTTATCACTCGCCAATTCGTATACATACACATACAGGTACTCAGACCTCTTTGGTCTGGTCCCAGATTTGATTTTTTTTTTTATAATAGCAGAAGCGAAAGAGCGAGATACGTTTGAAAGAGGATGGTTGGTGGTGGTGCTAGGGTTTCGATTCCGGCGAGTACTCGGAAGATGATTCAGAACATTAAGGAGATCACTGCCGGCAACTATAGCGAGGAGGAGATTCAGGCAATGCTTCATGAATGTAACATGGATCCCGACGAGACTGCCCAACGCCTACTTCTTCAGGGTTTGATCTCATCCCTCTCTTCGCTACTTTGATTCATGATTTCGGTCCTTTGACTGGATCCATGGTGTGGTTCTAGGTTTCGATTTGGGGTTTTTTTTCCATCTAAACTTAGGTTTTAGCATCTGATTTTTTTTTCTCTCCTTTGATTTATTCAGCTTTTGCCTGATTAGGTTTGATTATCATCGGTTTCGTCGCCAGTTCATATGTGCGGAAGTAAAAGCTGTCTCTAGTTGTTCATGTGATATTGTGTTTTAACCGCTTTTCCACAAAAGTCAGGATTCGATTCGAATATCCTCGAATCATTTGCTTCAACTAGTCAGTGATGCGTGAAACAAAGTTTATTAGCTTCTAAGTGAATCTGAATACTTTTGCTATGTGCGTTAGATGAATCTAGAGAATCACATAATTTTCAAAACAATTAGCAGGATTCTTCTTTACTTATGATACTTGTGTTAAGAGTTCTAAACCCATGCCATTGGTCTATCAGTGGAACTCTAGCTATGTTTATTCTCATGTTGTGTTTGGCCGCGGTTGTTAAGGCAAATTTTTTTTTGGCATTTGTGGTATTGAGTTTTTTTTTTGGTTGAGCAATGAATTACTCTATACTACGCTCTTAACTAATTCAAAACTGTGGATGACTCTGCAGATCCATTCCATGAGGTTAAAAAAAAGCGTGATAAGAGAAAAGAGGTATGTTGTGTTTCTGGGTAAAATCTCTCAATATTGCACTAGATAGCATATATAGTGACAACGTGATTGACAATGTTATTAAATGCAACAGAACGTTAGCAACAAGGATGCTGTTGAACCACAATGGAGATCTGGTGGCCCTGGCCGTGGTAGCAGGGGTGGTCGTATGAATTTCTCTTCCCGCCATTCATCACATGGTAAACAACAATCATATGAATCTCAATGTTTACGTTGCTGCATCTTTTTATATACATCATTAGTTCTCTCTTATAAGTGGTTTCTTGAGGTCAAAATCATGTTTGCTATATAAACTCAAAATTGATTCTTGCGTGGTCTTCCTCCGAGGACATACTACATGTGTTTATGACTAGTTGGTATGTCCAGTCATATGATAAAGAAACTTCCCTGGTGGAAGGCCATAACTCGTCGCTTTTTTTGGAAATTTCAGTAGTTGATGACGTGTCTGTTGTGAATGTTTACTTCTAATCAGATGGTGGTGGCGCAAAGAGTTCTTACAGAAAAGAAAATGGTCCAAAGCAGGTCACAGATCCATCAGCTTCAACCTCGCAAGAGATGAAAACTAAAGAGATTGCTTTGGTGTCAAGCTCTGATGTTCAAGTGAAAGCTACTGGGTCTTCAGTTCCCTCAAGCAACGTTGATGATGCACCATCTTCTGTTGCATTAAGCAAAAACCGTGCAGCATTGGGCTCTAGGGATGTGCATACTGAGCAGAAGTCGGCTGATTCTCTGCCACCTCCTCGTCCATCCTCCTCTGAAGTTCGATTTGCGTCTTCGAATCGCAAATCAGGGAGCGAGCAAACAGCAGCGCATGAACAACATATTGGAGAAAGCAAGTTCCATACCAGATCCCGTGGGGTTGGGAAGGCTGCCATGAATGATGCATATGTTCCAAGGCCTGCTTCATCTCACAGCAACAACAGCACTGGAAGTCGTCCTTCTTCAAACTACAGTAATCGGTCACATCAGACCGTTGGTACACAAAGAGGTCACTGTGATACATTTATTGCGTTCAATGGAAAAACTTTCTGCCTGCTATAGTTTCATGGTTTTTTAAATTTGCATTTGTAATCTTTTGACATCGTCGTGGATGTTTGTTTCTAGGTGCTGGTTCCAATAAGGAATGGAAACCTAAGCCAGTGAACCATAACACTGCTCAGGGTTCTGGTGCATCATCTACAACTGAAGCTCTTGCAGCTCCTACTGAAGCAAGTGACAAATCTGTTGAAGAAGTTATCCCTTCGGCCGAGGGCGCATCTAGGTTGCAGAGGCAGCTTGAAGACCTGCAGATTCAACGTCAGCACGTTATTATTCCAAACCATATTCTTGTTCCAGAGGCTGAACGAACCAAGTTGAGCTTTGGAAGCTTTGATGCTGGCTTTTCTATTACATCAAGCTCAGTAACTTTTCCGGAGAATGAAGAGAGATCTGCACCTCTCTCTCAGAATTCGCAGGAAGTTGAAGAGATTTATGAAGAGGAGGAATATAGGTATATATCTGTCTGCCTCTGCTTTGTCAATTAGCGTTGATGTTGTTAACTAAATCCTTTCAAATCACTATGGTGTACTTTAGATTCTCGGTGTAACTGTAGGCTTGATCTAATAGTGCTTTGCCCCCTAAATTCAGGCACCCAATTGTCCATTCGACTGAAAAGGAAGTAGACAATAATGTATACTCCCAGTCGCAACAAGTTCCAGATGAGATGGCTGGTGAAGGTATCACTTCAACAAATGCACCTCCACAGTATGATGTTTCCAAGCAAGATAATATGTTGGAGTCCGAAAGCTACCAAAACTCTCTTGGTCCTCCAGCTCCTGGGAGCCAGCTACCACAATTTGAGAGTGCCGACCCTCAAGCACGTGATGCCTTTCGTATGCCCAATTTTGTGGTATGCCTTCGAAATTGTTGTATATAACTTGTTAGGTTGTCATGTCACTTTCTTGTTGTTCCCAGTTCATCTCTAACTTGTCTTTTAAATGAATTATTTTGCTTTTTGAAGGTCCAACAACCATTTGATACAGCAAGTTACTATGCTCAATTCTACCGCTCAGGCCCTGACAGTGATGGCCGTGTTTCTCCATTTGTAGCCCCAGGGGTTGCGTCCAAATTTAATGGCAATGTCACAGTATTGCCTCCGCATTCATCTCAAACCATGCAAGAGGTCAGTACAATTTGTGTTTATATAATTTAAGCTGGTTCTGAGACGCTCTAGTTTATTACGCGGTTGAAATCGCTTTTCTGTGTCTGAAACGCTTAAACATGTTGATTTGCAGGGTGGAAACAACTTAGTTCTGTCTACAGGTGGTCCAACGCCATTGGTAACTCAAGCAGCTGGGCTAATGCAGAGCTCTTTACCTGTCACGCAGCAGCCTGTTCCTGTCTTCCGTCCGCCGGGATTACACATGTCACATTATCCACCAAACTACATGCCATACGGACACTACTTCTCCCCATTCTATCTACCACCACCGACAATGCACCAGTTCTTAAGCAACGGTGCATTTGCTCAGCAACCTCAGGCAAGCGGTGTGTATCCTGCTCCTCCACCCCCTGGAGCTGCAACAGGAGGCAAATACACACTCCCTCATTACAAGCCCGGGAATAATACAGGAAACTTGGCTCATGTTGGTATGCCTGGTGGTTATGGACCAACATATGGTTCCTTCCCAGCAGGATATAACCCCACCTCTGCTGCTTCGGCCGGGAATTCAACTTCCAACGAGGATCTCAACTCATTGCAGTTGAAGGAAAACAACGGCTACAACACAACAGGGCAACAGGTATGATTATGGCCTTTCCCTTCAAAACAGAAAAAAAAAACAACTCGGTTGAAAGATTAATGAAAGTTTTATTTAATCTGCAGAGTGAAGCATTGCCTGTATGGATTGCTGCACCAGGACGGGATGTGCCGAGCTCTTTCTACGGTTTACAACACCATGGGCAACACGTGACGTACGCACCTGCACAAGCTGGTCAACATGTGGCATTCCCAGGTATGTATCATCCGGGACAAGCAGTGACAGCAGCAGGAGTTCACCATCCGCTCTTACAACAGTCTCAAGGTGGTCCTGGGGCTGAAATGGTTGCACCTGCGCCTAACGTTTTCCAACAGCCTCAGCAAACACAGATGAATTGGCCAAGTAATTACTGAAACAGGAAGGTAAAGAAAAAAGGAGAAGAAGTTTTTGAGGATTCAACAATTCCAGAGAAATCAGGAAGATGATATGGTGCGGGTTTTGTTGACTTGCGTGTGTGTGTGTGTGCAATCTAACAAAATTACTGAAGAAAAAATGGAGAGCTATGAAGTTGAAGGCTTTAAGCATTGAAGGGATTGACAGAGAATGATCATAAAGGCTAGAGGGGAAGGTATTTTTTTATGAATCCAGTGTTTTGGTGTTTCTATATCTTCTTTTGTTTTAGCAAAATATTATTTTTGTTTTGTTAGTTTTAAGAGGTCCTTTTTTAGCTCTCTTTTTAAGTTTCTGAGCTAAGCCAAGAACTTTGCTGCCTGAGTCTCTCTGTATCTGAAGACTCTTCCTTCTTTCCTTAGCCTTTGATCAATGTTTTCAAATCCTGGCCAGCAATCAAAATTTAGACAAGTTTCTTACGCTGCTCAACATGATACCTTTGGGTTCCCTGAAATTCTATATCTTAATTCAAAAATCTAAATTTTAATGAATGTATACTATTATTTGTTCATGAACTTATAATACTGCAAGTCTTTTAAGAAAATTCACATGTAAATGCAAGTTACATAATAAGCTTGTACTTCAATATCTCCAAGTATTAGATTGAAAGTTATCCTTTGAGTGATCTTTAAAACTACTGTTTTGCATTTTCATCAACTTTAAAACCAATGTTTGACAAAATGTTACACGCTAAGCAAACCTTTGAAGTTAAAGGTGGAACCAGTCAGTTAATTACAGAAGACTGCTTTGTCTGGTAGATTAATTACAGAAAGCGACTTTGTCTGATAAGATTTTAGATTCTGGAAACTGTCTTTAATTTACATGAATGCCTGAGTGCAAAACAGAAATCATTTATGAGAGCATACATACAAATGAAGGCATATACAAATCATACATACACATAACTGTTTAAATTTTCCAACCATAAATCTCCCTGTTTTCCAACTACCAAGAGAAGAACAAAATTCATGGAGCCCTGATCCGTAAACGCCTGAAGAAGCAGAGACCAATGTTGGATAAACTTTGCTGTCAAGCAAGAATGAAGCTTCTGAGAGGCCAAGAAAAATCCGATTGAATGATTGCTTCCAATAATCAGTCTTAGGGTCGTTTTAAAACCAGTCTAGTCATGTTTTGCTGCTAGCCGCACAAATTTCAAAGTTTCTGACTTTGAAACTTACCACAAGTCAAAAACCCTTCTTGTCCCATTTTCCGCCATGCCCATATGTTATCTACTTTGTTTTACATCTTCAATAGCTTCTGGTTGGGGTGAGTGGGTCGTAGTCATAAGCTTCACCAGCTTTGACAAATCTCCCCTTTACACGCCGTCTCACATCAGCTCTTGCTTTGCGAGATGCATACCTCACTCTCTTATCAAACCTATATTTCAAACAAAAAGCCAAAGTCTCATTAGCAAAAAGCCTACACTTACTCACTTTCAATGATTGCATGTACGAGAGTAGAGGCACTTACTTGCGAGCCTTCTTCTTTTCCTTGTAACGCATAACCGCATTGTTACGTGTCACCGAATGTGAGCAAGCATTGTTATTATCCTGTGATGTCTGAGGATACCATGGTGGCTCCCCTGCGAGCTGCATCGAAGACGATGCACCACATTCTTGGAAATCTCCAGCACTGCTTTCTCCTGTGACTCCAGAGAAAGAGATGTTCGAATGAGCCGGCTTCGACGTGAAGCAGATTATAGGCTCGGTTTTCGAACTCATGAACGAATCATCATTGCTCTCAGCTGGCTGCACCGACTTATCGGCAGCTGCTTGATGATGCTTCTGGAAAAGACTATCGATTCCACCTTGTCCAAAGAGCTCTCCTGCAGGGTTAAAGGCAGTCCCAAAGAGCTCTTCGTAGTTCTCAAGTGCCAAGTCTACTTCATCCATACCAAGGTTCCCATAAAACTCATCTTCACACAATCCAACATCCTTCAAACCATAAGAACAAACAAGAAACTCGAATTTTAGTAAAAAAAACAAAAGATAAAGACACATCAATATCTCGAGATGAAAATTTACCTTAGCAGATGATGATTTTGCTTGTGCTGCAGAAGTGGTTTCAGGCTTTGAAGAGGAGGAGGAGCCAACAACGACATCTTTCTTGTCCTCTTTACAGTTTTGTTCGGTGGAACCATCATCGTCTATGTTCATCATTCCCATTTCTTCCTCACAAACGGATTGTCCGGCTAAGTCCAAACAGAAAGACCAGATGGAAGCGAGCTCGGAGCTTGAAGGGCAACCAGAGTAGCAACTTATGGTTTGCCTCTTATGATTTTGAGACGAAGAAGAAGAGGAATTTTCATTGTTGTTGCTGCTGTTGTTGTTGTTGTTGTGGCCTGACCAATCACAGTTTTGACAGAGTGAGACTCTTTCTTCAACACACCTGACTGTTGCAGGCTGTGCATTGCATCGCTCGCAGACAAGTGTACGAGAATGCCGTTTGGACAATGCGTTAGCGGAGTGAACACTCCGGTCACAGGAGAGACAGAGACACGCTGCATCGGATCGACAGTAGACCATTGATCTTTGTTCACCGCAGAAGTCACACATGTAACCCATCTTTCCTTCACTCTGACGAAATTAACCTTTCTGTTTTATCAAAAAAGTCACAAATTCTCGAGTTAGGTAAGAAAAATAAAAAAACAGAGAGTTTGTTCAAAAAGCAAGCCTTGAAGAAGCAAAGTTTCTCAATTTAGGAGAAACATGTGAAGGGTTAATAATCAAAGGAGAAGGATAGAAAAGGAAACGAAACCAGTTTCATGAGATTTACTATAACAAATCAATTCAGAGCAATCATATCAAGGACCAAAACCGAAATAAAAACAACAACTCAAGCTTCAAACTCCAGATCAGTAAATCTTGAGTTTTTGTTCAAAATGGAACTGAATCCAAAAATTCTCAATTGGTCAGAAATGATTAAGCTTTCTTATCATCTCTATCCTCAATCAGTCATCCTCATCCGAACAAGTTTTGAAAATCAAAAGAAAACACGAAAAAGCCCTTAATCGGAGATCCAATTTCAACTTAACACAAAAGAGACAAAAAATCGAAATCAGCCCTTCATCGAGAAACAGTGAACAAACACTAACACCAATTAGTTACAGAAGGGGAATCCGAAAAGACAAATAAAAAATCACACTAAAACACAGGTTTTTAAATCAGAAAAAAAAAACAAAGAGAACACAACTCACGGTAATAACAGATCTTCTGGACTATCTTCTGAAGTTGAATCAGAAAAAATTCTCACCGAAGAAAACAAGAACAGAAAGAAACAGAGCCGATTTTTCCAGAACTTCTTCTTTTTTTTTTTTGCAGACAAACTTCCTCTCTCTCTCTCTCTCTCTCTGAAACTCAAGAAGAAAAAATGAAGAAAGAGATGAATGGATAAACAATGGGTGGGTGTGTCCGCAAAGAGACATGTAGGCTTGTGACATAATCTGATTATCAAAAGTGCCTAATTTTTTATTCATTTTAATTTAAATTAAAATAAAAAATAAAGGCGAAAAAGTGCAAAAAGTTTTGTGTAAGGCAGAGTGGGTCCCTGTCGTATTTATAGTGAAAGCAAGAAACTTTTATGGGTCCCACAGATATTTTAAAAGAAAAGCAGAAACAGATATTAGCAAAAGGTTTATGTGTTTACTCACGCACGCGCTCGCAGGTGTAGAAGCCAACGTACTCGCGAAAACGAAGCTACCAAGTGGCTTTTGATGCCCATAAATAATAATGGTGGATTCTCAAAGCGTTCGCTTTTTGATGCTTTTGGACGAATCAGATGACACTCTCTCTTATGTATTGTGCCCTTTTTGCTCTCAGCAATAATGAATAAATCTTTGCTTTGACCTTTCAAAACCTAAAATATCTTCTTTTTTTCGGTGGGCGTCTAACAAAATAAATATCTTTTGGGCAAGAAAGATATTTTTGACGGGAAAGAAAGCAAAACCAGAAAATATCTGCCAAGTTAGATACGTGACTCTGTGTAGTCTGCACAACAATGAGACCAGAAAGATATTAAAATATTAAAGTAATGGACTGACTTATTTCGAATGTAACAATTTTGCCTGTGGGAAAATAAATCAATGACAGATCTTTTTTGTCGTTTTTGTTTCTTATTTTTATTTATTGTTCACCCATTTCGTTTCTTCAATTGGGTAATCGAAAAAGGTAACTAAGATAAGACTTTTAATTAGAGTGGAAATCCATGGTTGATGGATCTATTTGACTTGCACGAAAAAGGAGAAGTTAAATCATTAAACAAAAAAATCTGAGCAGCCAACTTTTAGATGATTTTTTTTCTGCAACTTATAAAGAAAACAAGTGCTATGTACTGTAATATATTTCTGTCACACCCTAAAATTAGTATTTTCTATATACCGTGGAACATTTACCTAACTTTATGATTTGGATGCTCATATATCTTCTCAATAATGGTTCGTTTTGTTTTATTTGTGGCTTGGTTTTCAATCTAAAAAAAAAAACACATGAGAGGGACTGAAGCAGAGGAAAATATCCAATCAAAAGGAATGAAGAAAATGGAACTTATTAAATAACAGCATGAACATCAATAGGATAATTATTAGAAAAAGTGGAAGATAAGACGCACTGAAAGATATGAAAAAAAAAAACAAGATATGTAGAACCAAAAAACTAACATATGATGCTGAAATGTGAAATGTGAGCAGGATAAGATTCTGGGACGATCCGAACTTTCGTACAAACATCGTATTCTTTGTCCAATATAAAACCACCGGCTTAGAGTTTGAGCTCACTTATTTTCCTTGAGATAACATTAACTAATCTTCTTACTATACTTTAGTGACTTTTATGAACTTGACAACCAAATTTTCATTTCTTTATCTTATGCCTCTCCCACCAATCACAACTCAAATCATTGATAATATTAAATATCCCACTCCTAGGACATCATTAGCAGTGACATAAGAAAATATCATCCCATGAGTTGACCCAATATAATCACCTTTAAATCAGAATCCTCATTTGCTTTTCATTTTCTGAGAGTTTAAGATTTGGTGGCTCTTATAAAAACTTTAAAAAGGAAAGCATAGTGACATGGATCTGATTCAGCTGAGCGTAAGAGTCTTAACAAGAGCTACTACATAGGGAAACTTAGAGCAGTTCCAAGCAAAGACTGTATCAAGTGTTGGGACATGAAAAAAGACCTGACCCGAGAGGATTGATTAACCATAAAGAGCACGCCAAGGACTCTCTTCTTCTTTTGACGTCTTTGCTGCGTTCCACTTGATTCTCTCTTTCGACAAAGACACTCCGGCATAGCTCGCCACAAGCTCCCCTATTTCATGGATCACCTGTGAAGACAACAATCACGCAAACTTGTGAAATACCACCTTCGTTTAGGATTGAAAATATATAACTCCATCAAAAGGAAAAATTACCTGAAGCTCTTCGTCTAGAGCTTGATGAGAAACGCTACTACTTCTTTGTCCGATGAGAATAGAGGTAGGCAGGCGTTTGACACGAGCCAGATGAAGCAAGCATGACAATGGTTCATAATGGATCTGCAACGATGGTGGTGGTTTCTCGATGCGAGAAGCAAATAGCCTGCTGGTCTCTGTTTCTGGACCAACTTGAAAGTAATGAAGACTAGCCTTTTTGCTACTTGCTTCAAGGGATTTGTTATTGAACTTAAGCTTCGATGCCGCCACAAGAAAAGGAGCCACGATTGTGGGCAGAGTCGATGCTTCCCTTGTAATTAGGTCCAGCAGTTCATTCATGGCACACACTAGTGCAGGAGGCTCGTAGCTCCGAAGAAGAACAATCGAGACCTTCAACAATGTAAGAAGAAACAATCAGAAAGTTAAGCAACGTTAACCATATTGCGCAATCAACATGGAAACGACAAAACATGATATCAAGTCTTGCAACACAACCACAGTACTGATAAACAAACGATACAAAGGGCTATATCATCACCAATGGCAAAAAAATCTGATCAAGCTTGGAACTTAGAAGACTGAAAAAGAAGCTTTCACTAGCCAACACCTCTAAACTTTCTAACCTTTGAAAGAAGAAACTTAAAGTCGCAACAACTAGTGAAGCTAGAAACGAACACAAGTCGCAATAACAGTTGCACATCACCAAGAATCAACCATCCTACCACATTTTGCAAATAAACATAGTCGGCAAATTATAGAGTAACTATCTTTTACAAGATATGACACATTAAGGCACCATAAATTCTTCAACTTAACTATAGCAACTAAACAAATTTCAGTCCTTGGATCAATATAAAGCTTACACAGCCCAGAACATAAGAAACCAGGCAGCGACTATAACTACAAGCCAGCCAAACAAACTTAACTAACTACGAAAAATCAAGTACCCGATTAATTTCTACCGAAATTGACAGTTGCTAGAATGAAAACGCGATCGAATCTCCAAAAAAGGGAACGAGAAAGAACCTGGTAAATTCCATTGTCATCGATGAAATGAACGATAGTCCCGCCGGCATCGACATCTTCGACGCCGTACTTGTCCAACGGAAGCTGGATCTGCTCTTCTCTGCGGAATCCACAATGTTAAGCATAACAGGAGCTGGAAAAAAATCAGCTGAAATCGAGAAAGGAAGAATCAATTACAGTTTGCGAAGAGGAGCACTAGGGTTGGGGTTTAGAGAATCAGCGATGGTTGCCGCAAATCCATCAGGATCATTCCAGAGGAATACAATCTTCTCCGCTACTTTCATCGCCGACGTCGAGAGTGTTTGATTTAGCTTGAGAACTGAGGCAACTGTTTATCGTCTCTTCCAGCTTATCGCGCAAGAAGCATAAACTCTCTTCCTTCCCAAAATCTCCAAGTCTCATTTTTTCTTTCATTTGTTAAAAAAGTCCCCATTTTACTCATTGTTTCAAACCCGACCCCCAAAAAACAATATCAAACAAAAAAATCCGAACGGCCGATTAGATAAAACACAATTTGGTAAAACATGTCACATTGAAAATTCTTACTACCAATTGAAATTAAAAATGATAGAAGATCATATTTGAATGCAATTTCACTCTAGCAATCTTTTAAGAAAGCGATATATGTTATGAGTAAGTGGATGCCCATTAGTTCCATAGGTGGATGTCCATTAGGCTCACTTCTCCCCAATGTTGATTTCCCTTGGAACCCTACTATGTACTCTATATAAAGAGCTCTTCACTCATGGAATAGATAACCTTCATTCTCTCTTTCTCACAACACGTTATCAGCACGAAAGTTCTACCTCTTAGCTTTTCTATGTAATCACAAAAGTTCTAATAGTTCTTATAGTTTGAATTCACAAAATTCAATGAGTAATCTCTATTACTTTGTTGATTTGTGTTTATCATACTAAAATTCCATTTCTATCAATACTTAATTTATATTACTTATTGATAATATTTTGGATTCAGCAAACTCATGCTTTATATATATTTATTTATTTTCGTAATATATTTATTCAATTGCCAGAATAATTTTTGTTTTTTCTCTGGTTAAATTATATCCCTGAAGGATTAATATTATTATAAAAAAAAAATTATATATATCCCTGAAGGATTTATATATTATTTCCTTGAAGGAATTAAATATATCAATTATATATATCCCTGAAGGTTTTATATATTATTTTATCCTTGAAGGAATTATATATACATCCCTGAAGGATTTGTATTTTATTTTTATCCCTGAAGGATTCATATTTTTATTTATGTTTTATTTATGTTTCATGTTTATGTTTTATTTATTTTATTATATCCCTGAAGGATTTATTTTTATTTATTTGATTTATATCCTTGAAGGATTTATATTTTATTTATATCCCAGAAGGATTTTACATTGTCTATTATTTATTTGCATTTATATAATTGTTTTTATTTATTTTATTTGCTTTTCATGATATTTGTTATTTTAATTTATTTTCGTAATAATTTAATTGCTAAATGAATAATTATTGAAAATTGTCTAAAGAAGAATTTTCATTGTCTGAATTAATTTCACCATTAATTTGAAATATTATTGCATTCTTGACCATATTAATTTTAAGTTGACCATTTGATCACATGAATTATAATTAATATAAGTGCTAAAATCACTCTGAAATATATTTTTAATATTATTATTTAATGATTGTTGACTGTTTTTGTTAAAATGAATTTTGATCAGCTTTGTTAAAATAATAGTTTGATTTTGCACATAACTTCGTATATTGCTATTGAGATTGCTTATTATTGCTAAATTATCATTTGATCATTGCTAATAATAATATATATTATATTATTGCATATCTGATTTAATATTATAAATAAATGTATAATTATTCCCTTGATTTGTTTTATTTATTGGTTTGATTTGGTTTAACAAATCAATTATTATTATTATATACTAATAAGTGTATTTATCTATCATTACATGATTTTAAAATGTAATAATTTTACCATTGAGTAAAAAGAAAGGCATGATCACTAGAAGTGATCTAATATAGCAATCTAAAGAAAATGAACAATCACCTGAAGTGATATGATATGATAGAGCATCTCAGACCATATAAACTTGAAGTTTATAAGTGAAAATATACTAATAAAAATGTATAAGAAGAAATTATGAAAATATTGTTGTCCTGCAGACACAATAGCATAAATATATTTAAGGAATATTTTAAAAATATTGTTGTCCAGTAGACACAATAGCAAATAAATTCTTAAAATTAAATTTGTCACTTGAAGTGATAATAAAAAGGTAATGTTATTTATATTATTATTTTATTTTATTATATTTTGTTTATATATATGTTTGATAATATTTATTTATTTTTCAATTATCCTCTATATGAATATTTTGTATTTGCATTTAAGATTACAAGACTTGAAGTCTATAAATGATTTTTATTTATCTGGAAGATAATGTAAATCAATGATGATAAAAGGCATATATTGTCCAGCTGACAAAATATTATTGAAGAAAGTTTAAGAAATTATTTTGATAAAATAATGAGTTACTAATGAAAATCTTGAATCTTGTCTAATTGGTTTTGATCCATTCCCTGAAGTGAATGTGATATGAATAATTAAAGATATGATCATAGACATGAATATGAATCTTTTATAGTTCATGTTAAGGTCAAAACCAAAGAGTTTTATTTCAAGAACTCAAATTCTCACAAGAAGTGAGAAAATAAAGATGGCAGCAAATAAAAGATACACATCTCCAGAAGAGTATATAAATTTATATTTGCTTATAGTAAATAATTTTTGATGCATTATATCTTTGAAATCCCAGAAGTGAAAAGAATCAAACACATAATAGAAATATAAAAAGTTTAAAGAATCAAAGATATAAAACATGATTCAAGTTGGATATATTATTGATTTTATACTAGGATTCCATTCGAGATTGATGAACCTGAAGTGACATCATCTCGAGGGGGAGAATGGATGAATCCCTCAATCACTAGAAAGTGGAACATCTAGAAGATTATGTTCACACTAAAAATAATCCTGATGAATCATATATAATGTAACTCAATGGTGTAAAATTATTTTGAAAAAATAACATACATTATCTAATGCCTCATCATAGACAAAGATTATAGGAGATGTAAATGTTATGTAGTAAACTAGAAGTTTACCGAATATAACATAGTTTGGCATGAGCTGGTTAGACCATTTCGGTTCAAGAATTATGCGAAATAAAATACATCATGTAAAGATTTATTGAAGAACTTGAAGATTCTTCTTAATTATCTATAATGTGATGTTTAATCATAAGACATTATGATTATACAATTACCAACTAGCCAAAATAGATTTGGAATGTATCCAATTTCTAGAAAGAATATAAGAAACTTTTGTGGTCTAATAAACCATTATATGGACTGATCATCCAGTAAGAGAAATGTTATGGTGTTTCTTAAATATATCAACAAGTGTGTTGTATGTATCAATGTTACATATCTGCAACCTGAAGTTTGCGAGATTACTTGGTAGTGCTAGTGAAATCACATCTTAAATCTTTGTTGAGAAAAACATGTTTGTAAGAATAAATGTTGAACATCCAGTAGCAAATGTTCATAATTACACATAATGCAAAAGCATTAATTCGCATAAAGCCAATGAATAACTAAAATTTCTCCCCATCGTAATTGGTTTAGGTCAGAAACCAAAGTTTTCCATCTAAAGATCTATGGATGTGCAGAATACATTCATAATGCTCCACCACAACAATATAAGATGGACCCTCGAAAGAGATAGTAAATGTATGTTGGATGTTAATCTCCTATGATAATATTTAGAGCTATCCATGAAGGATTTAAATATGGCTCAATTTGTAGACTGTCATTTTAGTGATTCAGTCTTTCCAACATCAGGGGGAGAAAATAAAACAGCTGGAGAAAGATTAAAGTTAGAATGAATTATCATTGATCCTCAGACGATAGTATGTGAAATAAAAGTCCAAAAGATAATTCATTCACAAAACTTACTGTATCAATTGCCAGATACAATTACTGACCCAAATATAGTGTTGAGTCACTTACCAGCTGTAAATGCTCTAAGAATAATTGATTTCCCAGAAGGACAATATCAAGCTGCTAGTAAGTCTAAAGAACGCATGAAGTGTGATAGACTTGTTGGTTCCAAATATTAGACCTCGGTAAAGTAAAATGAGCATAAATTGATAATGGTTAAACCGAGGAAACAAATGTTTTTGAAATGATCTCAAGAAGAGATATTAAACATGACAAGAAAGAAATTCAGGTACCTGAGACAAAGAAGAGATCTCGAGAATTAATTATGTCATGTATGGAATAAAATGGAACCATAAAAGCAAATCGACGTCGTAAATAAAATATTTGCATGCATTATAGCAGTTGATGTTATGAATGAGAAAGAGGATCATGAAACAAAGTCTATTGCATTGTGTACACAAAGTAATGATTTGGCCAAATCGAAAAGAAGCAATAGACGCAAAACTAAAATCTCTTAGAAAGAGAAATGTATTTGGACCAGAAGTCCTTACATCTTAAAAAGTGTAAAACAAGTGGGTTATAATAGGCATGTGGTGGATGCAACTTTCAAGTTCATTAAGTGTGGCAATGAAAGAAGAACTTGACTCATAAGACCCACTAAATAATGACATTTTTATAAAAGTCCCTGAAGGATATAATTCCTGAAGGATTAATGATATCAAAACTATGTTCCCGAAGAACTCTAATTATTTGATCAAATGAAGAGAAATACTCTCAGTGGGGTACAATCACAAAAGTGATATATATACATACATATACAATCAGTCCCACTGTATATTTATAAAAATATTAAGGTTGGATCAAAAGAGATCTTTAATCTAAACATTATCGAAATTCCTGAAGAATTGTCGAAATTAGATAAAAGATATTGGAAAGACAAATTTGTCTTAAGATATCTCATATTCACAGTTTAACAAAAGAGATGTAATCTCAAAAGATCCTTGTAAGATTTGCATTAAAAATGCTCACATTTGGTCTTGAAGTACATACTTTAAATTATATTTGAGAAATGTGTTGGTCTTTTCATAACTGAAAGATGAGACAAAATGAGCATGAGATAACTTATATACAAGATATATTTACAAGAATTGTATGTAAAGGAAAGTTTGGCCGAAGTCCAAATAGACCAAACAAGAAACATTTACTTATGAAAAATGAGTCATAGACTAGAAGTTTAAATGACCTAGAAGATTATAAGATAATCATATGAGGTTATATTCATAGTAATCTCCAAAAGTTGGTATTGATTATTGGAATGCATCTCTTGAAGAAGATGCTTCCAAGGGGAGATATATGATGATATGTGTGGTTGTACTCTTTTTCCTTATCATGTTTTTATCCCATTGGGTTTTTCCATGAAAGGTTTTAATGAGGCAACAAAGAACACACAAATGAGAAAATCTAAAGGAAGTCTAAAGATGAAAGTTATCTCCTTTCCAAAGTCTTGTCATCCATTTATGAGATCAAGTGAAACAAAGAGAATGATTCAAGATGAATCATCAACTACATCCATGCACTGACGAAGAATGGCGATATCAACATTCTAAAGATTATTCAAGTGAAGATTTTGAAGATTTCTTTAAACAAGGAGTTTCCAGCGCTACTTTCAAGGAGTTAGTTCATCTTGTTGGATTATGTATCTCAAACATTTAGACGGGATGTTCTCATGAGGGGGAGTAATTATGCGCTGCACTCTTTTTCCTTAGCTAAGGTTTTTCCCTTAGGGTTTTCCTAGTAAAGGTTTTAACGAGCAGCAGGGGAGTGTTATGGGTAATGGATGCCCATTAGTTCCATAGGTGGATGCCCATTAGGCCCACTTCTCCCCAATGTTGATTTCCCTTGGAACCCTACTATGTACTCTATATAAAGAGCTCTTCACTCATGGAATAAGACAACCTTCATTCTCTCTTTCTCACAACAATATCATGTATATTGGATAAAGTACCTATTAATGGATGAAACAACACAAATAACAAAAGTATATAGGCTATTTATTTGTTGTTGACAAAAATAATATTAGGCTGTTTGTTTTTTATATTTGATATGCGACTCCTTTTGTTATCCTGTTTTTGATCTCTGACTATTACTTATACTAAAAACTAAAAGGTCAAACAAAGGTTCTAAGGAAGAGAATCAGAAAAAATGAAAAAAGAAGTATAAGAAAACTGGAGACAAAAGAGGGAATGTCTTGTAAGGTGCACCGATGACTCCTCGGACCTAGTGGCTACGCTCATACACCAAAATCATGATGATATATATCATCACGCGGATCTGCGTTACAAACCAGCGCCCTCTACTTAGCAAGAACATGTTTTAGAGCATTGAAGTGTCTACTGGGTAGCTTCCTAGTACTCGCAAAAAAGTAGCAAATTCCTGCAACAAGAGAAAAACAAGAGCTTTCGTCACTTTCTACTTCTACTTCACCGTGGGATCCAGTTTCAAGTAAAGGCTTTACCTCGAGATGCCTAAGTGCGTTCTGAGCAACTTCATCAGCCATGGATGCTTCAAAGTCCACGTAGAAAAGGTAATCAAAGTATCTGTCAAGTATATAAGAGAGAAACGTCTTCATCATTTGTTCAGAAACTGTTGTTACAGTACAGATACAAGGAGTGATTTGTGAGAAAGAAGTTACTTTAGCCCTCCAGATGCTCGCAGAGGGTGTTTCCTTAAAGGGCGGCTTTCGATCTGATGGAAACCACAAGGAGTGCATTTGTTAGGAATGTGAATCAGACTTCTTTCAAATACGGCTGCACAAAGTAAAAGGAAGATTTTGAGTGTAGTAACTAACCTTTGTGAGGTTGATTTCCCTAAGGGCAAACACAGCAAGTGCTTTGAAAAGAACTCCAGGCCCTTCCTCTAACGAGAAAACTATACTTGTCTATAAAGATCATCAAAGTAACTCCTTCATCAGAGACAAATATCAGAGTGGGGTTTGCATTTCAGAAGATAGATTTGGATTTCTCACCTTGAAAAGTCTGTTAGTTCCAGGGATAATGGGTTCCCTTGCTAGCATTAGAAACCTTGTTACATTATCACAGTCATCCTACATTTGATTGAACTTAACTTAACAATCAGATAATCCAAAAGTGTAAAAATATGGGGCAAAAAAGGAAGAGGAATTCAAAAACTCTACAAACCTGGATATCTTCAGCAATTATGTTCAAACCATATATCTTTGCAGCTTCTGCGCTGGCAACTGCTGCTGCATCGCCTAATTTTTCGTACGCAATTTGCTGCCAATTGAATCACAAACTTAAATATCTCCTACTGTAAGTAGTGAATATAATATAACTGTTCCTTAGAAACATAACTTTACCTGTGCAGCACCAGCAGTGTCATCTACTGCTTCTCTAACCAATCCCAATTTGGTTAGCGTGTTCTCACATTGTGCGAGAGCCTGACCAAGAGAAAAGACAAGGCTTACTTTAGATAATGCCAAGATAAGAAAAACAAGATTAAATATATACAAAGGCATGTGGTGGTGTACCTGTGGATGGCTAAGGACCCTTCTCAGATCTTCAATATTGACACCGTGGTTAGCCAATAAACAATGTCGAACAGCTAGCTTGACTTCGCCTACAATATGCAAATTGTGCCGCAGCAGGAGATCATAGTTTCTATGGATGCTTCCACCTAATGAGTTCTCAATCGGTAAAACTGCTCTGTCAACAAGCCACCGCTCAACTGCCTAAAGGAAAACACAGGTTTTGGAAATTACAGATTGCTCAGTTTCAATTTCAGTAAAATAACAAGCCAAAGTGTAGGAGCTAGATTCTCACCTCGAATGCAGTGTCAAACTCTTCGCATGGAACAGCTTCACAGTTTGGGTATGCCTTCTCAGCTGCTGATTCACTGTATGCACCTGGTACTCCCTATTTTTAACATAATATCAATCTGTTCACACACTGTTCTCCAATAAATCATGAATTTGATGATTTTATTCAAGTATACACATTTCCGTGTGTTACCTGATAGGCCACACGAACGCGAGATCCGTTGGAGACAGATTGTGCGAGCTTGTTTGATGATAAAGGCTCTAATATTGGAAAAATGAAAATCAGCAAACATCAAAATTATCACTAAATGGAGCATCTTCAAGCAAAAGTTTAGCTACTAAGAAATTGTTTCTACAGCAAATGAAGACAATTGTAGCAGACACTTCACTGATTGTAGCTAAACTCAGTAACTATAGTCGCAGGGTTAAGTAGCCACTGTTACCAACAAACACTTCGAAAGTTTGAAAACTTCACTTGAGATATAATCGCATTTTATGAGAAACTACTCAGTAGATAAAGAGGATAAAGGAATTAGAGAAATTGAAGATGGGAATATCGAATCCGTACTAGGAAGCAGGGGCGATTCGTCCAGAATCTTCTTCACCTCCATAGACCTGACGGAATCGTCTCTACCAAAATCATCGTCTTCCAGCTGTGTCGACAAGACGGATATGGAACGGCAGCGCTGCGAAGATCCGCAGCCGAATCGTACGACGGAGCTTGGTTTGCGATTGGTTAATGACAGATTGCCAGAGATTACTCCGTGAAGCTGAGTCACCGGCAATCGAACAGCGTTCACCGCCATTGATGTGAAATGAGACGAAAACACAGAGGAAGGAAAAAAAAGTCAGAAGACTCAAAACGTAAATAACTTGACTGGCTGTTTAGGTGTTTCCAATTACGTTAATGGGCCAGTCTGATTGAATTTGTTGGCCCATTATAGTTTGTGGATTTGATTTGATTTTGCTATAATTTGTTCTTGTTCTGTTTGATTTAGCCTAAAAGCACATGTATATGAAGCTACATTAAAAACACTGTCTATGAAACATGAATGTCATTGCAGATTAGTATGTTAAATCTATGTATGTTGTAGGTTTTCTCCCTACAGTAAAAATCAAATGAATTAAACTCAATGCTTAACAATCTATAGACTACTTACACTGGGAGCAAAACAGAGAAATGGGAAAAAAATGAGAGAATATATGGTAGACCAAAAAACAAGGAGTACACAGTTGACATCTTAGTTTGTAATTCTTAATCAACAATGTGAAGTAATCTTTAACAACAAGTAATAGTAAATCATGTTGTGTGTGGTGAACAACTACTGTCTATAATTAGCTCACTCAAAATCTCCTTAATCTCAGCATCATTCTATTCTCTCTTACTCACAAACAGAGTAGCAATGATGGGATAGGAATTGGAAAAGGAGAATTAGGTATGAGAGATTACATTCCGAGATACTTGAACGCATTTCTCTTGGCATTTGCCACTTTCGCTGTAATCTTTGCTATCTTCATAGCTAAAGATTCGAAAACATCTTCTCATCTTTATTTCTCAACATCATCTTCACTATGGACCTCTTCTCTCTCCTCCGCTTTCATTACGGTACATATCTATCTTTCTTACCTTTCATCCATTTAGGTTGTAGTCAATGTTTCAAACCTCAAATTTTTAGATGTTTTTGATATGTTTCTATAATATTCAATGAAGATGACATCTATGTAAATGCACAAAGCAAACGCAAGTGGAAGATTTTTTGTCCCCTCTCATTTGCTATGACAACTAACTAACTAATTAAAATGTTGTGATTTTATTTGAAAGAAAGAAACAAACGTAATGTAATGAAAATGCTAACAAATAATCATGTCTAATCTGATAAAATATACCATATATCAAGAATTCTGGTAACAGTTGTATTTTTTGAAGGAAAAAAGGAAGAGAAACGGATCAAATCTAGGTTCTGGATCATGGAAAAGAGATGAGAAAGTAGAAGTAGAATTAGCAACAGCGAGGGCGTTGATTAAAGAAGCTCAGTTAAACCCTAATTATACAACAGTATCTCCCCTCGGAGACGAAGACTATGTTCCTCACGGCGACATTTACCGGAACCCTTATGCCTTTCACCGGTAAAGATACATATACATATGCGTTTACTTGTAGCAGAAGTTACCCTTTACTGATATGTTAACTTTTTGCAGAAGTTATCTTCTTATGGAGAAGATGTTCAAGATATACGTATACGAAGAAGGAGATCCACCGATTTTCCACTCTGGTCTTTGCAAAGACATATACTCCATGGAAGGCTTGTTCCTAAACTTCATGGAAAACGATGTTCTTAAGTATCGAACACGAGATCCAGACAAAGCTCATGTCTACTTCTTACCTTTTAGTGTTGTCATGATCCTTCACCACCTTTTCGACCCTGTTGTTCGAGACAAGGCCGTCTTGGAACGTGTTATCGTCGACTATGTCCAGATTATTTCCAATAAATATCCGTATTGGAACACAAGCGATGGCTTTGATCACTTCATGTTGTCTTGCCATGACTGGGTAAGTTATTCTTAATTCGCTTCATTATCTTCTTACTTTGCGTTGAACCTCTAAAGAAACTTAAGCACGTGTGTGCAGGGACACAGGGCTACATGGTACGTAAAGAAACTATTTTTCAATTCCATAAGAGTACTATGCAACGCCAATGTTTCAGAATATTTCAATCCGGAGAAAGACGCACCATTTCCTGAAATCAACTTACTGACCGGAGAAATTAACAACTTAACCGGCGGTTTAGACCCGAGTTCTCGTACAACGCTCGCTTTCTTCGCTGGACAGTCACACGGGAAAATCCGTCCGGTTCTACTAAGCCACTGGAAAGAAAAGGACAAAGACATTCTGGTTTACGAGAATCTACCAGAGGGATTAGATTACACGGAGATGATGAGGAGAAGCCGGTTCTGTATTTGCCCGAGCGGTCACGAAGTGGCTAGTCCGAGAATACCGGAGGCTATATACAGCGAATGTGTACCGGTTCTAATCTCAGAGAACTATGTTTTACCGTTTAGTGATGTTTTGAATTGGGAGAAGTTTTCGGTTTCGGTATCGGTTAAGGAAATACCGGAACTGAAAAGGATATTGATGGATATACCGGAGGATCGGTACAAGAGACTATACGAGGGAGTGAAGAAAGTGAAGAGGCATATATTGGTTAATGATCCTCCAAAGAGATATGATGTGTTTAATATGATTATACATTCTGTTTGGTTAAGAAGATTAAATGTTAAACTGTTATAGTTAAATGCACATGCGAGTCCAAGAAATGTTTCTTCTGCGCTCACAATTAAGCACCAAGTAGTGTTTTTTTTTCGAATTTTGGTTTGTTAGGTTCAACTGGCTTTTGGTTTGGTCGTTTGGAATAGAAAACAATGAGACCGGTTTGGGACTTCGGTTTTTGATTTTGTTACAGTATCTCGAGGAGTTATAAGTTAACTATCATTTCATTACATAGGTTTAAAGAACTTCATGAAGTTAGACTGATAAGAGGAATGAGGAGAAAATACAACATAAATATCATTCATAGGGGCTTAATTGGCTGTAGTGATTCCCTAATAAACATTAGCAAAAGAGATCGCTAAATCAACAACAAAAGACAGTGAGAACTGAGATGCAACAAAATATTTACTACACTTGTAGTCTGTCAATGTTTAGTCTTTCGTTTACTCGTCCTCTTTGGCTTTGGCTTCTCTTTGGCTTCCGAAGACCTGAGCCAACAACAAAATAAATCTCAGATTTGACAAAAACAAAAACGCGTGAGCTTATTGATGTTTTCTAAAGGAAGTTGAGAGGATGTACAAACTCACTTCTTTTCACTTGGATCTAAGTCTTTGAGAGCTTTGTCGATTGCAAAGACGACCATCTTCTTTATCTGTTGTTAAGACAAAACACACCGGGAATAAAACCCATTTAGAGATGAGTTACAGTTTTCATTGCTGAAAAAGCAACCAGGCAATCGAAACAAAACAACAAGCACCTGTAACTTATCCTCTTTGGAGTGATGGTTTGGTGGAAGGAGACGATACTCTTTTGTCAAGCGGAAACACTCGCTGATGTTTTCAGGTGAGACAAAGTCAAGCGCCACCTTTGTGCAAGACTGCAAGAAAACGATACCAACTTCAATGATCCAATTCATGAACCTTTTTTGCTGAGATATTATAAGTCCCTACTCGAATAAGAAAAATGTGTATCTAAAGCAAGAAGTAATCAAATCTACCTTCAGATTTCGGACTTGATGAGGGCAACCTACAGGTATTAAAACAGCATCCCCAAGCTTCTGAACAAAGGTCCATGGTTCAATGCCTACACAATACACCCCATGAAAACATGACCAAATAGATAACATTGGGAAGAAAGGAAAAATGGGATTGGTCCGTTATTACTAATATCCAGCATACCATATTCTTCTTTTAGCCTCATTATATGGTATCGCGTCAGATAGAAACACTGGTCATGTATTGGATGAACAACCTACAAAGAAGAAGATAGATGAATATGTAAAGATAAGCAAAAACCGCCAATACTCTAGAGAGAGACAGGAAGCATATAATGCACTACATGCAATATCTTCAATGTTACAACTGAATGTTCTTGGCTCTTGGGCATGAGAAGAAAAGTGTGAGAGTATGCAAAGGATAGTGTACCTGAGACACGGGGGAGCAGTGAAAATGTCTGAACTCTGTATGATGCTTCTTAAGGTATTCTTCTAATTTCGCCACATCTTCTCTACGGAAAATGTCCCAAAGAGCTCCTCCGTCACTTGCAAGATTTTTGGCTTCTTCTTCACAAGTTTTTTCAAGAATCTCCATCTTTTCTTTGTAGTCAGAAACTGAGGAAAACAGCTCCTTGAGATCTTGTTTAGCATGCTTCTCTTTCAGTTCTTCTATGTTAGATTTATTTTTACCCTCTCTTGTTACATCTTTAATGGGAACTTCACATATGTGTGTCAGCACATTAACCTGGAATGAAGATATTGCAAAAGGTGAGTAAAACTATAATAATAAATATATAACGGCAGATTTGATGAAAGAAAGTGCTATAATCAGCAGATTTGATGAAAGAGTGCGAAAGCTATAAACAGACACACATTAAATGCAACCATGCCAATGATTGGAGAAGAAATATGAACAACTAAGCCTAAATGTAATAAAAACAGTTGGCATGAATATATCACGGAATGGTATCAAATTCCGTTGTTATGTTATGTTCTGATATCATTATGTGTATACCAAAGAAAACCAACAGAAAACAAAGTATAATAACAAAGAAACAAGGGAAAATCAAAATCAAATGAGTACAAACCGCATCAGACATGTCGCAGTGGAGCTTGGTGACAGAATCTCCACGGCCGAGTTCTTGCGGAAATCCATAAGCAACGTACGTCTTTGGCCCCAGGTCTGGCTTCAAGCAATCTTCAGGCAGTTTGACAGCGAGATTCAAAGGTCCATTACACGGGTGAGTGTACTGCTTCAAAGGCAAACTGCATAAGAACTCCTCACTGTGACGCGGCAAGTTTTCTTTGAAGGTCTTAGTTTGAGGCCAATCTTTCAGTTTCATAACTCGTGGCCACCCCTTGTCATCATAAAACCCCTTTGTATAACCGGTAAAGAATTCATGAAGATTCACCGGTCCCTGCATCCATTACACGTCATTAGATAATAAAGAACGTAGTAAGAAGTAACTAATCTCAAGAGCAATAAATGAGCCATTTTGTTGACATAGTAAGAAAATGAAGTATCAGAATCAATGAATCATCAAAACTAAGTACTTCAACGATATTAAAAACATACTACAATTGAAGCTACAAGGTGCGTAGGGCTCATACAAACATATATCTACATAAGAAAATATATGGACCATAAACATATTGAGGAGAAAACTGACCTCACAGAAGTCCAGACCTTCAACAGCATCAACTTCTAGAAGTGTTTCGTGCTTGGCGCTTCTTATCTGACGGCAGGCACGATACATTACCATTGGTTCCCAGCTTAAACCAGACGTAGCCTCAAGCACATTCCTCACAACCACAGGCTCACCTTTCACCCAGTGATGCTGAAAATGCTTCAGATCATCTTGTTGAACATCGGTAACACTTGGACAGTAGAGATAATTGTCTTCTGAACCTTCTCGACAAGCAGCCTTTAACGATTTATTGTTGTCCATGCCAGTGTGACCTTGAGAGTTGAAACAAGGACATCGCTCCATAACCATTTCAGGTACATCTAAAAGCCTTTTGGCTTCAGCAGTTTCTTCTACTCTCTTGACCAAATCAGATACCCAACCATCAGGAAGTATGCGTCTCAACTTTAAATCGCCAGCACCACAATAACAACTAATGATCCCAGCTTCATTTGCTTTCCACATGGATTGGTGCTCCACACCGTCTATGTTTTCAAGCCTATAATCCGTAGTAGGAACAATTTCTTCTTTTCCTCCATGTAGATAATCGAGACCTCGGTTAATATAATTCCAAGAAACATCCTCCTGACATGTCTGAAGCTTTCCTTTGCGGATCTCGACGGAGCATGTAAGACAGATATCAGACTTACAGCTCCAGCAACTTCTATGGAGATCAAAGATCGCAGTGCTGCAGTTATCACTGTAACCCCCAAAATAATTGAAACAAGAAAGATTACTTAACGACATAAGAACTTGACATATTCATTGAAACAAAAATGTCAGGGTGATTTACCAGTATAGTCTTTCGTCAGGGGAACATTTAGCGTCTTCAGGCTTCACCTCTTCGAACTCCACTCCTGTGAAATTAAACAACCTTAGATATCCCCTTATTTCCTGAGCTGATTAGCTTCCAACTTCTCACTTTCAAATATTAATACACTCACTTTGAGATTTTTGTTTGGAATAAATGCAGCTATAGTTCAACAATATGAATGATGCATATACATACCTAAAACGTAATAGCATTAAGAGCATAACTAAAAGCATGGAAAGTACCTGATATCTTTGCCTCAACTTCAATCTCAGAGATTTGTTCATCATTTATTTCCTTCAGATATGGGAGAAGCCTTTGCACAATATACTTGGAGCATTGAATTTGTTCATCCTCGCTAACCTTGAGGTCTGAATTGATCCCCTACATAGTATTAGAGTAATCAGTTATCACTATGCAAGGAGCTTACAAACATTTACGAAAATATAAAACCAAGCAATATATGGTAGATGTGGAGAAAACTTACTTCCATTTTAGTATCTAGACGCAAGCATGATCTGCAGTTGCAAGTATTCCAGCAGAATGGGCATTTCCGGGCAATATCTTCTTCTGCTATGCGAGGGTACCTACACATAGTTATTGAACAAGTATTACAATCCAGCACAAAACTACAATAAGAAAATGGATCACTAGATAACAAAATCTGTACTAAATAAAGTCTGTTCTTTTCGTAAACAGATGAAATCATTCAGGTCAGGCACCAACAGGAATTGATGCTCAAAAGCTAAACCTTTGTCTCGGTTCTGTCCAAAAAAATACGAAATTTTGCAGAGCTAAATCATCCAGAAGGAGCTCTAAAGCATCAACTTATAACATTCATAACAGAAAGTCAGAAGCAAAAAAAAAAATGGTAACAAGCATACCAAGCTTTTAAGCATAGGGTGCAATAACGCTTCCTCTTGCAGTTTTGACACCTCACAACACGCCCATTGTCGTTCCGTTGGCATTGATGACACATATTGGACACGGAATTTTCGGCATTATCCTAAATACACCCAAAAACATATACAGATTACTATGTAGCCTACGATTAGTGAGCAAAGGAGAGATTTTACCAAAAAAAAGGAGAGATTTTTACAGAGAAATCGCTGACCTTTTGGAGTTTATCGTCTTTCTTACTATTCACAACAGCTGTTTTCCTCGGTTTCTTGGCTAAGTTAACCGGAATTTCGGAATCAATTTCACCATTGTTCTTCATCTCTTCGACTTCTTTCGCAGCTCTTTCCGGAGGCTTGTGTCCCTCGACGCCCTTCGGATCTTCAATCGCGTCAGTCATTTTACTGCCCTTCTCGTCTCCAGCATGAACAGCGTCGTCTTCTTTAGCCTTCTTCTTCCTCCTCTCATATACCCTAAAAAACTTCGGCCTGGGCTTGATTTCAGAAGCATTAACTTCGTCAGGCTTCTCAGGAGAAGCTCTAATCTCCTTCTCTAAACCATCGACTTCAACATTCTTCAATTTCTCGGCTTTCTTTGTCGTACATTTCCGAGGCACGGCCTTTTTTCGCTTTTTGCCCTTTTCCTTGGTTTCACGGTATTCGTCTTCGTCAGTCGGAGGATCTGTGTAGACCTTTTTCCGGGCAGTACGCAAACCAGGTCGTCGTCGATTCCCTTCTTCGTCAACCCTAATAACACCATCCTCCGCAGAATCCATGTCGCAAAATCAAAAATCCTCACTCCTCGCTAAACTCTTTCGATCCACCCAACCAGTGAAGAAAGCGCCAAAAAGGGAAATGAATCGCCGTAAAACCCTAGACACGATATTCAATGCGGATACGCCTGTATGTTGGGAAACTGAATGGTTTCATGAAAAGTTAAAGTTTGGGTTTTTTACAGAGACGAATCAGCGTATTCCGCCAAAAAAAATTGGGGGATTTGTTTCCCGCTCATTCGTAATCCAATTTCGAAAATGGAAACAAATGAAATGAAATCTCTTATTTAAGTAACTTATTATATCAGCTTCAAATTATACCAACCGGTCCGATATACATTCACCTACTAGTTTTCTTTCTCTAAATCTTTTGCAGATTTCATCACAAATCTTCTTCCTTTTTTGTATCTTTAATTCTTCTTCGTCCTTTTTAGTTATGCTTTTTTTTTTGGACAACAACCTTTTTAGTTATGCTTGTTTAGACATGCTTATAAGTTTATACTCGATGTTAAATTCGATACACGAGAAATATAATTAACCCTTATTTATTCATTTGTGACAACACCAAAACCAATCGTTTGTAATCAATAATCAAACACAAACCTCACAAAAGTTCAAAATACTAATGGTATAAATTAAAAGATGGTTGTTTTACTACGACTAGAAAATCAAATATGACTACGAGCATACATATTGCAAGTCAAGCATATAGTATTTGATTAGTAGCAATGGATTACAGATTAGCAGTCAAAACAATCTTATTTTTGATTAAGTAGGAAGATAGAGGGAAACATGTATTCTAGAGGAGACCAAGACTCGGACACATTTTGTTCGATTAGTTGTTACGTACGCACAACTGGATGATTTATAAAATAATATTATTAATCGCCATAATGCAGATATTGACTAAAAATCTAATTATTCAGCCATACACAAATAAAAAACTATAAGACAATGGTGTATTGTTTATGTGTTGTTTAATCTAATTTGTTTGACCCAATCAAATAATGATTTGATAGTCTTCATCGACAATAAGCTTTGTACGAATCAGCAACTAGAACCAATTTTAAAACACGTTATAACGACATGAAAACGAAATTCAAACTATCCGACTCCGTTGATGCATGACAACGACTCATGCTACAAATAATTTTATAACCCCCAACAATTTCTTTATGTTTTGGAGCTTGTAATAAGCGTAAGCAAATTGTCAAGAAGACTCGGAAATTTCTGAGCAAAATCCCATAAAAACATTCAAAACAAATAGTCAAGAAGACCATCTCTAATCATCAAGAATTACAGTCGCTGAGAAGAAGACGAGAGCATGAAGGTATGTATCTGTTTAGCGAACAACTTTGATGTTCTTGTGTTTATCTTGTAAGCTAAAGATGTTTTCTTATTGTAACGCAGCAAAAGATCCTGATACGAATTTCTATGACCGATGATAAAACCAGAGCAAAAGCAATGCAAACTGCGGTTCAATTTAAAGGTAACAACGATACAAACTCTTAGAGAAGCTGATTCTTGTAACTCTTGCTAAAATATAAAGAGTTATTGCAATGGTTTGTAGGCGTGTCAGGTGCGGAAATCAAAGGAGATCACAGGAACCAAATTGAAGTGACCGGTGTTGAAGTCGATATGATCTGCCTAACCAACATGCTGAGAAAAAAGGTAGCCTTTGCCGAGCTTGTAAGCGTTAACAAAGTCGAACCACCGAAACCTGATGGAGAGAAGAAACCAGAGGAGAAGAAACCAGACGAGAAGAAACCAGAGGAGGAGAAAAAGCCAGAGCCATGTCATCCACCATGGCCTTACTATGGATACGGTGTTCCATCTTCCTATCAACACCCGTGTGATCCCTACGGGTACACCGGTAGAGATTATTCCGGTAGAGGGGATTATACCGGAGAACCAGTCTACAATCAGGAACCCAATTGCAGGATCATGTGACAAGAAGACTAACGGAAGAGATACCATTTTTCATTAGTAAGAATGTCAACATGTTCATAGTCAGATTTATCACATGAATAAAATAAAGCCTTGAGCTCCAAAACCACGCAAATACTATTAAATGCTAAATCCTCTTCTTGTCCATGGAATCGCATTACATAATATCAATCATACCATTTCTTAATCAGATGTTTCCTTTGCAAGAGTTCCTAGATACATAATTCGGTTCCAAAGGTTCCTCTTCCTACTACAACTTCAAATCTCTAACCTTAAAGATTGTTTCCAGTGCACTGCAACATCTAACGACCTCTAGTAGCACTGCCACGACCACGCCCACGCCCACGTCCACGGCCGCGTCCAACAGGCTTCCCTAAAGGATGGAAAGAAAAGAATCAAACGGATTAATGAAGGAGTCTTTATAGCTTATATGAAGGCAAATGTTATGAGCTAAGATCCAAATGGGAATGGAGGATTACCAGCAACAGGCTTCTTAGGTTTAACTCTAGGAGTGTCTTCCACAAGCAAAGTCTCCAAGTTCAAGCTATCAGGAAGAATGTAGTAGCGGATATTGTTACCCCTCAAGCTTAGATGATCCATTGTCACTGGGTTTTTCCCCTTCAGGCTCATTTTAACCGTCTTCAAGTGAGTGTTCATGCTCACATCAACACCTGCACAAAAACATCGAGCTCAAAATTCAACAAATATACTTCCGGTGAGTGTAAAATCTAATAGTGCGTTTTCTCAACCTAATCTGAAGATCATACGGATGCGATTGGGCCAATGGATTAAACTGAAATTTAGGGAACAGATCGCGACTAGGATCAGTAACAGCGACTAAACCTCGAAACGGAGGAATCGAGAGAAGGAAAGTGAGAATCAGGAAGCTAAATAGAACGTACCAGTGATGGTTCCATGGACCACAGTCCCGTTCTTCAGCTCAATCGACACAGTTTCATTGTTCAGCTTCATCAAAAACCTACTCGATCCAATCAAAGAAGAAACAAATCCAAACAAAAATAGCACAAATCAGCTCAGCCGCTGAAGATTCAGAACGGATACTCATACTATACTCCGATCCTCGGAGCACGTCAAAATTTTAAACCAGCATGAAATAATTCAGAGATTAACAATCAAAATTGAAGCTGTACCTGACGAGCTTCATCTTTGGGTGGGAAAGAAGAACACACTGTAGAAAAATTGACGAGGAAAGAGCGATCGTGAAAACCCTCAAAACCTCGAAATTGATACTTCTTAGCAGCGGGTACGGATCCGACTCCGATTTTGGATCCATCAGTCAAATCACGATGTAACCAATTAGACTAATTTGGGCCGATAACAAATGTAATAAGCCCATCAAACTCAGGCATTTTCAAGCCCATCAGACACGAAACGGAAAGCGCGCGAGCGCTTGATAAAGACGCGCCAAAGTGTCAGCGCGTGAAGATTGAACGACTAATATCGAGACGCTTTTCAACGTTCAATGCGTTAGCGTTGACTGATCTCCACCACCGTAGAGATTAGAGATCGTTCTCTGCCGAAACTTCGTAAACCCTAACTCGTCAATGGCGGATTCGAGCTCCGTTCCTAAGAAATACACTCCCCCTAACCAGAGGTAACTTCTATCTTCTTCTCCTCTCAATCCTTACCCTCATTTTTTGCTAATTTCGAGTGATCTTTTACTCTGCTGATTTCGCTACTTTGTCTCCGATCTTTCGTTTTTGATGTTTCTTCTCCGCCTCACAGGAAACCGTCTGGGAATCGCAAGAAATCAGGAGGTATGTTGGCTCTCTCTCTCTCTCTCTCTCTCTCTCTCTCTCTCTCTCTCTCTCTCTCTCTCTCTCTCTCTCTCTCTATCAGTCTTCTTTGCTTGAGTCCTGCTTTCTTGCTTCTTACTGGAGAAAGATGGATTCGTGACTACAAGAGTAGAGCGTCGAACAGAGAGGGTCGATAATGATAATTAATTTGATTTTGTTGATACACTGGTCGATTGCATGTGAATCTGTAATCATTTGATTGTGGATAATAGTTGGTAACCTCAGGAATCGTTCTAGGAAAGCGAAACATAGGGTTTTAGCCTGAAATTTAGATCTTGCTCTCTCTTTATTAGCGAATCCGCTGGTTGATTCATTTCTCCATGTTTGTAAATTAGTCAATTTTTGCTTGTTTTCCTGAAAAAAAAGAACATCGTCCAAGCTCTTAACAGTAGAAGAAGTTATATCAGATTTTGCTTGTTATGATATTGTTCTTGGCTAAAGTAAAAGTGTGAAATTGCAGATCGAACAAGTAGCCAACAGAACAAGGATGCTGGTATTCAGGTGGAGAAGACTGCCAGAAGGATAGCAAGTCTTGACGACGGCTCTAAGAGTGAAGCTTATAAGCTTCTAAGCGAACGTATGAATCTGAATACACTATTTAAACATTTCTTTGGTTTATTGGTCATGCTCCTTGTAGAAATCTTGAACTTTAAGAGATGAAGTGTCGCAATTGATGTAAACTTATTTGTCAAATGAACAGGCTGGGCAGCTGCAATGCATCTATACAACGACCCTACCGTGGATTTATCTGGTGAGTTAAGGCCATTCAAGTTTTCTTAAGCTCGTTTGTGTTAAACCCTCTCAGTCTATTAGGCTTCTTCTGCTTTCGTTTCCCGGAATATAATGACGGAGTTCTTATATTCTTCTGCTTTGTCATTTGACAGAGCGACCAATCATGTACTATGGAGGGAGTGTTTGGGGGAAACTACCTCACCAGGTGAAAAAAACTTCAATCTCTTTCATATGCTTTTCATTAGTTCTGTTGAGATATGTACATTAATAAGAACATTGACTCATAATTTTTGTGGGACGAAACAATTATAGATCCTGGCTTCAGCAAACAAGACATTGCCTCCACCGATGGTGCCTACGGATTACAGAAGTGAACTGCGCCGAGGGTTGCTGGCTCCAAGATCATCTTCCAGTAAAAGCAATTGAGTGTTCCTTGCTCTGCTGATGGAGCCCATTTTAGACTAGTACAATGGTGTAATGATGTGTGTTGAGATGGCATGAGCGACGATGTGTCAGTGACTATTGTTTGTGTAGGGTTAAAGAAGGTTACTTTTGTCTCGATCGGTCGTTTTCTCTGGTCCCTGAAAGTGTAAAAAACTAAGCCAGAGAGATTTGATGTTACCATCTCATTTTGGTTAACTGGTTTACAAATACGTGTGGTTTCTATCTTACCAAAGTTTGTTACTGAATGATGCGTAACGTCATTTTTACTTCAGTGGATTTTCTAGAAAAGGAACCTCTAAAAGAAAGTGGATGTTAAACTTTAACATTTGGTAAAAGTCTAAAACCAAAAGGTTAAAATACAAATAAATTTGTGTCGTCTTGATCTGAAAATCCCATTCATTTTTACTTTTTAAGCAATCAACAAACGACATCTGGCAGACGGATTCAGTGAACTAGCTGAAAGTGAAACTGAAGTTAGGAATGTTGTCCGAACAGAAAAAAAAATGGTTTGGAATATATTTGAAGAAAATTTTATTACTATGTCTTCATTTTTTATTTGTCAAATTTATTATTCTTGTCTTTAAATGATCAAAACTGGTTAAGGTAACGGGTACATTTCAATCATTTTCAACATCTTAAGCAACGAGAGAGATAGAGACAGAACGAAAGTAGCCTCCCCACGAGGCCACCACCACACAAGCTATACTCTTTCTTCCTAATGCAACAGACACTTCTTTATTAAAAAAAAAAGGAACGAATTCTAACGACAGAATTATTTAAAAATTTGTTGAATTCTCAACTGCTTCTTCGCACACTATCTTATTAACTAATCCATTGTCTCATCATCATCATGATCCTCCATTACTTTCCTCTCTCTTTCCTCTTTCAGATCCAGAGACAGAGAGAAACAGAGACACAAAGATGAAGTTTTATTCCGTTTTCTTCATCTTCGGCTTCATCGCTCTCCAGTTTCTACCCCTCTCCACCCAGCAAGGTACCGAATCATGTAATTCAGCTCTACCCCTCAACGACCTCACCATCAATTCCAGCCTCCTTCAATGCGTCGAAGCTTGGTCTTCCCAGAATTTCATCATCCGAGTAAGTCAAATTTTCCCATTTTCGAATTCTTTCCAATTTTGAAAAACTCAAAACTCAAATCGAATTTTCGAAAAATCTTGCGCAGTATGCTAAAACGGTAGATAACACGTGGAGCTTCATCTTATCGGCGCCGGATTTAGGCGCCTACATCGGGATCGGATTCTCGACCAACGGTAGGATGATCGGAGCCAGCGCGATCGTCGGATGGATGCCAGCCGACGGCGGAGGAGGACAGGTGAAACCGTACTTTCTCGGAGGGCAATCGCCACCTGAGGTGATGCCTGACCAAGGAGATTTGAAGATCGTCAACGGCTCCTTGAAGATCGAGTCAGTCTCGTCGCGTCTTTACATGAGCTTTGAACTTACGGCGGAGCTGCCACGTCAGAGCCTTCTCTACGCTATGGGACCTGCCGGAATTTTCCCGACTTCGCCGGATTTCAGGTTGAGGGAGCACCGCGTCATGACCGCCACGACCATCAATTATATTACAGGTCAGCAAGAGCCATCTTTATTTTTTTAAATTCAGCTTGTTTAGTTTTATTTGACTAAAGATTAATTAAAGTCAATGTTGAATTCATCCATTACTTGACTCGTTAATCTCCATGAATTAGCCTGGCAGATAAATAAAAAAACGAGTATAAGGTATAAAGTATACACAAATTGTTTGGTACCACAGTTGTTTAATCAGCTATTATACATAACAAAAATGTGATTACGTCAAAAAAAAAAAAGTATGTTATAGTGACGACTGGGAAGATTGTAGTATTCTTCTGTCACAATTATGTTAGGAGTCATTTTCACAACGCGGTTTTGCTCAACTACTATTTGTTGCTATTATGAGATTATGAGACTCTTTATGTGTCGTAGCTTTGTTTACAAATACCCATTTTGTCAATTAAACCATTATTTAGAATATTAACAGAGGTACTAATAAAAACTATTGAATGTTGAATGTTGTTCTTATGGAGTCATAGACTGATGTATGTTTTTTCATTGATGAATCAAAAGGTTCGCAAAGTGTGGTTAAGGGGTCACCACATGATAAGCTAAGGAAGACACATGGGCTAATGAACATGTTTGGTTGGGGAATAATAATCATCATTGGCGCCATACTGGCTCGACACCTGAAACAATGGCCCTCTTGGTTCTATGCCCATATCGCTCTTCAAATCACTGGTTCTCTTCTCGGTTTAACTGGTATCATTTTTTTTTTCTTTTTAATTTTTTTTTTTCTTTTTATTTTTTTTTTTGTTTTTTTTTTTTTTTTAATTGTTTTTTTTTCTTTTTTTTTTTTTTTTTTTTTTTTTTTTTTTTTTTTTTTTTTTTTTTATTTTTTTTTTTTTTTTTTTTTTTTTTTTTTTTTTTTTTTTTTTTTTTTTAACTGGTATCATTTGCGGTTTGGTTCTCAAAAACCGGACCAGTGCCAATAACGTTGCCACTCACGCAAGCCTTGGGATAGCCATACTCGTCATGGGCATTCTCCAGGTTCATCTTCGTTAATACTCCAAAAAAATAAAGTTATTACTTTGAAGAATAAGATCAATTGAATATCGGTTTACTCGGTTTTGTTTATTGATGTTACAGGTCCTTGCGATGCTGGCTAGACCGCACTTAGACTCGAAATACAGAAAGTATTGGAATTGGTATCATCACAACGTAGGAAGAGTACTGATAATACTCGCTATTTCAAACATCTTCTATGGTATTCATTTGGCTAAAGCTGGTTCTTCATGGAATGGTGGTTACGGTTTTGCGGTGGCGGTCTTGGCTTTGACTGCTATTGGATTAGAAGTTAAAAAGTTCATGAACAAGTAATTTTTTGTTTAATTATCTCTTTCTCTCTCTTTTTCTCATTGCTACGATATCTATATTGGATAGGACAGTGTGATGTATTGAACATTTTATTGACTACTCACTTGAATGATATGCTTTTTTCCAAGTTTTGCCTTCTGCCATTTGTTCTATTTGCTATTTCAAAGATTAGTTTGTGGTATTTTTACTTGTTTTTCAATACTAAACAAACATCATATTTCACGATCCTACCAATTACAAACCTCCACGCTTGACTTTTTTCCTCGGTCTTAAAAAACTAGTTCCTATGTTAGCCAAAAAAAAAAAAAAACTAGTGATCCGACTAAGAAAAAGACACCACATTGATTATATCAACATAAAATTACCTAAAGGCTAAAGTTAAAATTTGATCAATCCATGGTTTGGTTTTGATTATTCCACTTGCATAGTTTCAAGACTCACAACAACAAATAATGGGCCCGAAAGAACGGCCCATCTTAATTCGAAATGAAAGCCCAAATAGTCGACGACTCGGTTTTGCTCGCCGGTTTATGCATCCGGGGATCGGAGAAACACGGTGACATTTTAGAAAATTGGGAAGAGGAAGAAGAAAATGTTGAGAACCCGTCTTCTGTGGTTTACGCTTGGGTTTTCCGTCACCGGAGCTTCGATCGCTAATCTCGTGTGGCGGGATCTCTATGCCGAACGTTTCGCTATTTCTTCTGATGTAATTTTCTCTGAGTATTTTTTTAAGATCATAATTTGGAAAACTTGTCGAGCTCGATTTCTTACATCCAACGTTTCATTTCTGCAGATGAAAGAGAAATTCAGTGCTCTAGAAGGTCGGGTTTCGGGCCTGGAGTCCGCCGGTTATGAGAACCCGAGCCCAACTCAGGTCATCTCTCTCTCACTCTCTACATTTCTCTATCCGTAACTATGATACTGAAATTATCTCGTTACCTGGTGGATCAACTAAGCTTATATAATCAATTGAGTATTAGAAAGAATAGTTTGAGACATTGAATTTGAGATTCCACTATTGCCTAAGGCCACATAATGTTATGCATTTTAGTTGAGTTTTCTTGGTTTAAAAGTATAAACGCCATGAGTCTCAGGTCTCACCTATACTGAAACCTTCGTTTCCATTTGCTTGCATTGTGCACGTCTCATGCTGACAGATAACAAGAGTCATTGACCGTTTGATTCCAAGATACTGTTGTAAGTTGTTCAGAGAGTAGTTTAGTGAGAGGGCTGTGTTTTATAAGGGTGTATCGGCAGATTGTGGATTCTCTAGGCTTTGATTGGATAGTTGGTTGTGAATTGAGAGTCTCTCAAATTCCTCAAAGGTCTCTCTGGTTTGGTGAATTGGAATTACAAAAGCAGTTTCAGAGCCTATCTTCTTCTCATTGTCTTAGCTTTTGTTGCTTATCGTTCATGAGAACTTTAGTATTAGCTCATAGCTTACTGTTCGTGCGCCTTCAAAATGACTCGTTCCCACTTTGCTACTAAGTCATAAGAAGAGAGCATATTCACATGTGTCGTTTTTGCTTGCTATGACCTTTTGGCTCATCATTGCGTCTTCTTGTAGGTTGAGACTTGAGAGTTAGGCTCTTGGAAGCTTCCAAGCCCAAATCAAATCAAAGGCTTGACTTGGTCTATGAGAGAGTTGCGATCTTGATTTGGAACAAAAAAACTTCCAAAAAGACTTGCCTTTTGACGCAAGACCTCTTCTTTCTTTAAGCTACGAACAAGATTTTGTATTTGTGTTACAAAACATCCGGATTTATTATTACAATAAATAACGATTGTATAACGATTGCACTTTGTGGATCTCATTCTTATACAATCTGATACTAACAACTAAGCATCATCTCTTGTATGCGCATAGCTCTGGAAATCTCAAACCTTTCAGCTTGAAACCAAATTTTATACAGAGACTTTTAACCATAAACAGTTGAAAATCTATTCACATCCTAAAACGACAATACAAGCCTACTCATGTAGTATCAATTAACCATCTTGTGCTAAAAAACATTCAGAGACGAGACCAGGGAAATTGCAAAAGAGAACTAGTAGTAAACTCTATGGAGTCAGGAGAAAACCCGCATTTCTAATCATCATCATCATTACGAGTGGAACTCTCTCTATCCCGCGACCGATTTATTGCTTTCTTCATTGATCATAAGATTAGAGAGAGCTGTTGGTCTGAAAACCAACCATGGACCGGCTCCTATAAAGAACGTTCACGACTTCATTTGATGTGGCGGGCGAGGGAGGATCGAGTTCGCTAGCTCTTCGTTCACCTTCACTGGAAGAGGAGGCATCTGCTTCATCACCTCTGGCATGTCATTCAAGCTGCACACACGAATTGTTCATTCAGCAAAGCAAGTAGATATTTCGAGTTAATCACAATAGCTCTAACATGTTTGGGAAAATGTATTTACTCGTTCAAGATTGCGAGGATGTTGTCCCGAGCTTTACACAAGATGTTGACGTTCTCATGTATCTGCAATGAGAATAAAGAATCTCTGATAAGCAAAACAATTGGATATAGCAACTGCAAACTTAAGGATTAATCAAAAAGTGGAAGTTGGATTTACCTGAAAAGCTGAGAAATTTGATGAAACTTGATTGAACATTTGAGCATTTTGCTCGAGAAGATCTCCACTCACACCACCGATGGCTGCAAAGAAGCCAAGAAACTTATACTTCTTCCAATCCAATCTATAGAAGACTAAGCCTCAAAAGGAAGAATAAGCTAGACTCTTGGACAAACCTTTATATGAAATACCATCATCAGAATCTATAGGCATCATAGGAGGAGCATATGAAGGACCATTAGGATGCACATTCAAATGAGAGGAAGACTTGGCTGACGAATCCGTTGTTTTTTCCTGCCAAACAAAAATGCAAAAGATATTAACTTGCTTCTCAAAACTGGCAAGTAGCTAGCGGGCAAATATGAATTGAATTCTACATACTTTCTTATCTTTGCTTTTTCTTGATGAATGGTCTTCTTTCCTACGCTTTCCATTTTCTTTTTTCTGTAATTCATCAGCAACGCAATGGAGGTAAAAACATCATGAGTGAGGTCTTTGCTAATGAATAAAGCCAATGGTGAAGAAGAGTAATCAATAACCAAGAAAAACTCTCAGATTAGCAAAATTGAGAAACTTACAGTCATCCATCTACAACGCAACGCAACATCTCTTACAGTTTTATCTTTCATTTTCATCGCAATCTTCGCATAACGAACTATTGTAGGTTCTGACGCGTACCTGTATAACATCAATTATCATGAGTGTGGATTCAAATAGCTCATACAGTTAAATTCAAAAAAAAAACAAAAACTGATAAAAGCTAACAACTTTCCCACAACTGAAGTCATTTTCCGACATAAAATTCAAGGAACCATGTTCAGAGAAACCAGACACAGGATGTTTGAAATCCGAAAAGAAAAGAAGATAATTTCAAATTTACTACATATTGAAATAATAGCAGCAAAAGTTTCAAAAGTTAGAAAGAAGATTGGATAAAACAGCAAACTTTCAAATCTAAAAATTGAAAAAAAAAAAGAGAAAGGAAGAAGATAATATACTTGGCTAACAAATCTTCCAACAACGATTGCTCCTCCTGAGTCCAATCGACAGAGATCCCTGGATTATGCCTCAACGCGCCAATCGTCTGTGAATTATCCGCCGCCGCGCCGGAGCCGCCTGTATTACCACCATTCTCGACCGAATTTACAGCAGCTCCATTCGTCGCCGCCGCCGAAGAAGTAGATACCTTCTGCGCCGCCGACGAACCTTCCTGATTGTTCCCCGACGGGTTCGCGCTTGCCGCCATCGATATCAAATACGCCGGAGATAAAATTAGATTGCTTTCCTTCAGAGATTTTCACCGGAGAGTGTCAATTCCGGGATAATTATATGACTGCGCCGGGATAGGAACAGAGAGGGATGGGGGAGAGAAAGAGAAATCCGGCCGCCGACTGAAGCTTCCCTCGAAAAATGGAATCTTGTTTATACAAACAAAAATAATTAATTTTATCATTTTTCATTTTCAATCTTTATCTCCTTTTTCGGGTTTTCGTTTCTATTTCGAGATGTTGTTTACGCAATTTTATTTACTACGAGGCGTTTTCGGAAAAGATTGTAACTATAGGGGTCAGAAATATAATAAACTAAAAGAAGAAAGTAATCCGTTTTGTTTTTTTCCTCTCTTTTCGAGGTCCCTCCTTCCTTTGTCCTCTTTCCTCCTCTGTCTCTGCCTATCTCTCTCTCTCTCTCCGCGCTTGAGGCAGGCGTCGGAGATTACCAAAAAGATCTCTCGAATCGTCTCGGCTATGGCGACTTCTCAGCCATCAGGTTAGCCATTCACAAATCTCGTGGCTTTTTTTTCTTAATTGAATTCTCGTGTCCCGATTATTGATTCTGGTCGGTTGAGTTGAATTCGGTTTAAAATTCCGAAATTGAAAACCTTCGTCGTGTACTTGAGCTAGTTAGGGTTGGAATCAATCGATTATAATCAGTTTGATCTCTTATATTTGGTGGATTTCGTCTATCCAAACCTCAAAAGTTTCCCTGTAACCTTTGTTTTAGCTCTTAACTATAGATTTTAGATTATGAAAGCTCTTTGGATTGTGATCTCTGTCGAATTTTACCTTGCATAGTCTGATTGATGATGGATGATGATTTAAACTCTGGGTTTTCTTGGTGTTTAGCTTTCCTTGGCTCTAGCTGTTCTTAGTTTGATTAGATGCTTTGGTTGTGTATTGCATTTTGATACCTTCTCTTCTCAGCATCGTAGCTCTACTCAATGTTTCACTGAAATTCACACTGATGTTATTGATTCCTCAAGTCTCTTTAAATGGCTTTTCCTGTGATGATTGGAATTGAGACTTTCTTTCAAAGTAATATCTTTCATGTAAGAACTTGAATTTACTGCTGCAGGTGGCAGTCCTCCTAAACCATGGGAACAAGAAGGAAATACATCTGGTCCTAAGCCTTTCAGGCCTCCTTCGAATACGAGCACGGCTGATTCAGTTGAGGCTTCTGGCACAGCGAATCCTGGCGAGCTAGTTTCGAGCGCGAACAGGACTAACCCAGCTGCTAATATGAATGCACTCAGTAGGCCTGTACCATCTAGACCTTGGGAGCAGCAGCAGAACTATGGAAGCACTTACGGAGGAGGTATCTCTAGATGTTATATTTGGATTGTTTTGGTTTTCAAATGGACAGAGAACTTACTTCTTTTCTTGCATATAATGCAGGTTATGGTTCTAATCTTGGTGTAAACTCTGGGTACGGGTCGGGTACATATGGTTCAGCATTAGGTGGGTATGGTTCATCATCATATGGGGGTGGAATGTATGGTGGTGGTAGTAGCATGTACAATAGAGGAGGCTATGGTGGTGGTGGTCTCTATGGAAGTTCAGGCATGTATGGTGGTGGTGGGATGTACAATAGCGGTCTTGGTGGCTCGATGGGTGGTTATGGTATGGGCATGGGAGCAGGAATGGGAATGGGAATGGGGATGGGAATGAGTCCTTATGGTGGTCAAGATCCAAACGACCCTTTTAATCAACCTCCATCTCCACCAGGCTTCTGGATATCATTTCTCCGCGTGGTAATTTTCACCCCTTCATGCTTAATCAAAGATGTTGATAAGTTGAAAGAGTTCTGTATTTATGTTTTGGTTTGATAACAGATGCAAGGTGCTGTGAATTTCTTTGGCCGTGTAGCGATGCTTATAGACCAAAACACACAGGCCTTTCATATGTTCATGTCTGCCCTTCTTCAGGTTCCTTCCTTTCTGTTCTTTCTAATTAATGGTTTCATTTGTCCTGGCGTTAACCATTTAAACCGTTTGTCCTCTCAGCTATTTGATCGTGGTGGTATGTTATATGGAGAGTTAGCAAGATTTGTATTGCGTATGCTTGGGGTGAGAACAAAACCTAGAAAGATGCAGCAGCAGCCACAAGGTCCTAATGGACTCCCTTTACCCCACCAGCCTCACGGAAACCAGAACTACATCGAGGGACCTAAACCTGCTGCACCAGGTTGGGACAATGTATGGGGCAACTAAGTTGCTTGTTTCATTTACCCAAATCTTTCAACCTTGCTCTATACACCACCATGAGAATCAGTTGGTTACGAATAGAAGCCAAGCCATGCAGCGGCCTATGTACGAAAAGCCAGTTGTTTGTTTACAAATCGAGTCTCCATCTCTCTCTCTCTCTCTCTTCTCGCTATCTCTCTTGTCAAGCTTTCTGGTTATGTGATAAATAGATGTCGAATTCAATAAAAAGGATAGTGAAGTTTGAGTGATTAAAGACCTTTCTGTTGCAATATTTAACATAAGATTTCGTTTCTCTTTTACTCCTCTTGACTGGTGAAAGAAAGATAGTGATACTTTATTACAACACTTTGGTCTAAACTTGACAGAATCATATACACTTGCTTTCAAATTGATGATGCCTCATCCTCGTGCATAGAGTCTCCAGTCAGGTCCTATCACCATCACTTCATCTCTCTCGAGTGCTACATCGGCTCTGTGTAGTTTGAACATCTCAATAGCTGTTGAGGTCAGCCTCAGATTCCCACTCATGTAAAGAGTCCGGAGATTCTTGCAACCGCTTCTGATGGCAAACAAACCTTGATCACACAAGTTCCTACAACGGTTCACATGGAGTTTCTCCAAGTTGCAGCACCACTTCCCTACAGCTTCCCATCCAGAAACTTTAACTCCATGACACAGAGCCAAGTTCCACTCTTGAAGCAACGGACAACCTTTCGCTATAGCTTTGATGGCTTCGTCACCAACCGTTCTGCACATCCTCAGGTTCAAGATCCTAAGTTTTGATGCAAGACCGGATCTAATAGCTAACAACCCATCTTTGCTTGCACCTGAAATGTTTAGAAACTCGATGCCGCCTCCGCTAATGATCCCCTCTATACCCTCAGGCTCAAGCTCACAAAGTTCTGCATCCACATAGCCTAGAGTTGGGGAACAGCCATCAAAGCCAACACCGGTTATGTTATTGCAGTTTGAGATTTTCACAGACTCAAGCTGCAAGCATGCTTGTGACAATGCTTTTACACCAACATCAGAAACCAGATGGCAATGAGAGAGGTTCACGCGTTGCAAAGGCAAGGAAGCTCTGGCTAATGCTTCCAACCCAATGTCAGTGACGTTGCATCGGTAGAGACTAACGACTGTTAGACTGGGACAAAAGCTAGCAACTGTGGAGATGCCGTTATCAGAAACACTAACGCAACAATCCAAGTAAAGACTGTGCAGTCTTTCTCCTGGATACCTGAGAGAAGCCAGGCTCGAATCATCCAGCACCGTGCAACCAGAGAGGGAGAGATGCTCCAACCATTGAAACCGAGTGAGAAGCCTATGGAGATGATTGGAACTTATATCAGGACTCCTCTGAGAGAGAGTTGAAGGGTTGAGGAGAGTGTATGAACACTGGAACTGTAGAGATCGGTGGTTTATGTTTTGGATGTTGAGCCAGCGATGACATGTCAAGCCGAATGAGTCATGATCATCAACATTGTTAAGTCGTTGGAAGATGAAGGAAAGACAATCATCTGGGAGGTGGATAATGGAGGTCTCAACAACATAATCAGACATCTCATACAAATGTAGATACCCAAAAATCTGTTTTCAAGAAATCCGTAACGGAGATTCTTATCTGAAATCGAGATCTGAGGTGAATTTCCAAAATGGTGATAAGAAAGACAACACCAAGCAAGATCAGAGAAAATTATACATTTTCAAGCTTAGATTCAAACTAATCTCCATGAGAAACCCATAAACCCTGTAGGTTTCTGGAGAACAGAGTAAAAAAAAAAAGCGAAACTTTGAGAGTCGAAATTTCTGGATTTGATTGGATTGAGCAGAAACAGAGACGTCACTGAAAACAAAACTTGAGAGTCCATAGACGAGATCGATCGTCAAGTAAACGACAATCGTTCAAATCAATGGCTCGATCCCAAAATGCCAAAACAGAGATAGCTGAACCACAAATTTGAGTCTCCTACAAGTTTGAGATTATGGTAAGTTATCATCACCGTATCATAAAGTAAACCGAAGTATCTAAGCCTTATACTTATCGTGGCCGTTGATTTTTAACATCCATCACAAAAAGATCACTAGGGGCTTAAGTATTTTAAGGATTTCGTTTTCTCCTTCCCTCCCTTCTCGCCCAGAGTCTCGTAGTTCGGCGACCTCACTAATCCTCCAGCCATGGTGATAATTCTTTCTCTATTTCTATAAATATCTTCAATTCCCTTCACGTTTATTGATTTCGTCGATTGATTAACAATGTATTAGCTGATCTGGAATCAAATATCTACAATCGAACTGTTTAAAGTGGCGCTTTTGCTGTAGTTTCGTTGTTCGTAGCTCAATCTGTTTCCAGTGATTCAATGGGAATCTCTTTGTTTGCGTTGAATTGGGTCTCATTTTGTTCAATTTTGTGTATGTAAGGTGCATGTGGTACCGCAGAAGAAAGAGGCTTACTTCAAGAGGTATCAAGTGAAGTTCAGGAGAAGGCGTGGTATGTTCTCATCTTCGCGTCTCTTCGTCTGTTCTTGTTAATACAACTTCTTCATTTTTTGTTTGACAATTTCAAAACTTGTGAATTTCTTAGAGGGCAAGACTGATTGTCGCGCAAGGATTCGTCTCATCAATCAGGATAAGAACAAGTATAACACACCCAAGTATCGTTTCGTTGTCAGATTTGTAAGTATCCTTTTTTTCTTCTCATTTGGTGTTTCCTTTTGCTATTTTGGTCTCATTTCTCTCGTTTTGCCAATGATGTAGACAAACAAGGACATAATCGCACAAATTGTATCTGCTACAATTACTGGTGACAATGTACTTGCATCTGCTTATGCTCATGAGCTCCCTGGTTATGGCCTTCAGGTTGGCCTTACAAATTATGCTGCAGGTATATCATCAAACATCCTTTTTTCACTATGCTTATGCTATTTTACTCTGTGTTGTTTAATCTCACTATTCCTTATCTCAGCTTATTGCACTGGTCTCCTTTTGGCTCGCCGTGTCCTTAGGATGCTCGAGATGGATGCTGAGTACGAGGGCAATGTTGAGGTGTGACTCCTCTAGTTTATTATATAATATGATTCAATTCTGCTGGGATCAAGATGATCCGATCAGTAATGCGATTAATTTATCTGCGTACAGGCTTCAGGAGAAGACTATTCTGTCGAACCGACTGACCCAAGGAGGCCGTTCCGTGCTCTCCTTGATGTTGGACTTGTGATGACAACAACTGGAAACCGTGTCTTTGGTGCCCTTAAGGTACTTGGATATATTGTTGGTTGAGACCTCTTTCGAATAATCGAGTAACTTATGCTAATGGCTTTGTTTGTTTTGGTTAGGGGGCTTTAGATGGTGGGCTTGACATTCCACACAGTGACAAGAGGTTTGCTGGATTCAACAAAGAAGGCAAGCAACTTGACGCCAAAGCTCACAGGAAATACATTTACGGTGGCCATGTTGTCGATTACATGAAGGTAAACCATTATACAAAAGCATGATAAAGATCTCTTGGAGAAGGAACTTGACCAGAAAGAATTAAAACTATTGCAGCTGTTGATGGAGGATGAGGCGGAGAAGTATCAGACTCATTTTAGTGAATACCTTAAGAAGGGTCTTGAGCCAGACAACATGGAAGAGGTGTACAAGAATGTACATGCAGCAATCCGAGCTGATCCCTTAGTGAAGAAATCAGAGAAAGAGGCTCCTAAGGAGCACAAGAGGTTAGTCAGATTACTAACGAACTTCAGTGCTTTATGGTCATTTGGTTGAATCTCATTGCTTTGTTTTTGTGTTTGATGATGATGACAGGTATAATCCTAAGAAACTGACTTATGAGGAGAGGAAGGCCAGTCTGGTCGAACGTGTAAAGGCCTTGAACTCAGCTGGTGGTGTGGCTGATGACGATGATGATGAGGACGACCAAGAGTAAAACTGGATTCTGTCTTTTTTTATATTTAAAACCAAAGTTTTGTTCTCTTTTTTGCGGATTGTTTATGTAGACAGAACTTTACCACAATTTTTTACACATTATCAAGTTTGGCACCACTCTATCGTTTCTTAACCGTTTTAGAAATTGCATTAATTCGCAAAAAAATTGGCTTAATGTAGTGGACCTAAGAGGTGAAAAACTCGAGTCGTTATGAAGTACCAGTCTCTCCAACGAACGCAACAAATAAATGTGGATGTGCAAGTAACTTGTAACTCTGAAGTCTGAACTAAGCTCTGGTCTTTTCATAATCTTCAAATCCATGTTGGAATAATAATCCGAAGACTGAAATTCATGATTCACGAATGTAAAAGACAGATGCTGTCCGGTTGTCGAATCTGTCTTGTCTCCCTCGGATGTTGTGTTAGTTGGACTTTTGCATATAAGTTGCTCCACCAGTGTAGCCCAAGTCTTATGCCTAGAGTTTGTGTTCACATATGAGTCTTGATCCTCTTACTGTTTTTAAGCGTGGTGGTAAAAATGGGATTCCTGCAATATGCAAACACTCCACTTTAGGTAACAGGAATTGATAAAATCGACTTTAACAACTTTCGTTACACAGTTAAAAACACAATCATCTAACAACTTTGACAAAAGAAAAAAAAAATAGTTTTGGGATATGTGGGATGACCAGTAAAAATCACATGTTGTGATAATCGGCCTGCTGACTAGTCGAAGTAATATTTACATAAATTTATCTAAAACTTCCAAAAACCGAGGTACGTGTAACGTAAATGATCACATGGTGTGTTGAGTGTTGTAACATTCTTAATATGGCCAACCAAAGTCTTACTCCATTTCTAGTCCTTCTCTGCAACTATGCTCTTGTTTAAAATGACTCCACTCTTCTCGCTCGTTACTAGCCTCAATTAAGTTTGTGACTATTGTTTATTATTACCAGCATATGTCATTCAACAGATGGATCGGATTAAGTCCAAAAGTAATGCAAAACTGTTAAGCGACAAATACTAGTTGATTCTTGAAAAGCTATATCTTTCTTATGAAACTTTACTAAGAAATTCACTCCAAAATAAAAATCACTAAAAAAATATAGACAAGACAAAGCGTTCTGCATATCTTGTTCGGCTACTTTAATTTACTTTTTTTTTCTGGTATTATACTATTAATTATTTTGAATTCAACTGCATGCTATTTCATTTCATAAGAATCTAGCAAATAATTTATTCATTTCTATCTAGTTGTTCTCCTCGTAGATAAAGGTTTTATCGCCTTTAATAATTAATCATGCATAGAAAGAGAAGATGTGTTCTCTTTTTTGTATAGCAGTAACAGTGAAAGAGGACATTAAAAGTCAAAAAGATTCTTTTGAAATAGAGGACCCAGAATTGCTTCACGTAATTATTGCATTTCATATACACGTTCTTACATGAACATCCCTACGTATTTCTGCTTTACATAGATTTTGTTTTTAATTCAAATCTGTATTCAAATTCTTTCTATTTTTATTTTATCTTTTAAATTGAGACTGTAGAAGAAGAAAGAGTTCACTACCACTAGCAAATAGCAATGCTCAGATAGTGCGCATCACAGAACACAAAATCACCAAAAATGGACGGATTATGCTACGTCATCATCTTCTCCCTCTTATCATACGCATCCTCTCACTTATCATACGCCTCGCCTGTCAGTTTCAGTCGCCGTCACCTCTCACAAGCTCCGTTAACCGATCCTTCCACATCCACTCCCGGCGCCTTCTTCCCAGCTTACAGCTCCTCCTCTCCTCCTCCTCCTCCTCCACCTCCGCTGCCTCTTCCTCCTCCAGCCACCACGTTTGCGACATTTCCGGCGAACATCTCCGCCCTCGTCCTCCCTCGCTCTCCTAAATCGCAGACTTCTTCAAGGACACTCCTTATCCCGGTCATCTCCGCCGTGCTCGCCGTCGCGACAGCAATCGGCCTTGCCCTGTTTCTCTACGGACGTTGGCGAGGGCAAATCCGTCATTCTAAAGACGAATCCAAGAGCTCAGCTTCTGAGTCTGACGTCACTCAATCCGAGCAACCTCCATGTCCACCTCCGAGAAACACCACTACCAGCAACAAACTCTCTGTAGCTCCTTCTACCTCCGATGTTCTCTACCTCGGCAACGTCGTCACTTCCGGTTCCGGTTCGAATTTCGTCAAACCGGGTTCACCGGAGATCTGTCCTCTCCCGCCATTACCGGCTCGTGGCTTCCTTCAGCATAACTCTGAAGCTAATCCTCTCACCGATGACGAAGAAGAAGAAGAAGAAGACGACGACTTCTACTCACCTCTCGCGTCTCTAGCCGGTAACGAACCACGAGACTCCGGCTATCCTTCAACCTCGGATTCTCCGTCAATGTCACCGTCCGCTACGATTTCTCCGCCTTTGAGCTCGACGGCTGCACACTGGTCAACCCAAAACCGTCAATCTCCGTCGCCGGAGAGACGGGTGAGGAGCAATAAAAGATACGGGCCGTCTCTGAGAATGTTCAGCCTCTGGAATCAGAATTCAGGTTTCCCTCGAATCTCCTCTGCTTCTACTTCGCCGGAAAGAGGTGCGATTAGGACGCCCGACGCATACGCTCGTTCCTCCATGTACTCGTCAGTTTCCACCACGCCGGATCGGTTTTTCCGGAAGGTTCTGGAGAGTTCGCCGCCGAGATGGAACGATTTCAGTCGAAATGTCAAGTCTTTGTTCCTCTCTTCCACTCCTGCGTCGCCGGCTAGAGATTTCTGTGTCGACATCTCTGAATCTTCTAGAAATCTGAAACCTTCTTGGGAAAATTCAGAGCTTCATGTAATTGAACAGAGCGAATCTTCTCCTCCTGCTCCTCCTCCTCCGCAACGGCCACCTCCGCTTGTGCCACCGTCACAGTCTTTCATGGTTCAGAAATCTGGGAAGAAGCTATCTTTTTCTGAGTTACCACAGAGTTGTTGGGAAGGAACAACAGAGCGACCAAGGCCAAAGCTGAAACCTTTGCCTTGGGATAAAGTCCGACCAAATTCTTGCCGGAAAAATAGCTGGGGAAGTCTTAAATTCAATCCTCCAAATGCTAATCCAAAACGAAGAAGTCTTAGCTGTGATCTTCCAATGCTAAACCAAGAAAGCAGAGTTTTGCATCCAAGAAAGAGTCAGAATATTGCTTTGCTGCTTACAACACTTGAGCTCACCACAAGTGATATCCGTCAGGCTCTTCTAGATGGTATAAATCATCAATCACAAAGCTAAACGTTTCCATTTTCTATTGTGTTGAGTTGAATCTTGAATCGAATATTCGAGTTTCAGGTCACTATGAAGCACTCGGAGTTGAACTTCTTGAGAGTTTATCAAGAATGGCACCGAGTGATGAAGAAGAAATGAAGTTGAAGAGTTGTAGCAATGACTTAGAGATCAAGCTTTCCCCATCAGAGAGGTTTCTCAAGGAACTGCTTGATGTGCCTTTCGTGTTCAAACGTGTTGATGCATTGCTCTCTGTTGCTAACTTTAATTCCAAGGTTGCACACTTGAAAAGATCATACGGCGTTATACAGGTAGGAAACAAAACTGACGACAACATGAGACATATATGTGTGTACGCTGCGTAAGCTTATGTCTCATAAGGCTATATGAATCTTTTGCAGGCTGCTTGTGAGAAACTGAGAAATAGCAAAATGTTGCTGAAACTTCTTGAAGCTGTCTTGGAGAGAGAAACCAAGAGCGGGAATGCTCATGACTTCAAACTCGAGGCGCTTCTCGAGCTTGTTGATGTCAAATGGTTAGATGGAAGAACCAGTCTCTTGCACTCTGTTGTAAAGAACACCTTAGAAGCAGAAGGCGTCAAAGGGATAAAAGTTGTCGAAAATCTCACTTCGGTACTTTTAGATGTCGAGAAAGCTGCAGAAATGGACTATGGTGTTCTAAGAAGAGAAGTGTTGACGCTTTATCAAGAAGTCCAGAGAGTGAGTGAGGTTCTGCTACTGAATGATGAGAGTGGATGTAATGAAGAACAGCATTGGTGGAAATTCAGGGAGTCGATGACAGGATTCTTGGAAAGCGCTGTAGAGGAGATTCAAAAGATTGAAACAGAACAAGGTTCCACGCTCTATGCAGTGAAAGAGATCACAGAGTATTTCCATGGAGATTCAGCAAAGGAGGAAGCACAGGTTTTGAGAGTTTTCGTGATCTTGAGAGACTTCTTGTCCATTTTAAATGGAGTACGCAGTGAAATGGCTTAGGATTCTAATGTAAGGAAGATCCTAGAATCTGTCCAAGACTGATGATGCCATTGTATTTGCTTGTTTCTTATGTACTAAACTACTAATGTTTGTAATGAATCGTTGGAAAATATTTAGAGGGATGCAACTTTTTACAAACAGAAGTGACTTGAAGACAATATAATGTCCCAAACTTTAAAACAAAACATGGAATGTGATCAACGCCTAGAAAGGTAAGACATCTTAACATCTGTATATTTTTTATGAATTCCAAAATTGTAAGAGTTGACAAAAACAGGCTCTATTAATTAATTATAAGAAGAACGTCTTTCGAGATTTAGGCGCAAAAAGTCCACCATTTCAATGGATGTTCCTCCATTATTCATTTCCTCTCTCTCTCTGGATCTCATAGTCACTTCTTCATCAACATTATCCCAAGGCATGTGGATTGCTTCTTCTTGTTTATGGTGCTCAACAAAAAGGTAGCAAAGTTGAGCCTGTTTCATTCCTAGTATTGCGATCTTATTTACCTCAGGTGAGTCGAGTCGTTTTGTTACTTGTACTTGACTTTTCTTTCTTTCCCAAGTTTCTTTTGTTAGTTATCATCATTTTGAAGTTAGTTGCTATTCATAGGCGTTACTTACTATTTGATTCTGTGTCGCTGGTATGATTCTTTTATGTATGTTTTTTCTTTTCTTGGGTTGATCTACTTTCAGGCTTAGATGCTCTTGAAACTTTTGATGGTGGCTAAACTAGTTCGTACTGTTCTCATCCAGAACTGTCTCTGGGTGTTGCTCGTCTCTAGCTTGACCCGTGCGACTGATTCCGACATAAACTGCCTGAAAACCATAAAATCTCAACTCAAGGACCCCAATAGGCATCTCTCCAACTGGGTAATCGGAGACGACACTTCTCAAGGTTTTATCTGCAAGTTTCGAGGTGTGAGGTGCTTCTATGATGGCATTAACACAGTCATTAGCATTGATCTTGGTGGTTTTGGTCTCGAGGGAGAGCTTCCAAGTGGTCTTAAGGAATGCTCGTCCTTGCAGCATCTTGATCTGTCTGGAAACAAGCTCTATGGCAATCTTCCACCACAAGTTTTCTCTTTTCTTCCATTTCTTGTTACCCTAGACCTCTCCAACAATAGCTTCTCCGGTGAAATCCCTGGCAACTTTTCAGCAAACGTTTATCTAACCACTCTCTTGCTTGATCATAACCACTTCACCGGTGAGATCCCGCCCACCTTAGCCTGGCTCCTACGATTCTCAGTGTCCCACAATAATCTCATCGGTCCAATCCCAAGATTTACGTACGCAAACATCTCAGCCTCTGATTTTAGCAACAATCCTGGTCTCTGTGGTTTCCCGCTGGATCCCTGCTCTGATATCTCCTTGTTTTCCATCGCTAGTATCACAGCCGCCTGCGCCGCAGCTGTTTGTTTCCCTCTAGGAGCCGCCATCGGCTGGTTCTGCGTTGGAGAGAGACACAAGCAAAGACCTTAAAAGCTAATGAATACCTGAAGACACAAGCAGTGAATTTCTTCTTTCTTTGTATGTAATACCCAAAATAAAAGTGTCGATCTCATGCATAAATATTTACATTCAAATCTTTGAGGCTGCAAACTTTACACATTAGAAGATCTGGTGAATCAAAGGGACACTACCTCTAAATTCCGTCAAGAATGCCATCAATCGCCTGGAAAATCTGAGAGGCTAAACGCTCATCCTCTGTAATTATAGCAGTGCCATTCTCTGAGGTCTCTATCAGGCCACTGCTAGGATTTGTTATATGGATTACACTCTTGTCTTCTGATCCATTCTCACCTCTCCTGTCTTCTATGGAGCCGCTTGTTATACCTATTTTCATTAACGCGTCTAAAAGTGTTTCCGGAGCCACTGAGCCCCAATGCCTCAATGGCCGAGCCTTCTTCCCTGAACTACTTTCTTCCTGCTCCAACCCGGAAACTAATCTGTGTTTCCCATCTTCCATCACAAGCTCACCTTTCAATCTTGCAATACCAAAGTTTTCAACTTGTCTCAGTTTTCTCCAGCTCAGTTTGGTGGCTAACTCTGCCATTATCTCTACCTCTGCATTGTTTGCAATTCTTGGCACACGTGACGTCTTGTTCTCAGAGTAATTCAGGATAGAGACTGTCTTCATCGCTGTAAGATTGATCCTCTCGTTGACAACATCAGGGACCTATTCATAAAACCGCTATCAGATTGATGAATACAGACATAAGCAAGCAAAGCAGGGGAAGAGAGAACTCTGTTACCAATACAATCTTCGGCCTCAAAACGGAGACAAGTGTTGGGAGCTTCTGTAACCTGCAAAAGAAATTATCATATTCATCAATGGTTGACAAGCAAAATACAGCTACATACAGCGAGGCAAAGCTTTACCTTATTCCAGAAAGAAATGAACATTGGAGGATTTTCATAGCGATCGGTCTAAAGGGGAGAAGTCCTAAACCTGAACTTATCCCATCCTGCAAAACATATGTCTCATCAGATATCTCAAAGAGAGATTCACACTGGAGCGAGAAAGAGAGAGAATAAAACCTCAAGAACAAGCAAGGATTTTGGATCTCCACGCCAACGCTGAAGAAGTTGGACAGAAGGGCCAAGTCGCAAACTCCAGTGAGGAGCAAATATGATGCATGGTTCCTGCCAATTCGATCTGTTCACATAACATCAATTATTATCGAGTGTTGTAATAAAACCACTCCATCCCGCATTTAGGTTGCAGATTAGGTGTGAGCTATTTTACTGATATATCTGAAATAAGCAATGATGAGATATGAACCTAAATGGAATTCTCACATTAAGTTTGGTGAGTGAATGGCAGGAAATAGATGGATCTTCTTGTCTTTAATGAACTTAAGATGGCCAAATGATGGTTCTCCTGAAATCAACTGCGACACCAATCAAAACATATACTATTTGATTCACATTTTCAAATGAAACTTTCACAAGCAATTTAAAAGTATACCTTCTCCTGGCGTTGCTCGCACAGCCACTCTGGTATGGTGTTTGTGTACGCCAGTAGCTCTTCTGCCACAGAAGATATAACAAAGATTGGAACCTAAGCAAAACCATACTAAAATGATTAAGTCATACAAAGCTAAGAACAATAATATAAACCAAGAATTAATTTTCTTTTGATGTGCTTCACATCCTCAATAAAGTAAACTATAAAGTAAAGAGAAAGAAAAATCAAAACCTTCAGAGATGAGGTATCAAGAGAATTTGACATTAGCTCTAGGAGCTGCAGAACTATCCCAATTCGAGTAATCGTTATCAAGGTTGAGCCACCAGCACCAGCAGATTCTATGGCACACGAGCAAACAAAAGCTAGCTTCTCCACCTCTTCTAAGCTTTCTGTATTGTCTAGTAATGAAGCAGCCAAGTCTTCGTCATTCTTGTCACTGCTAAAACAGGTTTTAACAGTAAGAAAAAGATCCAAACATACAACATCCTCTTATAAATGTAAACGAAAAAAGAGTCGTATATGATGGTACCTGATTGTTGATATATAGTTATTATCATTCTCAGTCGTTTCTGCGGTTTGGAGGCATGAGAAATCAGAGTAAATCATCACATCAGCTCCTTTGAGACCCTGGAAGTCGAAACTTTTCGCATGATGTGAAATGAAGATGGAGTCTGACACATAACTTAGACTCCCATTAGGTCCATTGATCAACCAATTGCAAGCCCCAATATCTAGACCTGAACTTAGGGCCTTAATGATCAACGTCCCATTGTAACAAACTTCTTCTGCAAACTTTACAGCTTGAACCTTCTTCATACAACTCTTTATATCATCTAAACTGAAGAAAAGAACAAATTAACAAAGCAATCAACACTTGAAGAGCCAGGGACTTGATAACTGGTCAATCATATAGTTTAACAGTTACCTGTACAGACGCATCCAACTACCCAAATCATCACCTTTCTCGCCGAATACAACTTTCTTAAGCAATGATGGTACTTGTTCACCATCCAAATTCTTTGTCCACGCCGGAAAACGAGAGTCCTCAGGTCCATGGAAGCGTCTGAATTCCATGTGCATCGATACAAGATCTTCCATCATGAGCTGTCCAATCCTTGCTGTTGCTTCAGTCATATATATCTACATCTTACAAGTAAGAACTCAGCACACCCCAAAAGACAACTAACTACACTCAAGAAACTCAAAAACTAAAGCTCCTGAAAACGTTTACCTTGGCACAAAATCGAGGGTTCTGAGTAAGGAACGGCAATCCAAGCAGTCCCATAGGGTTGGAGATGAGAACTATATCAATTAAAGAAACATCCCACAAATGTAAAGCTTTGACAGTTTTGTACCACGGCTCTGCGCATACCAAATCATCAGGAGTCATCTGTCTCGCCAGTTTTTGCTTCTTTTGAATTGGATTCTGAGCATCCAGAGGCACATCAGGTGGATACTCAGAAGCTTCGAAACCCACATCATATGGAAGAGGAGAGAAGATTGTGATTGCCGAAAGGTCCAAAGGACAGTCGATCAAAAGTCGGAAACCACTTAAATTCAGCATATGACAAGGCGGATACTGAAAGCCATCTCCTTTGCTCAGGCATGTCTGCAAGATCACACAAAGCTTTCATATTTACCTTACCTCACACTAAAAGTATAGACTTTACATAAACGTATAGATAAGGAAGAGAAACTCACCAATTTCATGGAGATAAAGTTGAGAGAGAGACTAACAGATGCGGCGGAGAGTGAGAGAGAACGTACGGAGGTTGACGGAAGACGGCGGTGGAGGGAGGTTGATGGAGGACGAAGCGGCGAGATTTTATTTCGAAAAGGTTCGATTCGGTTCGGTTTGAACATTTAATAAAATTTTGGGTCATCCGGTTCGGTTCGGTTTGGTAGCATTTATTCGTAACGACGGTGTCGCTGCAATCGCCGCCTGAGAGAGAGACGGAGAGGTTTCGAGGTTTGATTTTGCTCCCTCCGATGGATTCAGTCAACGATGGCAAACTCAGTGCCGAAGGTTTCTGTGTAGCAGCTCGAGCTTTCGCCGATAAATGGAAAAGACATAACCAGCTGTTACCTCCCTGGTCATGGATTCCTCTGATCAATCGAACTCTAATTGTTCCGAATAAGGAGGAAGGTTACTTGTCGCTGGAGAAGATCATTCTCAGTTCACTTGAGGTCAATTCAAAACTCTTGAACATTGCGTTGACCTTCTTCTTCTTCTGTCTCTCACCATTTATCTCTGTGTGTAGGAAGAAGCTGATTCCTCGGAAAAAGAAGTGTCAACTGATGACACGATCTTGGTACATAAGCCAAATCATTTTGACAAATAGTGGTTTGATCTTCTTCTTCTGTGTTTCTCACCATTATCTATGTGTGTAGAAAATTACAGAGGAGGAATGTCTAGATGTAACCGCGGAAGACTTAGAATCGATTGATCACACGATCTTGGTACAGCGTCTCTTTGTTAAAACATCAATGAAGCAGATTTTGAGGAAAATCTCTGATATTGGTTATTTATATTGCCTGTTTCTCTCTTGTTCCCGCTAGGTCCAAAACGTAGAAAAAGAAGCACACTACTATGATTTCAATGTGGTTTATAGTGCATCATATAGGGTTCCTGTGCTATATTTTCGCGGATACTGCAGCGGTATGTGTCACAAATCAACCAGAAAATTTGCTTGATATTGCTCTTTTATAATTGGTTTTGAAGATAATCATCTTATTTGTTGTCACTTACTTAGGTGGACAACCTCTTTCTTTGGATGTCATCAAAGAAGATCTGCCCTCAGGCTCTGTTGGTCTTTTGCTGGAATCTAAATGGACATTTATAACACAAGAGGTATTCTCTCAATAACAATTTACAGTGATATAATTTTAGTGGTTTCAATGTATCTAGGTAACATTCAATTCAATTGCAGGAGCATCCGTATTTGAACCGGCCATGGTTCAAGCTACATCCATGTGGGACTGAGGAATGGATCAAGCTGCTCAGCGCTGCTGGTTGTCAGATTCCAGTTGAGTTGTACTTGGTTTCATGGTTCTCTGTTGTCGGGCAAGTGGTTGGTCTTAGGATCCCTCATGAGATGCTCAATTAGATAGAGATAAACACATAATTCATTTGGTCACAGAATAAGCTTAATATTTCAACAACCAAGTACATTCATATCATAGTCCCATAATAACATACGCCGGACAGATAATAGATAAACCAAGAGAAGAAGAGACTTTCACGCGTTTGGCTCATCAGAGAGTAGCAGCAAGAAGCGTCATGACCTTAGAACCTGAAGGGACTGTGAGCACATGATCCAACCACTCAACTTTCCCCCAAATTTCACAACTGTTGCGCCTTTCAAGCGCAATCTCCGCACACCAAATCTTCGTCTCCGTCTGCGTATAGCGGACCCGAGGCCAAGGCTCACCACGAAGCTTCTTCTTAACGCAGACCCAAGGCACAAGCGCCTCCTCTTGCCACAAAAGCCCCATCTTTCGACCATAATCAGCCAATTTAACACGAGATTCACTGTTGAGCTCAGGAAGTCCTACCAAACCCGTCACCTTTCTCCACCTTCTCTCCTCAGTATCATACCATACCAAAACTCCCCCTCCGGCAGCGTACAAAACGTTGCCTATCTCGCAACAATCCCTATACCACCAATCCACCAGTGATTCAACAGCGTCCCATCTACCAACTTTGGGATCGTAAGCAACCTCCTCATTGCGAGTAGTCAGCACGTGGAAATTTCCTCCATTAGATGCGGTCTTTCGGAAAAAGACACGTGTCTCGTAGCTGGGCAAAATATCCCAAACTTGAGCTTCTGTGTCCAACACCTGGAACACGTTCTTCAAACCAGAACCACCATCCTTGTGCCAACCCGCTACGTAAATCTTCCGATCAACGACGGTTGCAGAAAACAAACAGAGCGCAACCGGCAAGCTTGGAGCCTCGCTCCACGTGTGAGACCGACAATCCAGTACCCTGACCCTAGAGAGGGACCTCGAGGCCATGGAGAGGAAATCGGATCCGCCAATGTTGTAGATATCAGAACCAACAGCCACAAGACCCGAATCCGGATGGCGAGACCAAGAAGACTCGGGAACCGGGACTCTAGCCAAAATATACCCACTTGACTTGGTTTCATTGCTTAGAGTTTTATTAGGTTTCCGGCAGAGAGTGTACCAGGTACGAACGGAAGCGCTAGAGGATTGTATGCACACATAGAGGCAACTCTCGGTGCGGCTCAAGAGTGATCGGGTCTTGTAAAGCTCCGGTGAAGCGATGAGAGATCGAAAGCTCTTGGAGACGAGGGCGAGAGTCGGATAGAAAAAAAAAAAAAAAACATAGAGAAACATTACAACACACTTTTTTTTTTTTTAAATATTTTTTTTTTTTGTTTTTTTTTTTTTGTTGTGTTTTTTTTTTGGGGTGGTTTTTTTTTTTATTGGTGGTGTTTGGGTTTCATTGCTTAGAGTTTTATTAGGTTTCCGGCAGAGAGTGTACCAGGTACGAACGGAAGCGCTAGAGGATTGTATGCACACATAGAGGCAACTCTCGGTGCGGCTCAAGAGTGATCGGGTCTTGTAAAGCTCCGGTGAAGCGATGAGAGATCGAAAGCTCTTGGAGACGAGGGCGAGAGTCGGATAGTACAGCCTCGAGACGCGTGCGATGCAGCTCAACAGCAGATCATAAGGAAGTGGCGGATTTGGGGTCGATTGCGGCGTCGGCGGCGGATTCTGCTTCCTCCTCTTTATTCTCTCCGGGGACGACATTGAGGTGACGGAATTGAAGAGCCTAAATCGGCTTGGGTTAAGTTTTTGTATTAACAACTGACCGGCGCGGGATTGAACAACACACGACATATTTATAGGCTTAGAAAAATTGTTGGGCTTTATGGGCCGTTACAAAAAATTGTATGACTTTGATCATTCTTTCTCGTGGTTATCTGCTCATACATATTTAAACTTAATATGTATTAATACTGCGTAGCGGGTTTGTTTTAAGATTTTGTAATGAAAAAGTATTAAACCAAATTTGATCATTTTAAAGTAAACAGAATAATATTAAAAACCCGATTTTAATAAAATTTAAATTTAAATAAAATAAGATCGGTAACCTTTTTACGTTTTTATTGTAATTGATATTTTTTTGAATTCATGATATGAAAAATGAATTAATTTGTTTTATTTTTATTTTTATCCAATATAGAAAGACTTATATATGTCTAAATATGATCAACTGATTAATTAATTCAACAAAACTTTATTATTCCATTCAAGAGATTTCAATTGATGAAATCTTTATTTAATAATTTTTTACCTAACAATATTGAAAATTAAACTATTTAAAATTAGAATATCGGTTCATTATATTTTCTTAATATTAGTTAGTTGCTTGATAATTAATTTGTTAGTTTTCTATTTATATTGTTTCTTTCTCAATTTTGTTTTTGACTCAGACCATTATAAATTTTCATTTTCATTATTAGTTAGTTTTTTTTTTCTAGTTTTTATATCTGTTTAACATTTTTCCAATTAACATGTCTTCACCGGATCAAATACATGTAACGACAATAATTTTGATTTCTATCCAACGATATAGAGTTAGATACATGTATCGACAATAATTTTGATTTCTATCCAACTAATATAGAGTTAAATATTATTCATTGATACCATGAATTTTAAATACATGATTTTTTATGAGAGAAAAGATTATACAAAAGATAGAAGCACATAATTGAATCGCAATAGCTTATTATATATTGTTTTTTTCCTGTTCATAATGGGAATATAAACACATATCGCAATTTTGTGAGTTATAAAAATCATACGTATTGCTATCATGTTGTTTGCTTTGATGAGTTTGTGAATGAGAAAAAAGACTACTTTAACTCTCTTTTTATAGGGGTTCATGTAACTTATTCCATGCAGTTATAGGAAATTTAGTTTACTAACCTATTTCATGTACTAATAGGATTTTATTTATTTCATTAATTTGAATCTTATATGTGTTTGGATAATATAAATTTGATGAATGGGAAACCTTTTTCTATTAGGATATGACAAATATTTTTTTTTTCTTTTAACTATAAAAGATTAAAATTTCGTTTTTTTTCCTTTATCTATTTTTTTTAATTATTATTTTTTTCCTTTTTTTCTAAGACACATGTCACGATCTTAACGGATATAACATTAAAAGTGACACATGTCGCAATCCTAAATTTTATAAAAATCCTACGTGTCGCAACCACGTCGCGCGCATCCAGCTTTATATAATAAGATGTACCAATAGAAATTAATTTCTCTTCTTTTTTCGTATGCTCAGTTCTTAAAAAAAATATGAAGGCCCTAAGTCGGAGATGATATCTGATCATCTAAAATCCAAGTTTACTAAATTGATCATTTATATAAATTCTATAAAATCCCACCTTATTGAAAAAATTGGGATTTCATCAACAAAATCTATCAAAAAATGTTTTGAGTGATTTGTGAGATATTTTTTTTAGTTAAAAATAAACAAATTAAAATACCATCTTATTAGTTGAGATTTGAATAAATAAACAATTATATTACTATTTCCCTTCTTCTTTATCATTTACGACGACATACTGCAGATTTTTATGATACTGATAATGATAAAAAAAAAAAGAATATTCTTTATTGATTTCACAAGAACTATTTAAGATTATCTTCATGTCTTTATGAAACTTTATACTTGTTATTTTTTTTTTGAGTTAATAAACTCGTATGAAATAGCCCATTAGAATAGTTTCATTCTTGTTCGTGAAAGTAAGAGATCATTGTGTTTCAACAAAGCATTATATACTTTCAAGTTACAAATAAAGAATGGCTTGACTTTCATGGTTCGAAAAAAAATGTTGTAATTTAAAACAAATGATGTGTAACTATTGAAATAGAATTTTTCTTTTGTTTTCTAAATCTCTTAAAATCATATCTAATCACTTTAGAATTTATAAAATCTGTTCAAATATCAAAATCCTTTACAAATACAATAAATCATTTTATATTCAATATCCCCTTAAATCACTTTAGTACCTCCATGTTGTTGAACAACATATGGAATGACTCCAGCTAACAAAGTTCGATCCACATCAATAACACAGTCAATTAAAATTTATATACTCCGTTATAAGAAAACTATATTTTTAGTCAATTAAAATAAGTTCATTGCAACAATAATTCCTTATTGCAAAAGAAAAAGACAAGAATAACTTACTGCCCCAAATTTAAACATATCTGATTTTGTATTTTCAAAGAGTAAATCTATAAAGTTCGTGACAGAAAGAAAAAAAGTTTATAAATTTGTATCATCATTAGTTGTGTATTAATCTCAAGAGTTATGTTACTAAGTACAATTTATGTTAAACTCCACAAAATGGGTTTTCTCATTTGCATTCACATCAACTAAATCAAAACACTGATGTGGAAAAAGACGGTAAAGAAAAGAAATACTCAAATTGTATCTGAAAATTTTCAAATCCCCAATTTCAATGGATCATGTTTCTTTGGAAAAAGCCAACACAAGTCCTTATTTGTCAAAAAGCCACATATTAAACCAACAAAATGCAGCATAAGAACTCAGTCCGAGTAAAAGAGTTCAAGGGTCCACTAGATTAATCTCATGTAATCATCAATTTAGTGTTTTTAAAAAAAATAAACAAAATCTTTAAAATTGGGTGTTGGTGGAAATGTCTTCTAAAATTCAAAATATTTGAATGGGATTATCAATTTTAAAGTTATGAGAAATATTTAAAGCATTGTTTTTATTATTCATGGTTTTAACTTTTAAGTGATAGATTTAAATAATAATCTATTGTTCTAAATTCACCAAAAGTCATCAAAGGCATTCTAAAACTTCTCAAAAATTCAATTCACTGAAGAAGATATTTAATTTGCTTGGTACATTTAAATCAATTTCACACCCAAAATAAAAATAATAACAAGTTTATTTCCTTAAAAGAAAAAAAAAAGACAATAAATTTGTAGAAGTTAAAACAACAGAATTTCAGTTGACTCTGTACGGACAAACAAAAAAAAAACGCATGTTTTTACAAAAATAGAGAGAGATCGAAGGAGAGAGTGTTTGCGACATCACATCGTCTAAAAAGCTGTCTTTTAAGACAATCCATCGCTCCTTCTTACAATTCCAACTAATCTCCGACCAAAAGCAAAAGCATCCGCAGAAATTAGATTCCTCCATGGAAGAGTAAGCTAAACCCTTTCTCTCTTCCTCTCTCTCTCTCTCTCTCACCGCATTCAATTTGCTTTTCTTTGATATTCGCTCTTTTCTTGTTCCCCGTTTTCCTTTTCCGACTAGATCTGAGCCGAAAATTGACTACGCGAACGGCGTTGAGACCGGCGTCAGAATGACATCACCGGCGGCTTCCTCCGTCGCCACAACAAGTGTCCACGTAAGCGCTCTCGACGGACTCGTGAACGTGAACTCTCTCTTCACAATCGCCGTCTTCGTAGGTCTCTCGATAGCGACTCCAGGACAGCACAGCCTCGAGCAGCGATCCAGCTGCGACGCAAGCGCCGACGTGGCGAAGAAGCTACTGGTCTTCGAAGTCGTCTCCTTCAGCTTCTTCCTCTTCTCTTCCCTCGTAGCTCAGGGTCTCAAACTCGCCCTGAACCTTCTCAACAGCAAAGACGTTGACGAGATCTTCAGAGCTCACATCAACATCAAAGTCTTGAGATGGGGAATGATGGCATCCGCTGTTGGATCTGTTATGGGCTGTCTCTTCTTGATGCTGTCTATGGTCAACGTGATTCAGATCCGTCTCGGGATGCTTTCTTGCGGCAGCAAATCGGCTGCTCAGGCTGTTGCTACGCTCGTGACTCTTGTTTCATCTGCTCTCTTGGTTTACATTTCCACTGCCATTTACGCTTTCTGGCATTGATATGGCTTTTCAAGTCCTTGGCTTTATTTTGATTGGCCATTGTAATTTCTATGAAGTAGAGATTAAAAGACATATGAGAGGACTTTTGATTATATATATGAACACAAATGAAGCTGTGTGTTTTGTTGTTTATATCAGCTGAGAGGTTTAGTGAAAGTGTTGGACTCAATCTCTCTAACACTTTGGATGACGTTATTGATGTTAACAGAGAGATGATTTGAATGTTCTTCCATCTCCTTAAGGACCATATCAAGCTGCTCTTGCAACGCAGCACAACGCCTTCTCTCTCTGCTTAGCTCTGCACTCAGCTCCCGAATCTTTGCGTCTTTCTCATCCTGAAACACACAAGATTCTTCAAGTTAAGTTCAAAATTTATCTTAAAGATCCTATATACAAAGTGTGTGAAGACGTACCGGTGTTGGAGAGATATGAGAACTCCGGCGAGGATTAGCGAGTAGAGGCAAGAGAGGATGGTTATGTTCTTTCACGAACTTAGTGACGATCCATTTGCCAGCGGATTTGTCTCTTTTGACGACTATTAAAGCCTTGCAGCCTTCTCTTGTCACAGCTCGAGGCTTCCTGCTCTCGTTTCTCCGGGGTCTAGATCGACGGAAGCCTTCTTTGTTGCAGACGAGCCTGCGCCAGACGACGGTGCCGTCTCGCATTGACCTCCTGAAAGCGTCCACTCTCATAACGAAACCCATGCATGTGGCGTAATTGTCGTAGAAAGACTTTGCAACCTCTTCTGATTCAAACTCCATACCAATGAACGGGTCCGTTACTGAACAAGCTTCTTCATCTGTGACTGTTTTCTTCCCATCTGAATTCTCCGTCATCATCTCTACAACGACTTCGCGTAAAGAGCTCTCTTCCACTGCCACGCAATAAGCAAACATATCGATTCAAGAAACAAAGGCACAGAGTAGCAATTTCCATCGATCTTGCTCAAATTCATAATAGAAAAAGATTAATCCAATACAAACGCGAATTTTAGAGTTTAGATTCCATAATTTGATTCACAGAAGGAATATATAAATCATCGACACATAAAAGACGAGAATTTCGATGATAGATTGAATTATAAAAGAACAAGTGAAATGGGATTCAGTTTTCATCACTCACTTCGATGGAAGATTAGAAAACTCCAAAGTGTGATTCTTCGAGAGAGGAAGCGATGATGATCTCTGAAACTGAAGTTAGTGACGACGACTGGGAAAGAAAGGGAAGCGGTGAAGAAGAAGACAACAAAAACGAAGATCTGCTCTCATTATTAATGATGATGACTGCTTTTTGGTGGAGCACGTGAACTTCATCCACATTCCCAGTCTCGTCCGTTGGATTCAGAAACAGCATGTAGTCTTTGAATTTGTTGATTAAACATCAAGTAGTTTATAAGTTAACAATATTTTTACTTTTCAGGGCCCACATAGAGTGATATACCAATTAAACCACGCCACGCCGTTATATAACAACAATGTCGTTTGACGTGTTTAACAGAAATAAGCGTTATAAAGCAGAAAGCCAGAAATGAATAATTTGGTCAAGTGCACTCAATTTGAAATCCTCAAAATCAAAACAATATCGGACTGTATGATCCGTGGATTTACATGGTAATATATGTTTCAAAATTCCAAAAAGCAAATTCATCAACAACATATGTGGAGGAGCATTCAAAACAAAGCTTTGTTGAGCTTTCTCTTTGCAAATCCATTAATCAATATTCTCTTTCGAGGTTTTGCCCTAATCATTCCGAATAAAAAAACCAATGATTTTGGGTCTCAAACCCGAACCCGGAAATGGGTTTTCTTTTGTTTGTTTGTTTACAAATCTGAACCTAAGGCGGCAAATCCACCACCTTTCATCATTTGCTTAAACTCCTTGAAATTCACCATCCCGTCTCCATCAACGTCCACTTTGCTTATCATCCTCTTGCAATCCTCTAGGGTTCTTCCTTGCTTGAGCCCCAAGGAAGCTAACACGGATCTCAGCTCTTCAACCGTGATGAACCCGTCCCGGTTCTGATCAAACACATTGAAAGCCTCTATCATGTCTTCCTCCTCGTCTCTCTCCTCCATGATCGTCTCGTACAGCCCTCCAAACTCTTCGATGTCTACGTACCCGTCTCCGTTGAGGTCAATCTTCTCAATCATCTGCACCAAGTCTTTGTCTGGGATGTAGATTCCGAGATTCTCCAACGAATCATTCAGCTCTTGCTTGGTGATTTTGCCGTCACCGTTCCTGTCGAACATTTGAAATATCCGGCAAAGCTCTGCTTGATCCATCTTAAATGGTTTATTAGTTAGAAGCTTTGAACAGAGAATGAATGAGAACAAAAATGTTGAAGATGGGTTTATAGAGAAAACAAAGAAGAAGAATTTAGGGCTGGAGAAGGGAAGAAGGACTGGTTCTTAAAGAAAAAGGAGTGGTTGCCATTTTAGAAAATTCATTACAACTGTGATCGTGGTCTGCACCAGTTTTCTGTTGAACTGGTCTATGAATAGGTTTATGCCCATCAAGAATACACAAAAACTTATGTCTATCTATAGATATACACACGGAATGTACACATCTATCTCATAATTTAATCTTCAAACAGTTTTTCCGTTAGGATAGTTATTTCGGGTTAAATCTTTTTCCGTCAGGATAGTTATAAAGAAAATGAAATTATTCGAATGCTAATCAGTTTCTGAAAAGATTAATCTTTTGGTGAAACATAGAAGAAGTAATTCCCTTGTTTTAAATACTTTTGTGAGTTCGATATATTTTTGTCAACTTGAACACCACGCTGTTTCAAAAGTAGAAGAGACAACTTCAACAATTAAAAGTTTAAAAAGAGACGGCTTTAAAAATAGTTAAGGTCTTAATCAGTTGTTATCAGTTTGATTGTCTAATTACTGCACCACATCAAAAAGATTGTGTTATGAAACACACCTTATACTAAGCCATAAAGTAACAGACTAACTGTTGTTAAGTTAACTGCACACACACCAAAAATCTGTAAAACATAAAAGTATTCTCAACAATTTGAATCCTAATTATACACAATCCGTAAAATGACGTGGTTATGATTCAATTTCCATACTTAACGTTGGAGGATATCAGATTTGAGATCATCGAGTACATCAAACTTTGACATAAAACCAACTATCAAAACAAATCCAATCTAAATCAAACAACATATGATCGACGTTGATAATCATGATCTTGTGAAGTTAAACCTTAGGAAAAATAGTTTTAAGTGAATGAAAATTGAATATCTAGCAAGAATTGAACAGAAATTTGCAAACTCTAGTAATCTAACAACGCCCAACTCCACTTGATAACAAAACCGCATAATTCCATCGTCAAGAAAACGAAACCGCTAATTACGCTAGCCACTCTATCCTCAATGTTTACTACTGAATCACTCTTCCACACAAAACACGTACAAGACTAGAAACAGAGTTTGCAAGGCTCGAATCAAATCTACCAAACCATCGGTATAAAGATGCCATATTCATCCTATCTTATTCCTTTCTTTAGATGCAGAGTCTGAAATTCTAAAGCTCTAAGCATACATAGTCTGTCAAAAGAATCTTTTTCCTGAGGAGCAGCATTCTATATGCACTCTTCTCATTCTCTATGCCTAAACTTCTTGGCACACTGAGCCTACGATTAAGATACCACCAGAACTAGCAGCATGTAACAACAAAAGCAAGATCATCTAATGGAAGAGGAAGCAGACGACAATGAAATCAAGAAAGCAACATCAATTGCAATTCGCAACGCAAAGTAGGGAATCGTTTAAACAAAGCGAGTTCTTTACCACAATACCAAATTCAAAGTAAGGAAGTTCCAAAAGAGAGATTACAGATTCAAATGATCAAATCCAGTTATCTGCCGAAATTTCCAAAGCGAATTATTGCCAATTTGAGAAGCGAAAACAAACAATCGAAAGAGCCTCACCGCAAAAACACACTTACGGAATATCCCAAGGCTTGGCTTCAGGGACGGCGACGACCATACCTTGGAGCTCATGCGTCAGCACAACTTGGCAACCGAGGCGTGAGTGCTTGTTCAGGACACGCGACCTAGAGTTACGCTTCAGCACATACTCCTCGTCGTACGTACGCGCCGGGAGCTTCGCGAGCCATTCCTCTGCGATCTGGACCTCGCACTCCGCCGAGCAAGCCTCGATGTCGTCCAGGCGATGCGACGCCGGATCGATCAGGCCGGTGTGAGTGAGCGCGCGAAGGAGCGTCTGCCCAGAGAGCCCGATGATTTCCTTCTTGTCTCCATCCGCATCAATCGCGGAAAGCTTGACGATTCGATCGGCGACTTTCTTCGATCCCGATGACGGAGAAGGTGCAGCGGATGTAGCGGAGGTGCGAGCGATTACGGATCTGGCAAATGGAGAGATGCGGTGGATTTGGGAGGAGAGTTTGTAGAGATTCGACGCCATCGTCGTTCCTCAATTTGGTTCGTTGCAATGAGCTCTCGATTACGATACGGGAAACTGGAAAAGTGAAGTGTTGAGGGTGAAAACGCTTATTTGATCTGGGCCTCTTTACAAGCCCAATTGTAGTTTCAGGTCCAGATATTACGAGGACAATAAAATTCAATTAGACCGTTGAGTCGAACCGGTCCAACGGTAATTTCCAAACATTGTTTGTTGAGCGAGAGTTAATTTCGGAATTTTAATCCACTGAGGAAAATAATGCCAAGTCATGGTAATACGTAAAAAAGTCAAATGTGACTTTGGTCGGAAACTCGGAATAATTCACTTGGGTTTTTAAGACAAAACCTCTGTTATTACATTCGGATTGCCTAAACTCAAATGTCTGAATGATCCCATGTGGCTAAGGTCCACCAACTTTTCCAATAACGCGTTAGAAGTTAGACAACAAGGAAACTATTCAAAACTAACCAAATTAAACGAATTTGCATATGTGGAATATGACCTACGTGGCGGTCACTCATTGGTTGATCTATCTATGGCTTGAGAAGCAGAAGATCACTGCTCCATCCGAATTCCGCCATCAATAATTTTGATAAGTTATATTTTGATCCACTCTGTTTCAAGCTGTCACCAAAATGTCTTCTTCTTCTTCTTCCTCCTCCTCGCTTAAACCCATTGATTTTATTATTTCCTGATAACGACGAACAAACAGATCGCCACCAACAAAAAAAAAAAAAAAAAAAAAATCCAATCGTCAATCTCCGGAAGTAAAACGCGTGGACGAAAAGTGATGCTTCGTATCGCGATTCTTTGTTTCGTTCTCGCCGCCGGGATCTCGATCTCCACGGCGAACTCCGACAACGAGTCTATATCGGAGATCCTCAAGGCGAACGGATTGCCTGTGGGGATATTCCCGAAAGGCGTCGTGGAATTCAACTTCGACGCCGTAACGGGACGATTCTCAGTTTACTTGAACCACTCCTGCGATGCCAAGTACGAGACCGAGCTGCATTACGACGCTAATATCACGGGGAAGATAGAGTTTGCTCAAATCTTGGATTTGTCCGGAATCAAGGCGCAAGATCTCTTCTTGTGGTTTCCGGTGATTGGAATCCGAGTCGACGTGCCTAGCTCTGGACTCATATATTTCGACGTTGGTGTTGTTCACAAGCAATACTCTCTGTCTTTGTTCGAGACGCCGAGGGATTGCGTTGCGGTTAATGGTGACAACAAGGTATGGATTCTGAGGATTTGTGTTTGTGAGTCGACTGAATTGTGCTTAGTTGAATAATATGAATCAAAACTGAGTAACTTAAATTTTATGAAATTTATTGAATAATACGAATGTGCTTATAGCTTGAATGGATAAAGATGTTTTTAAGACAGAGAGATAAAAATTAACTGTGCTTAGTTGCATCGTCACTGTCTTTTGAGGTATTTCAATGTTGAACTGTTGTCTGTTCAGAAGTTTCAGGCTTGACTAAGAATTTAGTGTTACAGTGAAAAAGATAGTGATATCATCTTTAAATGAATTATTTTTAAAAAGTTCGTAGCTTATAGAATCTCTGAGATTACTTTTCAGGGTCATTTTGAATTGGTTGAGATTTTTGATCGGTGAGGAACTGTTAGACATGTGACACATTGTAGAATATCTTTAGAACTAGGAAAGATGGGGTTTTTAAAAAGTGTTGGAAAATGAACTAACGAGTACTCAATGGCTCTTGCAGGTTCGATCGACTATGTTGCCATTGTATCAAGTAGATCAAACTCTTGGGAGAGACATTATTTAGCCGGAGTTTAAGGAGTGTTGTTGTTATACTATATCAGAAAGATAGAACAGATGTTATCATCAAATTCTTGAAGATACTTGTAACTGTTTTTGGTCTCTCAAATATAAGGCATGACCTCAAGGTCAAATGCTTCATTCTTTTCCCTCCCAATTCCAGTTTTGTATCTGTTATTGCATTCTCAGATTGCGCTGAACCGAGAGAGAATCTGTGAAAGAAGAAATATCTGGTTTGTTCAGGAAAAGATATGTTTTAAGGAATGGTCCGGATTTGGTTGAAGTGATTGATGATAACAGTGAGGTGATGAAATGTTTTTTCTTTGTTTTTTTGTATTTTTTTGTATTATTTTTGTTGTGTCATGTCGAAACAGATATTATCCTATATATAAATAGCCAAATAATTGTTATATATATAAACTGGCTATTTGCAATAATTCCCCCCTTCACCGAATATCTGGTTGCTTTATTTTTGGTAAAACGAAACTAGAAGTTTACAGCCCATTTAATTGTGACAAATATTAGAAGACTTTTGTCATCGAAAAAAACTGACCCTAACCCTGAAGTGGAACTGTGGAAGTCGGTATCTAGCTGTCTCCGGAAGTCGCTGTCCGAATATTTTCGGGATAGTCAGATTAAAATGGTGAGATATTTCGTTATTTTTGTTGTCGTTTAGTAAAGTGGACAAAAGATCTTTTATTTTTAAGATCTCACTGCATGGTTTCAAACCCAGTCACAGCTGAGTCTGAGAATGACATAGAAGAACTAAGACACCAGAAGATCAACTCCTGTTTGGTAAGATATCATAAATGAGACTAGAGTATGATATTAAATTATTAATACTGTGATCTGTTTCATAAAGTTTTGAGGATTTATCACTGATGTATATTTAAATTCGGATCTTAAATGAATAATTGCATATAAAATGTGGACCCTACAAAAACAAATAGCCCAAGTTTCATAATCCATCTAATCAGACTGTTGCTGATGCAATCATTCTAGTTGCTCTCTCATACGTACAAGTTATGAGACATTTCCAAAAGTAAAAAGGAGATGATTTGTACTGAAAAGAATCTCAGGTTCTTACAATGATATCACTTTATTATGCTTATGGATGTAGTCGAGTCAAGTCTTGTACGAGACACTTATGTGATCGTACAATCTATTAAAATCCCGTGTGGAACTGTCCACCCACTTTTGCAAATGACTCGTTAGATCTTGAAGATACTGTTTTGGTCTCAGAGCATAGGCATGATTCAAGGTCAATTGCTTTATTCTTTCCCAATCCCTCCCCATCCCAGTTTTGTTTCTGAATTGCATTCTCAGTTTGCGTTGGGACTAAACCGAGAGAATCTGTGAAAGAAAGAACAATATCATGTTGGTTTTGAAAAAATATGATAAAGGAAGGTGATGAATTTTTTTAATTGTACATTTTTCTTTGTCATTTGCCCTGTTTTTTACAGTTTAGCATGTAAACAGTTAAACACACATGCAAAAATATAATCCTGTGTTTAGCAGAAAACTTGTAATATAAAATTTGCAATCATTTCGCCTTCACCAGATATCAAGTTATTTAGTTTAGGATGGTAACTAAAAAGAGTGACTTATTAGTTTAAGATGATGATTAAGACCCATGGTTATATAAAAGAGACTGATGTATTCTTAAAAATGCCTAAAGTATGTGAATAAAAAACTTGAATGGAAAGTGTGAACCTACAGACAGTAAACCCCAATTTTTCATGATCCATCTACTACAACTCCATTAGGTTACTCATGCGATCATTCTTATTGCGCTATCTTAATGTTACATGTACAAGTTATATATACGAGCCTTGCCTTCTAAAACGTTTTCAAAACTAGAAAACAAAATTGTTAATTAAAATGAAAAAGTCACAGGTTCTTACAGTGATTTTACTTATGGTTTTGGTCGAGTCAGGCCTAGTCAAAGTGACTATGGCACACCCATGCGGCCGAACTTTTTTGTCGGCGTTGATTCAACTCGTGCCCTGTAGACCATCAGTGGCGCCGTTTAGCACATTGTCTCCAAACAAGCTATGTTGCGCTGCCATCAGGATGCTTGGTCAGCCTTGTCTATGCGTTCTTGCCAAGGGACCACCTATCTCTGGCGTTGACCGCGCTCTCGCGCTCCAGATACCTGGAAAATGCTCTGCCAATTTCCCTCCATGTAACTAATTTTCTATCTTTTTATAAAAGAAAATTAATTCGTCTGTGATCAACGATTAATATTGATTATTTTTTTTATTTTTTTTGTCACAGTTTTATGGAACATGTTAGTATTAACAAAATAATATTTAATGTATGCAGGTGAGATTTTAAAATAGAGCAAGTCCTGCGATGCCTTGTACGACGCAAATATCAGGGGAACGATAGGATTTGCTCAAAATCAGTGAATTTCGATTGAAAGTTTGAATATTTTGTCTCTAATATATGTATCTGTGGAACTGAGTTTTGCTTTAAGTTTATGGAACTTGATGAAGTAAAATAGTAGTATGTTTTTGCTACACCTTACATAGCTTTAATGGAAGTATGGAACCCATTTTTTATTAAGAAAAATTGACGAGTGACAAATAAAAAAACAGATGCGGAAACTAGAAAATCAGAGGATATATCAAGAATCCACATGAGGGGGGAGCTAATTAAATTGGACAACGGGGGTGGTCGTCCAAGTCTGGTGGTGGTTTCCACCAACCTAAAGCCACGGCGAAGGAGTAGATGCCACTAACGGCGACCGGGAATAAACAGAGGCTTAGAAACAAGTTGGTCCATGACTCCCTTGCTTGCGCACCCACCAAAGCAGACACGAATCCTAAAGACATATTGAAGAGGAGATTGTGTTGGTCAAAATCCTCTGCTGGAAAGTAGAGTTGAACGATTGAATGCACTGCCCCTAGAAGCAAATTAGCCAGCAATGACGTTTCCTTCATGGTACTCCCGTCCTTGATCAAACAGGCTATCCAAAAGTGTAAAGTCATTGTAGATACGTAGATGGGCATCTGCCCTTTTGCTTCAAGACGATAACTAGGGATCGGAGCATCATTGTACTTGCATCTAGCTAGCAAACCACCGTATGCAATGGCCGAAGCAGCCAAAACCATATACCTATAAATCATAATAATAATAAAAAAAATTAATCAAATATACTAAGATTCCATTAACACAAATAAATATAGCAACAATTCCCTTACACTGTTTTGTGCACCCTGCTATACCGTCTCAGACAACCAAATTTCCCTTGCCTGAAGGATAAGGGTGATGACGGCTAACCAACCGATCAAGTAAAAAGCTGAGTCGAGTCCTATTCCTGGTCAATTCTGGATTTTCCATGTTTTTTCCCTGAGAATATTGTACAGAGATGAGATGAAATCAGAAACGTAACATAAGAGGTGTTTTTCTCAATCACAAGACAAGATCATACCAAAAAGCATAAGAGAGGCAGAGATGGTGTTTCATAGAGTCGTCGTCTTACCAAATATAAGGTCGCTGTTTAGTCTTAGGTTCGTTGAGAACTATTGTAGCCGAAACAAGAGAGATCAAATAATAAATGTTGACTTGTGTCCTTTCAATCAATATAAAGACAAAAGGTAACCCCTATTCTATTAGGACTAAAGCAACGACTTCAACATCAAAAAGGAAAATAAATCAAAATCCAATTCGCGAGTAAATTTGTTGTTTTAAATTTAATAAAGTACGGAAACAACTGGAAACAACATTATCTTACTCGTTAAAACAATAATTTTGCTGGCGAAATTTGGAAAAGGAAATAAAATCTCCGACGAAAAATGGAAACAGAAGCTAAATCGATAAGGAAAAAAAAATATTGGGATTTTGTTATTAAGTTTTTTGTCTATACTTGGTGATTTTCCTGCGCAACAACAAAAAAAAACTGTAGTCACTAAACGTGGAGGTATATAAGAACATGTTCTAGGCTTTCTTCACGAGCAATTATGAGTCCTATACTCTCTTCCGCAGCAGAACTTCTAAGTCTTGTATATTCTTTAACCTTCTAAGAGCTTTCTATCGAATCTGAGATGCCTCTTACGTGCTATGAATTTTCAAGTAAAAAGTAAAAACTAATTAAACTCCTAAAAAAATATTAAGAAAATCCATAATATATTAAAAGAGAAAACACTTTAAAAATAACCTTTAGTTGATGTGTTATTAACAAGAATGTCATGCTGATGTGTCATCATTAGAGAGCTTCTCATGTTATTTATAAAATAAGGATTAGTTTACTAGACTAATTACAAACATTGTCATTCATATTTTTGGTTAGAGAATCAAATATGTATAGTTAGATTAATCATATATGAAATTATTAATAAAAAATCATCATTCTCTTTCCTTAATTGACAATTACGAAAATTAGTAAATAAGGAAAATATGAGATTCAATTTAATGCTATCATTATATTTTTTTTAAATCATTCTATATCTCCTTTCATCTTTGTTTAACTTTATTTTATAAAATAAAAAATTGACACAATACAAAAAATCTAATAAAAAAATCTAAATTTTTCTATATATGCTATGATTTGAATTTTTAAAAACAAAATAATCACTAAAACTATTAAAATTCCCAATATGTTGTTGTGTGTAGGTGTAAAAATATATTATAAAAAATAGATGATATGCAACCATGTAAGTAGGAGAGTAGGTATCTAAATATAATTTTTTATTAATATTTTATATGATTTTTTAGTTAAACTGTATAATGAAATCAAATAAAATAATATTTTTATAAATGTATTTAATTTTGATCAAAAATTTGAATATTGCTCCATTTGTTTCAATTTTTCAGTACAAAATTACTTATACTTTTGTTATTTTGACAATTTGGATTTTGCAAGATTATCTTTTATTGGTTGGATTGTTTTGGAATTATAATAAAACATGTTTTAGTTTTAAAAGAAATAAAAAAAGTTAGTTCTAATCCGTGTAAACACCTAAAACTTTTTATCTTCTTATCTTATAAAATATACTCATTTGATTTTTATGTATCTTGCTGAAGTCTAGCATATTTAATCTATAGTGTAGCATATTTAATCTATGTCTATGATCAATGTTTATAATTTTTAAAATGTTTAATTTCCACACTATAAACGAAGATAAAAACCTTAACAAGGTAAAAAAATCTGTCACATAAAATTTTGAAATAGTTAAATATACATTTTTAATTAAAAAATACAAATTCAGAAACCATCTCCCCGTGCAGGGCGCGGGTCAAACTCTAGTTTATAATTAAATGAACAGACAATAAACCCCAATTTTTCATATCCATTTACTCCAACTCCATTAGGCTACTCGTGTATGAGCCTCGCCTTTTAAAACATTTTCGAATGAAAAAATCACACGTTCTTACAGTGATAATACTTTTAATCATATGTAATAACCTTCGTGATATTTTTAGGAGAAAGTCACAAACTAATTCGGTTTTTATTCAGATCTAAAAGACCTTTCATGTTTATAGTATCATATTGTAATTTCGGTAACATATAAAAAAACTTTAAAATATTATTTTTCCCAAATAAAGATGGCTTCATCTTGAAATTTAAGCGAAATTAAAATAGGGTTTAGTCACAGTTTTGATTGAACTTATATTTTTTGTCACAGTTTTGATGGAACATGTTAGTATTGTTAATTAAACAAAAATATTTGATGCAAGTGTTGTGAGTTGAGCACTACTGTTCGTCTTCTCCATTGCATCTTTGACGAACACGATCACAACAGAAACAACAGAGGTATGATGACTTTTGCGAAAAAAACTCCAATCAAATGTGAGGTCACGCTAATGGCCAAGAGCCCATCACCGGCACCAAAATATTCTCCCATTTTTATTCATCTTGTCATAAGATATAATATGCACATAGAGTAATAAGAAGGATGAACTTGCATACCAATCCACCCATGATACATGAATACCATTTATAATAAGCACTTGACGCACATACTATCGTCTTCACCAGTTTTGTAACCTTTTTATCAATGGAAAACTATATGTGGGATAAAAAGTTTTCTGAATTAGCGAGAATAATTCCCATTGTGAAATATCCCAAGCTGATATGTGCATATGTAGTGTATTTGACAATCTGTGATTAAAAAACCAAATATTACCAACAGAAAAGTTTTGTAGAGTCGTCTTACCAAGAGGAACCTAAAGGCTATAGGGTTGGTGTTTAGACTTAAAATTGAACCAATGCCGAAAAGAGAGATTAAGAGAGCAAAAATATAAACGATGTGAAGACAAAACTAAACCTTTGTTCTATTAGGATTAAAGGAACGAAAAGGAAATCAAACAAAAGTTAAAACACATTAAAAAATCACTTAATCGGAACCTGACACAAGAGGAGGAGATTATTACTCTCATTAGACCAATACTATTCTTTTATCGTAGCCCTTGAAGATTTAAATGACAAAGTTTGGAAACTAAAGTCCCCGAGCTAGGATTTGCTCAAATCAGGGAACTTGGATTGAAAGTTTGAATATCTTTGTCTCACTTATATATGAATCTGTTGAACAGAGTGTAGCTCTGAGTTTATAGATCTTAATGAAGTAAAATAATATGCTTTTGCTCCGCCGTTGTGAGGTTTTTTAATGTCAAGCTGATGTTTTATTTTTAAAGGTCGCATGCTTGATACTTAGAATTCAATGTTAAACTGAAAAATACAATAACCATCTTAAAATGAATCCATTTAAGATTACTAACCAACGAAGAAGTAAACATTAAACTACATATACCATATCTCTCGTGCGTCTATGATCTTCACATGTAAATAAAATTGGCTAACAGTCCTCATCTGGATCAGATACAAATGATGATAACTATCATGTTTCTTCCTCCACAGAACTAAACTAATCCTTAACTTTGTGCTTCTTAATCAATATCAACTCTTGAGAGGACGCAGAGAAATCCATCACTAGCAACTGAAGTCTGTAGAGTATTGAACCTGTAATTTTTCTTTTTGCTGAGCATTAATCAACTTTCCATTAACCCATATATAGAACTTCGTGTAGTTTTACTCATTACTCAGAATCAAATTCAAGCAAAGAAAGAAACGACATGGCTCATCAGTCTCATTGTGTATCCTTATTGAAACTGCAATTAGAGGATACTAAATAACCCAAATCTCATTACTCATAATCAAATTCAAACAGAGAAAAATGGCTCATCAGTCTCATTGTATATCCAACAAGAAGATAACAACAACATCGAATTGTGCAATCTTCCTAAAGTTGGGAGAAAAAGATAACACAAATGTACTCAGAATATTTCAGTAAAAAACCATAAACTCGAAGATCTCACCAGCCAAATTGCAAAAAGAGACTAAAAAGAAACCCAACGGTGTTCTTCTATCTATCCCGTGCTGCCGTGAACAATCGATCCGAGTGTGCCGAGAACCGCGAAAGCAAGCAGAGGACTGACATCAAGCGTGTCGAAGATCGGAGGAATGATGTTCCTGAAGAGATTCAAGTAAGGATCGCAGAGATCTCTAATGGCGGACAGAGGCTGTCTCTCCCACGGGATATTAGGGAACCAACTCAGCAAAACCCTAACCATCAAAACCCCGCTGTATATATCCAGCCACTTCTTTATCCCCACCGCCACCACCGTGAGCGGCGTGTTCAGGTATCCCGGAGGACGATCCCGGAGCGACGCGAAGAAGACCGGACCGGCGGTACGGAGGGAGAATCGTAGCGCGTCTCCGATTCCGGGGATTGCGAGAGAGAATTTCTGGGCCAAGGCTCTGGAGACGACGATTGCTAAAGCCGCGAGAGTGGCGAGAGACCGAGTCGACCCGGTGAGTGTGGTGGATGGGAGGGGATTGGATTTCGTCGCCTGATTGAGCTGGATTACCGGAGGACAGGGAGACGGCGAAGCGGATGATGCAGCGATTCGGATTGAATTAGGGCTTCGAATTGAAAGAGAAGGAAACGGTTTAGTGGGAACGAAGACGCGAGCTGGTGGTCTCTTGTTGATGCCATGGAATCTAGGGTTAATAGCAGATGAAGAAGGAAGGAACACAGGAGAGCGGAGAGCGAGAGGTGCAATCGTCGCCATCTCCGTTCTTCCGCCTGAAGATAGAATAATGACTGATAGGTTTTTGCTTTAAGATATAAATCTCACAGAACCCAAATGGTCAAATCTGATTTATAAAATTGAATTCGATTTTCTTTATTTTTTTAGTCATTTCTTCTGATAAACATAAATATGACTCCCAATCTTTAAACGAAAATTTATTGAAAAATTAAACTTGATGACTTCAATTTTCTATGTGTTTATCATCAACTAAATTATGTAAATATAATTTCTTCTTTGTATACTTAAGAAAACCCTTTTATCAAACAAAATTTATATATATATATATATATACTTAAAAATAAATACTTATTTGTGAGAAAAAAATATTAATTGGTCCGCTAATATACTAAAAATGAGTAATAATTATAAATAACAATCTTCAAAAATGTGTGATTCATGCAAAACTCCCACTCGTTGGACTAAAGAAGAAGAAAATGCTAGCAAGTAGCAAGAAAGAATATAGACTTTATTATAAAGCCAATTATTGAGATTCACAGCAGAAAAAGAAGAAAAATATTACAGTTTTACAATTAGAATTTGGTAGTATAAAATGGTCAACACAGTGGAAACAACTGAGGACGTAAAATCGGTAGAGACCAAAGATAAGCATCTAAGACCTTAGCATTTCCACCATTTGAGATAATTCCCAAAATGATATTTCTCAACATCTTCATGGGTTTTCCGATGTTCATCCTCCATCTCTGCACCACCGTCTTCGGTTGTCCCACCAAGAACCCTCGTCGTCGGTTTCCTAACCGCACCACGGCCCGTTTTCCTTTCCTACGTTGCTGCGGCCACCACAGCCTCGTCGGAAGACTTGAAATGGCATGAATTGCGTTCCTTCTTACCATATCTCCTTCTCTCTTTTTTTTTTGTTTGGTCTTTATGACTTTATTCAGTTTTGGGTTTCTGAATTTACAAGTTGTTGTTCTTGAACGTGGATTTATAAGTAGGAGAAGCGAGTGTGTGATGATCGATGATGTGTAAAGCTTGGAATCAAAAGAGCTTTTAATCATTGAAAGAGGCAATGATTACGACCATCATTAGGGCCTATGGTGAGTAGGAGGGAGGTAAACCTTTTTGAAATTATTCGATTTCCATCTCATTATATTATACACTAATCGAGTTTAAGATAGATCTAATTCAAAGTGATCAAGCAAACCCTTAAAAATATAATCCATTTGAGTCTATAGATGATAGAAATTAGCTTTTCTTACTAGTACTGAACTGCCTTGTATCACACATTATACATAATATATTTCATCAATTATGTAAACCATGAAATTTCATGGTTGGTAGATTTTGTTGGACATATAATGACTTAGCGAAACTACTTATACAGATTTTCCATTAGATTAGTCAGATATTGGCATTTGTTCAATCATTGGCCACTCTGTATACTCTATAGAGGTTAGAGAGGTTATTTTCAGCAGGGTATTAATTAAACATGTTGCTTTCGTCTGCAAATTCTAGACCTCAAGTCTACGTTTAGATGGAGGAAGAAACCATTTCTTAATAAAATGGTTTAATTCTATAATTTGTGATTTATTCGGCCTTTTGTGTAGCCTCGTGGTAACCATCATTACAATTTACATGTGATCCGGCCCCATTCATACCCTTTTTGCCCTTTTTGGTTTTTCAACTGCTTACTGACAAGATCGTACCTAATTAGTAATTACCATTCGATAGTCGATACAACAAGAATCTTTGTATGCAAATAAGATCACAATCAAAAACAAATTTAAAATGAGACACATTTTGGCAAAAACAAAAACAAATGTAGATTCCAGCGGCGGATTTATGCACCTACTCATATTAATTAAGCGGCGTATTACCTATTGGGCCATATTTGGGCCTCAAAATTACATTTTTGTTTGCAATACATTTAAATAGATTCAGGTTATTTAAATTAAAATTATTGTTCGACAGTTCCCGCGAATCTAAACTTCCTTGAAGAATACCAAACCTTGTCTTCTCTCTCTGTTTCCTTGTCTCCGCAAGAGCAAAACAATCCTTTTCCCTCTTCCAACAATCTAAGCTTCCTCTAATCTCTCTTCTCTTCTCAATCAAATTTATCTCCAAGTAATCATGTTTATATATAATCTCCTCTTCGCTTTTGATGTTCCCAATCCAAGTAACCTCCCTACACTCAAATCTCCTTCTCAGTTCCTTCTTCTCTTCTTCGAATTCCTTCCGAACTCTCGGATTCTAAATTACCGAAAATGGATCTTCACGGAAAAACCCATCAGAAAGAGCAGGATGATGTTGTCTCTCCCAAACCCATTACCTTGTCAAAATACTCGAACCGAGTCGAGTTAAAGACTCTGCTCGAACGGAGCGACGGCGGCGCAAAATTAGCCGGGAAAAGAGTTGTGATCGGCGGATGGGTCAAGTCTTCTAGAGCTGTTAAGAAAGACTCTCCACCTCCGCCTCCTCCGCCGGCAGTAGCCGTCACTCCGCCGTCGAGCGGTGGGAATCAATCTTCCACGACGGCAAACATTAGCTGCACGGAAATCATCCAGTCGAAAATGAACATATTCAGAAAACTCTTCGATGTCTTGAGCGGCGGGGGAAAGACTTACCCAATCTTCGATAAACCGGAGCTCGCCGGTCACAAGGCCACGTCACCACCTGAGTATATTTTATACTTCATGATCAGTGATGGCTCCTCCGTCTCCAATCTCCAGGTTTGATATCAGTAAAGTTATTGCATAGAAGATGCTCGATGAAATGCCACTAAGAGCTAAAGTCCAATTTTTTTTTTTTTGCTTCCTCTCAGATTGTGGTTGATTCTGCAATGTCGACTGTTCCAGCAACACAGCTTATGGCTCTAGGGACATGTATTGTAGCAGAAGGTGTGTTGAGACAACCATTAGCTGCTTCTACAAAACATGTGATTGAGCTTGAGGCAGAGAAGCTTCTTCACGTAGGTACAGTGGATCCAGAAAAGTATCCATTGTCTAAGAAACAACTTCCTCTCCATATGCTTAGAGATTTCTCTCACTTCAGGCCTCGCACAACAACAGTAAAACTACATTTCAACATTTTATCCAATATCACATATGATCTTAGGTCATAGACTCATTTTAGTGTTTTATTTGTTGGTGAAGGTTGGGTCGGTGACACGAGTCCACAGTGCGTTAACCTTAGCGAGCCACACATTCTTTCAATACAATGGATTTCAGTATGTTCAAGTGCCAGTTATCACAAGCACTGGATATGGAGAGATGTTTAGGGTCACTACTCTATTAGATGATAAAGAGGAGAAGAAGCATGTCAAAGAGAAGGAAGGATTTAGCATTGACACAGTAAAGGCTGCGATAAAGGAGAAGACGAGGCTAATCGATCACCTTAAGAGATCTGACAGCAACGGAGAAGCTGTGGTTGCTGCCGTACACGACTTGAAGAAAACAAGCGATCTTGCCTCGCAGCTTGAGATGAAACAGAAACCAAAGGCGTCATCAACTTTGATCAAACCTGAGAAGCTTGATATCTCGAAAGATTTCTTTGGTCGTGACACTTACCTGACTGTCTCTGGGAGGTTTCATCTTGAGAGCTATGCTTGTGCAGTTGGTAAAGTTTATACCTTTGGACCAAGATTCGTAGCTGACAAAATCGACAATGCGAGGCATTTGGCGGAGATGTGGAATGTGGAAACTGAGATGGCTTTCTCCGAGTTGGATGTAAGAAGATTACTTAAAACATTAGTTTTTTGTAAAAACTCCACAAAATGTTATAACTCGTTTTGTTTTTGGATATTACAGGATGCGATGGATTGTGCTGATGAATTCTTCAAGTTCCTATGCAAATATCTTCTTGAAAATCGTGAGGAAGACATGAAATTCATATCTAAACGAGTTGACAAGAGCATCGCCACACGTCTCGAAGCAACAGCTTCAAGTTCTCTTTTGAGATTCTCTTATACCGAAGCGATTAGTCTTCTACAAAAGGTTTAAATAACTCTCAGATTGTTCATTATCTACTGAATGTGTAGCTATATATTAATGATCGGACTCTGCAAAAACAGGAAACTAGTAGAACATTCGAGACCAAACCTGAGTGGGGCGTTGCTTTAACAGCAGAGCATCTCAGGTATACTCTGTTTTGCTTATGTGCAAATGCAATTGAGTCTTGGTACTGAAATTCGTCTGTTCACTGTTTAATGTTGCAGTTACTTAACTGATGAGATCTACAAGGGTCCTGTGATCATACATAGCTACCCCAGAGAGGTTAAACCGTTTTACATACGGTTGAATGATGATAAGAAGACTGTAGCAGCATTTGATCTGGTCGTACCAAAGGTAAATAAGAGAAGCCAAACCCAAAATCTTGAATGTTACAAAAGTCACTCAACTTTCTTTGCAGGTTGGTGTTGTGATCACTGGGAGCCAAAACGAAGAACGGCACGAGGTTTTAAATGCGAGGATTAATGAATTTGGAATCACAACAAGAGAGAAGTTCGATTGGTACTTGGATTTAAGGAGGCATGGGACAGTGAAGCATTCCGGAATTAGCTTAAAGATGGAACATATGCTTCTGTTTGCGACTGGACTTCCTGATATCAAAGACGCTATTCCTTTCCCAAGAAGTTGGGGCAAAGCTAACAATTAAAGTACCCTCAATGTTTTAATGTACAAACTCAGCTTCATCGCTATGTAATCTATGCAACATTACTTGGTGAAAGTAAAAAAAAAAAAGATAATTTGTGTATCCCAAATGTACACCTTAAGATAAGTTTGGCAGTAAATTAATTAAAGAGCTTAAAACGTAATTAATTAAGAAATAAATGAAGGGGGTCTATTGGAAACCCCGCCAATCACGCAGCGTTGTCTGTCTGTCACCACTTTACCACTCTTATCAAAGCTTCAAAATCTGCTCAATTCTCCGCAATCAGCTCCAAAGAAGAAGAAGATGGGGAAGGAAGACGACCGAGGAGAAGAGTACCTGTTCAAGATCGTACTGATCGGCGACTCCGCGGTCGGGAAATCGAACCTACTCTCTCGGTTTTCTCGGGACGAGTTCGACACCAACTCCAAGGCCACAATCGGAGTCGAGTTTCAGACGCAGCTGGTTGAGATCGAAGGGAAAGAAGTGAAAGCTCAGATCTGGGACACTGCTGGTCAAGAGAGGTTTCGAGCCGTCACTTCTGCTTACTACAGAGGTGCTTTTGGCGCTCTCATCGTTTACGACATCACCCGAAGCTCCACTTTCGAAAGCGTCAAGCGTTGGCTTCAGGAACTCAACAGTAAGTCCCTCTGCTTTGGTAATAGAACAAAAATCTGAGGAAATTGATATTTTTTGGCTGAAAGATTCCGTAAATTACTATTGCAAGTTTAAGATTATATTTTGCAAAATTTTGTTATATGTCCTTAACACTTTGTTTGTTGTTACGGCAAAGCTCATTGTGACACGGCGGTGGCGCAAATGCTGGTGGGGAACAAATGCGATTTGGAGGATATAAGAGCTGTGAGTGTGGAAGAAGGGAAAGCTCTCGCGGAGGAAGAAGGATTGTTCTTCATGGAGACATCAGCGCTCGACTCCACGAACGTAGACAAAGCCTTTGAGATTGTCATCAGAGAGATCTTCAGCAACGTCAGCCGCAAACTTCTCAACTCCGATGCTTACAAGGCCGAGCTTTCCGTTAACCGTGTCAGCCTTGTCAAGGACAGTGATGGCACCGAGAGCTCTTGGCGTAATCCCTCTTGTTGCTCAAGATGATTTTTAAAAAACCATCTTGTTTTCTTGATCTTGTTTCTATATCTATCTACCAGAGATAACATTATTATCATTGCAGACTTATATTAAAGATATTGAGGATGATAAATTATAGAGCAAATGACAACTTTGGAATCCAACGACTATATGTACATAGAGAGATGTATGTATAAAAATAACAATCATGGCTTCCGTAAAGCAGAACCTGCACCCATAACTACTGCTAAGACAAGGCCAAGACCGGCTCCAAGTGAAGCACCCACGGCTGCTGCTGACATGGAAGATGACTTGGGCTGTGAATTATCTGCTGCACGGCCTTTGGCTAGTTCCACCAACAGTCTGTCTCTAGCAAGTTCCTGAGGAGTTTCATGGAGAGAGAGATATAATAAACATTTGAAGCGACTTGGGGGGTTAATGGTAAAGCTAAGAGAGTGTGTTAATAATACCTGAAAGGAAGCTTCTTCTTGAGTTTGAAGGACACGATGGACAAGCTGGCAGAGGGAATTCACACCGTCCACTGGGAAAACAGTGTCTTTCCTCTGAAAAGGCTTTTTGACAAGGTCGAGTGGAGCGAATATCAGCTTCTGAGCACCTAACAATCCTTCATTACCCGCATTCACAGCTGCCCAAGGCAGTGAGGAGCTTCCAGAGGTAGAAATAACATAAGGGATAGAGTTGACAATCCCGGTTGTGTTTGGAGACGCTTGGTATGCATGGAGAACAGCTTCTATGATGGATTTCTGCTGATGGGCACTGACTGAGAACTTGTTTGTAATGGCCAGGACCCAAGGGATGCCCAGAGATTTGACCTCGTCTAACAGAAGAGAAAGTGCTGGTTGCTGGTGCTCTTGCTGTTGTTGTGTTGCTGAGTTTTGGTAACGTGGTATTCTGTGAGACAGATTGTGCACAAGGATAATTAAATCTATCTTTTTGCTTAGGTTACGAACTCCATTCCATAGCTCTTCTCTAAAGCGAGAAGCCTCTAAGTGCAACTCCTGCATCAGAATACCAAAAAGAATTTCAAGAACTCGAGAAAAAACGAAGTTAAAACTTGTAGAACCAATATATTAAGACAATAACCTGCAGGTTTACGCCTACTGTGTCGGAGTAGCAAACACCACCAACGATGCATTCTTGAACATCGGACTGTATCTGCAGATTCTCAACGTGGGTCATCGAACTCAGCATGGTTTGACCAAGTATTGCCCGGAACAGAGAGGTTTTACCAGCACCCTGCGCAGACAAACGATCCGGATTCTGTAAGTACATGCAGTATACGAGAGCAACGAAATGTTAATGACAATGAAACAAGAAACGGGGGTACCTCAAGCCCGAGTAATCGCACTCTCCGTGTTCTAACATCAACCTCCTTAGCTACAGTGGTGAAATCACTAGTACAGAATATATACAAGTCCTCCAAACCTTCAGGACGAACAAACTTGTCCTCTTGAAAAAATCCTAGACTGATACCTTCCTTCAGCAAACCGGTGTTTGAATCAACAGACGCGAACATAGGAACTATAGGATCTTCAACTAACTGATTGCTTGGAGGTCGCTTCAGAGGAGCTCCAATGGTCACCCTGATTTTCTGTAGTTCAGTCTGTTCTACGTTATCTGAAGAATAAGCAGGTGTTGAAGGGAAGGATTCCACAGTCGTTGAGCACCTGAAGAGAGTTAACAACTGTTATAACACGTTTATGTCATCAAATAGATAAGCAATAACGAATTATACCAGTTGCCATTCACTTGTGCATGCACAAAAGAGCACAAATGCAACCCAAATCCAGTGATATCAACTTTTAGAGGCTCTGCATTCTTATCACCAGGAACGCCGTTCCAGCCAAGAGGAGCGATAGAAGTGGCGGTTTTGATGACCGGTGATTCAACGATATGCCCAAGTTCTATACTACCACCAACAGCAAGTCCAAGCCACTGTTGTAAATGTGGAAACTGCTTTTGTTGATCCACCCCGAAAAATCCTTCAATATCCATGCAGAGGTCATGTATTCTACAGAATGAGAAAAAAAGGCATACCAAGACTAAGTCACCTGCTTACGCATGGATCAAGAAGTAACATGCCTAGGGTAAAGAGGAACTATCACCTCTGGAAGCGAGACCTATAGGATTTCATAGAATGTGACTGAAGACGTTCCCTCAGTTCGGTAATCACTGATCTGACCTGAAAATATCTTTGCCAGAAAAATGCAACCAAATAAGAGAGCCTCAACCACAAACTAAACATGAAGAAAAGCGTGACCAAACATTGAGCTTCAAGATATTAACGATTTGAATATACAACCACCTAAAGTTAGGTAGGGAACCCCAAACTCAGAGTTACTTGATCTAATATGCCTTAAATTGTTTGGATACGCTCACAAGTTGAGATTAATAAACACCTATAAGCAAAGGAAGCTCGTACCGATGTCAATTTAGAGTACTCTCCTTCTGAAAGTGATTCCACAGATGCAGTTCCCAAGAGATATAACTGTGATACGCAGAACAAACTTAATAAGCTGTTGATTTTATTTAAGGGAACAAAAATAGCATCAAAGTTGATGATTAATTAACACTGCCAATCGTGGCCTAATGCTGACAAATTCAAGCAGATTAAATAATATGGCATATGACATTTATGTATAAGTTAACGCATCTACCTGTCCAAATGGAACGTAAGAAGGTAAAGAAGGACGCCAGCTATTTCCAAACCCATTGGATGAATCGGTCTTGCCGTCACTCCTTCCATTATTTGTTTGTCCGCTACCAGTATCTGGCAATGGCTTGAGAGAGATACCATCCCTACCCTCTTCTATTTCAAGAGATTGTGGTTCAATAACCACGTCCTCAATAGGAGCCGACGCTACAGATTCATTTGCAGTAGAACTCTCTGCAGGATCCACTTGCTTTCCTCTATACCTGTCCAGTTGCTTCTTAACAGCCTCTAGGGGAACAAGTCTTGAAAGCCTCCAGAATGAGTTCTGAACAGGGCCAACACCAATGACTAACTGCTCATGTTCTTCACCTTTTGTCTTTTCTGCCTCTGAAGTTACACCCTGACCAGCCTTTTTTGAGAATGACGAATCTGTGGCTTCGGTCTGTCCAGCCATTGACACTCTTTGCTCATTGTAGTGATGAAAATATGCAGGAGATAATATTCTTGGGACCAAATCTTCAGGTATACAGTAGCTCTTGAAATAGTGATGCCACCCTTTTTCATGTACGTAACTGCAAAACGAGGTCAATAAAAAAAATGAGAATGCTCTTGCTAAGCCCAGCCGTATGTTTAACTAGTAGTCCAACAACGTACTCTCGCAACGCAGCATTCCCAACAGGCGGCTGGGAAAAGGTTATACATTTGACATGGACATTTCCATTTCCTTTCTTTGTAGAAGAGGCAGCAACAACCCTCAATATGGCCAGTGTAGCTAGTGCAGCTACCTATGCAAATACAAAACCCGGGAGTCAACTAAGAGAAGTCAGATGTAGACAATGAGCTACAAAGGTAAGTGAAGCTAAAGCAATCAGACTTACAGCTCCACCAAGTGAATGTCCACATAAGACAAGCTTTCGTTTCTTTTTCTGAGCAAGTCTATACAGTTCCAGAGCAGGTATCCCCTTAGCACGAGCCAAGAATCCCTGGTTGGATAAATTGTAAGCAATAAAGACTTACTTTAAACCTTGCATAAAATAATAGTGTGCTGAAGATACAAAACAATAGAAAAGCAGTTTACTACAGCGGCGTCACAAGCATACCCGATGAGCAGCAGGTATGGGCTTCTGTCTGCGTTGATTAGCCTTTGAACTAAGAGGATTCCGCAGACCCTCTCCATTACTCTTGAGTGGTTCACTTTGTAAAGGTACAGATGCTGCGACGCATTCATCCTCAGCCACATCATCGTGAAATATGTGACCTTGAAGTATATTTGCATCTGCCATAATGTCCCTAAAGCACACCCACGAATGAGAACACACCTTTTACATCTGAACTATATTGTTTTCCAAGGGAAAAAAAACTCCAAGACTTACTTATATTGCTTAGTTCCAACAAATGATGCAAACAATGTATCCCCTGCCTCAGCGAGTAGATACCTGCATAAAGATTAAGTTAATTTGCACATAAATGAAACCAATTTTGGCATTTTCTTGTAAAAAAAGAACAAACTTTTTATTTGATCAACAAACTTATTATTTCATGAAAAAAGCATATGGATTCTATTAACAAACAAATCTAAAACCTACGCATTATTCTTAAATTTCTTTTTGCTGACACAGCCTCATCAAAAGCATATCCATATTAAAATTCTGTATTCAAACTGAGACACAAATGCAGCTCAGGATTCGAAAAAAAAAAATCCAGAAAAAAACTAAGAACCAAAGAGCGAAAACTACAATAAAGGAAGTATAAAAATCTTTCCAACCGCAAAGAGATGTAAAAAAAAACCTGTGAGGAACGTGATCTGATGAAGATTGAACTCTCTCCAAGGAAATAAATTGGCCACCAAAGTCCGCTTTAAATTTGTTTACAGCTCTTACCATCTCACTCGCAGGTCTCTATCAGAATAAAACCTCCACCAAATTAACAATGCAATAGCGTAAACAGAGCTTCTCGTTACAAGTGATAGATCGAGAAAACAGAGAGACCGAAATGTAAAATGTGTTCAATTGAAGTTCTTATATCCACACTGTACACCTAAACCAACCTTCGAAGTAACTAAAAAAACGTCTTAGTTGATCAGCAGTTAAAACTGTTAACTACAACTAAAGATTAAGCGATAGTCTTCATTTGCAAAACGTTGATGCTAACTATAATTATATTGGTTAACCGTAATCCGAGGCTAGATTGATTTAAATTTTTGCAATGGTTAACGAAAATGTCAATGATGATTGGTTTACCTTGTAAACACACTCGGAGAGCACCATGCAACAGAGTAAGTCCTGCAAATCTTCGACAGACTCTGATTTAAGGGCGAGGCAAAGATCCTGAATTTGCTTTTTGCGCTTCTCGTACTCCCGGCGGATCTTAATCCTCTGATCGGCATCCTCTCCGTTCCACGGTGGCCAGCGAAACCTCCATTGAAGTGGGGCCCAAGAGACCCGTAGGAACTTCGCCCTCTGGTCTCTGATCCACGATTCCACTCGGCTCTGTATCGACTCCATTTGCTATATTTAATTTAATCGAAACTCAATTCCGCCGATGATAACTTTTTCGAGCATTTTGGGAAACGAGTAGGATTTTTCAAAATGGAATGAATAATTCAAGGTGAGATGTGAGAATCGAAGGAGAGGAAGCGCCTTTCAAAGATAGTAATGTTATGTTTTTATGTAGCAGAGAGGGATGACGACGATACACTGAAAGCAATTGAGCATCGAAGGCATATGCGCCTCCATCACTAAATCTTGGAAGTTGCCTATATTTTCTTGGGCTGTCTAAGTGGTTTTAGTTACTGGGCTTTAGGCCCATTTTGTAGAGATTGTCAAGTTGTACAGAAACAACACGGAATGAGAGAAACACAGCACTGATCTCAAGCAAACTAATCTTCTAAACTTAACAAGATCCTAAGAACGACCGTTGAAGCCCTCGACCAACCAAACCAAACCAAACCAACATCTCGTGTAACGAAGAGAGACAAACTCTCAAAAGTCAAAACCAACAACCAAAACGTTCTGAATCATTTAATGATAAGTTTAGATGAAATACAATTCATACATTGTTGTTCCATTTTTCAGTAGCGTTTATTGATTTGTTTTTTAATTGAAAACATTTTCCTTTCCATTTCGAAATATTTTCTAAAAAAATGGAAGGACAAGCAAATAAAATATCTATGATCTATGTATGGGTGGAAATAGTCCACTACCACTAGTGAAAGGGCTTGCACGCAGTTATTTTAAGTAGATAGGATGATGATAACAGTAATGGTCCATACAATCCAATATAACTCTCTCAATAATGTGGTGAAGAAACAAAAAAAAAGAGTAAATGACTCTAACTCTAAACAGGTCTCTAAAAAAGTATGCTGACTCCATTATTGTGCGGTAAAAAAGGAATACGTAGGAGAAAAGAGAAGAAGATGATCACATTCAGAAAACAAGTACACTACCCAACAAAACCAAAATTCCCAAATTGACCCCGAAATTTACGCTCGTCGTCATCGACCCTGCGTTCCCCGGCCTTCCCGCCTGTCCCGGAGTAGTCGGCGCCGGAGAGGCTCCCGGAGCAGGGCTCGTAGCGTTGCCGGTGAGACTCAGCACGCCTTTGGACTTCAAATTCGCCGGCATGAATGGATGCACTCCCGGAAGACCGTTGGTCACATTCCCGCCGAGCTGCCACACCTGATTCACACTTTTGGCTCCCGGCGGAACCTTAACCGACGTGTGAATCGCGATCTCACCGTTCAGGTAATCGGCTCTTAGATCCCAGTACTCGAAGTCGAGTCTCCCTTCCATGAGACTGTACTCACTGATGTTGTACGTCTTCACGACGGGAGCCACACCGGCTCCAGATCTGTAGGCGAGGAACGCCTGAGAACCGCTCATGTTAGTCCCCGTCGGATTGATAGCCCAAGCGACCCAACCGCTGGCTTGAGATGGAGTGGCGACGAAAGCGACGTGGAGAGACGAATTGGAGGCGTTGTAAGTGTAGTGGAGGAAGGAATCGAGATGTGGAAGTGCCAGGCAATTCTCGAACGGAGTTTTTCCGGCGAATTGTACATTCGGAGTAGAGCAGCTTTGTGAAATCGCCGGTGAGATTAGAGAGACGAAGGAAACGACGGCTAAGATAAGAAGAAGAGGAGAAGATGAAGGAGAAGCCATGGCTGATGGTGTTTGATGAGACACTTGGAGAATGCAAATGTTTATATAGACGGTGAAGATTAAGTGTGAGACCCTGAAATGATGGAGGTTGATTCGGTGCACCGATTCTACGATTAGGGAATCAGTGAGAGCCGTTGGGATGATGCCACGTGTGGAGTTGACCGCTTAGATAAGAAAAGTCACGTTTGGGATGTGAATTTGGTTTTGCTGAATAAAAGTCGGATGTGATATTAATACATAAGGTAAGGAGGAATTTGGGTAGAGCATGTGGAGAGTGCGTGTTCTTGCGGAAGTTGACTGCAAGTGGCGTCTCTGATATTTTGTTATTATTTTTGTCAACTTTTTTTTTCTTCTCACTGTTCATTTGGGATTTTGTTCTCAGTCAAATGAGTTGAAAATGAATTAATTGTTTACATGCATGACTTTTACTTTTGAGTTTCGTTGAAAAATGTATGAAAATGCGTATGATGGTGTATTGGTGTATATACGTGTTTAAAATGAAAATCTTAGTTTTGAAATTAAAATAAAGAACATGGTATTTCGAATATGAAACTCACAAAGCCGACACGATAAAAAGTGGGCATTGTAAGTGGCCACTGTGAGCTATGTAATGAGAACATGAATCTTTTTTAAAAAAACTACATGTTTTTGCTAGTTACAAGACAATTTACAAACTTACAAAATCAATTTCTAATTTGAAAAGGAATGTGTAGGGACGAAATTTTTGATTTTTCTCCAAATGACAATGTCGATAACGTTGAAAAAAGGGTGATATCGGAATTTTCTTTATGTCATTTCATGTGAACTGGAAATGAGCCAGTATTTCGTTTCATTTCTTTGTTGTTTTGTGGTTTTTTTGGCTTTTCTTTACTTTCCTAGTTGTTGGGCAACTTTGAATATATACCGATGCCCGTCTCCCTCAGTTACTCTTTTTGGCATTGTCTTTTTTAATTTACGTTTAACATTTGCAGGTGTGATGACCATAAAAAGAGATGAAATTAAAAAATCAGCCAAAAAACTAGTTATCATATTTTATATATATATTTCTGACAACAAAAATATACTCTTTATAAAGTTTGCTATTATATCCTTGTTTCTCATGGTAAAAGTCTTTTTCCGTTTTATTTTACTACAACGTAGTTTTTTTTTCTGTATATGAAAAGACTTTTTCTGTACACAACATTTTTTGAATGTTTTTTAACATATTAAAAAACGTGGATGTATAATGCTTAATTACTATGTCTTCTGCATAAAGTGCAATCTTCTTATATTATATAATAAGATTTTTATACCAAACGAATTCACTTTTTTTCATTGTCTCTTGTTATTTGATTCTATAATCAAATCTTTTTAAAATTAGGCATATAGACCCCATATGATCAAATTGTCAATACCAAATGTCTGCAAAATGTTCCCGGAATTCTCTTTAAATTAATATCTCTAGGTGAAAAGTCGATGTTCTTTTCGTCAATACAAAAAAAATGGAAACTGTCCTCCCATTTTTCCGATTTTTCACGAGATGTAGACAGAACATAGGGAAGAATACATTAAAAAGGCTGCTTACATAAGCATTATTGCATACGTGACGTTTGTTTATGCAGTCCTTATTATGTATATCTTGTTCACGTGGTTTGTGGAAAATATAATGCTGTCCTCCTATATTTATCGTATGTATTCTGAATTTCTGATATTTATATCAGACTATAAAAAAATGTTTTTGCTTAGATATTTTAAATATTACGATATGTACAATTAACATCAATTTTGAGCAGGGATATGGATGGGGCGAGAAACAGATACACAACAAACGGGGAACAAATAACATTGGTAATGAAAAAGAAATTAAAATAATGGAATTCTGTCAACAATTGTTTTTGTAACTTGTCTAGATTTTTCTTTATTTGGCATCTACCTATCAGTCCTCTTATATTATTAAACCGAAAGTCTAAGTTCACATTAATATACGTTTTCAAACTTTTTATACATTATTATGAAAACAGAGAAAGAAACATTCCGAAGGTAGAAATTTAATAGCAGGCTGTAACAATCAAATAGAAACACAAACACAAACATATGTAATTAAATAAACAATCAACACCTAATCCCAACAAAAGCATGCAAAAATCCTATCCAAAAAGGAGAGTAAAACAAAGGATGCATCCCAAAAAATGGGAAGAAGAAGATTGGTTGAAAAAGAGTTAGAAGAAATTGCACACGCTTTAGTCTAGTCCTTCCGATTTTGGTAAGAACGTCATTAGTCTATAATCATGGCTGCCCACTCTATGGATTAAAGTGCCAAACACAAATATTCAATTCTCCGTGAGCTCATTGTTTCCATGTATATTATCTTCCTCGTTTCGTGTCTTACAATTTTCACATCTGTCTTGACCAATATCAAATAAATTTATCATTCCATACTTTGAATAATGATCCATTACTATTTACTAGTATGTGTTTGATTGGCCGAGGTTACTAACTCAACCAGATGGATCTAAAGTCAGTTTTGGGTGAAATCGAGCCAAGTGTTAAATTTGAGAACCAGTTTCGGAGAGGGAGATTATTTACACAACCTGGTGACAGAAGCTTCTTCCAACAAATACCGATTAGGCGATTATCATTATGAGCTAGGTAAATATTTCTAAGCATGAATTGACCTTAATTAATTAACGTAGATAAAAATACAACACTATTTTAAGCCGAGCCTAGCTGGGCTAATACCTCATTCAAAATTTAAATCTAATGGGCTTTGGGCCTGTATTTACGTAAACATTCATATTGTATTAAGCCCTGCAAGGAACAAGGCGACGCCGTTTAGGCTTAAACTTTTCAATCCGGGTTTTTGTCCCAAGTCGTCGGGCTGACCCGGTAAATTAAAGAGTCTTCCATTTCCATCGATAACCGATTCTTTTAAAAATTCAATTACCCTTTTTGCTTTTCTTCTCTTCTTACTTCAAGAAATTTCGCGGTTTCGCCTAATCTGAAAAACACTCCGGGAGATTCTACGGACGCGTCGCCCGCCGGAGGAAGATAGAGAGGAGTAGCAAAGAAGAATCGATTCGTTTTCGGTCGGATTGGCTTCGATGGTTTTAGGCGCGGTCTCCGCCATGGCGGCAAACCAAGCCGAGCGGTTAAAGGAAGACGGTAACAGTTGCTTTAAGAAAGAGCGTTTTGGTGCGGCTATTGATGCTTATACCGAGGTATATGATTCTCACTACCTTTTCACTTTCCTTCCCTCATTTCATCGTTAGGGGTTTTTGCTTTCTGGGCGTATCCCTAGAATTTGATTTAGATCCGCGTGGAGGAATAAACCCTTTGATAGAATCTCGAAATTGGACAATTCGTTTGTACTGGAATCCTAATTTCATCCAAATTCTGCTTATATGGAGTGTATTCAGGAATATACTATTCGTTAGAATGTTTACGGTTGGATTTTATGAATCTTGTGTTCATCTATTAGTTATCAATTTGCAGAAATGTTGACTTCATCGAGTAGTTACGATAGAAAAGTTGAATGCCTTTTCATGATTTTCTTATCTTTTTGTGATTTGAAGGCGATAACCTTGTCTCCAAAGATTCCTGTGTATTGGACAAACCGAGCTCTTTGCCACATGAAGCGAAAGTATGTATGTTTTTGGCAAAAAAAAAATTATACTTCTGATCAGTTCTTATGCCTAAATAGTTTACTGTTCGTACTGTTGTTTATACTTGGCTTGTTTGCTTGTGGATGGCTGGCATCAAATCTAGAGATTGGACTAGAGTCGAAGAGGATTGTCGCAAAGCTATTCAGCTTGACCACAATTCCGTCAAGGTTTGATTCTTTTGTTCTGTGTGCTTGTATATGGAATATCTTTGTATTGTTCGTCTTCTTTGTTGGCATTCTTTGATCCTTTCACCTCCCTCATTTGGGTATTATTCACCTATGTTCTGTGGCAGGCCCACTACATGCTAGGACTTGCATTATTGCAGAGCAAAGAATATGCTAATGGAGTTAAAGAGTTGCAAAGGGTATGATCCATGTTTGTCCCTAAGCTTTGCCTTTAAAGGTTTATTAGTGGATATGATTTTCTTACGCCATAACCTTGACTACTAAGTAGTTTAGCTTACAAGCATGTTAAAGAAGATGTTAGGTACCACTTGAGTCCCCATCTATCTGGATACTATGAACATTGGTTTTGGCGCGAGGGATGTGTTAGTTTGTTGTAATCACCAGTTGCTAAAGAACAATAGTTTTGATAAACCTTCATGTGTCTACGTTTTATATAGGCTTTAGATCTTGGAAGAGGCGCAAATCCAACGGGATATATGGTAGAAGAAATATGGGAAGAGCTTGCTAAAGCAAAATACATGGAGTGGGAACTGGCTTCTGCGAGGCGGTCGTGGGAATTGAATAGTTTAAAGTAGGTTCTGTCTATCTCTTAATCCATTGCAAACATTCTACTTGGTACTATGCTTCACTGTGGCTTTATGGAAATATTCATGTCCGTCTCAGGGAAACTTGTGAGGCAGCTCTTAATCAACAACGTGCTTTGGATATGTCTCGAACAGAAGAGTCTTCAGAAGAAGCTTATGCTTCCCATACTGAGCAATTGAAAGCCCTTGATCGAGTGTTTGAGAGAGCTGCAGAAGACGACAAACCAACTGAGGTGCATTAACTTGTTCTTTAAAAGCCTTTTATAAGAAAGACCCATCTTCTGTTAAATAACATTATGGGTCATTTGCTTCAGGTGCCAGATTATCTGTGTTGCAACATTACTCTGGAGATATTCCGAGATCCTGTGATTTCACCAAGTGGAGTTACATATGAGAGAGCAGCAATCCTTGAACATCTTAAGAAGGTTTGGCATTGAGCATTGTTACTTCTCTCTCGTTTGTTTATCTTTCACTCATGTTAAGGTTTGGTCGTGTAAAACGCTTGATAGGTGGGGAAGTTTGATCCAATAACGCGTGAGAAAATGGATCCGTCGAAGCTGGTTCCAAATCTGGCAATCAAAGAGGCAGTGGCTGCTTATCTAGAGAAACACGTCTGGGCTTACAAAGCGGGTTCTTGATTCAAATGGGGTTTTAGCATACACACTACACAATGAAGCGGAAGAGAGAAAGTCGAGATCGAGTTTAACTTACTCAGTGACTGAACAAAACAGACAGATGCGTTTACTTTTTTTTTTAGTTTCGTGTGTGTTTTTGCTTGCCAGTGTTTCCAGTGTATGATTCTCTGCCGTGTATATATATTTGTTCTTCCACACATCGGCCATACCATTGAGCCTATAACACAGTCAAAATCAGAATCATACATAATGCAGTTCCTCTACAGTCTCAACCATATGTGGGCCTTGCATGTATTAGATTAGAGACTACATCTCATATATACGTATTGTCTTTGCTGAAATATGGTTCGTTCAAAATCTCGTTTAGAATTTGGTACACTGGTTCAAATTCACAAAAAAAAAAAAAAAAAAAAATGTGGTAAATAACAGGAAAAGTATTGACATAAAACAGAGAAGCCCATGGTTTATAGAAAACTAGAGAAAAAAAACAAGAAAATACAAAAAAAGGGGATGAAGTTTATTAATTGATCCATAGAAAGCAATAGTTCGAATACCAGAGGTCCAGAGCGGGTGAATAAAGTCTTTTTAGTCCAGAATATTTTAGACATAAAAAACTAATACACTATTTTGACCAAAAAAAAAAAACTAATACACTACTACAGTACTACTACTTGATTAAGTAAGTATTGTTCTTATAAGGCAATTAATAAAAATGATGAGATTGAGATACTCAAAAGTAAAACATGAATTCTCAATTCTGCCTAATTATAAGGCGGATATGTTGGGTACTTGAATAGAGAGATAAAAACTATTTTCCTTGTATATATGATTCCACTGGGGACATGTAAAGAGTAAACCCACCAATGTGGATTATTAAGATTCCTTTTCTTTTTCCGGGAATTGTTTTCGATCCGTAGAATAAAAATCCATTTATTGTAAAATTTTACTTCTTGCGGATAAAAAGTTGAAAGAATCACATTCTTTCTTTTCTTGGCTTTTCTGTGAAAGTTGGGTGAGGAAACACCAAAAGAGTGGTTTAGGACGAATCCATATTCTATCCTCTCTATTAAATATTCCATTCCCAACTTTCTTCATCACTCCATGTATTGACTAATCTTTACGAATCACGAGTTTTTGCCGATTTCGTGATTCAATTCTAACTTCTAAGCAATCCAACAAACGAAACAACGTGTCATTTTACTCATGTCTTAAAATTCAAAACGATCTTTTACATTTAATAAATTATACTTCAAATATACTATTTAATCAATAATTTTTTAAAAAGATAACACACGACAAGAAGACACATTGCTTTTTTCTTTTCTTTTTTGATAAACAAAATAAATCACATCAGAATATTGAAACTCGTGACTCTGTAATAAACTCTCTTTTTCTTCCAGAGAGAGTGGAATAAGATTGATTTGTTTTGTGGTTGTGTGTCTGTGTGATGTGAACTTGTGAAGAACACGACATGACAGCCTTTCTATATATTTTAACAATAATATACTTATACAAGACGAAAGCTACACAGTAACTTGTTGACCAAGATATATTCACAGCTGAATAAAGCCAAAATTGATTTTATTGATTCTTCTTCCACAGAAAAACATCAAACGAAAAAACTATTCACACAGGTTTCTCCTACTTACAACCTCATATACGAAAACCTTATATATATTATCCAGATCCTAAAGATATAAATAATTTACAAAAATTCGGAAATCGAACCCAAAACAAAAACAAAACAAAAAAGCAAAAGATTTATATAATTTACATTACGGAATTTCAGGCATTCTCTCAGGCTGTGTGAGTAAGATTCATAGCTTTTCTCAGCCTATCCAAAATCCCATTCGCTTTCCTCTGTGCCCTAGAAGTTCCTTCCCGCGCAAGCTTTGATATCGTTCCATGACTACTCTCCTCTTCTTTGATCTCCTTCCACTTTGTCCTGTCGCTGAAACATATAGTGTGCAGTATCACAATCGCGTTCTCTTTGTTTCGTTTGCACTCGCTCTCTCGAGTAATCTTCAGCAACCAAGTAACCCCACCGAGGTCACCCAACTCTTCCACAGCCTTCCAGTGAGTAACAAGCATTGCCAATATCGCCAAAAGCTCATCCACATACATCCCATTTGAGATCTTCTTCCCTAAAATCCTAACAGCACCGTCCTTCACGGCTCTACTCCTGTTCTCATGAGCAATACACAGAGTAAAGATCGCTGCAGCTACATCCTTAATAGCCAATGGATTCCCTTCATCAAGGAGATCAATAAGCGGTTTCAAGATTCCGGATTTCCCTATAAGTACTTTGTTCGAATCCAGCGCCGAGAGAGTGAAGATCGCAGCAGCTGCATTGCTTCTCGTGGCTACTGTTCCGCGCCTCAATGCATCGATCAGGAGAGGAATCACGTTAGGGTTTTCGCAGACGAGCTTCTTGTTGCTGTCATCGTGTATGGATATGTTCAACAATGCTGTGACCACATCTTCTTGAATGTGCTCGTCCGGGTTTGACCCGTGTAACAACGGGTTCACTAAGCGGGTGATTCCATCTGAAGACTCGCCGAAGAGAGCTCGAAAGTCCGGTCCTTTCTTGGTCAGAAGTCTTATCTCTTTAGCAGCTGATTTTTGATCTTGAAGGTTGGAAGAAGAGACCTTACAGAGCAAGGAATTGAAAACCTCACGATCTGATCTTGTGACAGCTTCTTTATTGACAAGGTTGGAATGATGATTGTTCGTCGGCTCTATCCCAATCTTCTTGCACCATTTTGAGATCATGTCACGGATTAAGAGATTTGGAGTTAAACCTGCGTGAGGCAGAACTTGCTGAGTCTTGGGACATGTTCTGTTCCCTGCGCTCAACCATTTCTGGATGAACAACTTCTCGTATGTCTGCGAACACACACACACAAAATGAAGTCTCAATTCAACTTTACTTATTATCACACAAGCGAGGGACTTTCAAGAAGAAAATGCAGAGTTATTTTGAAAGATCAAATTTTTTCTTTCATTTCCATGAAAATGTCATCACTTTGAGATCTCAATTGGTTCAAATTACAGATTTTCTTTCCTACCGACAAAAAGCAATAAAATTTCCATGAAACCTGAGGCTTCGAGTCGGATTTTCTTCATCGGGCGAGAAAAACAGAGGAAAAGTATCAAAGCCAATCAAAATCCCCCCCAAAAAAATCCAAAATTTTCAGTCACCAACCTAACAGAGAGAGAGAAACACGAAAGGGAAAATTTCAAAACCGTAGAAGGAAAAAAAAAATGAAATCGGAATGTGACGTCACTGACCTGACCAGAAGCCAAGACGACGGGATCCCGCATGAGCTCGTTGGAGAGAGGACAGCGAAACTCCTCAGGACAAGACACTGTCTCGAGCATCTCCAGAGAAGATGAAGAATTCGCCATCTTCCTCATCGTCGCATGTTTCATCGCAGACAGAGCCTCCTGCAACCGATCGATTGTCTGAACGCTCAAATCACCCTCTTCGTCGATGTTCGTAAGCAGTTTCTGCATCTCGCGTTTCAATTCCTTGGCCTTCGCAATCGCCGTCGGATCCGAATCGAAAACACCAGTCTTCGCCATCTCCGTCGGATCCACCGCCGCCGGTACTCACCAAACCCTTCTGTGATTATGTTGCCGAATTTTTCGAAATTAATTTCGTTCATTCATTTTAATTTAAAAAAAAAAAAAACAATCTTCTCTATACGGAAGAGAGAGAGAGAAATATGAGGAGGAGGAGAGAATAAGGGGAAGTATTAGTGTTGTAGTGTAGTGCTTGCGACTCTAATAAAAATTCTGGCCCCGCACCGAATTTGCCAATTGCCACGTCATTATTCATTCGTAATTAGTTGTTCTAAAATTCGTAATTAGAAAATTTAATACTGCAGCACGTATGACCTACTTCGCGACTTAGGTGTCAAACTACAGCCGACACGAATAGTCTCTCAGTAGACTCATACACGTTTTGGGAACTTCCGTAATTATAATTAAATTTCACGAATTTTAAAATTAGATATGCATGTAAATAATTGACTACAAGATCTTTTCTATATGTAAACAATTTATTCAAAAAAATTAGACTGAATGAATATTCGAATGTACTAAAAAAAAATTGGAAAGACGGTAAAGGCGGCGAGGAAGTTATTTGTTTGGCGTTTGGTTTGGGGAGGAGTGTGAGAGTCTGAGTAGAGTGTGGGACCCAATGAGTTATTCCAACATGGCAACATGGGAACAGCTGTCTTTCCGCGTGGATTCTCTCCTACTCTTTTCCCTCTCTCTCTCTCTCGATATTTCTGACTCTATGTTTCTTCTCTGACCTTTTTACCCCTGTCGTTTTCCACAATTTTCTCAAATAAATTACTAGAAAAGAAACATGCAAGTGTTGTTATCATAGCTTTCAAAGCGTGATTGGATGAATTTTTATTTATTTTACTATTTTCCCTTGATTGGATCATGAACTAAAGAATGCGCACCAAAATGATTTTTTAAAAATATATCAGGAATGTTAGGTCTTGAAATTAACTTCTCACGATGCTTTTTTCGACTTTCTAATACTATCATGTCTATAATTCTATTATGGAACATGGTGACACCATGAGAAAAAAAAGTCAAAAGTTAAGGAAGCAACCTTTTCCATAGAGATTATCACCATGAGAAATAATTCTCTAATTTACTTTGCATTATGGAACATTGTTAGGATAGTGCTGGCTTCAAAATTGAAGTTTGTTCTACAAACAAAAATACATAAAGGTTTAAATTAATAAATGAAATACTGGAATTAGAAACGTGTATGAATATGTAATTACGTGCTTCAGAGGAGTAGGGGCCACTCATCTGCAAACACAGAGAATCTTACAAGTGCCAAGTTGGACTGCTGCTCACTTATCAGCTTACGTGGGACCTTTTAGCCCACGTGTCAATTTCCAATGCCCTCATCATCTTCGAACTGTCTTTTTTTGTTTTTCCTGCTTGCGAGACACAGACACATTTGCTTTCCGAAATTATTATCTTTGTTTTTTTGGTGTGATAACAACACTCTTTTTATTTTATTATTTTGACAACTGTGATAACATCATAACAACACGCTTATCTACAACAATGAACATTTAATTTCCAAAATTTTAATACTAACGTAATTGAATCTCTTGAAAAGAAAAATAGCTTCAGCAATCAGAATGTACAGCATTTGTAGAATCATCGAACATCAGGCATTCATGCGTATAATGTAATGTACAGGTAATAATTTATACCTTAGTACATACAGTATGTAAGACTGTAAGTTTTTCTGGACGGATTTGATTGTTGGCATATGTAAGTTGTAGTTTTCGTTAACAAAAAAGAATGAAATGTTGTCCAAAGGAAAACAACACGTACTATACAAATACAGCTGGATATATATTAACCCTTTTGGATATTTTGTGTGTTTTCTGTTTTGGCAAAAAATATTTTCAAGTTTTCATGTGTATATTCCCAAATTACATCGCCATTGTTTTGTCGGCGGGGTATCGATTGAAGATTCAAGTGGAGAGTGGAAACCATGTCGAAATTTTTGTTTTGATAAAGCTCGTTTTTTTACTGTATTTAGCCCACGTATACTTCAATAATTCAAAGGTATATTGGATTACTTTTTGGATATCAGATTCGTATTTGACTATTTTATTTCGTACATTATAAAAGAACATACATCAATATTTTCAATACAGAAGATCATTAATGATGTTTGGACGTACTCGTAAACCAATTAAAGTGTTGTAAGATAGAAGACAAGACCAATAATTGAGAGAAAATATAAATACTACAATTTTCATATTTTATGTTATGTGGAACATACTTAAAAGAGGCCCATTTGACACATGTTTTTCTTTGTCAACAACCGATAAGTTTTGTTTTTGTTTGCGAGCAAACAACCTCTATTATCTTTATGTTATCACTTCGTACGTTACGATATTTTAAGGTAAAGATTAAGTCTCTTGTTGTTTTAAGCATAGAAATTTATGTGAACATGGTCTCTAGGCAATAGCATACATGGTTGGATAAGCTCGCATTCGTTGACATATGTATTCCTCTTGTTTGATATAATACACAGATAAAGGACTACCATATGTTAAATTAAGTCTAACAAGACATACATTCGAATGTTTATGCTTCAAAATCTGTCCTAATCCCTTGTAAAACAAATAATTCCATGTCACAGAAGAATGAAGTGTAACAGGCCGATAAACAATTGGGGTTTGATGTTACAGGCCTCACTGAAAAGATAAACCCACCCAGCTGATGTGTTATATTGTATCCAAAATATGACATTTGCATTGTTTGTGATTTAGGAAGCCCTAAATAGGATGCAAAGGACAAACCTCACCTTGAGGCCCGGTTGATAGTCGAGACTAGAGGATCCCATACTCTTGTTTATTGAGCCCACATGGCCACATGTCTTCTGCTGCAAGCGAATGGAAGACAAATTTCAGAAGCCTCGAGAATGAAATTTTGAATGATCAGATATCATCCTTTATTTTCTTCTTCCACAGTTTTCTTCGTACTGTAAATAATTAGCGTAGCGAAACAGGCCTCCCTAATCCCTATATGGTACTCTCTTTTTTTTTCTTTTGAACATTACCTATTATCCTATATATGGCACTCTTCGGACAACAGATATGATATCATAATCGGGTTTGGCTGGCTTGTATAAGCGTTGAGTGCACTTGTTTTACATTTGACCATATAATATAGAAAAAACAAAATATCCACCACTCTTTCGTTTGTTTCCTAGAAGAATCATTATAAGAACTATTGTAAATCAAGTAAACAAAAGGAGACCCAGGAAACAGTAAAGAAACAAAAGAGACATTTGGAAAAATAAAAACGTGGAGAGGTGAGAGACCCCACAGCTTGACTGCCCCTTCCCTCATTGGGCCACTTCAGTTTCTCTCTCATTCTCCAAAGGCCATTTCTTCTTTTTTTTTATTCTTTCTTTTTTCCTTTCTACGTTCGTCTTTTCCTTTTTTGGTCACACACATAACCTATCGTTTGTTGCTGTTTTAAGTCTTTAAGAGGTAGATAACCGATAACCAAAAACGTTGGCAAATAACAAAAACCTATAACCAAAATGTATATATATATTTTTTTTTTCAAGTAATAAGTGTATTTACATACTGATTCAAGCTATGAAATATGAACATTTTAACTAGAGCGCATATTTTTTTGTAATGTTTCTATGTGCGTGGTAGTTGGTACCACATTTATTGTGACGATGTTTACTGATTTTGACCAAACGTTTTAGGTATACACTCGTATACTTTTCTAAGACTGGAATCAGAGCATATAACATGGTTATGTTGCCAATGTCCTTCGATCATGTATTGTTGTTTAATTTAAACCCTGCTTTTGATATTTAAACTACAACATATGGATTTGGTAATACTGTTTTATAAATTGTTTATAGATAGGTTGGTTTTTGATCTGTTATCACAACAAATCATTAGATAAAAGATATCAAAACAGTAAGGAGATTGGATGAACTTGATAGTTTAGATACTAAAATAGTTCTGAACAAGTATGAAAATTTGACTAGCTAGATCAATAAACAATTACTATCATTGAGTATATGAGAATTGAGATAAACTCTGACCAACTACATACATATGGAATGACTCGTTCGGCGAATGAGTCGTGATATTTCAAACCTACCACTATAATCTTTCTCGGAAATGATACAGTTCGATTTGCAGCATCACATGATTAATTAATTAATGGATAAGTGGATAACGAAATCTGGTCTGAAAAAGAAAAACCGAATATTCGCATATAACAAAAGAATAAAAACAAATATTAAAATATATTGATAAAACGTTATCTTATTCCACGTGCTCCAATTTTTTTTAATCCAACTTTTATTCTCTATACAGTGGCTTTTATCAGGTGTGGTCTTTACTAGACGACAAACCCATGCGCCTAGACCTGGACGTGACCTCTTACGCAATGTCACATTCAATGTACGCGACAACTACGTTACGTGTCACCGCCACGTGGACACAAACTTGATATAATACATTATCCTCTGTATCAAATTTTCACGTCCATTTGATAATTGATATGGCCTTTTACTATTCAATCTTTGGATCTGACTCATGAATTAAGATCCGACGGTTATCAGTAAATCCTTATCTACGTGGCGGTCGCAGTTGATAATTACTCCTAAAATGTTCGTTTGTGTTCTCTTCACAATGTTCATTTTCCGCGTAGAATTTGTTCTTCTTCGTAAAATCTAGATTTTTTTCTGGCTTTAATTTGTTTGTTTTATCTTAAAAATAAGTTCAGACAAATAAATGAATTATTTTATTTTCTAAGATTACGGAAAAATTCCGAGTTAAAAACTAACACGTGGCTTTTATCTTTTAATTTTATCGAGTCCGAACAAATAGAGGGCCACCGACGGCATTATCGAAACCGATGGCGCGACACATGACGGTGTTAACGGCGGGAGTCGACGGCGTTAAGTTCGCGGTGCGTTTGTACGGACCAAGCCACCGCGTCTGCATATAACGATTCTTCCGCCACGGCGGAAGCGTGAGGCCGCGGCTCTTAAGCGACATCCTCGCCGCGTCGCACACGAGTCGAAGGATCTTCTTCAGATCGTCCCCTCGTCCGACGAAAACCGCCGGGAGAGATTGAAGCACACGTGCGTACTGTGCCGTCGGTCTCGCGATCTGGAAATGAGACGCAAAATCTAAATCGACGATGTAACGGACGGTCTGCGACGAAACGGAGGCGGAGGGAGTATGCACGACGTCGATGAACTCGTGGTTACCGGCGGTGAGGCCGCCGGAGGTTTTCCATTTGGTTTTACAAATGGCCGCATTGTGACCCAGCTCTCTAAGAATAGACATAACCTTACGCCTTAAAACGGCACGATGTTCGTGATCAGATCGGAGAGACGACAACACTTCCATCGCTCTCGCCACGTGGATCAACACCATTCGTCCGTACGAGTCTTCCCGGAGAGAGTTCCTGAGAGTTTTCGCGATATCGTCGGCGAAATCAGGGAGCTCGACTTGTTCGGAGTCAGAGTCCGAGTCTGATTCCGAGTCATGGTCACACCAGCGTGGCTCATTATTAGCTGTCTGATCAACTTCTTCATCTTCCATGAAACCTTGGACCAGATCAGAAAGACAAGGGGAATTATCTTCGTCGTAGTCTTCGAATCCGTCGCCGGTATGTTCGCTGCCGCTACTAAAGCTGCACCCAACGAGACGTGCCCTAACCTCGTCGGCGAGTGGATCGGTGACACGTTTTGCCCTCGAGAAACCCATTTTCCAATATTTATTCGTTAAACCTCTGAATGTTTGTATAAAACCTCTCTCGGATTTCTCAGAAGAAAATGATCAACTCTCAGGTTTGAAGAAGAGAGAGAAGTTAGAAGATGGGTTTTTATAAAGGAGAGAGAGAACTTTTACTTCTGAGAAGGAAAAATGCGTGTAGAGAGAGATGGAGAAGAGCTGAAGAGTTGGCTCCGAATATTCGTAAAGAAGCGAAAGTTATTTATACTATTAAACATTAAAAAGGTATATTTAAAAAAAAAAGAATTGCAAGTAAATTTATTATAAGCAGACACGTAACTGTGGGAAAAAGAGAACCGGAGGATATACCACTTCTTGGCTGGTAAGCATGACGACTCTTGGCCCGACGGGTTAGGCAAAGAATGGCATATTCCAACGGGCAACGAGAGCACTTAGGGTTTATTCGCCACATCGTGTTTTCAGTTTTCGTTCTTTAATTACTAGTATTATTTTTTTAAAAATATTCAGTTCTTTTGAAACCTACGGACATATTGTAGTCATGTGTAAAGTTACTTCGATAATAAGCTGTTTGCGTATAATCTATTACAATGGACTGGATCATGCCACCATGGTCATCATAAGCTTCATAAGGTTTTGTCCATGTGATGAAACATATTACACTTTTATTTTTTGGTCCAGATGCTGTCACAAGACAATAGAGATTCTCGTGGATTCGACATCCCCATGTGAGTGTGACGATCTGGTTTATGATACTGTCTGAACAAAACTCAATCGTAAGTCTTGCAATCACTATGAAATAATGTAAGTAAGAAGATAAAGTGCTGCGAATAATGTAATACAAAACTAACAACACTTGCCAGTGTCTTATATGACTATATATAAGTATGTATTTTATTACATAAAGTATATTTGGATAAGTTTTTTTTTTAAATATAAAAAGAACCTCCATGCCCCATGCTATGTTTGATCGATTTGACTAAAATCACCAAATTCACCCCCCCCCCCCGGTTTGATTTTGAGAGCAATGCACGTTACTTCATCTTCAAATTTGACCCAAAAATCTCAATTTCACGAAATATGAGAAAATTGTAAAAAAAATCAAGATTTAGTAATAATTCATTAAGACTTTTAATACAATTAACTTTGATATACCGAATTTAATTATATGCGTTTCGATGTCTACCAATACAATCATTTTAAATAGTTACAAAACTCTAACTTATACAAATTTCTAGATTAGTTGGATTTCAATCTTTCACGCAGTCCAAAAAAGTGTGAGAAGACAGATGTGATAAAATTTAGTCGCAACTAAAATTTTAGAAAGAAAACGAATGATACGAAAGAAGGTTTATCCATGAAGTAAAACAAATGAGATTGAACTAGAGGAGAAGAGGACACGTGACAGAGAGGAAAATGGGAATATGAAATATGATTGTGGTGGGACCCATATAGGTCTGGAGATAGATGATTGCGAAAGGAAGCGTAGGGCCAAGAACCAACCAAAAGAAGAGCCTTTCACCTTTGTCTCCCTATCTAATTCTATCCTGTTTTCTTCATTTTATCCATTTCTTTGGCTCTTCATGAAAGGGAAAGGTGTAGCAATACCATCGTCTCTGTATAATCTTTTTTATTATTTTGAAAATCAAGAAAAATCTTGTTCAAACCAAGCATAATTAAATGCCCGAAGAAAATTCTGGTTGAAATGGAGAACAAAGTCAAGTTAATATTTATCAAGCTCTAGGAGTGGTTGAACGTAACAACGTGTATGTATGAGATATAAAATACTCTCCATGCTATCTAGGAAACAAGGAGAGTAATTGTCTAACTATAAAATAAAGCCATTTTATGGACTACACATGCATCAAAACGTCACCAAAATACATATATAACTCCAACTTACCTTAAACGATTCTGGACTTATCTATATTAGTATTAAAAACATCGTGAACGATGCTGAAGTTTTGGTTTTGTTAGTCCCAACTCCCAAGTCGATATAACCTTAAAGAAGACAAATTCGTCTTCCATCGAAATTACCGTCGGTTCATCGGTTGATGGCAGAGTAAGACAAAACCTCGTCGAACAATTTTATATTTTAATTTACTTGCAGAAAAAGTTGGAATTTGGTAGGTTTGAAGAGTTCTCTGAATAAGCTAACGAACAAGTTACAAATATCTAATAATCTTTTTGTGAGAACAAGAACGTGACAAGTGGGCTTTGTTTTTCTGGTTTACGTTTATGCTCCTTGCCCCATGCATATATTGTTATTAAAAGCGACCCAAATCTATTAATATGTATACATGAAATCTTATTTGAACGCGAAGAGTCAAGGGATTAGTAGTTCCTCATAAGTCGTCTTTGCTAATTTTTAATGAATCGTGCAAATTATGTTAGTTTTAGAATAAAATACTAGGGATAATGCGAGAAGAAACAAATAATACTCTATTGCAGTGCAGAGTGTATAAGATAATCAAACATCTTTCCTAAATCGTGTTGTTATGTACTAAATGTACTACAAAAGGGAAAGAAAAGTTTGCAAAACAGTTTTCATTACTGTTCCACTTTTAGTATACTAAAAGATAGCTAAAACAACAATTAATGCCACTCGTACTTTATTTTACATTAATTAATTGACGTAAACGAGCGATGCTTATATCTATGCCTTGATTAGTTTGTTTAAACTTAAAACAATAGCTAAAAGCCTAAAACCAAAACAAACAAAAGAACTTAAAACAATAGACACAAATTGTCAAATTTTTCATTTTATTAAGGTGGGTTTAGAAGTTGGTAGGCCCATATGAGCAGAAGTCCAGTAGCCAAGACCGCTTCGATTCGCGCCTTTTTATTTGCAATAGATGTGGGACTTACTAAGTAAGCAAGCCAATCACAAACTGTCAAACTCTATATGGGCTTAATCAATGACGTTTAATTAGGAATTTTTACCCGAGTTTAGATTTAAGTTTACACCTTATATTGAGCAGCTCTATGGATTATTTCCAAGAATAACAGCTACTATAGGCATTAGGTAGCTCTCATTCATGACTAATGAAGCAAACATCAAATCTTATCTAAGCTTGATCTTTCTATTTTACTCTAACTCGTCAACGTCAATTTCTTATTATGATCACATTATTTGAATTTTTGATTTGATCGTTGCTATTGTTAACCAGCTCCGCTGTGTAAGGTGTAATGTGATATTCTCTATCTTTATATTATTAATTGAGAAGTACATTATAATGTTTTGATACAAGAATTTGAGAAACATCTATTTGGATAGAAGAATAAATGGAAACAAAAGTTGTTTGGATATAAGAATAAGAGAAACATCTATTTGGATAAAAGAATAAATGGAAAAAATTGTTTGGATACAAGAATAATAACTTAAAATAAACCGATGGTTTATAAAACTTCTGTTTCTCATATCTTAAAAATCTTATATTGAGCAGCTCTATGGATTATTTCCAAGAATAACAGCTACTATAGGCATTAGGTAGCTCTCATTCATGACTAATGAAGCAAACATCAAATCTTATCTAAGCTTGATCTTTCTATTTTACTCTAACTCGTCAACGTCAATTTCTTATTATGATCACATTATTTGAATTTTTGATTTGATCGTTGCTATTGTTAACCAGCTCCGCTGTGTAAGGTGTAATGTGATATTCTCTATCTTTATATTATTAATTGAGAAGTACATTCTAATGTTTGGATACAAGAATTAGAGAAACATCTATTTGGATAGAAGAATAAATGGAAACAAAAGTTGTTTGGATATAAGAATAAGAGAAAAATCTATTTGGATAGAAGAATAAATGGAAAAAATTGTTTGGATACAAGAATAATAACTTAAAATAAACCGATGGTTTAGAAAACTTCCGTTTTCCATCTCTTAAAAATCTGCAAAAAAGAAAACTTAACATAATCTAACGATAATTCCAAATCAATAGAATATGCTTTTTGGATTTTCGGGTTTTTATAGACAAGTTCGGGTTTGGGTGAAAATCTGAGACATAATTTTATAGAGATATAGAAATTGTTCGGGTTTCTTTGAAAATTTCTGTTCGGGTTAGGTTCAATTTTTTTTTTCAGTTTAGGGTTTTCCGGATTTTTTAGATTTCTGGTTTTCGGGTTTAGATATATTAAAAAAATTGAGTATTTTAAAATTTTGATTAGGTATTGGGGTCGGGTTCCGGGTGAAAAAGTTTCCAGATTTTTTTTGTTCAGTCAGGGTTTTCGGGATTTTTTTGATTTCGGATTTTCATGTTTAGACCTATTAAAAAAGTTTGGGTTTTTAAATTTTTTGATTAGGGTTTTTTGTCGGGTTCGGATTTAGGGTTTAAATTTTCTACACAAAACAACAACGTCACACCGCACAAACGTGCGGGTACTCTACTAGTTGTGTATTGTGAGGAGATCTTTTTCGTTTTTTTTAATACGCATGAAAAAGCTTAATATGAGTGGTTATGAGCTAAATATAAAATTTGATTAATTAGTATATTCTTTTAAACAATGGATCACGCTGTGATTACTGGAAACTACATCTATATGGATTCAATTGTAATTTTTCAAAGATACTTAAGAGAAGACCACAAAAGCGTATCTTTCTATTCACCTACTATAGAAACCAGAACTTCGCAAAGACAAAATATTCAAGCAAAATGTCTAATCAATAACCAAGTCTCTGAAATTGGTGTTAATGCTTGACAGAATTCTAAGAAACCAGATGTTCGACTAATTCCGAAGCAGATACAAATTACAAATATATTAAACTCCTATATCAAGCTAACACAAACAAGAATTGGATAACCGTTCCGACCATACCAATCTCCTACGCAATACTGCATAAGTTATAATATCTCTTGATAAATGGGCCACGATAGATATTTACGAGCCTAATGTGGGTTATTACTAAAATTCAATAGGATGTTAATTTTTCAGTGGGTTCTTTTCGGCCCAACAACACACCCATACAACTTTGGGAACTCTTAAATGTTTTTCTTCTCTTTTAAAATACGGCATGATTTTTATATGTTATCAAAATATGGTGTACATACGAAACTGTTTCCTTCGAGACCATCCAATAAAATAAAATATAACACATTAAACTAATCTTTTTTTGTCGGAGGAGATTAAATAATCAGTAAGGGAGTCGAGAGATCTCATCGTGAGTTAGTGGTTGTATACTCGTAGTCTCGTTGCTGCGTGGCATGGCATGTTGTAAGCATAAAAATAAATCGTCGACAGAATTTAAAATTAGAAAATTTATAGATACAATGTTTCGTCAACTAGTTAACAATTTATATACTCAATAAGATTCCCCCTTGGTTTTCCTATAGAAGAATGTTATGGGAAAAATCATATATTACTGAAATTATATACTCAATGATAAAAATATTTATCAATTTAATTTACTCGATGAATCTGGTAAACTGTTGACAAAAAAAATGGTTATTACCAAAACGAAAATCTCTTCTCTAACATTGGGCTTTTTAGCCTTTAGCCAAATTAATACTCTACCTTCTTCTTATTTCTTTCTACATTTTTCTTATTAGAGAACTAATGACAATCAATGTAAAGCAGTATTAAAATGGCGACTAATAAATACAACATCCTATAAAAGTTACGTTAATATATACAATCCAAAATGTAATAACTAAGTTAAAGGAAATAATTTCTTAAAATGAAAATGTAATCCCTAAGCGATGATTGCATCATCCCTAAACTTGTTTAGCGCAAGCAAGTCTTCACCGCAATCAACGGGTGAGAAAGAAATTAGAAAACTACAAAGTACAAACTAACACATCTCTTCTTGTCAATTCAGAGAAGGAACCCTCCTAACACAAATGATTTGCTTCCACCACCCAAAACTATACTTAAATCCACATAATTTATAACATTAAACTATATACTAAGGAGAACAATAATTTAAGAAGAAAGAAAGAAAAAAAGAATAAGAAAATCAGAGCAGACACTGGACGCAAGACGTCATCTCTTGTTACTAAGTTTAGCCCAATCGTGTTCTCTCTTTCTCTGAGTCTCTCCCAAATTCTCAGATCTACACGATTCCCTGATTTCGGAGATTCCGCTCCCTCTTCGTTGAATGTCTCGCTCCCAGAACGAGGAGTTTCAGCAATGGTGGAACAAGCAGCGAGACAGGAACCACGACGTCCTCTACGCCGGCGACGATGAAGCTTTCCTCACCGTTGAAATCCGAACTCCCGCCGTTGACCGCGACAAGGATCGGATCCGGACCCGCACCGCCCGCCAGCTCTCCCGTCTCTACCTCCTCAAGTTCAAGCAGCTCGCCTCCTCCTTCGTCTGGATCGCCAGCTCCTTCGTCCACCTTGTGCGAACCGCCAATCGCCGCATTGCCAACGACAATCCCCCCTCCTTCTCCTCCTCCGCTAGACTCTACCGTCTAATCAAGGGATTCCTCGTCGTCGTCGTACTCCTCCTCTGTTTCGAGCTCGCCGCCTATTTCAAAGGATGGCACTTCACGCCCCCCTCCGTCGCATCCGCCGAGGCCGCCGTGGAGGTGGCTTACGCTTGGTGGCTTGAGATCAGGGCGTCGTACCTCGCGCCGCCGCTTCAGAGCTTGACCAATGTGTGCATAGTCCTCTTCCTGATCCAATCGGTGGACCGTCTGGTGCTTGTGCTCGGATGCTTCTGGATCAAGCTCCGCCGCATTAAGCCCGTGGCATCTATGGAGTACCCGGTTAAACCGGTTGGAGACGGAGTCAGATTGGAAGATTACCCAATGGTGCTTGTGCAGATCCCAATGTGTAACGAGAAGGAGGTAAGCACATGTATGTAGATCCTAGAATCAAGCATCTTTAGATTAGATTTGTGTTGCTATGACTATTGATTACTTTGATCTGTTTTGTTACCTCATTGCGTTGGTATTGGTATTTGGCATTTGTAGGTTTACCAGCAATCGATTGCAGCGGTGTGTATGCTGGACTGGCCAAGGGAGAGGATGCTGATACAGATTCTTGATGACTCAAGTGAGCTAGACGTTCAGGTGCTTATAAAGGCGGAAGTACAGAAATGGCAACAGAGGGGCGTTCGGATATTGTACAGGCACCGTCTCATACGTACTGGTTACAAGGCTGGGAACCTTAAAGCTGCGATGAACTGTGAATACGTCAAAGACTACGAGTTTGTCGCCATATTTGATGCCGATTTCCAGCCGCCGGCGGATTTCTTGAAGAAAACTGTGCCTCATTTCAAGGTAAATAATTGCTTGTTCGCTGGGAATATTATGTGATGGTTTGCTTTATCGAATAAGGATATTAGTTGGCCATTTTAAGAAAAAAATAGATAATGGTCGTCTCCTGATCGTAGCTTCTAATTTAGTCTGATTAATGGTATTTTGTTAGAAGTTTGGCGGTGAAAAAAATGATACATGTGGCACAGCGTTGCGTATAGTACATACAATTCTGGATGTGTAGGTCTTCTTGTACAATTAGAATTGAGTATGTTTATCTTCATTGCATTAGTTCTAGGATGAAGATCTAATACGAAAATGGAGATTATTTGCTTCTATGAAAAAATAGTAATATTTAGTCAACTCTAGCTTGGTGGAATTTTCTCTCCAATTTAAGTTATCAAGTTGTCACAGGGGAAAACCACGGACACTAGTCACATTTTCACTCTTGAGTGCGCATAAATGTATTGCTCGCATCATGAAATCGTTAGATTTAATCAGTTACATAGTATCAAGTATTAAACCGTATACTCTACTGTGTTTGAACTTCAAAAGCTTCTACATTGGCCGTGTACTTGGAGCTACAGTTGATTTACATTTTTGGTGATACAGTATGCTTGCCATAGATTAGCCTTTCTCACATGACAGCTTCTGTTTCTTTCAGGGGTATGATGATTTAGCCTTGGTCCAAACACGATGGGCGTTTGTGAACAAAGACGAAAACTTGCTTACAAGACTCCAGAACATAAACTTGTCTTTCCACTTTGAAGTCGAGCAGCAAGTTAATGGTGTCTTTATAAACTTCTTTGGCTTTAACGGAACTGCTGGTGTTTGGAGAATCAAAGCCCTCGAGGATTGTGGAGGTTGGATGGAGCGGACAACTGTTGAAGACATGGATATCGCCGTTCGTGCGCATCTTTGTGGATGGAAGTTCATTTACCTGAATGATGTTAAGGTAATTATGCTAACTAAACTTCTCAAAAGTGTCCTTTAATTTACCAGAAGATATAAAAGAACCTTTAAGTCTCATTCATTTGTTTCCCCGTACACAGTGTCTATGTGAACTTCCGGAGTCCTATGAGGCATACAAAAAACAGCAATACCGTTGGCACTCAGGTCCAATGCAGTTGTTCCGTTTGTGCTTCATGGACATTCTTCGCTCAAAGGTGAAATTGAGATTATTTTCCTCTTTCACTCCCTTTATGGACATTCTTAGCTTAAAAATGACGGTTTGTTTTTCCAGGTGAGTGTTGGCAAGAAAGCGAATATGATATTTCTCTTCTTCTTGTTACGGAAGCTTATCCTGCCATTCTACTCATTCACACTCTTCTGCGTCATTCTTCCATTAACAATGTTCTTCCCAGAAGCTAACTTGCCATCTTGGGTTGTTTGCTACATTCCCGGGATCATGTCCATCTTGAACATCATCCCAGCCCCAAGGTCCTTCCCTTTCATAGTCCCGTATCTGCTCTTCGAAAACACCATGTCGGTTACCAAATTCGGAGCCATGATCTCTGGTCTGTTCAAGTTTGGAAGTTCTTACGAGTGGGTGGTCACCAAAAAGCTAGGGAGATCCTCTGAGGCTGACCTGATCGCATACGCAGAGTCAGGCTCTCTGGTCGAGTCCACACCTATCCAGAGATCATCCTCTGATTCAGGTCTAACCGAGCTTAGCAAACTAGGAGCAGCGAAGAAAGCTGGGAGCACCAAAAGAAACCGTTTATACAGAACAGAACTCGCACTGGCTTTTATCCTCTTGGCAGCTTCGGTGAGAAGCTTGTTGTCTGCGCAAGGGATCCACTTCTACTTCCTCTTGTTCCAAGGACTCACTTTCGTTATTGTCGGTCTAGATTTGATCGGGGAACAGGTCAGTTAGTTTATATAACCCTTTTTTCTGCGCTTTTAAACTACATTGAAACCATACCCCCGCCTTAAGAACAAACAGGATCCAAAGACCAAGTCAGGAAGGAACCAACCAACTCAACTCAGTTATGGATACTCTGCAGGTCTTTTCGTTACAGATAGATACATAAAAAACAATTCATTTAAAAAGTTTCTGTCTTGGGAACATGATTTTATATACTCTACTTGGGTTGGTTTTAGATGATTCTTCCCCCCTCTTTTTTTTTTTACGGATAGTGTTAGAGAGAATGGCAAAGACTTTGACGACCTGTCTTTGTTGTGGTATTAAGCCAAAACTTGTTATTTTTTGGCTGTGCAAAAATTTGTTGTTAGGTCGTTTATTTTGTTTGGATGCTGAGACAGAAGCAGCATTTAGAGATTTGTTGTAATTCCACACTCAATTCTTTTGAGTAATTTGTTGTTGTTTCTTTCTTAAGAATTCTTTTATACTTTTGAACTGAATGTTCTTTCGAGTAATATTTTCGACCACATTTGGGGCTTTTTTATAGTAACTTTAAGGACCAGAATCTGCTTGTCAATCTCTTGAATGAGTGAAGGCCCAAGTTGAAATACCTTAATGGAGGTGCTCCAAATTCATATTCATAAGGAGGTTCTAAATCAGAAATCTACACCAACTTGATCTACTCGGACATATAAAATATATAACAAGAATAAATCTCATTTGACCGAAAAATGGATGAAGAATAAAAGGAAAGGACAAAAGGAAGAAAATAAAAGACATATTGTACGAGAGGGACAGGAAGACACATTTTAGTGTCGATGTGGTTAATAATAATTTTGATTGAAATTCGGATATTCATGTCTATATCAAGTTATCACCCCCGTACACGTCTCCATACCCAATAAAATTAAATCGACCGGCTTATCGAAGCTATCTGATTACCTATACAAATTTTGGTTTATTCCGGTTGAATATGGGTATGGGTCGGTTTACCCGACCTGACATCATGTACTATATTTATGAGTACTACTTTTTATTATTGTAATGAACAATGAGATCTAGAGCATATTGTAACGTCACATCATTAAAGAAGCATCAGAACGTTGCTTTTTTCGTTTTTCTCAACCCTCATTGAACTTTTAGTTCTTTATTACAAGATGACCGTTGAGATTTGTCGAGAATTAAGACACCAATCAACACTTTCTTGTACATTCATTTACGTAACCTTTTTCATCACATAATTCTCTTTTTTTCCATCCCAGTAATCGCCAGTTCGTTTTTTACCACAGAGACCCTAATTTTAATACTTGGACTGGCAGGTACGATTGAGCGGGCTGAGTACCACTAGCACTGTAGGCTGTAGCTCACTCTAGGATTCAACATTAGTAAAAAATTGTCGAGGAAATGGCTTCATTTATGAACAATGAGTACAAAGCGCCCATAAAATCAATCGTATAGTCCTAGCTAATAAAAATCAAGATTAAACACAATGAGTAAATGCTGAATGTAGGTAATTGGCAAAAAACAGTGCTTTCAATTACTATCGAGAACCCAATTCCATATACACTTGATAGTTAATATCAACCATTAAGACGAAAAAAGAAGAAGAATTCAAAGTAAACTTAAGAGATAATTAATCTGCTCACACGTCATCTAAACACAATACGAACTACTACAAGAGATGCTGGTTCTTTTAATGTATACGAAGTCATTGTACTACTGTATAAAATTTAATACTCCAACCACAGTCTTTTTTATGGGGAACACGTAAACACTAGCCATTAAATATCTCCACTCTCTCTATCGTCTTACTCATATCCTCTCTACTGCTTCAGAGACGAAGAAGAGTCATCAATTATTATTCACGATGAGTGTTCTATGTCTCCTTGCTCTCTCTCTGCTCATCTCTGTTTCAGGTAAAACCTCTATCTCTAGACTCATCACCATCGACAACGGCTTAATGTTTCCTTACTAAAATGTGAAACCTTTTTCTTTTCTACAGGAGCAAAGTTCTCCGGCCGGCCAGGAATCAACTACGGCCAGCTCGGAAACAACCTCCCGTCTCCGCCAGACTCAGTCAAACTCATCCAGTCACTAAACGCAAAACGCGTCAAGCTCTACGACGCTAACCCAGCCATCCTCGCCGCCTTAAACACCACCGACATCGCCGTCTCCGTCATGGTCCCGAACGAGCTCATCGTCAACATCTCTAAATCAGACTCCCTCTCCGACGACTGGATCCGCTCCAACATCCTCCCGTTTTACCCCGCCACCAAGATCCGTTACCTCCTCGTCGGCAACGAGATCCTCTCCTCCGCAGATTCCGAGCTCAAATCCGCGCTGGTTCCCGCAATGCGCAAGATCCAACGGTCACTAAAGTCACTCGGCGTTAAAAAAGTGAAAGTGGGGACCTCACTCGCCGTCGACGTTCTCCAGTCGTCGTTTCCTCCGTCAAGCGGCGAGTTTCGCGAGGACATTTCCGGTCCAATCATGAAACCGATGCTCCAATTCCTAAACCGGACCAAATCGTTCCTCTTCGTCGACGTCTACCCGTATTTCGCCTGGGCCCAAGATCCGAAACACATCGATCTCGATTACGCCATTTTCGAATCTACCAACGTCACCGTCACCGATCCGGTCACGAATCTGACCTACCACAACCTCTTCGACCAGATGATCGACGCGTTCGTCTTCGCCATGAAACGCCTCGGGTATCCGGATCTTCGGATCTGGGTCGCCGAAACGGGTTGGCCCAATAACGGCGACTACGACCAAATCGGAGCGAATATCTTCAACGCCGCCACCTACAATCGCAACGTCGTCAAGAAACTCGCCGCTGAGCCGCCCGTGGGCACGCCCGCCCGACCCGGGAAAGTCCTCCCGGCGTTTATCTTCGCGCTTTACAACGAGAATCAGAAAACGGGTCCGGGCACGGAGAGGCATTTCGGGCTTCTCCATCCGAACGGGACTCAGGTTTACGAGATCGAGTTATCGGGAAAGACGACGGAGTTCAAGGAGTCGTTGCCGGCGCCGGAGAACAACGAGGTGTACAAGGGGAAGATTTGGTGCGTGGTGGCTAAAGGAGCGAATTGGACTCATCTTGGTGATGCACTATCGTACGCTTGCTCACAGGGGAACAAAACCTGCGACCCGATCCAACCCGGAGGCCCATGTCACAAACCGGATTTGACCGTTTTGCACGCCAGCTACGCCTTTAGCTCTTATTGGGCCAGCTTCCGTAAGACCGGTGGGACTTGTTCCTTCAATGGCCTCGCCACCCAAACCATCAAAGACCCAAGTAAGTCAACTTCCAAATATTTTCAATTAAAACCAAATATTTGCGAAATTGTGTTAACCGGATGAGTAATTTGGGGTCTGCTAAAATCGTCTGCTCTATTGTCGTTTGAACCAGGCTATGGACGCTGCGAGTTTCCGAGCGTGACACTGTGACGAGTTACGAGTTAGGACAGTGTCGAGAAGAGATACTAGCGAGTTGCGACAATGTTACGGCTTTAATTGGTACTTAGTAGACACCGCACGTGATTCTGAACGAATGTTACGGCATGAAGCTTAAGTAGTAGAAACGGCACGTGATTACGGGTTTCCCGCCTTATTTATTTTTTGTTTCCCCCGGAAAAAATTGATTAAAACTCATGAGTAATAAATTCATTTTGTCGGGTAATGTAACCGGTCCCTTGATAATTATGTGTTTTAGCAGAAGCAATGATAAAAAAAATACTGACAGTAAGGAATCAATTAAAAAAATTTCCAACGGCTGATTTTGCTGCCATTGATTGAAGAAAAATGCTGTCTATAATTCCGATATCTAGGTTATTAAAGGAGTAGTAATGAAAAGAGATATTTACACTCATAAGCACTTTATCACTTTCAATTTACAAGGAAAGGCACTTGTGACTCCTGATGCACTTTCAGCATAATGAATGATTATAATATCCTTATTCACAATTCACTCACCATTTCACCTTTTTTAACTTTCTGTTTTTTTACCATCATAACTCATTGGACATCTTCTTCTTCCTCATGCCTCCACCGTCGTATCAAATCTCATTTTCTCACTCCGACTAGAGTGTGGCTTAACACCAGAATCCCCTCCACTTTTCTCCACCAATAAAAATATCCCTTTTAGTTTAACTTTCTCACTGCCGCAAATCCCTAATTTTAGTTATTTACGCTCAATCCAAATTATAACGCTCAATCCAAATTATAACGGGGCTATTGTCGCGATCGATCGTCTGCCGTCATTCTCCGATTCTTACGTTTTATTCTACTCATTTTTTTCTCATCGATCGATGGACTTACGAAGTCTTTCGACCCAACACTTGCTTTCTCGTATCTCAATTGCAAGGAAAAACATGTTAAGCAACGATTTTCGGCAACCTCCGGAAACCAACCAAGATTTCAGACTCTAGTTTGGCTCTCTTAATCAAGGTTTTGTATGGGTTAACTATTAAATTTTCATCCTAATCTTCAATTTCTCTTTTAGTTTATGATCTTTGACAATTACTGAATGAAAACTCATCTCAGGTTTACTAATGTTCTCTAAAATCATGTACAAAAACATAATTGCGTGTCCACACATATATATCCACACGTATAGGTCCATATATGGTTTCAAGTATCAAGTACTATGTCCATATATCTTTGCTTCTTTTAATGTTTTCTTATCCACACACTCTTGTCCACGTCAAATTCAAGAGTTTACCCTATTTCGACATATATCTGATATTAGTTTTGTATTCATGTGTCCACTATAACATGTCCACAGGAGTTTGTCCATATAGATGTGTCCATCTTGTTAAATGAATTGTAGTTACTTGTGTTAAAAGTTATCTGATAGGATGTGTCCTTTTTCAAATATTCTCTTAGATGCTAAGAACGTTGGACGACTCCAAAGTGTGCTAGGAGGAAGATATGCTAAGCATTGCCATGTACAACTACTAAAGAGCTTCTCAATTTCATTGTCATCTCGTTGGCATAGTCCATGGGAATGTGTACATACAACTGTCTCCATATTCTTTATATCCATATAAATATATAACACTTATATCCTATGGACATGTTTGCATGGACATGTGATCATGTACATGATGTTGTGGATATCTTTTTGATCTTAATAGTTCTGATGGATCTTTGTGATTTTTGTAAACTCAAAATCCAAAAGTTATGGATTTATGGGATTCCATAGCTCTCTTTGTGATTTTAATAAACTCAAAATTATACAATATCTTGAATTATTTGCTAGAGACTGGTTCTCTTTGTATCAGAATATTGTTATTTTTGTTTATATGTGAGTTTAATATAAAGACTGTGATTCATATAATTGGAAACTGATTTCTCTTTGTAGTTATCGTTTTCTGTTTTTGTAATAAGTTCAAGCCAAAACCAAATGAGATAATAAGCCAACTAATTTGAATATGGTTAAAAAGATAGCAAACTTGGAATCAAAAATCCAATTTTATGTAATTCCAAAGAACTTTTTAAGAGTTTAGGATGCAAAGAGAACATTATAAACCACTAATAAACAAGAACAAAGGTTTCACTAATAACTTCTAGTCTCAAATCCATTTAGCTGTATTCGGAAATGTATATATTCATGCATAAGTATTTGTCCATACCATCCACTCCAATCTATCCATTTTACTGTCTCCATATGGTTTACAATATAATGTTTCGAGTTTACTAGTTTTGGTGTCGTGTAGATTTTTGTTGATCATTTTTATCCATTCCGTTAATATCCATACCATCGCATCCATGTGGATACTGATGTGTTGGTCATCTCGTTAGCATAGTCTATGGGAATGTGTTCATAGCACTGTCTCCATACTCTTTATATCCATATGAATATATAACACTTATATCCCATGGACATGTTTGCATGGACATGTGATCATGTACATGATGTTGTGGATATCTTCTTGATCTTAATAGTTCTGATGGATCTTTGTGATTTTTGTAAACTCAAAATCCAAAAGTCATGCATTTCTGGGATTCCATAGCCCTCTATGTGATTTTAATAAACTCAAAATTATACAATATCGCGAATTATTTGCATTGTCATTAAATTGTTCTTATTCACTCAAAATTCTATACTAGCTTCATACATGTATCACACGAACACATATTAAGAGACTGAGATACATCAAAGTTGTAATTCTTCTTTTTTGGCTCACCATGTAGGAGCTTGTTTGCTCACCAAAATACCAGAGAAAATCATCATCTCTATTACCTTGTGTCTCTTCTTTAGTAAACAATCCTCTTCAATATCTTTTTGCTAATCGTCTTATGCTTCATGTCCACAAATTATTGCATCATCGGACCCACAAACATCTAAACTTATGATGGATAGCTTCAATTAAAATAGTGGTCATTGCTAAAAATAGCTTTACCTCGCTCCGTCCATGTAAAAATAGAGCCAAAAACCTTGAAAACATTTCATGTGTTTGCAATCGTCCATTATCTTCTATCCATATAGATATATCCACGCACATACCATTTGAATGGTAATCTTATAACTCTAGTTCACACAGCTAATTTGTATACCCAACCTATACAATACACTATTACATATCCATAATAACATATCCACAAATCAGTAAGAAGCTGCGTTTGTAATGTCACATGAAAAAAAAAAATCCCAAAATCATACCTCTGAAAAAAAAATAACAGCCATTCAATGATATTCACAGAATTTCCAGTGTGATTATCACCGACTGCCTCCACATTAATACACATGATTTGATCTCCCGTCATAACTCTTCATCTATGGAAATGAATTTAGAGACTTTGTGTTCTAATATCTAAAGCATCTGCCAAATAGGAATCTGGGTTTTTGTGAGTTCATCGTTTAAAGTTTTTAAATCAAACGCTGGAAACTGAAATTGGGAACTCTGTTTTGCAAAGACAAATCAGGCAGTGTAATTCGAAATTCTTGTAATGCATTTTTATTCAATTCTACTTCCTGCAAACAAGTAGACAGCTCATTCATAGACTAGGTTTTATTTTTTCACGGCAACAACCGTCGATGACTTATCAGATCTGTGGAATTGGCGGTGGCTGAACAGATCTACTTTTGCAGGTCAACTTAGGGTCATTTTGTTTTTCACCTTTTAACTGCCATATGTTATAATTTTAAAATTGTGTAAGAGAGGGTTATATTGGGATATAATGGGTCAAAATATGTTGGAAAGTCCCTCTCCCCTAGAAAGTGCCTATTGTTGTAATGTAACTCATAAAAGTGCCTTCTATGATTCTCTTCTCTATTGGAATAGACTGTCACAGTCACAGTTGCCTTTTTCACTTTGCAAAAGATCAAAAAGTCGAATCTATAAACTTGTGTCTGTGCTTTTATGATTGTATCTACTCTATAAAGGATTGTGCGTGGTCTATGGATTCACAAATTAAATGCCCCTACAACTTCAGACGAAGTGGTAACTAATTACGCAATCTTCGTCTTTCACTGGAATCAAGAATTACTACATTCCTTCAAATTAATTTGTCTTAGGCCTTCTTCCCTGGTCAATTACTTCCTTGGCTGTTCTGTACTTCTGTCCGAAATATGAATTTGTTGAGTATTAATAATTTGTTATCCATTTTATCGTTTTGACATGTCTTTGCGTATACTGTTGACTATACAATTCAAAAGTTTGTTTACACTAGGACATACAGTCTTTAGTTACTGTGGTAATAAATCCGATTCCAAACGATCAAGGAGTAATCATCTAGACTAAAAGAACTGAAGACGAAAAGATTAGTACATAATATATTAATATACATATAGTCTCCTCTTTTGTTCAGCATCTATATTTGACACTCACATGGTAAATCAAACATGCCATTAGACTTCATCTTTGCCATTGTCTCCTCCTTCCAGATTGTAATCCAGATTTTATAATGATGGGTTTAAAGTTTAAACTCTTGAGTTTTCTGTATGGGGGTGTGGACCCAAGGGATATCAAACAATGTACGCAGCTCTGATAGGAGCCATCACTTATCCTGACTATCATTTATTATCATGATCAGGACTCAGGGAGTCATTCATTCAGTCAAAGTCAAAACCTCGCGCGAGTCATGGGCCTCAATGGCTCATTCAATACGCTGTTTGTAATATAACTGTGCATGTTTCCAAATAAGGATTATTTCCTTATTTTTTTTTTTTGAACAAAGCTTTCAATTTAAATTGCAAGAGAAGAAAATAATACAAGCCAGCCTGGCCTTAGTTTGTTTGGTACTAGCCCATAATAATAAAAACAACCCAATTAGAAAAGGAACCGTAATAACCCAAAAGATAGTAAGAAAGAGAAATTGGATCACACCGAGAAAGCAAATCGACGCAAGCAGAAATCAGACTGATGAGGTGGAGAACCACAACTGAATCATCTCGGAAGCTTGATTTGAGTTCACATCACGGAGGCTAGAGCAGCGGTTACGAATTAGAGAATCAATGGAGGAGATAATTGAGGATGCTGATCTGAAGGCATTGCGGTGGAGTCGAGCGTTTCGTTCAGTCCAAATGAAGTAGATGGCACATTGCCAAACCAGAAGTGTCAGTTTACGCTTTGATCTTCTTCCCTGAAGCTGCTGCAAGTGTAAGAGAGTTGAATCCCAAGATTTTGAAGGGATTATTCCACAGCGTGACCCGAGATGTCCCCAAATTGACCAACTGAAGCTGCAATCGAAAAATAGATGATTTTTGTTCTCAGCGCAGCGATTGCAGAGGAGACACATGGGATCAACCAGTAAACCCCAATTGAGCAGACGATCTTTAGTTGGAGATCTGTTGAGAACGAAGAGCCAAGTGAGGAAGCTATGCTTTGGGATACCACCGGAGTTCCACACCGACGTCTTCCAAGGGACAATCGGAGCATGAGCCTTCAACGAATCATACATTTTTCCAGTAAGGTACTTGGTCCAGACGACATCATCACAGATCCATTCGTAATAGTCCTCTGTATCTGATAGAGATAGAGTAGTTAGGTGGGATTGAAGAATCACCTGGTTTTCGGAACGTGCAGGGGCCAAATTCCAGTGACCGTTGCTGTATAAGTCATTGAGTGTGGTGAGAGTGCCAATTCTCATCCTCCTAGTAGTTTCCGACTGTAAGAAATTTCGGAGATCGCCAAACGGAGACCAATTGTCTGTCCAGAATCTTGTGTTTTTTCCATTGCCAACTCGACGCTTGATCCAGTTGTAAGCCGTATCTCTGATTTTGATTAGCTTGTTAGCTAACCAAGAATGTTTTTGTTTTACTTTGCAGGTCCAGTAATTGCTCAATGAACCCTGCAAAACTTCATTAACGTACCAAGCCACCCAGATCGAACCAGAGTTGCAAAACAGAAGCCACACCAGTTTCAATGTACACGCCTTATTCCAGGTAACTAAGTCTCTGCATCCTAGACCTCCTTCCTCCTTTGATAGTGTTATTGTTTCCCAAGCAACACGAGCTGAATGGTGTACTTCTGTAGTGCCTTGCCATAGATAAGCACTGCAGAGGGAGTTGATTTTTTTGACACAGGCCTTTGGGATTACAAAGGTGGAGCACCAGAAATTTGTGATCCCCGCAATTACTGTTTTCAACATCAAGAGTCTTCCTGCAAATGAAAAAGAGCGCGCGCTCCAGGAGTTGATTTTTCCTTTTATGTGTTGCAATAGAGGTGCACAATTGAGAAGAGACAGTTTCTTTGAAGAAAGAGGAATTCCAAGGTAACGAATTGGCAGAGAGCCGTGAGTGAGTCCTGTTGTTGAGCTGATAACTTGAATCTCAGACTCTGAAAGGCCAGAGGAGAAGAATGACGTTTTTTGAAGACTGACTGCTAGACCCGAGAGGCGCTCAAACTCTTCCAAAATCTGAAGAATATTCTGCACTGAGCTGAGAGAGCCATCTGTGAAGATCAGGAGGTCATCAGCAAAACAGAGGTGAGTGAGTTTTGATGTTTGACACTTGTGGTGGTATTTGAACTTTCCTTCTGTAGCTCCAGCGTTTAGTAAAATAGATAAGCAGTTCATAGCTATAACAAACAGATATGGAGAAAGAGGATCCCCTTGGCGTAGACCTCGTTTGCTTCTAAAATAACCATGAATAGAACCATTATAGCCCACTGTGAAATTTGGAGTACAAATACAAGCCTTTAGCCATAGGAGGAAGGAGTTTGGCACGTCTATACCTGCCAAGCAGTTTAATATGAAGTCCCAACTTAGAGTGTCAAAAGCTTTAGCAATATCAACTTTGATTGCAATCCTCTTTGGACCATTCTGTTTATGATATCCATTGACCAATTCCGTTGCCAGGATCGTGTTTTCCACTAGTAGACGCCCTTGCACAAATGCTGTTTGGTTAGGAAGAATCAGATCTGGGAGAAGTGGTTTCAGTTTCATAACCAACATCTTAGAGATAGCCTTATACAATGTTGCACAACAAGAGATGGGTCTATAATCACCAATAGCTGAAGCACCCGGATGTTTAGGGACCAACAAGAGAATTGTGGCGTTAGCAGGGGATGGTAAGAAACCAGTGAGGAAGAATTTTTGCACTGATGCTATGACCTCCTGCCCTAAGAAAGACCATGCAGATTTGAAGAAACCTGAGGTTAGACCATCTGGACCTGGAGCCTTATTTGGGTTTAATTTTAATAAACATCGGCTGATAACCGCAGGTGCAGGAATTGATGAGAGTGAAGATTTGTGGACGTCAGAGCATCTATAAGTGATGAGATTCCGGAACCATTGGACTGAGGATAAGGACACAGGTAGCACCGCAGGAGCCATAACCCCTTTGAAATGGTCCACAGCTAAAGAGCTCATCTCCAGGGGATCCGTAATTAGATCACCCGATGGAAGCAGAAACGATCTGATTGAGTTACCAGCAGCTCTAACCACAGAGACTCGGAAGAAATATGAGGTATTTTGATCACCTTCTTTTAGCCAGTTAACTCTTGATTTCTGTCGAAAGTAGGCTTCTTCAATTTTTTTCAGGAATTCCCATTTCTGATGTAGGTCTCGCTCTTGTTGGTATAGAGCAGGGGAAGGAGATTGCATAGCCTGGACCTGCACATCCTTTAACAAACGGTTAGTCAAACTCACTCTCTCTTGAATTTTCGAATAGTTCTCTCTATTTATTGTTGTTAAAGTACTCTTTAGTGATTTTAGTTTCCAGCAAAGTTCAGTGAGACTGGTAGCTGAGCTTCCGGCTCGAATCCAAGCTTCCTCAACCGCGGATGAGAAATTTGGGTGTTTGGTAAGGTAGTTTAAGAATTTGAATGGTCTGGTTCCAGCACGGGGAAGGGTTGTGGCTAGGTCTAGAAGACAAGGGCTATGGTCAGAGAATTCAGGGGGCAGAAAGGTTGCTGCACTATGAGGTAAAGAAGAGATCCAGTGGTGGTTAACGAGCAAGCGATCCAATTTCTTAGCAATAGGGTTCGAAGGTTGATGGTTTATCCAAGTGTTGAAAAGACCTTGATAGCGTAGGTCAAACATCCCCAATTGCTGTAGGCAATCTCTAAAATCAATCATATCCGTGGAGAGAGCATTAACTGAAGCATTAGAATGTTCTGCAGGATGAGTTATCTGATTGAAGTCACCACAGAGGACCCACGGACAGCAATAGAGGTGCAGAGATTGATGGAGATTAAGAAGCTCTACCCATAGGTCAGACCTCTCTTCTCCAAGATTAGAAGCGTACACTGTGGTAGCGATAAATTTTTGACTACTTGAGATAGCAATTTCGCAGGTAATTGATTGCCTGGATTGGCATAGAACTCTAACAACTGCCGGGGATCTCCAAATTAGAATTATCCGTCCATCTTCATCAGAGGTATGGTTTGAAGTAAAGTTCCAACCTTGACAAGTAACTGACATTATTTGGGTTAGGCTGGGTTCCTTAATGTGTGTTTCCAAAATAGCACCAAAAATAGGCTGATATAAATTTAGCCACTGGCTGAAAGGCAGGTGCTTGCCCGAATCGTTGAGACCTCGGACATTCCAAAAAAAGAGTTTTACACTCATTAAGAAGATTTAGGAAGATCCCCATTTGATTGGGGATTTTCAGGGGATAATAAAGAAGGTTCAAGATGAACAGAAGATGAAAGAGAAGATTTAGGGGGACGACGAGAGAAAGTGTTTAGATTTTTCTTGGAAGCAGCGAAAGTGGAAAATGGCTGCTTATTAGTGGCTAAGGAATTAAGAGAGGTAGAATGACAAGCAGGTAAGCCAAAAATGAAAGAGGCTTTAGAAGCTATAGAAGTGAATAGAAGAGGAGGAGATGATGGCGAAGGTGGAGATGAAAATAAAGCTTTTTCTGGAGAAATTTGAGGTGGAAAGAGATTTTTTACTGGAGGAGTTTTGGGAGGATAGGAAATAGAAGTAGTTGGAGATGAGATGGGTTGAGGAGAGTGAGGATCGACATGAGTAGTTTTTGAAACCGCTGCTGAGGTCAAACTATTATCCTCTGCAGAACAAGCCATCTCAGTAACAGAAGTCGAGGCAATTGGCGAGGCAGAAGGAGGCTGCGGTGCATCAGGAACCTTTACAGAAGAGGTCTTGATGTGAGATGCAGGTTTATCCTTACTGACAGATGCCTTAGAACTTTTTTCCGAAGTCTCCGGAGGCAGAGACGTCGTTGGAGGGGCGTTGATACAGTTTTTGAGAATGTGGCCTATTTCATTACAATGGGTACAAGAAGGAGGAACCCAAGGATAATCAATTACCACGTTTATGATCTCTCCATTATCTCTAAGCAGTTCCCCACTTGACGGTAAGGGTTTGGTAAGATTCACTTCAACTTTGACATGAGCGACATTCAAACTAGTTATATTTTTTGTGTAGTCATCTGTCTCTTTAGGTTCTCCTACCAGCCCTGCAGCAAGACTCAGACCTTCTTTTGTGCGCAGGTCAAAAGGAATACCACTAAGATGAGCCCAAAGAGGGATGGAGACAATCTCAGGCAGAGAGGTAGTTTCAGAAGACCCCCATTGAGAGACATGAAACATAGATGTACCAACATACCAAAGACGTTTTTCCAAAATTTTTGATCTGATAAACTCATTAGGGACCCTAACAAGCATTGAATGCTTGAAATGGTGTAGATGAATTTCCAGCTTGTGACCTTTACCCCACATGTAGTTAAGAACACTTTGGATTGGACCATAATCCGGCATTTTTCCAAGAAATGAACCAACGACATATTCTTTGTGGAGAGCAGCTCCTCTTTGGAAAACTGCATCTGGGACAGCCACTCTTGGCTTTCCTTCTGAAGAATAGGTAGTAGAAGCAAGTCTAGAAAGGGAACGATCAACCACTCGACTGGCTTTCTGAGCATAGGTAGGAGGAGCTGGCGAATTCTTCTTACTAGCAGTTGAAAGGGGAACATCAGTCTGAGAAACAGATGAGTGAGGAGCGGATCCTAAGTCTTTTCCTTTTTCCTTGTTTACCACAGGAGCAGGTTTGTGAGAGACAGAGGCAGTATTGGTACGAAGAGGTGAAGAAGATTTAGGAGGTAGAATAGTATACTTTTGGACTGTAGCATCTTCAGATCTAGTTTTTTCAAATCTAGAAACTGGGATAGTAGACGCCAAATCTTCAACCTGAGTCATAACAACATCAGTAGTAAGTGTAGATCCAAGGAGACCAGTAGAAGAGGGACCAGCTCTGGTGGCCATCGGTACAGTCTCCACAAGTGGAGAAGTTTGCAACGAGGTCACTAGAGAAGGAGCAGACGGGGAGGGTGGGAGAGGTGGGAAGTCTAGGAGGGAGCAAGAAGGGTCAGGCGGGTCGGGTGGGGAAGGAGGAGGGCGGTTGAGAAGACCACCAGCGGAGGGAAGCAGCGGATTCGAGGCGGAAGCTTGACCAGTCGCAGGGAACCAGCGGTTCACCACGGGAGCGGACATTTTTTTTTATTTCCTTATTACTAGGGGATATCCCGCGCTATGCGCGGATAATATGTTACTCCCTCCGTTTCAAATTAGTTGTCGTTTTGGCAAAATGTATCTGCAAATATTTGGACGTATCTGGACGTGTTTTGTATTGCATATACGTCCAAATATTTGCAGATACATTTTGCCAAAACGACAACTAATTTGAAACGGAGGGAGTATAATTCTTTTTTATTTAAATATAAGTTGCTACTAGTTATTATTATTTACTAATATTTGTTAATATTTGTTGACTGTTAATTTTAATCAGTAAACCATATTTTGAGTAATCTCATTAGTTTTATAAATTGATTTTGAAATTATTATTTTGCTCAGACCCTTTAACAATTCTTTTTTTATGTAAATATGATTAAAAACAATTATTTTTACTAAATATGTATATCGAAGAAATAAATGGTGGTTTTGAATAACTTAAATTATTTGAAAGTGAAAACTATTGTTAAAAAGAAATTCAACATGAATTTGGTTTTTCATGTAGTTTTGGTAAGAAGAAGAAAATAATGTTTATGAGTGTGAAGAATTATTATTTGATCATTTGATCTTAAGTGTGTAATCTTTGTATTGTATTGTTTTTTTTTTGTCTTTTTCGGGCTATATAGAAAGAAAAAAAATTATAATTACTAAGGTAAACAAAAACGATTACACAAAAAGAGTAAAACTAAGAAAATAACTTGTTGAAAGAAGAGTTTGATCATGAGGAAATATACAACAGTTTATGATTCATGAGTTTAATCGCGAGGAAACTGATTAAACTTATATTAACCTACCATATATTATATTTCAAATTTTGTAATCTTTTGATTGGAATCTTCAACAGATTCTTTCAAAAAAGGTTAAACCTCTTTAAATTTGTTTGGCGTCATCTCCTGCTTTGACACCCATCTCCTATTATTGTTGGGATTGGCATAAAGCATAACGAAAAAATTATTCTGCTAAAAATCCTGAAAATCATTAAGGGATAATTTTTTTCCCATTTAATCATTTCATTGTACTAAATCTTCATTGAGTTTTTCTAGAGTTAATGCCTACAATTAAATATCTTAATTTTCTCTAAACTGACCGGAAACCAAACTGGTGTGATCCCGCATGAGCTCATTCCACATTAGGATTTGTTTTCTCACATTTTCCTGAATGCTCTGTAATATAAAAAGATCTTTGGCACTGTCATAGTTATGAGTAATTCGGGCTTGGTGGAAAAAAAACTCGAAGAAACATTTACAATGAATTGTATTGATCTTGGTGTGCTACGCCTATGTTGTACACTTAACCGTTTTCTGCAAAAAATAATTAGACAAAACAAACTAACTGTTAGATTGAGATAGTCTCGTCTCAACTCTTTCCTTTACTTGGGTAAGATTCCTAGTTTCTTACACTGCAACTAAAATCAAATATATATACTAATACTGTGTTCTTGATGAGAGAAACTAATATTAAAAGTCTAATTACAAAACCATGTGATAAAGAGGAATTTAGTTGTGGTGAAACTCTATTTTTATATAGTCATCAATACAATTCGAAAGAGATACATACACAAACATAATAATGAGGGACTTCTTTTTCTTCTTCTTCTTCTTCTTCTCATATCTTCCCTTCTCCCGCCAATCCTCAGCGTTGCTTTCCCACTCCCAGCTCTGTTTTCAGGAGTATCAATCATCCCATATTATATCCGATAATACGATATTCCATTACATGATATCGGTATATTCTGGGTTATAATAGTAGGCTATGATAATCATATGTATGTAATCCGTTGTCATTTTGAAAGATAAGTATTCAGGTTATTATCAGGTTTCGTGATCCTCCCATCCAATTTGCACAAAGCAAGGGGAGAAAAAAAGTTTCACCATTATCCACTAATGAGACACGATTATCGACTAATAAGCTGGGTTCCAATCACAGGCTAATAAGATTTCAATCAAAATTCGATTTCAGAGTTTGAGGAGAAAGTCACAAAATCAGTAACAATCAACAATTCAGCTCCGAGCATAATCACATAAACCCTAGACAAATTCTCCTTCGGGAATCGGGAATAGGATCAACAGTAGAAGAAAATGGAGAGTGAAAGAGATGAATTACCTCTGCGTCAAGGAGGAGGAGCTCCACAGCCATGAGGATGTTTCCTTTTCTGAAATTACGGGCTTCCCAGAAATGAACCAGACGAACGACAACCTCTCGTCGTTGCAGAATTGCCCATCAATCTGGCAGAGAACTTGGAAGGTCTGGGATGCCATGGAATCTGTAATTTGAGAGGATCTTAGTAAAGAATTCGGAGCGTACGGATCTCGGCGCTGCCCAGGAACAGTATTTATAGGGTTCTAGAGAAGGGCACATTGAAGAGAGAGTAGTGGTCATTAAAAGCGAAATGAAGACGAAGCAGAGGGCAATAAAGCCGGAGAAGAGGAATCGAAATCGGTAGATCTTGGAGCGGGAACGGGAATCGGCGGAGAGATGAACGAAGGTGGAGAAGGAGGAAGCGAAACGATTTGGTGTTAGCAGCGGATTGGAACCGGGCCGGAGCGAAGTGGGCTTACTGCTCTCAGTTATACGTTCGAAGATGGGCTTCAGATGGAATCTTTTTTCGTTTTTACACATAAGAGAAATCGAAGATTTTTTTTTTTTTTTAATGTAATATGCCACGTGGCATTCTGTGGCTGTATCTGTGAGGTGCCCTGAAAGGCCCCAATTAGCTACTTTCAATTTAGGGTCTGGTTTAACCGCTGCGGTTGCGGTTGCGGGAGTTTGCGGCTGCGGGAGTTTGCGGAAGCGGGAGTTTGCGATTAAAAGCTGTTTGTACGACTGGTATAGCAATTCATAGCGGTTGCGTTTGCGGGATATTTTTGACTGGTTAGCCAGCGGGTGCAAGAAGCGGTTTAACCAAAAGTTACTAAAATAAAAATAATATATAATTATTCAAAACATTTATAACCATATTAATAATTTTTTTTTTGAAATATATTTTTTGATGAATTTTTAATTTGAAAACTACCCTTTTTTTTTGGTTTTGAAAAATACACTTTTTATATGTAAAATGATTATTCCTAATTTAATAAAAACGAAATTCAAATAAGAAATATAAAATATTAATATTTGATAATAATTTTGTATCATTTTAACATCCTAATTACCTGTTTAGTTTTTTTTAAACAATTTAATAAAAATATAAGATTGTTTATATAAAGTTTAAATGGGGTGAGATTAAAGTTGTTTATGCAAAGTTTCAAAAATATTTAAATTTTTCAAAAGATAAACATTAAAAATGAAAGATATATTTCTCCACTTTTAAATTTTTAATAATTTATAAACTTTAAATATATGTAAAGTTTTAATTTATTTAAAGTTTCATTTGGTTTGAATGTGTATGAGGTTAAGTTGTTTATATAAAGATCCAAAATATTAAAATTTGTTTCAGTTTAACATATACTATATTTATTTGAAAAAAAACTTATTAGTTTATTATTTTTTTAATTTTCGTTTATAATTTGTATTATTTTTTTGTTTAAATCACGTCAAAACATACTTTTTACATTTTAAAAGTGTATTTTTCAAAACAGAAAAAATTTAGGGTATTTTCGAAATTTTTAAACATAATTATGGTATTTTTCAAAAAAATATACCCTTATTCCAAATTTGGAGATATTATGTTTTTTTTTTTTTTTTTCAAACCGCAACCGCCCGCAACCGCAAACGCTTGCGGAAAGGAGCTTTTGATTTTCAGCGATATAGAGCGGTACAGAGTGGTATAGAGCGGTTGAAAGCGGTTGTCGTGATTGTTATAAAACGCTAAGAACCGCTACGAACCGCAAACGCTGCGTTTGCGGGTGGTAGCGGGAGAACCAATCATCACCTTAGTAGTAAAGATTCTTTTCGAAACTGGACGTTTATTGCATTGTTGCTGAAGCAAAGCAAGAGAACAAGACGGATTATGCTAAAGCCTAAAACGTCACTTGTAATGATATTTACATTTTTAATTAGGAAAAGAAAAGTTGATTGATCATGATTCCTGAACATGTCCAAAGACTACAAAATTTTGCTTCTGTGTGAAATTTACGTAGTTATATTAATGACACGACTGTAAATGTACACTAGTACTATTGTAACACTAAAACAAACAACATGTTTGTTTGTTTATCATTTTGTTACGTTCTAGGACGTCGAATTAAACAACATGTTTAGTAAAATTTTCACATTTTACCAAAAAAAAAAACATGTTTGTTTATTTATCATTTTGTTGCGTTCCAGGACGTCGAATTAAAAACCAAGCCTAAAAATGTCACTTCTAATGATATTTACATTCTTAATTAGGAAAAAAAGTTGATTGATCATGATTCCTGATCATGTCCAAAGACTACAAAACTTTGCTTTCGTGTGAAATTTACGTGGTTATACTAATTAGGCGACCGTAAATGTACATTAGCTAGTACTATTGTAACACTGAAACAAACAGCACTATAACAAATAATCAAATTGTTAGAACTCATAAGTCAGATGATGATTGTAATTAAGAAACTGAGTGTGTTATTTATAAGTTGGCTTTAGAAGAGACGAAGCGGTCCAACCCCATATTAATATATTAAAAAGGCACAAAACATGATGGATCATCTTATACAGTATAAACTCTATAAATTAATAAAGTTGGAACTTTGTTATTTTATTAATTTATAGAGTTATTAAATTATCGATCTTGAATAAAATAGTTGTTTTATTAAAAAATAATTAAAATAAATATTAAATTAAATAAATATAAGAAATTTTAAAAGTTTTTATATTTTGTATAGGTTCATTCTAAAATTAGGGATGAATTCTAAATATATTTGAGTTTTAGTAGAAAAGAAATGAAAGTTATACTTATATTTTAGTATATTATCATAGATATGTATTTACATAAAATTTTATTTATGGCAATTATTAATTTATGATATTAATGGGACCATATATTTACATAGGAGTTTCAAAAATATTATTATCTTATTATTTTATCGAATTTTCTTAATGTTTACACTAACCCGACTTGGGACCGGAGAAAATTATTATTTTATAGAGTTTATTAGTTTATCGAGTATCAATTTATAGAGTTTCTACTGTATCTATTTAAAAAATCATCAATAATTGAATAGTTAGGTGCCAATCTAGAAGGCTGCTATACACTACAATATATGCGTATAAATAAAAACATCAACCACGTAACTATTATAATGAATATGAAATGTGTACGACTGATTTATGGTCGTATGGACTATATGTAAATCACTAAATCATATGATTCACAAAACAAGAAACATTTGAAATTTTGTTCGGTTATACCTTAATTTCCTTGTTTTATCGTTTAACTATTCCTGTGAAATTAAGATTCATCTAGACTTTTCTGACTCCACTTGAGTTTTATGATTCTTTTATTCAATCGTAACGCTCAGTGCATGATATACATAAAATTACTCAAAGGCCCAATGAAATATGTCCACTTGTCAAGTTGAAGATAAAAGAATAACCACACACCGACTTCAGGAGCCCACAGAAAAAAAAACAGAATCAGATGATATTTAAATTTTAAATGATTTAAAAATAGAAAGGAACAATAAAAGATACTCTTCTACCTTATCCAATCTTCGCCACTTCTCCCACTAATCCGCTGCTCAATCAATCTTCTCCTTCTCTCCTTCACAATCCGAAATTCTCTCAGTCACATATCCTTAGGGTTTATACTGCCTTCTAGGTTTCCGATCAATCTCAGTATGGACAGTTGTCTCTCAAATCAAGCGGCGTTGCCATTTCTCCCGTCGCGTTTGAGGAGACAGAGCGGCGACGGAGGCGGTGGTTTTGCTATTCCGGCGAAACGAAATATTCGGTATAGTTCGATGGTCGTGGTTGCAGCGGCGGGACAGAGCCGGTGTGAGCCTGGAAGCAGTCTCAACGCGCCGCTTGAACCGCGATCGGCGCAGGGGAGGTTTCTGAGAAGCGTGTTGCTTAACAAGCGGCAGCTCTTTCACTACGCCGCCGCTGATGAGCTCAAGCAGCTTGCCGATGACCGGGAAGCCGCCTTGGCTCGTATGTCTCTCAGCTCTGGCTCCGATGAAGCTACTCTCCACAGGTCCGTTTAACCTTAAAAACTTACTCTAAACTCTTCCAGACACACAAAGTCCATTTTAGATACATAAACACTACACAGAAAGCTGTTTAAATCATTAGATGTGTACATAAATACGTATATGCAAGTTTCTATATTCACAACATAAGCTTGCAAATTCAGGCGATAAGCTGTCGGATTCTTGTTTGTATGAGTGATTTGATGCTGTTTATAGTAATCTGAGAATCATACTAATGATACGGTTGATTTGATACAGCAGAAGCCTAGAAATATGATTTTTCTGATGCGTTGACTTGTGAAGCAAGTTTTGTTTTAGGGTTAGGTGAGGCATGCTTAATTAAGTACCTTTCACGTTTCTGTATGTTCTATGCATCTGTGTTAGTTTCTTGCCTCTGTTGACACTCTGCCTCCACTTACTGTTCTGTTTCTGCAGCTCAATTTTAAGCTTAACTTGATTCTATACTCTGTTTTTGCTGCTTCATGCTCTTTTACGAGCCCTAATTCTCGAATTCTCTTCATGGTTTGGCAGAAGGATAGCTCAACTAAAGGAACGTTACTGCAAAACGGCAGTCCAAGACATAATGTACATGTTAATCTTCTACAAATACTCGGAGATAAGAGTCCCTCTTGTTCCAAAGCTCTCCAGATGCATCTACAACGGAAGACTCGAGATCTGGCCTCCAAAAGACTGGGAGCTAGAGTCGATCCACAGCTGCGATGCTCTTGACCTCATCAAAGAGCACGTGAGCGCTGTCATCGGACTACGGATCAATTCATGCGTGACTGACAATTGGGCAACAACCAAGATACAGAAACTGCATCTTAGGGAAGTGTACGCTGCCTCCATCTTGTACGGTTACTTCTTGAAGTCCGCTTCTCTAAGGCACCAGCTCGAGTGTTCGTTATCGGATCTCCATGGAAGCGGGTACCTGAAAAGTCCAATCTTTGGATGCTCTTTCACACCGGGAACTGCAAAGATCTCTAACAAGGAGGAGTTGAGACATTACATCTCTGGGTTCGATCCCGAGACGTTGCAGATATGCGCAAAGCCGAGGACTGAGGAAGCGAGGAATCTGATAGAGAAGCAAAGTCTGGCGCTTTTCGGCGCGGAGGAGAGCGATGAGACGATCGTGACATCGTTTTCGAGTCTGAAGCGGTTGGTTCTCGAGGCTGTGGCGTTTGGTACGTTTCTGTGGGACACGGAGTTGTATGTAGATGGTGCGTATAAGCTCAAGGAGAATGGCAATGCAGAAGAACAAGAAGAGAACAAAAGCATATAATCTTCTTCTGGTATCAAAGCTTCATGATCTTCTGGTGGTGTATATATAGAGAAAACGTCTCTGCCCAATATTTTAGGCAAATTCGTTAGTGTATATATTGCTTTAGTTATTAATGTTTTGACGTGCCGAATAAGAATGTGGTGGTTATATAAGGAATAGAGAAAGAATGGGGTTTAATTTTATTGGATTTAGTTGCCTTGTACGATTTGATCTTTCTCTTTTTAGTTTTTATAGAGGCAACTTAAGTCTTAAACTTGTTTATTTGTCAAAACCAATTAAAACTGAAACTAAAAATGTATTAAATGCGATATATATACCACAATTGTATATCTTTAGTGGTTTCCTTTTTGGGAACAAGAAAAAGAGGCTTTTTGGGCTTTCTTCTTCTGGGCCCAAATATGTTGTGGCCCCAAGACTTAGATATATCAGAACCCACCCCCAATTCTCACACTAGAGTGAATGTTAAAAAAAATCTGGTCTTTTTTTTCAATTCCGTTTCTCTCTCGCCGGAATATTTCGTCTACTTCATCTCCTTATCGTTCTCCACCGTCACATACTCATCGGTAAGCATAGTGATTCTGCTTCCTTGTCCTTCATTTCCCACATTAGATTCCTCTTCCTGTGAGTCATTTCCTTCTCTCTTCTGCCGCGAATCGCGCGTGATTAGGGTTTATCAAATCTAACGCCTCTGGTTTCGAATTTCGTCAAGTTTCTCGGTGATTTCGGATAAGGAAGATGCCAGACGTCCAATCAACGGTGCTCGAGTTTGTTAACAAGCTCAGAAAACGGTATTTCATTTCTCTTCTGTAGTTTCGCAAAACCCTGTGGTGAGAGCGTTGCTGATTTGATCATATACTGTACAGTAAGATTGAGGGCTCACAGGCGACAGCGAGATGCACCGTAGAGCTTCTTAGGTCAGTGATTTCGCAGCATCGGGTGCCTCACGCAAACCAGGCTTCAGCTCTGATCGATGCCGTGAAAGCCGTTGGCGAGCAATTGGTCGCTGCAAATCCTGTTGGTATGTCGAAATTCTCTCTTTGGTGACATATTTTCTCTCAGCCTGTGCGTTTTCTCTTTATCAAATCAAGGGTTGGATGTGGTTTTTGTAGAGCTTGCGGTGGGAAATGTAGTGAGACGGGTTTTGCATATCATAAGGGAGGAGGATCTCTCTCTTACGACGGCAGCTATGGGTGGGTTGGACTTGTTGGATGCAAGTGATGATGATGAAGATGTATGTAACAAAGGAATTGGGTACCCGGCAATGTCTGCTGCAGTTGTTGCAGCTGCAGCTAGGAGTACCTTACGCCCTCCGTCTTTGCAAACGCTTCTCGAGGGCACTCCTGAATCTGCAACTGTGCCATACACATCTTCATCCGGTGCTGATTCCGAGAGCAAAAGTAAATGTACCTTTTCCATGCCTTTGGCTCTCCTTTCCAAATGTTACTTTTCAGTAGACTTATATGCATCCTGTTTTAGTTATGGCCTTGATAAGTGATGAAGAGAAGCGTTATGGAATGAATATAATGTTTGTTTAGTCGATACTCATGGTCTTCTTTTGACAGTAAATGTGAGGAATCTGGTTTCGCTTTGGGGCTTTCTGGCTTGGGAGAGTGTAGGGTACTCTAGAACCAACCCTAGATTACTGTTCTTAACAGTCTGGTTTTGGGTGGTTCATCTCGTTCTTAGTGAAATCAACTTGGATGAATGATATGACAAATTTTTGTGTTGCAGCTAAAGTAAGTTACATTTTTGTTGATACTAATGGTCTGAAGTACTTAATTTTTAGCTGCCGATAAAAGTTCAATAACTCGGAAGCTGAAGCATGATGTTATAGAAAGCGTCAATCAACTTATCCACGAGATTGCTGGTTGTCATGAGCAGATCGCTGAGCAAGCTATAGAGCATATACATCAAAAGTATTTTTCGTCTCTATACCATTAATTTTCCGTAACTTGGAATAGATGGGGAACCAAAATGTTGGTTTATCAGTGATCATGACAACTTTTGTATTGCCTGAATTCCTTTTTTTCAGTGAGGTGATACTAACCCTCGGTAGCTCAAGAACTGTACTTGAGTTTCTCTGTGCTGCAAAGGAGAAAAAAAGATCATTTCGAGTGTTTGTCGCCGAAGGTGCCCCAAGGTTTGGTGTCTCCTCTATCCTATATGTTTCATTCTTACTATTGTTAGTAATTTCTGCTTTGCCCAATATTTTTCTCTTTCCATCTATTTATGTTCTACTATATTAGGTATCAGGGCCATCTATTAGCAAAAGAATTGGTAGCTAGAGGTCTGCAGACCACTGTGATCACTGACTCTGCAGTGTTTGCTATGATATCTCGAGTGAATATGGTACACGTTCGATCCTGCCTGATTCTATGTTTTCTCTCCCTTGGCTTCTGAGAATAGATTACAAATGATGTGATGTTGCACAGGTTATAATTGGAGCTCATGCAGTAATGGCTAATGGTGGGGTTATAGGACCTGTTGGAGTCAACATGGCTGCTCTTGCAGCGAAAAAGCACGCAGTCCCATTTGTGGTTCTAGCCGGTTGTCACAAGGTTTGTTTCTGTGCTGTGTTTTTCCTCTTACAGTTTATTGCTCTCAAAAACCTCAAAAGTTGACTTAGGGTTTGTAATGTAATATACTCAGTTGTGTCCACTCTATCCTCACAATCCGGAGGTCTTACTAAACGAGCTGAGATCTCCTTCTGAACTGTTGGATTTTGGTGAATTCTCTGATTGCCTTGATTTTGGAGCTGGTTCTGGGTCTCCTCTTCTTCAAGTTGTCAACCCAACATTCGATTACGTCCCACCAAACCTTGTTAGTCTCTTTATAACCGACACGTACGTCTTATTGATCCTTGGTTTCTTATAATTTACTATATTTTTCCACTTTCATGGCATTATTACGTTGTTCGGATACGAAGCTGATGATGGTGGTTCTGTTTTTGGTTACAGGGGAGGACACAACCCATCTTACATGTACCGTCTGATTGCCGACTATTACTCTGCCGATGATTTGGTGATGTAGCAAACAAGAAAAGGCTAGTTTTGGGTCACTTGACCACACAACACTCACTTGGTCAGTCATTCACAATTGGAGGATATATGTACATTGCACAAAACAGTTGCTCAAGGATTGTGAATGAGAAAGAGAAACATCTTTTTGTGCCTGAAATTTGTTAGGCCAAGTTTATTTTTGCCGTGTCTCCTTTACCCTTAGCTCAGTTTCAATGGTGTCTATTGTTTGCTTGATAAACCTTTGCTCAATACAACATTGTCTTGCTTTTGTCTTTTGTATTTTTACCAAGACGTCCTTTTAGTTACTACTAATCAAAAAGTTTTGGATTTCGGGTGCTATTTCACAAACTGAAATATATTAACATGAGAATGTTGAGCAACTTTCCAAAAATTTGAATCTGTGAGGCGATTAATTGGTTTGGTTCGGTTCGTTACGGTTTAATTTCGATTGGCTCATAATCGGGTCACTCTTTTGAATTTCTGTCGTCTCCTTGAGAATCCAATTGCAGTCAGACAACACCTCTGCATAAAACATTAAAACCCTAAACCCGTCGTAGTTAAAGCAATCATTTTTACAGTTTCTTCTCCGGCTACTTCAATTTGTGCATGCTGATACATATCAGAAGTCCTCGAAAGATCTCGGCTTTGGCTCGTCATGTCTTTCCTTCTTCAAATGCGTTTTTCTCCGTCTCTTCTCGACCTTCTCAGTTTCCCCCGGACGAGGCGTTGGCTCGCGATGCCGCATCTTTGCTAAAAAGCTCCAATTGGGAGAAGAACAATGCTCTGAAATCCCTCGTCTCCCACATGAGTCCACTCGTCGCTTCGCAGGTTATGTCGCTTCAACGCAGCGACGCCGACATTTGCGTTCGCTTTTTCATGTGGGTCTGCAAGCATTCCTCGTATTGTTTCGACCCAGGTCAGAAAACCCAGTTCCTCAAACTCATCGTCTCTTCCGGATTATACCGAGTCGCGCATGATGTTATCGTTGCGTTGATCAGAGAATTTAACAGATGCGAGGAAGAGATGTTGAAACTAATTGGTTGTTTTGATGAGATGAGAGATGATACTGGATTCCGATTGAATTACCCTTGTTACAGCTCTCTTCTGATGTCCTTGGCGAAACTTAATCTAGGGCGTTTGGCTTATATGACTTACAGAAAAATGGAAGCTGACGGATTTGCTGTTGGGTTGATTGATTACAGAAGCATTGTCAATGCTCTGTGCAAGAATGGATTCACGGAAGCAGCTGAGATGTTCATGAGTAAGATTCTCAAGACTGGGTTTGTGTTAGATTCCCATATATGCACTTCTCTGTTGCTGGGATTTTGCCGTGAGTTGAATCTGAGAGACGCACTCAAGGTGTTTGGTGTAATGTCCAGAGAGGAAAGTTCTGCACCAAATTCTGTTAGTTACTCCATTTTGATTCACGGGCTGTGCCAAGTAGGGAGACTTGAAGAAGCTTTTGGGTTAAAAGCTCAAATGAGTGAGAAAAGTTGCCAACCAAGCACACGGACATATACTGTGCTTATTAAAGCCTTGTGCGATAGAGGTTTGATTGATAAAGCTTTTAACTTGCTTGATGAGATGGTTGCTAGAGGGTGCAAGCCAAACGTCCACACTTACACCGTTTTGATCGATGGGTTGTGTAGAGACGGAAAGATTGAGGAGGCTAATGGGATTTGTCGAAAGATGGTTAAAGAAGGGATATTTCCAAGTGTCATAACTTACAATGCGTTGATAAATGGCTACTGCAAAGATGGGAGGGTTGTTCCCGCTTTTGAAATTCTGACTGTGATGGAGAAGAGGGCTTGTAAGCCAAATGTAAGAACTTTCAACGAGCTTATAGAAGGGTTGTGTAGAGTTGGGAAACCGTACATGGCCATTCACCTTTTGAAGAGAATGGTTGACAATGGCTTGTCACCTGATATTGTGAGCTACAACGTTTTGGTCGATGGGCTTTGTAGAGAAGGCCATATGAATTTGGCTTACAGGCTACTTAGCTCGATGAACTCGTTTGGCCTTGAGCCTGACTGTCTTACATTCACTGCTATAATCGATGCTCTCTGCAAACAAGGGAAGGCTGATGTAGCTAGCTCGTTCTTAGGTTTGATGCTGAGAAAAGGTATAAACGTGGATGAAGTTACCGGTACAACTCTTATTGATGGCTGGTGTAAAGTCGGTAAAACCAAGGATGCAATGTTTATCCTCGAGACATTGGTTAAGATGAGAATACTGACAACTCCTCACTCCCTGAACGTGCTTCTTGATGTGCTAAGTAAAGGTTGTAAAGTGAAAGAGGAACTAGCGATGCTTGCGAAAATCAACAAGCTTGGTTTAGTTCCTTCTGTGGTGACTTACACGACTTTGGTTGAGGGGTTGATTCGATCAGGTGATGTTGACGGTTCATTGAGGATGCTAGAATTGATGAAGCTAAGTGGTTGTTTGCCGAATGTCTATCCATACACAATCATCATCAACGGTCTTTATCAGTTTGGAAGAGTCAAGGAAGCAGAGAAGCTTCTTTCTGCTATGCAAGATTCAGGAGTTTCACCAAACCATGTTACTTACACTGTTATGGTGAAAGGATATGTCGAGAATGGAAGACTAGACTGTGCTCTTGAAACTGTTAGAGCAATGGTTGAAAGAGGATGTGAACTAAACGAGCGTATCTATTCTTCTCTGCTACGAGGATTTGTCTTATCTCAGAAGGGCGTTGATAACTCAAATGAGAGTACTGTTTCAGGTGTTGCTCTTAGAGAAACCGATCCTGAATGTATTAGCAAACTCATATCTATGGTTGAGCATTTCGGTGGGTCTACGAGCAGATTATGTGATTTCTTGGTCACACTGTTATGCAAAGAAGGAAGAACGGACGAGTCCAACGAACTGATCCAAACTATGCTCACGAAGGGTGTTTTTCTTGAGAGGGCCTTAGACACCATCGTTGAGTCTTACTGCAGCAGGAGGAAACACGCCAAGTGTCTTGCGCTGATCACATTTGTTATCGGGACCGGGTTTGTACCGAGTTTCAAATCCTTCTGCCTAGTGATTGAAGGCTTCAAGAGGGAAGGAAATACCGAGCAGGCACGTGAGCTCGTAATGGAGCTTCTGAGCTCAAATGCAGTGTTGGAGAAAACTCAAGTGTTGCCTTATGTTGAGTGTCTGATGGAAGGAGATGATTGCAGTGAAGTTATAGATTTGGTAGATCAACTTCACTGCAGACAGAGACCCATCTTCTAGACTGTTAATCCTCAGATTTTGTGTATAGCAATCTTTGTTCTCTTTAGGTAAAGTTTGTTTCCATCCTCATTGTTTATAGAACTGTATCATTCTTGTTTCTGGTCAATGAGAAATGATTTCGGGCTGAGCCCAAATGTTAAAATGCCAAAAAAGCCCTTTCTTAGTTTTTTTTCTCTGATAATAAATACCATTTTACCATCTTCGGACCAAAGTTTCTCTTTTCTGAATTCTCTTGGCTGGGGTTGAGAGAGAGAGAGAGAGAGAGAGAGAGAGAGAGAGATTCTTCATCTTCTCCTTGAAGAATAAACCCGTAATTAAAAAAAGACAGAAGAACATTACAGATATATACAGAAAGAGAAGGTATATATACACACACCCATATGCCAACACATGGAACTTGATAGAGAGAGGGAGAGAGGAGAGAGATATTTCTCACTTTCTTCATTTCTTCCTTCTCTCTCTCTCTCTCTCTCTCTCTCTCTGCTTCTCTCGGAGATCTTCCAATCGCTCTGTCTCTGTATATTATTTTCAAATTAAAAAACAACCAAAGCTGTTTCTGGAAACACCGTTGATTTCTGTTTTTTCCGTAAGCTGACAAAACTCCTTAGTGTTTTTTTTTTGTCTCCCCCACAAAGTTTTGAAATTTTGATCCGCGGATACTTATAGCTAATTACGTTTTTTTGTTGGTTTCTGCTATCTGGGTTTCGTAAAGATTTCGATTTTCTTACTCCATCTTGTTCCTCCAATTGGTTTGCACTTGGCAATTGCTCTTGGAGCTGGTCATTTTGTTCCGATTAGTTTTTATTAGGGTTTGATCGGATCGCAACCTTGATTTAGTCCCTAATTGTGGTTTTTATACTATTAAGGTGATTAACGACTTGTCGAAAGAAAGATTCAGCTTGAGGGAATTGAATTGTAGCTGAATAAGTGTATCCGTTGATTCGCGAGCTAGTAGCTTCCAGAATCCGGATTTCTCCACATTCAGTCGGAATCAGACCAACTTGTTGGCGGCTTCAAATAAAGGTGCTTTGAGCTATATAAGATGATCCACAACTTATTAAATCTGAGTTACTATGGTTGTGATATTGATATCTGCTAATGGTTTTGGCAGGTTAGGGAAATTGAGTTTCTTCAGTTTCAATCGGAAAGAGGCCAACTCTGTTGGCGGCTGCCAATAAGGTGCTTTGACAGCTGCTTATATCTTAGCTCCAAAAACTTATCAAAATCTGAGTTACGGTTGCTTATGCTCAGGAAATGTTATTGGTTTTGGCAGGTTGCCGGCAAATTTTGCTGTTCCGAGGTGTAAATTGCTAAATTTGGAGTGTATATAGGATCTGTGGAATTAGGATTGAAGTGACCTTTGGGGGATCATAAAGAAAGTTTGGAACTTCGAAGTGTTTTTAGTGACATGGTGGACTGGATCATAGTTTCTGATCTGGTCAGGTGCTGGGATAAAGGAGTGAGAAAGTAACAAGTGTGGTTGAAAGTATACCACTTTACGGTATTGACGGAAAATTGCCATGTCTCGTTGCTTCCCATTTCCACCTCCAGGATATGAGAAGAAGACTAGAACTGTTGAAACAGACTCTCTGATAAAGGTTTACACGTTATTTACTCTTTGGAATCATGATCTTTCTGGTATTTTACTTGATGTTCCTTCATTTTTATTGGATACTGACTAGAGTAGTTAGGTAACTGATGCTTGCCTCTAGCCTTCTAGAAACCGGTGAAGAAAACTTAGTTTATCATGAGACTGGAGTCTGCCCTAATTGTTTTCCCTACTTATAATAGCTTTTGGTCTGCCCTAATTGTCCTTCCACTTCTTTTTCTTATGATTTTTTTCTAGTACACAGGCACAGCAAGCTTTGCAGGTTGACTAACTTAAAATGCTGAGATCTTGACATATTGACGTGATTATGGTTCTTGTAGCTTATGGTTTTAGATGTTAAATACTTTGTATCCTATTATTGATTGGCGTAAAAGGTTTGCCTTATTCAGCAATTTGAGAGACAATAATAATACTTTGGTAGGGTTGGTTGCTTGTGTAGCGTCTTTAGAAACTGCAGGAAATCTAGTAAGGAGCTTAAGAATTAGTTTGTCGAGCTAAATGTACGAGACTAGATACGTAATAGAGGTTGCCCATCTTGAAATAATGATTCACCTGGTTTCTTTGACCCAAGAAATGAGTCAAATGACAAGTAAAGGTAACTAATTCTCTGTATGCCTTTCTTTTAACCGTTACTTATCTATGTGTGGTCTTTTCTCCGGGGATTTAAACCGCAGGAAAAGCAGAAGGAGAAGAAGCACAAGAATGATAGAGTTAAGACAGAAGGAAAAGAGAAAAGGGATAAAGAAACAAGCAGAGATAAACATAAGGAACGGAAGGAGAAAAAAGATAGGAAAGACAAAGATCGAGATAAAGAAAAAAGGAGAGCTGCGGAGGAAGAAAAAGCTGTTGTTGCTCTGCCAAACACAGGGGATGATAAGTTTGTACAAGACTTGGTTAGAAGGATTAACTATGAAGAAGACGCTACAGAAAGTCAATGTGCAAAAAGGTCTGAAGATGAGGTTCTTCGCTTACCATCGTGCACGGTTCAAAAAGAAGCTGAGGTTATGTTTAAACCAGTGGAGATAAAAGATCATGCAAAGAAAAATGAAAGACGAGAGGAGAATCAGCGTGGGGAAACCAAGACAAAGAGTGATAAGCAAAAGAATGAAGATATAAAGAACAGTGAACCACAGAACAGAGCAGATATCAGCAGTAAGGAGAAAACAGAGGTGATTAACAGAACTGGTCAAGAGAAACCAAAATTTGTAGAGGGAGGGCCAAGATTGAAAGAGGGAGAGCACGACACTGTAGATACTAGGAATTTTCGAGTGAAAGAACTTTCAAGGGCAAGCGTCAAGAACCTTACCACTGAGAGAATTATTGGCAAGCGAAAAGATCTTGAGACAAATGGGTCCTTATATGGTGAGTCCTTCCCTGATCCAAATTGGTTGTTAATGGAATAGATATATTTATATATTGGTGCGTGTGTGTGTGTGTTAACCTTATGTTTTTTTCCATCTCTATATATTTCTTTCCCTTGATAACTCATTTTCATGGAAGAACGAATTTTCTGATTTTGATTTCTTGCAATATGAGAATGTGTTTCTCTTATGCTGTTACTGCTTGTCTCTTAGCACGGGTTCTTCAATTGTTTTGCAGAGAATGGATCTAAGCCAAACAAGGTACAGAGGCCAGTGGCTTCTCCTATATCATCCGTGGAAAATGGAAGGAAGGTGGGAGTGTGTAATCAAGTGGTGAAGGAGCATAGAGTCGACGGTTTCATTGATTCTCAAGAACCTAAAAGCCGTCCACCAGTTTCTTCGGTGAAAGGGAAGGAAAACGGTGAAGCATCAGCAAAGAAGCGGCCTCATTCCGACTTAAAGTATTTGGATCAGATATTGGATGTACCGAAAAGAGAGGAGTTGCAAGAGGTTGATGATGATGAAAAAGAATGGTTATTTGGTCAGTCGGGTGTGAAATTATTAAAGAAGCAAAGAGCAGATTCTTCTACTTCGTTGGATGAGACTCTGCAAGTTTGGAACAAGGCTCTTAGAATAGAATCTGCTGATATCGTAGCTCTTCCTTACGTTGTCCCTTTCTAGTTGGTCTACATTCAGATTCCCTCACATTGCATTGCTTATGAAAGGGTTGTGTAGAGTTGGGAAATTGTACAAGGCTGTTCGTCTTTTGAAGAGAATGGTTGACAATGCCATGTCACCTGATGTTGTGAGCTATATAACGTGTTGATGTAGCTACGGCCTTCTTAGGTTTGAAGCTGAGAAAAGGAAGAAACCTGGATGAAGTTACAGGTACAGCTTTTATTGATGGATTCTGTGAAGTTAAACCAGGGATGCGTTGTTGATCCTGAAGCCACTTGTTAAGATGTGAGGATATTGATAAGTGCTCGTTCCCTGATTGTGTGCTTCTTGATGTGTACGAATGATCTGGTACAAACTATGCTCAAGAGAGCAGCGCCGGTTTTATTGGGAAGTACATAGACATCATCAGAGAGTCTTATTGCAGCAGGATCAAACACACCAAGTGTCTGAAGCTGATGACCTGTATGACACTTGTGGTACAAGGATTCAAGAAAATCTGAAGTGTTGCCTTATGTTTTAGTGTCTCATGGAAGGAGATGAAACTGGTAATGACAGCCGAGTCAGTGAGATTTTGGTTGGTCAGTTCCACCGCACACCGCAGAGAAAGATCCAGCTTCTAAAGTGATTTTAGTCTTATAGATTTTGTATAGCAATTTTGTTTGGGTGTTAAAAAATCCTCATGAAATAGGTACAGTAGTTTGGATTCCCACTGTTAAAGATTTGTATCATTCTTCTTCCACTGTTCAAGAATTGTATGTATCATTTGATTACTAGCATCATCTACTAATTTAGTAGGCCTCCAGGGAAGGATCTATAATTGATTTTGGGCTAAGCCCAAAATGTTGCATAAATGCCAAAAAGGCCTCTCTTATTTGTCCATCATTATAAATACCATTTTGCCATGTTCAGACCAAAGTTTCTTGTTTTCTCTTGGCTGCGGTTTTGACTTTTGAGAGAGAGAGAGAGAGAGAGAGAGAGAGAGGAGAGGAGAGAGAACTGATTCCTCTGGTTGAAGAACAAACCAATAAAAAAAAATACACGTAATTCTTTTACAGAAAATATACAGAAAGAGAGAAGGTATATATACACACACCCATATGCCTACACATGGAGATTTATAGAGAGAGAAAGAGTGAGAGAGGAGAGATATTTCTCACTTTCTTATTTCTTCTTCTCTCTCTCCGCTTCTCTTTGAGATCTTCCTATCTCTCTCTAGACTCTATATATCTTGTATATTATTTTCAAATAAAAAAACAAAAACATAGAAACCTGTTTCAAAGAACACCGTTGATTTAGTGAAATTTCGTGTTTTTTTTTGTCTCTCCCACGAAGTTTTGAAATTTGATCCGCCGATACTTCAAAGCTAATTTACGTTTTTATCTTCAAAAATTTCTGTTTTCTTACTTCATCTTGCGCGTCCGATTGGTAGCACTTAGCAATTTCCCTCCGGGGCTGGTGATTTTTTTGTTTCAATTGGTTTGATTTGTGTTAGGGTTTGATTGGATCCTAATTGCGGTATTTATACTATTAGGATCGCCTCTCGGAGATTACAGACTTTTTCGGAAAGGGATTGAGTTAAGTGTCGCAAAAATTGGGTTTTTCCCCATTGGATCGGAAAAAAGAGGCCAACTTTGTTGGCGGCTGGCAATAAGGTGCTTTGAGAGCTGCTCATATCTTAACTCCAAAAAACTTATCAAATCTGGGTTACGGATGCTTATGGTCTGGAAATGGTGTTGGTTTTGGCAGGTTACCGACAAGTCTTGCTGTCCCGAGGTGTAAATTGCTATATTTACAGTTTATATAGCATCTGTGAAGTTGGGATTGAAGTGAGATCATAAAGAAAGTTTGGAGCTTTATTGACATGGTAGACCGGATCATAGTTTCTGATCTGGTCAGGTGCTGGGATAAAGGAGCGAGAAAGTGAAAAAGAGTGGTTGAAAGTAGACCACTTTACGGTATTGTCGGAGAATTGCCATGTCTCGTTGCTTCCCATTTCCACCTCCAGGATATGAGAAGAAGATTACAACTGTTGAAGCAGACCCTTTGATTAAGGTTCACACGTTATTTACTCTTAGGATCTCCTCTCCTCTGAAATCATGATCTTTCTTGTGTTCCTAAGCTTGGTTTTGTTGGATACGGACTAGAGTGCTTAGCTAACACATGTCTTACCTCTAGGCTCTTAGAAACCCACGAAGTAAACTTAGCGATATCACGAGACTAGACTCTTATGATGAATTGGACGAATTCGTGGGGTCCTTTTTGTTGTTTTCTATAACATATGGATCCAGGAGTTAGGGACATAGAAACTGTTTCAGAATTAGTTTCTCTTGTTAATGTAGTATTACTGTTAGTTGGTCAATGCTTGCTGATAGACTTAAATGCAAATGAGAATAAGTTTTTAGGATAGTTTCTTGAGAAACTGCAGGAAATGTAATAAGAAGAGTAGTACGGAGCATAAGAATTAGTATCAAGTTGACCTTAGAATTGACAAGTAAAGGTAACTGATTCTCTGAGTGGCTTTCTTTTAAGCATCACTTACATGTCTTTTTCTCCTCTGACTGAAACTGCAGGAAAAGCAAAAGAAGGAAAAGAAGCACAAAAAGGAGAAGAAGGATAAAGAAAAGAGAGAAGGAAAAGAGAAAAAGGATAAAGAAACAAGCAAAGACAAACACAAGGATCGGAAGGAGAAAAACGATAAACCTAAAGATAGGAAAGACAAAGATCGGGATAGAGAAAAGAGGAGAGCTGCCGAGGAAGAAAAAGCTGTTGTTCCTCTGCCAGACACAGGGGACGATAAGTTTGTACAAGACTTGGCAAGAAGGATCAATTCTGAAGAAGAAGCTAGAGAAAGTCAAAGTGCAAAAAGGTCTGAAGATGAGGTTCTTCGTGTACCATCATGCACGGTTCAAAAAGAAGCTGAGGTTATGTTTAAACCAGTGGAGAGAAAAGATAAAAATGAACTACAAGAGAAGAATCATCGTGAGGAAACTGTGAGAAAGAGTGATAAGCAATTGCATAATGAAGAGATGAAGAAAAGTGAACCAAAGACCACAAGAGATACAAGTAGTAAGGAGATAAACAAAACTGGTCAGGAGAAACCAAAATATGTGGAGGGAGGGCCAAGATTAAAAGAGAGAGAAGGAATCCTTGGCAAAAGGAAGGACCATGAGGCGGCAAATGGATTGTTGTATGGTGAGTCTTTCCCTTATGAAACTCTATTTTTCAACTGGAACATAATATATATATATATATATATATATATATATATATATATAATGCATACAAATAACTCATTTGATTTCTCTATATATTATTAGTACATTCATTTCCACTTTGTATTACTAATGGAAGATTGATTTTGATCGTTTTTGTTTTCCTGCACTATGTGAATGTATTTTTCTTATGCTATTTGTCTCTTAGCAAGGCTTCTTTAACTGTCCTGCAGAGAATGGATCTAATCCCAAGATTCCCAACAAGGTACATAGGCCAGGTGCTTCTCCTCTATCATCCGTAGAAAACGGAAGGAAGTTGGGAGCATACCAAACTCCACCAAAGTCTGTTTCTGAGCTGCAAGGAACAGTGTGTAATTCAGAGGTCAAGAAGCATAAAATTAACGGTTTCATTGAGTCTCAAGAATCGAAAAGCCGTCCACCAGTTTCTTCGGTGAAAGTGAAGGAAAACGGTGTAGCATCAGCAAAGAAGCGGCCTCATTCGGACTTGAAGTACCTGGATCAGATACTGAATGTACCGAAAAGAGAAGAGTTGCTTGAGGTTGATGATGATGAAAAAGAATGGCTGTTTGGTCAGTCTGGTGTGAAATTATCAAAGAAGCAAAGAGCAGATTCTTCTTCTTCTGTTTCGTTGGATGAGGCTCTGCAAGTTTGGAACAAGGCTCTTAGATTAGAATCTGCTGATATCATAGCTCTTCCTTATGTTGTTCCATTCTAGTTGGACTACATTCTGATGTTTGATGGTTGATTCATACAGATGAAATGGGAAAATGTTTGGGATGTGACTATAGTTGCAAAGCTTTTGATAGCTGGAATCATGAGGAAAGGGAAGCCCTTTTAGGGCTGTGTCTAGGTTTTAGAGCTGCGAATGTGATTGTTGGAGAGAGATTTCAGATTTCAGGCTTTTGGTTCAATTTTGATCCTGCTGCGTCATCATCATCAGTAGATGAGATTAGCATTTGAGTTGTATATTAGAGAGGGATATAGAGAATATGGGAGAAAGATTATAGTTTACCCACTAATACATTACATTTGTTTCTCCTTTTGGTTTCCCCTTTTTTTTTAGGTCGAACATTCTTGCAATAACTGAGAAAAAAAACCCTAATATTCATATTATTATGAGCAACACACCTAACATACAGATAGATATTTAGTTTCCATGATGAATAATCAAAAACCAAGAAATCGATTTGCTTCAGAAGTTTCTGAGACTTACGAACAGTTTATGATATAATAATAATAGTAATAGATAAGAGAAGGCAAAGCAGAAGCATATAAAAAATAAGACAAAGAAGACCATCTCTCAAATTTGGGAGCTTGAGTCTGTCTTCAAGGCAGTTGTCGTCTGGATCTTGTCAAGAAACGCAGCTCTTGCGGCATCGTCACTCGAGAACCGACCCAAAACGGCGATTGTCGCGGTGCTGCTTCCAAACTTCTCAATACCTCTAGAGATCATACAAGTATGTCCTGCTTCAGCTACTACGATCACATCTCCTCCAACAAGAGGAGATAAAGTCTCAGCGATCTGTCGAGTCATTCTCTCTTGCACTTGAAGCTTAAACCCGTAAAAGTGCACAATCGACTTCACGAGTGAGCTTGCAACAACAGCATTGGCGTTTGAAGATCCTTCAGCGCAAAAGTAGCCAACATGAACAACTCCATAGAAAGGAAGCAAATGATGCTCACACATTGACCAGAACGGCATGTTCAGTTCAAACTTCAGCCTCTTCTCTTTCATCTCTCCGTTAGCTTTGACACCGTTTAAACCGTTCAGCTTCATCATCTCTAAGTTGGCGTTTTGGAACTTCATCATCCACTTGAGGAACCGAGCTGGTGTGGCAACGAGCTCTTTCCTCGACGGATCTTCACCTAAAGATTTCAGAATCGAAACAACCGCAGAGACCATCTCCGGATCTTCTTCAGGTGAGAGCTTTGTCGAAGTTCTCACGCTAGGGCACCAATCTCTCACGGAGCCTCCGTTTCTACACAAAGCTTGCGTCTTCACGCTTCTGAACTTCAAGAAACTCATGAACTCACCCCAAAGACTCGAGCTTTCGTCCTCGAAAACTCCTGACCCGGACGAAACCAGCAGCTTCACGAACCCTTGGTGGCTCGACATGTCGAGAGACTCCAAGTCCAAGCCAGGGAAGTGGATGTGAGAGCACTGGAGAACAACAGCGACTCCAGAAGGTTTGACCCAATGCTGGAGAGCCGAACATATATCATCAGCCAAACGCTGAGGCTCCTGAAGCCGCTTGGCGAAAACGTCAGCGACTCTAGAGAACTTGCTCAGCCCTAAAACACGTTGCCCTGAAGGAACGTAACCTATGTGACACCTCACATGGAAAGGAAGCATGCAAGACTCACAGTAGGAGTAGTGGTCGAGGTCTCTCACAACAACGAGTCCTCCCACTCCTCCTGCTTGCCCTACTCCTTCATCTAAACCTGCTTCTGGGAACAGAGCACTCTGCACAAACTCATTCACATGCAGCTTGTAACCTGACAAAACAAAACCAAAGAAGCCATCAGAGATACTGCCTCCGAATCATTTCCCAAAGTAAATGCTTTTACTAGGAAACATCATTACTCTCAAACTTGTTACACAAATGGAAACCCTAAGAGATCATAAATCATAAACCTAGACCAATAACCTCAATAACAGTTAGTTATAGCTAATAGAGAGAATCAAAGAACACCACCTACAGGAAGAAGAAAGTAGCAATAGAGAGATGTATATACCTCTGGTGCCTTCACGAAGGGCCTTGGCGACACGAAAAGGAGTCTTTTTGATGCCTTCTCTGTTGACATCCTCGCCAAGACCTTCCAGGAGAAGTTTGACGGCGTCTTCGATTGCTAGAGTCTCGGGTTGGTGCTCGAAAGCAAGCTCGAGGCAGCCATTTTTCATTCCAAAGTCAAGCTCCAGATTCAAATACCCTTCATCTAATGCGCCCATTTGACAAAAACACCACCGGATCCAAAATTCACCCCAAAAAACAAAAAAAAATAATCACAAATCAGATAATAGCACCAATATACACGATCCAGAATTCCCTAGAGACAATCGAGTGAAAAAGCAGTCTCTTTCGAATCCGCAAATCCGGAATTAGAGCTATTGGTGTCACCAGATTAGGTAAGGGATGAAGAAATTCCGAAAATTTGAGATTCCCCAGTAAAACTAACACAACAACGAATCTTCCCACAAAATGAAAAAAAAAAAATTGGAACCCGAATCCAGAAATCTATCGATTGGGTGATGAATTTTCCCGGAAAACTAATCGTTTCCTCAGGAATTTTAGAAACGGGATAATACGCGAGTGGGGAAAAAAAAACGAAGGGTTGCCGTTGATCCAGGAATCTGTGGATTCGTTTAAAATGATGAAAAAATTGATTGATTATAGTAAAATATCCATTAGCTTCTCGCGTATCTGAAAGAGTGCTGGTAAATTGTTTTTTTTGTAATCTTCAAAATTAAAGGTAAGGCGGCGAAAAAGACTTTTATTTTCCCCGTCTTTTTCTCCACACTCTTTTCAGAATTCACCAACCCTTGTGTCCCCACCAATTTATTTACTCATACAGTGCTTTGTTATTTAATGTCGACAAACTCTACTTTTTTATTGTCTAATCTAAGGAAATAAATAAATGTTGAAACTCGATTAACTTAATTTACAACTTTATTTTAATTGAAATCATCTAAATTGAATTTAATATTCTACCAAACGTATCTAGACAAGATTTAGCTTTAGATTGGTTTCTCTACTTCATACTTACCCCCTCAAAACAAAAACAAATGATTTGAACAAAAGCAAAACAGATACAGATTCAGCATTCTAAAAGCAATATCAGTCAAAAGGGAAATGCGTTGCTTTAGAATAAATGTTATACATATATGTATATAAATTGGAAGTATTATAAGCTTGTATAATCAAATGATTATAAAAGTGGAAAAACGTAATCGAACGTTGTACTAGTTGATATTAATGTATAGCTGACGCAGGGTATACTTTTAAGTCACAAAAACAAAAAAAAAGAAAGAAAAATTTAGTTAAAAGAAGTATTTTATTACGTGAAGTGGCAACAATGGCATGGTTTTCATTATCCCACCGAGAAAGCCATGCCGTCGGGAGAGAAAAAAATAAAAAATGATAACAATTTGTATTAAATCAATCTAGAGTTAATCCTCTCCTTGCAAAGCTATACGCACACAATATAGATGCAAAACTATGGAATAAATTATCTTTCAGGGAAGAAAGATTGCCAAACGTTGGTGAGTTACATATAAATGTATGCTAATTTGTAATGATCAAATGTACAAAACCATGTTTAGAAAGGATGTGTTATGCAATGAAGAAAGATAGAACAAGGAGAATACCTGCGTTACCCATGGTAGAAGGATGGAGCACGTTCTTGTTCCTTAGATTGGTGAGGATGTATATATAGCGAAAGGATATAAATATGGGTAAAAAAACCAACCCTACTGAGTTATCAAGAAAGTTCCTGTTTAAAGAGTTATACTTGACTTTGGTGGAATAATATACAGACATATATACACACAAACAATCATTATTTTCAAATGAATCTACTGTAGGTTACATCCACGTACACACCACTTATTTTATTTTTTTGTTAAAAGATCTTCATACACACCATTTATGATTTGATTAGATCTACATAATAAATAAAGTTAACTGTTTATGTTCATATTATGTATAAAAGAGTAATTTAAATCTGACAAAAAGATTTTGTCATTTCATGCATCAACATTAATAATTATTACTACATGTTAGTTTCTGACAAGCCTTCATTTATACTAAAAATATTAATTTATTATATCAGTTTTCCATTCATCATAATATGCATCAAAATTTTACAATATTAATTAATTAGTTAACTATAGAATGAAATGTAAAGCCCAGACTATTCAAAGAAATCCAGCTTTATTTTATCCAGTATGTTTATTATGGAAAAGGGTGGATGTGTTCTTTTCCATATTTTTCATATAAAAGCTCTAGGATATTTATTAATTATAAAATAAACTATATAGCCTAAGTATCCCTCAAAATAATAAAATAAAACCAGCTTTATCCAACTAGTAAGTGCCAACTAAAGGCTTTTTTTTTTTTGTCGAACTAGTAAGTGCAAATTAAAATCTTATTTAGAAGAACCAATTTAAATTAAATGGTAGAAAAAAAATCATAAACTTTACTCAAACACATTTCCATAGAAAAATTTAAGAAGTTATCAAATCCTTTATAAAAAATAATAATTAGAAGTTATTTCTTAAAAGAATAGTATAGCTTGACCCAAATTGAATACTGTATGCCAACCGATCATTTTTATAAATTCATAAGAATATTTTATTTTAACTGGCTTATTTCGTTTAAAAAAAACTGGCTTATAATTATAATTATATGCCAGTTGATCGTTTAAAAAAATATGTATTACTACTAGTTTTAAAATAATGTTTGGTACGTGAACGAAAAAAATCAGTATTTCGAAGAAACTTGTTGATGAAAAAAATATTGAGATAAAAGTCATATTTATTTAGTATATAATTAGAGAAAAGTCATAATACATCAGATTTATATAAAAGACATGAAACTTAACATCAACACCCTCGAGTCTTGTATTTATTTAGTACTCCCGAGAAAATTATAAAATGACTGATCACATTAAGCCATGTGCAGTTGTGCGAAGATAAGAAACAGTTGTTTTTCTTATGGAGTATATAAGTCAGGCACTGAGGCATCTTGCCAAGTTGTTAAATAAACAAACATATTAGCAAGTTGGTGCAGCACCATACCCATAATTAAATAAATACGGAAACAAAACAAATACTACTGCGAAGATCTAGATTTTGACCACCTATAAAACAAAATACCCAAGTGGTTTTTTGGGTCTGAAGAAAACGTTTACTTTGTATTGGGTTGGCCGGTTGGGACTCCATTATTGTCTGAAAATAAATAATAGACCTGAAATTTGTCATATACTTATCTTCTGATGTATTTGTCTATAACTGTTAATGTGATTGTACTGGATGTGGGGATTGTAAGGGCAGAGAACCAGCAAGACACACAAAAATACACCAAAGTTTGGTAATGTAATTTTTTTTAAGAATACTCTTTGAATATAATTACAGTTAGTATTCAATATTTGAATTACACGATCCAAAAAGCTTTTTAGCTCGTCCCTAATCTATTCTTAATTCACTATGAGATCCTTAAGACTAGCCACATTAATCTATAACCAGAATTATGACCTTGTGAGTTGTGATGAACTCTTAAGTTTTTTCACCCAAAAATGCCAAACGTCGCTAAGTCTTATTTTTAACTCCCACGTTTCAAGAGTTGTTTTTTTTTAACCTATAGACCATATACTTGAAGGATTCCATGCCGTTTTTCATAAATTACAAAGCTCACAACTTTTCTAAAAGCAAGAGGAAATATTTCATTTTCGATTCTTCCTAATCAAACCAACATTTCTACATCCATTTAGTCTTCCAAATAACTTCAAACATCTTCTTCCATTGTGTTTTGGTTCCAAGTAATATCTCTAAGACGAGTCCACCTCTATTTTCGTAAATATATACACCGTTACACTCACACACTCTCGCACCCGATAATGGTGCTCCACAAGACGGCAAATAAGTAGAGTATCAAACGACACTCAGATAACATTGTTTCACACAACATTAGAAAAGGTCTAGGTTTTTATGGATATAAGGTATACTGGGCCGGTTCAATTCAACGGGCTGATGTTTTAGATGAAGCGCAAATATACAAGCCTTTTCTTTTAGTAGCCGTTGCAATGTTATCTGATCTACGTAACATATGTGATTTGAGCAACTCCTAGAAGTACGTACAGTACTTTGATATGAAGTAAGAAGTGAGAAGTGAGAAGTGAGAACATGTAGTTATGTATACTGTATGTGAAATGTAATATATAAGTAGATACATATGCGCAAATAAATTGCAACTGAAGAAAAAAGGAATTTACAAATCAAAAGTTTTACTGTAGCTATTAAAAGAACTTAATTGATGGGAAAACCTCGTTTTAATCTTTATTAGCTTGATATTGCACGCAAACCTTTTTAATTGTTCATGAAGTTACTTTAATCTCTGCATTATATAAAATAGGAAAATAATTAGTTTTTCATTTCATGAAACGTTTCTTTTACCGTTGTAAATCTTGTGATTTATCGGTTAATCGAGCTCAACAAAAACTGAAAGACAATGACTTCAAAAAAATAAAAGTGAAAATCATACTATCTACTGTATTTAAACTTTAAAGAATCTTCCCTTTTCCACTTTCCAGGTGCAACTCATGCAAGCTGAAGGCTGGAACTTTCATACCTAAGCTAAAGACAACTTTCTGTTCAGGTAGTTCTTTACAACCACTTGTCTTCGCCCACGTGCTCATCAATCCTGCCAAAACGAACCACGTGACTACTACACATCAGTTGAGAATAGCCAGCCGCAACGGCGCATTTGCTGAGCTGGACCGTTTACCTATTACACTGTCTTTCGCTTTCACCTCAACATGTGGGCCCAACTTTTAACAGATGCTCGCCACGTGTATATCAAAGAGTCGAATTTGGTGTTCGAGATTCGCGGAGTCAGATAGGGGGGACAGAAGAACTGAAAACCAACGTGTCCTCGTCAACGCCAGCAGGCTCTCAGGGTACACGTGTCATATGCATGTTACACGTGTTACACGTGGCGGCTTCGGTGCTTTTCGTCAAATAAAAACTCCGCTGGTTTTTCTAACCAATGGGAAATAGAAACCAACAAAGCAAATGGAAAGCTTTTATCGATAATCCGAGATTGTAGCGGGAGTAAAGTTTCTTAACCTTCTCTTTAATTTACAGATTAATAACTTAAACATACGTGTAATTGAAAACCGCGCATGTCCACTATCCACATCAGACACGTGTCATGTTCCAGAGCTTTGTTTTCTCTCTTTTTATTCCAAAAAATGGGGGACGCTTCAAAAACCCTTCAAACAGCGATAGCCGAAGATATATATCGAGAACAAACCTTTTCTTTTTTACATTTACATGGTTGTTGAATCTTCATCAATGGCAACAAAGTTTGGAGATGACGAGGATGTCGAGCTCGAGCTATGTCTGTCTTTGGGAGGTCCTTTCAAGAAAACAGAGAAATCTAACCCAATAGAAACCCGTACGGACGGGGAATTTAACGGCGTCACACGCGCCAAGAATTTCTGCGTTAACTTTGACGGTGAAATGGCTAAGCGTGAGATCATTGGGACTAGAAGAAAGGAGACACAGAAAAAGCGGGAGCAGAGAAACGGAGAAGGAGAGTGCAAGAGGATCAGAACAGAATGTAACGGAGTTACTAACGGCGTGGATTTGGATTTGAGCTTTAGCAAAATGGATAACGGGTACGGGTCGGGTCGTTTTAAGGAAAACAGTAAGCCCATAACTATCGGGTCACCCATTTGCAGCTCCTCCGACGTATCCGATCCCAGCAGCTCTTCTCGCCAAGAAGGTACATATTTTTCTACTAGAATCAGTCGAATACTTGTTTTTGTGGATAAATGTTTTGGTATACTAACGTACAAATAATCGGTTGAAAAAGTAACTTATTATACTAGACCAAGTCTTCAAAATATCACAGTATATTCGATAAGATTGAATTTGATTTATGTTATAACACTCTTTCACATCACAGCAGTATAAACATTTTATAATAGGTTTGATCGATGTATGATGTATCTAAGAATTACGAAAACTATGGTATATGTGCATGACGGTTTGATTTATTTAAGAATTACGAAAACTATGGTATACGTGCATGAAGATAGTGTTATGTCCTCATGTTCAGGTGGAAGTTGCGACTTCGGGGTAAATTCTGTCCATACCAAACCGGTTATAAATCCGGTCAACAACATTCAAACCGGCATAGAGGAAACCGGGAAGAGCACAGACGGTTCAAATGATGCGGTGGTAGTGGAGACGGGGAAGCCTCCAAAACCGCGTCCCAACGGTAACGGGAACGGAGTCAACGGAAGTATGCTTCCGTTTGCTCAGATGCCCTGCGTGACTAGCACGGGAAACGGACCGGAGGGCAAAACCGTAAATGGGTTTCTGTATAGGTACTCGAAATCAGAGATTAGTATTATCTGCGTCTGCCACGGAATTTCATTCTCTCCGGCTGAGTTCATCGTTCACGCCGGTGGGACTAATGTGTCGCATCCGTTAAGGCATATAACTGTTGTTCCCTCAGCCTTTTAGACGCTTTTTTGTTGTATTGTTGTTGTTACCCTGTGTTTTGTGGTCTTGTGTGTATTAGTGTAAATATTTTAAGTCTAGCTGATTGAGTTCTAAGGAACTCTTTATTGGTGATCTTAGTTTTTGTTTTCTATTTTTGTCAACAATTTTTCTAGCTCATTTCGTTGCAATTCCTTGCTCTTCTTAGCTCTTAGCTTACATTTACATTCAAGAAATGTGAGATAATGTACTACTTTCTCGAATTACTTGTTATTTAAGCAAACCATAAAATTATATGTCCAGTCCAGTTGGTTTATATTATTGTCGTCGTTCTACTATCATATATGTATCTCGAATAAATCATCACTAGTACAACATATGAAATTATTTGTCTGACCGGTTAAAGAATATATATCTCAAAAAAATTAAATTGCCTTAGGCAAGCTACATCGCTGTACACTCTCATCCAAGTTCAAAGTTTGTTGTTAGAAAGAAGAAGAGAAAAAACGATTTAAAGTAACTATAATCACATCAAAACTTACGGTGGTTATAAAATAAACAAAAATGTTGCTTGTGTAACACATGTTCTTTTGGCATGCCTAATTCTATAGGCGAGCCGAACGATTTTTTGAAATTCAAGTTCACTTATCAGCTTAGCGACCAATTTATGTTATATGAATAAATCATTATTGTTAAAAAAAAAAAAATGAAAATCATCATCTTTTCAAAATTATCATTGCAAATTCCTTATCTTATCCAATCAGTAAAACGATAGGCAAATTCAGTTAAGCATAACAGAATTTTACTAACCAACAACGTCCCCTCTTAAGAGCTGCCCAGTGGCAACAAATGTAAATACGTATCCCTCTGCTTGCTTGTGCAACGCGAAAGCCAATCAAAAACGTTCTCAGCCCATTTTTGTTGCTTCTTCGCCTCTTTCATTGGCGCAAAAGGAATCGCCATTGAAGTGGATGTAGCAGAACTCGGAGCTACTCATACTCAATCGAGCCCAAATCACTACCACAACCGAAACGTCTCTCTCTCCACAGAGTTTCAGGTGCGTCATCTTTTCACAATCACGATTAATCACAGAATGAATATGAGTAATTGGCTGAAATGCCAAATCAATCTTCGCATTCTCTGTTGATTTTGCTCAAGAAGTAGCTATCTCCTTACCTTCTTCGAGATTGTATTGTTTCGGAGCTGCTTCTCGCGAAACGCGTAGGATCCTTTGGGTTTAGTAGAGTCTTTGCCAGATTTAAAGGTTTCGTTTTTTTTTGGAATTTGATATTTAGATTTCAAGGTGAATTGCTTATCCTCTGAATCCATGGATCCTACTCCTCCTGCACCACCATCTGCTAAAGTGGTATATAAATCAATCCAATAGCTATTATATGATCCATGATCCATGGTATTCTTGTTTTCAGATTCTTCATCAATCATGTTTTGTGTAAGCGTAGGTTGGGGATGTATTTGCAAAGCATTACTATCACGTCTCGCAGAATCTCCCGGACGAGCTTCATCGGTTTTACACAGATGCCAGCAAGATTGGGAGGACTGATGATGGAGTCATGCGTGTATCCACCTTACCGGTAAGATCTCTTGAAATCTTGACTGTGTTCTTCTCGGAAACTTTGGTGAAATTGATTTCTTTTTCTGATTGATTTCTGTTCTTGGAAACAGGATATAGGTGAGAATCTCAATGTGCTATCTTGCGGAGGTTTTGATTCGGCTGTGGTAACAAGTGTCATTTCACAAGACTCCAATGGTGGGAGTGTCGTGGTCCATGTCAGTGGCTACTTCACTTCAAAGGAGACAGTTGAGAGGAGGAGCTTCACACAAGCTTTCTTTCTTGCTCCACAAGAAGAGCCTAGAGGCTACATTGTTTCTAATGACATTCTCAGAGTTGATGACAAACCTCTTCTTCCTGCTAACAATGGTGCGTCGCAAAAGCAATCACTTTATTTCTCCATATTTTTGCTTGCTCGTGAGGAGGTGTCTGAGACCTTGCTTTAATGGTTCAGTCATAGAGGATCAAAACGGTTCAATACAAGATGATCAAGTTCAACATCCACCTACACGACCATCTCCTAAAGCGGTATATTATCAAACAACTGTATGATCCTGTTGATGATGAATAATCTTGCTTCCCTGTTGTCATTTTGTAATGTTTTGTGAAAACGTATAGGTGGGGGATGAATTTGCAAAGCGCTACTTTCACATCTTGCAAAATGTTCCGGAGCTTCTTGATAAGATTTATCAAGACAACAGTCAGATTACACGGCCTGTAGAGGGTGAATTGATGCGCACCTACACCTTATCGGTACTAAAACTTTCTTGATTGCATCTGGTTTTGAGGAAATCTCATCTTTCTTTGTTCTCTGATTGATTGGTGTGTTGTTGGAGCAGGATATTGGTGAGAAGCTTAACATGCTGTTATGGGGAGGCTTTGATTCGGCAGAGGTAACCAGTGTCACTTCCGTAGACTCTCAATCCGAGGGTGTCTTGGTCTTTGTCAGTGGCTCCTACTTCACTTCAACCACGAGACGTGAAAGGAAGTTCATCCAAACTTTCTTTCTTGCTCGACAAGAAGCACCCAACAGCTACTTTGTTTTCACCGACATCTTCAACTTCGTTGATATACCAGAGGCTACAGATGGAAGACTTGTCTCTCGTGAAGACTCTGGTGAGTAACAAAAGCACTCTCCTCAAGCATATTTTGCCAAGACTGACTGAGCAAAAGTGTCTAAGACCTTGATTTTGATTTTTATCAGGATTGATCTTGGAGGGTCCAACAGTTCACGTTAAAAGTCTTCCTCCAGCTGGAAGAAACAACATGGCGATTAGGGCAGCATTCAAGAGGTTTGGACAGGTTAAACCGGATGGAATTCGAATTAAAAACACTGGTTTAGGGGTAAGTGTTGTGATACTTAATCATCTAATCTAACAAGGCAGTTTTCGAATACTTCTTTGGTTATTCTTTAGTTAACTTGTGAACTTTGCTTGAAACTGGTAGAGCTATTACCATGCCTTTGTGGAGTTTACGGAAGCAAATGCCGCCAAAAGAGCAATAGAGGTACACGATTTAGACTTGGTCCTTACTCTTGGGATACAGTTTTGATCTGTGTTAGATTGATTTTGACAAATGCTGGACACGGATCTTATTCAGGCGTCTCCTGTTTGGATTGCTGGGATAAAAGTTGTCGTGAAGAGACTGCGAGGACCAGGTAGAAGCTAGTGCTTATATAAGTAGCAACTACCATTAGCTTAGTCATATGTAAGGAGTAAGGACTCACTTGTCGATTGGCTTGCGAATCAGATTTCTTTGAACGGCAGAGAATTCGTGAGGAGGAAGAAGTGAATATGCTGCTTCAGGGAGATTTAAGCAAGCAATTAGGAGGAACAGGAGATTTTGACTTTTGGGACTGGCTAAAATCAATGGAGATGCAGAGTATGCTAAAGGGAGATCGCCACTATGGGGACTATTCGCAATCGAAGGTGATGGAGGAACACAGCAAGTTTCTGGACGAGATACAGAGAAAACTCGAGGAGGGAGAAGAAGGAAAAGAAGAGAATCAAAACTGAACCTGACTAAATGAAAATAGAGGCTTGAGCTTAAATACACCAATTGAATAGACTATACACAGTAGAGAGATTTGTGAAGACTTTGAACCAGTGATCAGAAATAATAGGAATCAACGAATTGGATATTTGTGAAGATTTTGTGTTTTGCGATTTGAATCGAAGTAACAGGTTATGATCGGTGGATTAAAAACACTAATTAAGCAATTGCAGAAGAAAGGATACTTAAAATTATATCTTGAAATTAAAAATCTCCTTAGAACGGAAAGGTTACATAAACAAGCTCACAAAGGGGAAATCTATTCATTCATGACAGGTTTGTTGTCGCTGGCTTTGGGCTTCTGCTCTCTTGGTTTGTCCTCGATTTTCCTAATTACCATACAAAACAAAAAAAGAAGGGCGAAAATAAGAATAAGAACATCACTAAATTCGACAAAACAAGAAGACCTTGAGATCCCAGAAATAAAACATGGCTCATCAGAAGAAAGAGAGAGATTACCTTTTGTCGGAAAAGCCTCCCTTGTGACTCAGGAAGGATCTGAAGGGAGCGGAGTTCACGTCGTAAATCATTTTCGATCAAAAATCTCTGGAAGTTTCTTCGATCTCAGATTTAGCTTTTGGCTGCAACAGATTTAGGGAAATGAGGATAACCTAAATCTTCACGTTCAACCATTTTATATCGTCTGGACACACCTACTTGATCGTTTTTGGGCGCTTGTATTAAATTAGGCCCAATGGGCCTAACCCACCTACTTGTATTAAATCGTTTTTGTTCAAATTTAAACGTTTTTTCGTGTGTTTCTCTGATAAGCACATATATTTTCGTTCTTTGTCCAAGAAGAATAGAATGGTCACCAATACAATAATGGTGCCACAGAAAGCGACAGAGCGTTAAACTAGTCAATGTCAAAAACATTCTACATACAGTATTAAACATAGACAAATATAAGAGAGAAAAGCTTAATCAACCACATTTATACACTGAATTCGTGCAGACAACATCAATAGATTTTTTTTTTTTTTTTTCGTCAACAAATAATTTCATTGATTAAAGAGATTTTACAAGATCAGAATGCAAACATTCTGTTAACCACGTAGGTTTTCATGCAATAGATATAACAATTTTCATCCACCTAGCATAACAAGCATAATCATGTTGGTGAATTTATGGTCTCATGAGAGTAAGGAGACGAGGGACACAAATTCGAGCGTAACTCTTCCCTTTGATCTAGTGTTGATTACGAAATGTTCCGGGTACTTTCTCAGCAGCATCAGCAAACCATACCATGGTTTACCCTTGGCTTCAGGGATAGCCCAATCTTCTTGTGTCAGGTACCTTCTTACTCTACTGTGATGCCACACGTTTCCATACTTCTCTAGTATCTGCCACCACCAAACACCAATGATGCATTAGCATTACATTGAAACACAAAGAAGTTCGTTTTATGGAAACAAGATGAAAGAATATCCGAGATTTATTCTCTCTAAGGTCATGCAAAACTAAATTATGCAATTGAACCAAGATCCATATACAAGCTTGGTTTCAATGGATTAGTACTACCAATGATATAAGCCAGATCAAAGCGGCCTCAAGTATCATGTACTAGAAGAAGAAGGCAGGAACGATTCAAGTAAAGAACTAACCACGGAATGAAGTTTTTCCATAGGCATCCAATCTCCAGGACCACACAAATCAGAAAGCACAGTGGCAACAGATGATACAACATCCTTCTCCTCCAGCTGCAAAACTTGTTGATCATCAGCTTCACGATCCACCTTCGCTCTTCCCTCTCTCTTCTTCTCTGCACACATGAAGCAGATACAACATTGTGGTGTGTCACTATCATATGCAATCCAACTCTAACAACATTGTATCAGCCAAAGTTGAGCAACCACAATCACTAAACCCTATTTAGTTAAGCTAATAAAAACCCAATTTATCATAAAGCAGTCTCATTTTTACCACTGGAAGCATATTCTTCATGCCCATCTCTCCTTGTTTTCTTTCCACTGCCCCTGACATCATCTTCATCGTCATCGTCGTCGTCATCATCGTCATCATCGTACTCTCTACCACGTCCACTCTTCTTACCCGACCCGGAACCCTGACCCGGATGATAATTTTGGTACGGGACAACTGCGCCGGCACTAGTGTGCCCTGAGACGTGGTGCCTGGGTCCCAAAGGCCCGCCGCCTAGGATACTCCGAACCGGTAGCAGAAAGTAGAACTCTTTGTCACCAATCTGCAAGAGGTCCTGAGAGTCGAGCTTGACGTTGGGGTTCCCAGGGAGATGAAGAACACCTTCAACAAGGCAGCCATTTTTGCCGAGGACCTCAAGGGAGAAGCGGCGGCGCGTGAAGTCGTAGAAGATCCTAGCGTGGTTCCGCGAAATGTTCATCCCGCCGCCGAGGGATGACAGGTCGACGTCGACGGTCGATTTCTTCGAATTCCGGCCGAGCATTATAGAGTATGACTGCATATAGTACTCGAAATCCTCCCCTTGGAGCTTCGCAAATCCGACCTCTACGTCACTACCGCCTCCAATGGCCGTAGCCATCCCGTGAAATTCTCCGGTGATTGGTTTGATCGGTATTGAAGTCGGAGAAGAGAATCGGGACTCAAATTAGGGATTGCAAACGTAATAATTTCTGAAACGAGAGGGGTCTGTTTGGAAACCGGTTTATCTTTATCAGAAGTCCAGGTAGGATAGTGGAAAGTCGAAAAGATAAGGCGTCTTTAGTGAAATGACGATTACACCCATCATGTTCAAACCTAGTGATACACACACACACGATCGGGTTTAAATAGACGAAAGGTTGAAACTTTAGAGTCTGTGGCGGCGAGATCTGTGAAACTTTTTATTGACTGAAATTGTTTTCATTCTTTGTTTTAGGTTACTTTGGTTTTGGTATTTTCATTTTACGAAGGTTGATTTTCGATGTTGATTTTGATCGTTAAGTTGCCAGGTGATGATTGAAAAATTTGCGCAAGGGTTTTGAGTTTCAGAAGATCGGAGGATACTCTGATCTGATTGAGCCCATGAGAAAACCAATTTCTTATACTTGAGTCTGATGGCAACTGATCAGTGTTTAAAAATTCGATTTTTTGGGTACATGGTTTGATTCGGGTAGTGAGAATTGTGAGAAGGCGGGATTGAGCTCCTGACACCTGTTTTCTGTAATCTAAGTAACTGTAAAAAGTCGTTTATTTTCGTTTCCTCATGTTGACGGTTTGGATTGCATAATATGGTTTTATGAGCTACCAGGATTTTGTTTTTGCTAGATTCTGATTTGGACATATGTTAGTTTTGATGTGTGGAAATTATGCTCAACGGTCATTGAAGTCATTGATGCGGTCATTCTGATTTTGTGTGTTTTAGATTGGGTGATTTGTGTCCGTGACAAAGCTCCAAAAATGCGAGAAATTGAGAAAATGCATTGATTTAGTCCTACTTTCTTGTATCTACGATATCCCTTTAACGGTTCAATAACTAACTCTTACATGATCTTGATATCAAAGTAATACATGGTTGGTGAGTAAACGAGTCTGCTCAATTGTTTTAGTTTAGTTACTTGTCATTCTCAGATTGTATACAAAATTATGTTTGCACCAGCTACCAAAGTATAAACCTTGGATGCTATGGTCTGCTAATGGCTGGATTCGGGATATTGCAGTTCCCTTCTTGTCCTGAAGAAGCAGTTCTACTTCATAGTTCAGCTACTGCAGATAGCAAAATATTGCCTTGTAACAATAACTGAATCAATTTAACAATATCTTGATTGTAATTTGCATTCTCAGTTTATATATATAAAAAAATAAAAAGTAATCTCAAGCACGTTTTACAAAAGATGGATAAATTTTCAAATCCATTCGATAGTACAATTTTACTGAAGTGAATGAAATTATGGTTTAGACAAAGAGACATGCAAATTTAACCATAAAGAAGAAAATGAGCAAAAGGTTACCATGTTCATCACATGGAAATGGAATAAGAAAGATCCTCCCCAGTCCCAGACCAACCTGTCACCTTAGACTTTTTCCCTCGTTTGCTTCTTCTAAATCTTCTTACAAAATGACAATTGAACTCAAAATAAATTAAAATATTTTCCCCAAATTTTATAAAAAAATAATAAAGAGAAGAGGTCCAGGTCCAGCTTAAAGAAGCTCTTCTCTTTACTCACTTCACGAATCCCCCGTCTCCTGTCTCTCTCTCACTTCTCCTTTCTTCTTTCTTCGGTCTTCATTCATCGAGACCAATTCCTGAGGAAGTTGATGTTTTTACAGCCCAAACAGAGACAGACACATACATGTGTTGTGTCTCCATAATACCATTATTAATTAACTCACCACCATTTCACACTTCTCTCCTAAATTCCAATCTTTTTTTCAGATCCAACACTCTCCTCCAAAATACCAGATTACACAAAAAAGAGAACTTTGGACAAATTAAACTCATCTGAGACCAGAATCTGCAGAATCAAGAGAGAGAATGGGAGTGATATTGGACTCATGGTGCTTTTGCAAAGGAGTAGGCAAAAGCGAGAAGATGAAAGGTTCCATTTTCTCCGGCAAAGCTCCGTCCATGGCTCGAATCTCCGTCTCCGGACCCAATGGTGTTACTTCCGGTACCGGATTCCTCATTCACCGGAATCTTCTCCTCACCACTCACCTCAATCTCCCTTCCATCTCCGCCACCGAAACCGCCGAGGTCCGCCTCCAGAACGGTCTCTCCGCCGCTCTCTTCCCTCACAGGTCCCACCACCACTCTCTTGAGTTCGAATTCTGCTTTTCTATTGTCGGTTGCACGATCCGGGGAAAAATTTAAATCAAAATGGCTCTAATTCACATTTTTAATAAATAAACCAATCCATAGCTTTTTCGTCAGACCAAATCATGAGCTTTATACTGTTGTTAACTAGTTATGTCATATGGTAATGATTCTGGATCTATATCTAAATTTGGTAAGTTTTTAGCCAAATTGATACTTCACCTTGTAAGCAAAATGTACCAATCTGAATATTATTTGGCCACTCAATTTATTATTTGGTGGCACTTGGCAGGTTCTTCATCACAAGTTCGGTTATTGATCTAACCATAGTTGGTTTAGACCTTGTTGATGGAGACTCAACTTCTCAGGCTCAAACCCAACAGCCACATTATCTAAAGACATGTTCCAAACCAAACCTGGATCTTGGAAGCGTAGTGTACCTCTTAGGCTACGCCTCTCAGAACGAGCTCAAGATCGGCGAGGGGAAGTTAGTGGTAGCTACAGACAATCTCATCAAACTCTCCACCGATGACATGTCATGGAGTCCTGGATCTGCTGGATTCGATGTTCAAGGGAATCTCGCATTCATGATCTGCGATCCCAGGAAGCTAGCCACGTCACCAGCGTCAACCTCCACATCTTCCTCTTCGTCACTGAAGAGAGATAACAACAACAAGGCACTGATGATGCAGTTTGGTATACCGATGCCAGTGATCTGCGACTGGCTGAATCAGCATTGGGAAGGTGGTTTGGATGAGCACACGACGACGAAACCGAAGCTGCCTCTCATTCGGTTAATGTCTTCCGGTCAGAAGAGCGAGCGTTCTTGTCCTTCTTTCACCATGCGGAGTGTTTTCAAGCCAACCGACTCTGCTGACGTTGGAACAACACCATCTTCACCCAACACTAGAGATCAAAGCTCTTCCATCGCCGCCGCTGAGGAAGAAGAAACCTCCAAAAACAATCCTACTCATGCACAGGGAATCCCAACGCCTGAGATATATGAATCTCCAAAGCTAACTTCAGGTCCTTTGAGAAAAGAAGCAGCTCAAGTACATCTTTTGGATATCAACTTCCCTCCACGAATACCTAAAGTTACATCACTTCTTCCTCAGCTCAACTCTCAGGTGGTGGAAGAGGCTGAGATTGCTTCCGAGGGATCAGATGCGCAGATTGCTTCAACAGGCTCGGTCAACGGTGCTCTCAGCGAGGTTATCTCAAGCTCGCCGCCACCAGAAGCTCATCACTATGTATATAACAACCAATATCATGGATACAGCAGCGAGGAAGAGACAATGTACTCTGCTGAAACAGCTGAGAGCAGAAACTACCCAACTCCTCCGAGGAAAAGCGAGTTTCATCACGAGAGAGTTGGGAGGAGCCAGAGCTGTGTGAGCTCCAGTAGATGGGGGACACCTCAGAAGAGTCTGAGCGGTAGAAGAGAAATGCTGGAGAAACAGAGAAGCTTTGTTCATGGGAAGAAGATGATGATGCACTCACAAGGAGCAACCTCGCAGAGGAGTAATGACTATTACAGCCCAACGGTCTCATCAACCATGAAGAAGAGGAATAATAGTTCAGAGAAACCGGTTTTTAAACCTGTGCCTAGACCTAAAGCTGTTAGTTCTTCTCCGAGATGGATGTTCTGAGACCAATAGAAGAAGCCAAAAGAGAGACGTCTTTGTTTAGTTTTTGATGTCTTGCTCTTGAAATTCTTGTACAACTAATTTGATTGTCGACTCTTGTGCAGACATATTGAAGAGAACGCAACGAAATACCAAAACATATAAAGTCTTGAAGTGTTGGTTAAAGCAATGAGTTATTGTTTTCTTAAAGATTCAACATTATCTTCCTCAAGAAAGAGTCACTCAGCTAATCAAGATACAAATGATATCAATTGTTTATAAGCTTACAATGAAATCTAGATGTTTCTCTCACTAAACAGAAATACATTTTACATTACAAACCACAAGTCATGAACATGTCTTCACTGTTCCTAAACCAATCTGATATAACATGACTCACATGACATGTGGTGTATGTTTCTGTATAACAATTCATCCGGTGGTTGGAAGGAATACTCGGATGAGGTCTTTAGGAGTGACTTTTTTCCTGCAGGCAGGGCAGTTAGGTTGAATAGATATTGCGCTCCTTATGCATTTGTTGCAGAATATATGACCACACTTTGTTGTCATCTCCTCAGTCAATGGACACATGCAAATCGGACAGTTGAATTTGGGTTCCTCTACAGGAGCTGCCGCCTTGGACTTTCTCTGAACAAAGACATTTACAAATTTGGTGAGCCTAAAGCTCAAACAGCAAAATTAAAGAAACTAAAAGAAATCAGAGCTTTCTTTACCGAGTTGTTGAGCTCAGGATTAGCTTTATCAGAACGACGCCTTGTGCGGTTCTTGCTTATACCTAAATGAAGAAAGAAACACCAAAAATGTATTCAATTAGGTTCTTGTAGCTACGCAAGAAACAGTTAAAAGATGGATGCTAATTCACCTGACTCTACATCAACTACTAAAGGTCCTCTACGTGCGCTTCTTGCTTTGTATCTTTTAGCCTGACACAAGAAGGAAACAGAATCAATATACCTGTAACACAAGTACACAGCAAACATCATGTCTTGTAAAGAAGAAGAAGAAAGCAGACTCGATTAAAAGCAGTTGCAGTGGATTCAACAACGCAATCGTCATCTTCAATTGCATCTACATCGATCATTGGAGGACTAGGCACAAACTGAGACGACACCACTGGAGTTTGCACAGTGCTTTGCTCGGTCGGTGTCGCATTCACATTGACATTGTTGACGTGTTGTGCCCTCCTTAAGCTTCTCGTGTTTATCCTCTCTCTACGAGAACTCATGTTTCAGCTCAGAGTTAAGCCGGCCTTAATCTGAGTCACTACCGAGTTAGGGTTCTGTGACTGTCTTTAACAAAAACAAACAAATTTGTCACATTTCTATCGGAATTAGTAGAACTCAGGGAAAGAAAATCCAGGAAACGGTCAAATTAACAAGAAATTCAGCCGAAAACAAGAAAAATTAGAGAAGCCAATCGACAGATCCAGAAATAGAGAAGCATGAGATTGTTAGATTGGAGCAAGAGATTGAAAGTCTGTACCTTTGAAACCGGGAAGAAGATCTGGAATGTGAAGCAGCTTGGAGAGTGAAGTGGTAGAGAGAAAGGGAGGGTTTAAAGTTTGATTATTATCCTCAAGAGGGTTTTTACTTTTTACTTTAAATGGTTGCTCACGAGATCACTGCTTTTTGAGTTGAGATTTGTTCGGTTCAGTTACACTTTTGTAATTGTTACGTCACAATTACAAAAAGAAAAGTTGTACTACTTTGAAACTGATTTTACATGCAACTGTACTTGTTGACTCTTCTTTTTACTTGATCTTACATGAAACTGATTTTTACATGCAACCGTACTTGTTGATTTTACATGTTACCACGACGACTCAAACTATAGTTTACTAATTTCCGCAATATGACCAAAGGCCCGTGGGCTTTTTGCTTAGTTATAAATTCTCATACATACCAAAATCGAAACAGAGAAAGCGAATTTTAGAGGAAGAAAACGCAACGCAGATGTTAATTTTGTTGAGGGTCTTGAGATGAACAAAAATAAGCTACATTACACAACACACTACTAAATGTAAATGATTGTTTTCTTTGTGAATAGTAGAAGCTCAAAAGTCAAAACGTTGTCAACAATAAAAAAGAATCACTCCTTTGGTTACAAAAAGAAAGAAAAACATATGAAAGAAACAAAAAAGGGTATATATATCCAAGAAAATGAAATAAGGAGAAATGTTGTAAATTGATAAAATCTGTACACCGTCTTCAATACTTACTTCCCCTTCGGCCCCATGGAAAGCAGCAGACCTGCGCATCCCATTTCACATTAATAATCCATATTATATCAAAGTAATTGTCCTTTTTAACTGATACACAATAATTAGATAATAATGTGTGATCAAGTTATATACCTTGGAGGAGGTAGGTGCCGGCGAATGATTGTTGATGGGACGAGAAGGGGTGTTGCCGGTACTGGAAGATCCACCGTAGGGTCTGCCGGCTTCTCTCCTCTCTTCTTTGACTTGGTCGAAAATGTGTGTGTAGCTCATGTTCTCTCCGGCTCCCACTGATCCCGGGAATGGCGGAATCGTCGTCCCTCCCTAACATACACATATTCACAAATCATATTATAAGCCAACTAATCCATTGATATCATTATATTATAAACGTGACTCCATTTAGTTGGACTATTATATAGTTTTAAACGCCAATCTCTACGTGTTTAAATTTTCAAAAACATTTCATTTTAGTTTACGATTTAATTACCTAAGAAATTTGGTTTAAGTGCTAAATATTTATGGTTTCATTTGGAGAAATTTTATAAAATACATCTCTTGAGGTGCAAATTTTCAAAACTACACCGTGTGGAAATTTTCAAAAATACACCTTTTCCTAATTTTAATATATATGTTTGGGTTCACTAATCCTAGATTAGAGTTTAGATTTTGAGGTTTAGGGTTTAGATTTAAGGGTTCAATGTTAGATTTTAGGGTTTTGGATTTATATTTTAGGATTTCGAGTTATTTTACTCCATGAAAAAGTGTAGTTTTGAAAATAAACACCATAGAAGTGTATTTTTGAAAATTGGCACCTCAAGAGGTATAGTTTTGAAATTTCCCCTTTCATTTCATTTGGGATAAATAAACGAAATATAAATGCAAACACATAAATTCAAACAATTGATGAGGATCATACTATACATACCCTTCCGCCGCCTCTAGGATTGGGTTTAGGCTGCACGGGACGAGGAGCTTGCGGCTGCTGCTTGTTTCCTGATCCGCCTCCACCTCCATAACCTCCGTATAGTCCGCCTACGCCACCTCTACCTCCGCCACCGCCTTTGCCTCCGTAGAGTTGTTCAGCCGGAGGAGCTCTGACTCTGTTGATTTTTTCGGCTGGAGGAGGCGCTCTTGGGGTGTCATCCCTGACCGGTCTTGGTGGTTCCGGTCTAGGATTTCTAGGAGCAGCGGGCTGAGGAGGAAGAGGAGCTTTTGCTTGAGGTTTGATGTCCGAATTCTCTACGGATTCGTACAGGTCTTGTCGTTTGTTGGTCCTCGCGTTGTCGAAGACGACCGTGAATGGTTGATCTTGGTTGTTCCAGTCCCCGAATTTTGGAACGTGTGGACGGTTCTGCAATCAATCAGGCAAAGACGAAATTGATTTGAGAAAAAAATAGTCCAAAGGGTCTCAGTTTAGATGAATTATAAGATGAAACTTGGAATGCAAGAAACAGATGTGTTATGTACTCATGCGAGAGCTGGCTTTCCCATTATACACTAGGACAAGTAGAATTCAAGAAAAAAGGAACTTATGTAAAAGTCAACTGAATTTAAACAAAACAAGATCTCTGTTCTGATGATCAGACATGTGATATATGTGTAATCATTGGTCAAACAATTGACAAATTCGGATAATAAGCTAAAACTTTCGACAAACCATGGTGGTTTCGTCTTTATACACATATTTTGTTAGGCAGATATAAGATGAGACGAGAACAAACGAGAGAGAGATAAAACATAGTTGTAGATGAAATTTTCCAACTTACTGCCATAATTCTGGATCTACGAAGAGAAATGAATAAAGGCTTCAATGGCTAGGTCTAAAACAGAGAGAATAGACAGAGAGAGGGAGAGAAGAAGTGTTGAGGATAGAGGGAGATAAATACATAAATTGTGTGTGTGTGTGTGTGTGTGTGTATATATATAAAAGCGTTGACGTTACAAGTTGTTTTCTCTGTGAAGTTTGAATGTCTCCGTCTTCTCCCACACAGTCTACAACGACGACTCCTTCAAAACCTTACGACATGACGTGGCATTAACACGCCTCGCAAGTCGCAATTTCTATTTCCAGATCATTCACTTCCACTCGCTATTGGCGGCTTTTAATTTTTAAGATAATAATAATATTCCAGCAAATTTATATATCTTAACAAAGTGTATGATGGCCAATCATTATTACGTTTTTCATTAATATTTTCGGTTTAAAGTAATTATTTTCTTAATCCGGTTGTAAACAGTTCGGAGAAAGGAGGGTCGTGCAAGTCGCCATTATTTTATTTTTGTAAGCGGCAGTTGAATCAATACTTTATGCAATATGTTATCGGTCAAGTACTGCCGGAAACATTCTAAACGAAATTAAGCATGTATAAATTATATAAAAAAAAAAATATCGTATTAAAAAGTTTTGACGTCTCTAGGATAGGTGGTGAATGCAGAATGCCAACATGGTTACAACTGCAACTATATTAACATCTAGTTGATTACCATAGGATATGTACATATATGCATAATAAGAAGCGAGTGTTATAAAAAAAATGTATAAGAAGAGAATTTGTCTTTTCATGTGGATGGCGACTTGAGATTTCAAATTATGCCTAAACCCCAACTTGTAAACAACAATTTTAATATAGTTTGACTTTAGGAATAGGTCATCATATATAAACCACACTTGTTTTTAAAATATTGAAAAAGCAAATAAGTTACATTACATATATGTAGAATTTGGTAGTAGAGGTTGAGTTGGTGTGGTCTTCTCTTGACTCTAAACATTGATTGCTCCTAAAAGTTAAACGTTCTAGAACCATCAAGAACCATGGTATCTTCTCTATCCAAGCTCTTTCAGCCATTTTTAGTATGTAGACTTTGAAAGTCTCTTGTATAAAAGACATATATGGCCTAGGCTTCCTACTAGGAACGTTGTTGTGTCTAAACTTGCATAATTCATGTAATTATCGAAAGAAAAGACAAATTAGCCATAACTTTGAGATATGGTTATGGCTCTGTTGGTATCTAATACTTTGTTTGTCCTTACAAGAGTGGTCACACAATTTGTTGCCATTCCATTTCACTTTTTGACTAGTCACGGTAATTTTGAGTTTATATGGCTAGTCACACTAGTCACAAGTAGTCACAACTACAGAGTTGACCTCTCTAAAGGTTGGTCAAAACAACACTTTCGTACTCTATGAACTCTCTTCACTCCTCCTTCGTACAGATTAATTGGTCCCGCATTGCTTCTTCTCTCTGCTGCCAAATCGACCGTCTTCTTCATCATCTACACTTTTTTCTCCGTAGTTTCCTCTTCTTTTCATGATTTCTTGGTCCTATCAAGAAATCATGATCTGTTTCTGCTGAATTCGCGAGAAAGCAATTGAGTTTTAGAGAGCTGCCAATTGATGTTTCGGTTTGATGCCCATAGAAGATAAGCGAGTGCGAGAAATTTAGGGTTTTTGCAAAGGAGGAATCAGACATGATTCAGTTACTATTTATGGTTCTGTTTGTAGAAGGTGCGATTGCCTTCTTACTACTGGTGAAGATTGGTCCTTTAAGGGAGCTTGTAATAAAGAGCTTGGACCAGCTTAAATTAGGGAAATGTCCTGCCACTGTGAAAACCATCGCTGGAACCATGTCTGTGATACTCTTGTCGAATCTGATGAATATCGTCAAGATCCAGAACAAGGGTTCGAAAATCGGGACAATGTCTCCTATGGATCAAGTCCTCTGGAGAACACACTTGCTCGAGGCTTCTCTAATTGGTCAGTTTTTGTTTATGTTTCCTCTCTTTTACTGAATTTGGGATTACTAAATTTTGTTAATGTTTTGACATCATGATCTTGCAGGTGTTGTGCTGTTTCTCGGCTTTATAATTGACCGGACACACCATTACCTCGAAAAGCTAATCTCTTTAAGAAGCAATGTCGGGTCATCGAAAGGAGAACTCGAACAACTTAGGAAAGAGAGAACAGAGTTGAAGGAGAAAGAAGAGAAGACTTCCAAGGAAATCAAGGAGCTGAAAGAAAAACTGTCATTTGTTTCAGAGAATCTGAAGAAAGCAGAGAGAGAAGCCGAAGAGAAAGGAGCTAAGCTCGAAATAGCTGAAGCTCATGTTACAGATCTTCAAAAGCAATCTTCAGAGCTCTTGTTGGAGTATGACCGATTGCTCGAAGACAATCAGACTCTACAAAGCCACATCTTGGTTGGAACAAAAAATATGAACTGATACAATAAATATTCTTCAGAGCCGATTAATAGTGTTTTCAGAGTGTTTGGAGGAATTTCTGTAACATTTCTTGTCTTTAAAATATTGAATTTATGAAAAAAACTAGTTTATCATCAGTAATAGCTTGAACTTAGCAGGAAAAAAGAAACTCACGCCGTTGTGGGAATCGAACCCGCGACCACGTGGTTAAAAGCCGCGCGCATTAACCACTGAGCTAAGACCGATATCAAATCACATTACAGGAAATACAAAATCGGCGCAATTGTGGCTACTTTCGACTCTCGGGAAAGCCGATGGAAGAAACCTCCGCGGCTCGTCTGAATCCGACGACAGATACTTCGGGAATCATGCCGGAGTTTGATCCAAAGACTATGCGTTCCTCCAAACCTGGCTTGAAGCGCCTCATCATCACCACCACTGTGCTCTTTTCATTCCTTTTAGGTAATTTTTTCGGGGTTTGTTACTCATCTCCTAGTTTCTGGGGACTATTCATTTGCTTTAACTCAATTCGATTTCGGAGGTTTCAGGTCTGCCATTTCTGTGGAAGTCCGTGGAGATATATCGCTCTCCGTTACCGTTCCACGACATCGACTCACTTTCTGATCAAATTGAATCGACGCCTTTGCGTTTCCCCTGTACTTTCCACGCTGTGTTCGTCGGTTTCCGATCGACGGATCCGGGTAAATTGCGATCTGAGATACAAGATGGTATAGATCAGTTGACCCATCGAAGCTCACAATGCGGTTCTTGCAATTTTTCCCTCTCCGTCACTGTACAAAATCCAGATGACCAATGCTCAGAAGCCATTGACTACAATCCTTCTTCGTGCTCCTATCGTTGCGGAGTGGTTAAGAGATATGGTTTCGGTGTTGGATTGGACGATGCAGTGGATGAGTCACTTGACGGTGTGTTCAGTGGCTGTTCTGGGCACAGTGGGAAAGTGTACAGCGTTTTTGTGGTGAATAGAGAAAATGCCAATGGTGAAGATGATGAGGTAAAAGCTGTGGTGGGGAAGCGAAGGCATGCGTGGATTGTGGGGAGTGGATTGGAAGAGAGATATGAAGACGTGGTGGCTAGAGTCTCTGAGGTTTTCGTGAAGGTGTTTATGAACGGTGGAAGAGAAGAAGACTCAATTCATGGGGAGTTTATGCCTGTGGGATCAGATGGGAAGATTGTTCTTTCTTTCAGCCTATTAAATTCCAATCCACGTGATTGGGTCTACGATTGGTATGATCAAAGTGTTACGCTTCTTCACCATTACTGTTTCTTTTCCCATTCTTTGTTTGCCTAAGTACTGACCTGTGACTTGTTGTGTGTGAGCTATGTTGACAGGGACTTTCAGAGGATAGACGAGGCATTGTTGGCTCCGGTGACGAAGGCCTTGGCGCCTATAGCGAATATAAGCGTGGAAAGTCAGGTAGCATTTCACTGCTATGCAGAGATCTTTTGTATCTTTTGTTATTCTCTCATGCTGCTGTTTTATGCTTTCTCTGTTCTTAGGTTTTGTATCATACACCGAAGTCTTCGTTTTCATCTTGGGATGAAAAGCTTCAGAGCTACATCTTTAAGACCAGTGATCTTCCCTTCTTTGTACGTACCGTTTTCTCAAAATCTCCATGATTAGTTTGGATACAACTGATTGTTTAACAGATTGTCTTAAATGGTTTCGCCAGGTGAACTCGAACGAATGGCACTTGGACACTTCTGCTGGAGCCAGTGGACGGTCTAAAATATTGCAATTTGTGGTGTATATTATTCTACTCAGGCCATTCTTGCTTATTATGCTGCTTGATGCTGTGATTACACTAAACTGTTTCCTGACAAACCAAAGAAATATCTCAATCCTGTGATCTTTCCTCATATTATCAGATATATCCCATCTGGAAACGAATGCCCTCTTCAGTTGCAGTTGCCAAATGGGGAGATATCTAAAACAAATGGCTTCATATCTCCGGTTAGTTGCCACTCATCAGATATTTGCTTTCCTTCTACTCATCTGTTGGTAGACCTTCTTTTTGAAAAACAATGCTATCTTGTCATTATGTTCTGTAGATGTGGGGCGGTGTGATTGTTTGGAACCCGGGAAATTGTGATAAGGACTCTCAAAGCTTAAGTAGGAACACGATCTCGCCTCAGGTCTGGTTCACCATTCATATTCATAATAAGCTTTACATCAGTATTTGGAGAGCCTTGGAAGAGGATCACTGACGCATCATAATTGGTTTTACACTTTATGAAACAGGATCTCGAGCAAATAGTTGAAGTTTTCTTGGGGCAATTCCGACAACTTTTTGGTTTTAAATCCGAAGCCCTTTATACCAGTGGATTGGGCACTTACAAGATTTTACCTAGTGAAAGAGGCTTTACAGAGTGGTAAGAATATGATAAATCCCAATATTGATGCGATCTTTTTGTAGATACAGTCTTCTCTCACTACCTGTGATGTTTATCGATCAATAAGGTTTCTACTTAAAGCAAGGGATGCTCATGAGAATTGTGTATTGATGAGTGTTGTCTTTCCCGGTACTTGCAGGGAATTGGATGTCTTGTCACGGAAACACACGTGTTTCAATCTCCACTCTTGTTCAACAACCCTCGGTTCCCTTTCTAGATTGGTATGTGATTATCTCCACGTGTATAAGCACGTTCCGCTGCATCGTGGTGGTTCCTTTCCAAATTTTATAATCTTCATCACTTGGCATTTGCAGGTGCAGTCACTCCCCAGGATGATAATCAAGGATGAAATTGGAGAACAAGTATGTTTCTCACCTAGAACATTTATCTCGAGATTGTTATGTCCTGATCATTCCATTGTTTTCCCCAAACCAGGTGAAATACTCTCTGAAAGCAGCAAAGTTGGCTCAGTCTAATGCTTCTCTGGGAGGATACAGTTCTTCAGCCAGTACGTTACACTATACTCAATATTCCTTGTAATACATCTTAAATGTTAGTAAATTCCAACAAGAAGTTGTGGTTTTGTGTTCCATGAAGGTTCATCAAGAGAAGCAAGGTCCCTAGCCGAGAATGCCTTCTTCCATCCATCCATCATGTCCGTCAGCTACTTCTCTTACGAACATTGCTTTGCAGTGTACTCGGTTAGTTTCCTTGTCTCTACTTCTGATATCAACTTATCATCAGTATTAGCATCCACATTCCACACGTTTCTCCGAGTCTCATGTTGTCATGCTTTCTTGGACAGCCGTTTTTCCTGCCTGTTGCTGGACACGTTGTCCTTGCAGCACTACGAGAATGGAAGAGATACAAACAAGAGAAGGCAAAGTACTTGGCATGGCTAACCAGAAAGAAGTCGGCCTAGGACCCTGCGGTCACTTTGAACACCAAAGTAACCCTTTAGCATATTTACAGATCCCATGTAACTTCTAAGTTTTTGGTTGCTTGAGTACAAAATTACGCAAAAACATTGTATTGTAGAATTCTGAGTTTACTTAAACGTCTTCACTGTGAACTTGAAGCTTTTCTCACATCAAAACTGGTGCAAACGAGCAGTATTTGTTTTTTACCATGTTTAAGATTACATATGCCTAACCCAGTATTCTCAGCTCAGAAATGGGCAGATACATTCAAAAAAATACGAGAAAAAGAAAGCCAAATCCGGAATCATTTTGACAAAATCTTAAATGTAACGACTCCCGGAGACCGTTGAACTGAGCTAGAAGACACTGACACTATTAGCGTTTAGATCCCAAAGCAAGAAGTATCTTCTTCCTCGGTCCCTGAAACAAAAACACAGCTTGTGAAAAGAGAGCAAAAACAATGTTGAACAAGAGCTTGAATGCAGTCTCATCAGTATTTTTTCGTGTTACAGATCAAATAAGACTGACAAAATGACTGCCTGATGATATAACGCAGAGTGGTCGTAAATGTTGTAGCAGTTTAACGTGGAGCTTCTTACCATTGGTATGAGCATAGCCTTGAGGTCATCATCTGTCATATGCGTGAGAGCATCCATATCAACCTGGGAAAGACCGAAAAGAATGAGAACATGCGTCAGTGAAAAGATTGACATCAATAGCATAACATATATCGACCTAATAGCAGATATTACATACTTCTTCCACTTGAAAAGCGGTCGAGTATTTCTCCAGACCCAATGATTCCAGAAAGCTATCAACGGATGTACCAGCCTGAACCAAAAGATGACAAAGCTCAGAAACAGTAGTGGAAGGAATACATACAATAGAAGAGGCGTTGAGAGCTATGCGTCCAATTGTATATTCACACCGGTCAGAAGAATGCTTTCCTCCACAGGTATAAATACGATGGAAAATATAGTTGAAGAACAGTGAATCATATTTACCAGCTGTGATTTCTTCTTGGTAGCCTGGTTGGGAGTTTTTCTAGTCTCTGTTGCAGTATCAGTCGCTACGCTCTTCATGCTTGGTCTAGCAGCCTCCACTTTAGATTTTGGCGGGTCACTGTTCTTTGGTTGAAGATTCATTGTCCCAGAGAGCTTTTCCCGTAAGTCCCGCATCCCCGAACCAGCTTCTCGCCCACTTTGGGACCCATGATGTCTCTTCTGGAGCTTCAGGCGAAGATCTCTAGGATCAACTCTGCGATCTTAATAAGTTATACGAACAGAGAATCAACATCCAAACAGAGACACTTTTTTGTCATATACAATTTCTGCTGAAGAGAATAGGTGAGAGAAAAAGCATACTTGAAAGTTGAGGTTTGTTACTACTGAAAAGATCATGCTCCCATTTGTCGTCCTGCCTTTGCCTGAATGCACAAGGAAGAAGAAACAATGCGATATGTGATTTAACAATGACGAATACAGAGAGAGAAGAATATAAACCATTTAGCTCATCACTCAAAATTTTAGTTACAGCCTTAAAACTCTGATCAAATCAGCCAAAATCAAGTCCAAGAAACCATCACAAAACTAAAACTCTTGCTATAACATCTCCAGAATAAGGATTCAAAGTAGAGAAGATTATGTTTCTCATATATATATGAAAATTTTAGTGAAGTGGTTTAATTCAGAAATTCCTCCTAAGATAGCCAATTCCATACTCTATATTCATAATGCTAAGCAAGAATCAGCTTGAGCTGATCAAAGGAGGATCACAATGTAGCTATTTATAAAGACCCTACACCACGAACAGTCTAACAACACTGAGTAATCCTAGAATCCCCGAGGAAAGCAAGTCAAATTTCGATAGAATCAAAGCATAATATAGCTGAGAGAGCGAGAAATTAAAACCTCTTCCCGGTCACTTGTCGCAAGCGAGTAGAGATGTCGCGAGAACCGCCATTGATACGTTCGTTTACCACTTTCCTACTCCCAGACCCACCCTCCAATTTATCAGCATACATCCCTATTATTCTTGGATGGATAGAAACACAGAAATCAATCCTAACCCTAAATCAGGATAACCCCCACAAACGAAAGCGAAATAGTTCTCTGAATTTGTCAGCAGCTCCCAGGATTCAACGATACCCAGATAGAAACCCTAAAATCTATCCAAGAGATCACGGAGAAAAAAAGAGCTCTTGAACGGAAACACTTTGCACATCTACTGGTTTCGGCTTTTTGCCGGCTTCACGAGGATTTCTACGTTAAGAGAAGTCGGAAAGAAAATTACCCATCCAATCAAGTACCGGGTTAGATTGGGTCCGTCGGGTCGGGTCGGGTTGAGAAATCTGCGATTTAGCCGGTTTAATCCTTAATCGAAAAGACTTTTCTTTTTGGTCTACGCGGTTCGCTTGCTTTTTCGTTTTTATTTCTTTTTCTGTCAACACGCGGTTTTTTAAAAACAATCGATTCCTTCGTTGTAATGGTTTTGGGTAAAAGAAAATCAAAAATCCCTAAAAACTTTTGAAACTGAAAAAGAGAGAGCGAGAGCGAGCGAGCTAAGCTTTCAACATTCTTCTTCGTTAATCCTTCCATGACTGATCCAATCCTGCTTAAACTCCATCTCTAGGTTTCCGGCGTTTCTGATTCGGTAACTCCCGCGCTGTTTTGATTTTTTTTTCGTTTGTTTTTGTTGTTCACTTGTTTCGATCGTTCGACGAAGCTCAGATTCGGAATCCGTAATTTTCCATAAATATTTCCTTCTGTTTCGTTGATTTCAACTAGTCCCAGGGTAAAAAAACGTCGTTTCATTTGTTCTCTATTCGCATTTTCAGTTACGGCTAGGTCACTCGTCCGAATTTGTATATGTGCGCATCATTCTACTTTCTGTTGGATTTTTCTTTTGCTAAAGCTGCGGAGTTCTTTGATGGTTGTTACTAGGTCGAAATGTCTCGAGCGGAGTCTTTATGGGAGCGGCTAGTGAATGCTGCTTTGCAAAGAGACAGAACAGGAGGAGTTGCTGGTGGTCCTGGCCAGGGAAGTATCGTTGGGTATATTCCTTCATCCCTAGCGAACAACAGGGACATAGATGCGATTCTGAGAGCTGCAGATGAAATCCAAGATGAAGACCCTAACATAGCGAGGATCTGTAAGCTGTTGATTGATGTTGCTTTTGTTTATTTTCCCCTTTTTCTTTGCGTTTTAGCTTTTGATGGTGATTTTCTTACTGCAGTATGTGAGCATGGTTACTCTCTTGCCCAAAATCTTGATCCCAATAGCGAAGGAAGAGGCGTTCTACAATTCAAAACGGGATTGATGTCTGTTATCAAGGTATGTTTCTCTTCTGTATATAATAAGTTTGTTATGTCATGGACGCTTGAATGTGTTGCTAGTGGATATTATGACATGACTGTTGAATTTCTTATTTGCGTCCTAATACTTTGTTCTGCCTTGGTTGATTTTCAGCAAAAACTAGCAAAAAGAGAGGTTGGGACCATAGATAGAAGTCAAGATATTATCCTGCTGCAAGAGTTCTACAGGCTATACAGAGAAAAGAACAATGTTGACAAGTTGAAGGAGGAAGAAAAGCAGCTCCGTGAGTCAGGGGCTTTCACTGACGAGTATGTACTTTTCCCTTTGTTTTTCTAACTCTTAGGTTGCGAAAATTAATAACCACTTCACGCAGTCTGTGAATTTTATGTTCTGGCTTTTGTTGTTCACACGGTTTGATTATGGCTTCCAGGCTAGAGCGGAAAACAGTAAAGAGGAAAAGAGTTTTTGCCACCCTTAAAGTTCTGGGAAATGTGTTGGAGCAGTTGGCAAAAGAGATTCCTGACGAGGTTGTGTAAATTTCTTTTAGCATCTCTCACTTCATTCTTTCAGTTGTTGCCTTGCACAGAAGAGTTATGTGGACGATAATATTACTATAAAACTAGTTTATGCATGTAAACTCTAATTATTTGTTTCATTTCTGGTCAAAGTAGTTGTGGACACATTTCAGCTAATAATTGTTTATTTTGTACTTCTACAGCTGAAGCATGTTATTGATTCAGACGCTGCAATGAGTGAAGACACAATTGCTTATAACATTGTTCCTCTTGATGCTCCTGTCACGGCAAATGCCACTACGGCTTTCCCTGAGGTGGGGTATTTCCTATTTTACATTTTTGTGCATGGTATGTGGCTTGTCTTGCTAAGTTACAGAAAAATGTGAGCAGGTTCAAGCAGCGGTTGCAGCGTTGAAGTATTTTACAGGCTTGCCAAAAATGCCTGCTGATTTTCCCATTCCCGCTACAAGGAATGCTGATATGCTTGATTTTCTCCACTACATATTTGGTTTTCAGGTTTGTATATCTAAGAAGCTTTTGTCCAGCTTCGTGTCACACACTGAACATTAGAGTGTGTTTTTTGTTGTCGTTATGTAATATTTCAATTTTTATGGCCTCAGAAAGACAGCGTCTCGAATCAGCGTGAGCATATAGTTCTTCTTCTCGCTAATGAGCAATCTCGCCTTAATATTCCAGAAGAAACGGAACCCGTAAGTACTTGTACTTATTTGAATTTCGTACGATTATTTTTCTCAAAAGCTTCTGGAAACGAAGTACATTATTCATGATTTTGGTTTTGTTTATTTTGTCAAAGTGAAACCTTCTTGTTGATTGTTCTTTGTATGCACTTCTAGTTAATAAATCTTTAAAGTGAAGTATTGTTGCGTTCATTCCAGAAACTTTACTGTAATCGTGCAGTGCATATGTTTTTAGCTTGTCTGCCTCTTTATGTACAACTTTACAAGGCAGTGAGTTGTATTTTTAGAGCTCATGAATAACGTTTTTTTCTCATGCTCAGAAACTGGATGATGCTGCAGTGCATAAGGTGTTTTTGAAGTCTCTCGACAATTACATCAAGTGGTGTGATTACCTGTGCATTCAACCGGCTTGGAGCAAGTAAAATATCCTCTCTCCCTTCTCTTTTTTCCCTGCTACTACTCTTGCATACTCACTCCAAGCATTTTGTAAAATGTAGTTTAGAGGCCATCAGTGGAGAAAAAAAACTACTATTCCTCTCTTTGTACTTCCTGATTTGGGGGGAGGCTTCCAACATACGGTTTCTTCCAGAATGTTTATGCTACATATTCCACCATGTAAGTATTATGCTGACTGCTTATTTTTCTCCTTATGTCTGCATAAGTTAATAGGTTTCTAGTGTCACTTTCGTGATTCTGTTCTTAGCTATTTTAAGATGAATGAAATCTCATAATCTCTTATCGCTCTTACTTGCTAGTAGTTCATTTTTATCATGATAAATTGTTCGTTTTGGTCTTTTGTGCTGATACTGAATATTTTATATAGATGGTAAGAGAAATGGATGAGATCTTACGCCAGCCGGTTGCTCGCCCAGCTGAGAGTTGTATGCCAGTCGATAGTCGTGGCGCTGATGATGGTGTTTCATTCCTTGACCATGTCATAGCTCCGCTGTATGGAGTTGTTTCAGCGGTATGTTCTTTAGAGTATTTTTTTCATCCTAGACGCTTAAGGATTTCACTTTCTCTACTTTTCATGTTCTTGAAGAAGCATCTTCCTTAAATCTTACGTTGCTGCTTCTTTAAAGAGAAATGTAGGCCATGGAATGCAGCACGAGAATGTTTGCCAAATTCTTAGATGGAAAGACTTTTCCTAATTTGCTTCTTAAGTAGTATTTAGACTGAGATTGAGTTAGTGATCTACTACTGTTTTTAGTTGGATAGGCATTGATCTCTTTGATGGATAAATTTGTTGATACCAACATGCAAATTTTGTTTTTTGTTTCGTTAACTTGATTGGTTTTGTTACATTTTCTCGCACTCATTCAAAGTGTTGATATGTTTCATAGCATGTAATATTTGTAGGTATAATATATGTTGTTTAGTTTTCGATCCAAATGTCCTGTATCAAAAGAGATGATGTTGTTATCATGTTATCTTATGTACGAATATTCCTATATAGGTGTTGGCTTTGAGTCAATAATCATGACACACTGTTATATAATGGGGTATGTGCAGGAAGCTTTTAACAATGACAATGGCCGAGCACCTCATTCAGCGTGGAGAAACTATGATGATTTCAATGAATACTTTTGGTAAATATATAACATTTTTGTCCGTTGGGTGATTCTCATTGCCTATGCTGACTTACATTTTTTATTTTCAAGGTCGCTTCACTCCTTCGAGCTTGGTTGGCCGTGGCGCACCAGTGCATCGTTTTTTCAGAAACCTATACCGAGACAAAAGGTGTGCAATGGCCTCTTGTATAGATTTATCCTAGTTTTTTTATTCATACTGGTTTTGTTGTTTCTTTGGTGCACACTACCATGAAATGAAAAAGATTTACCCGTCATTGGTAAGAATCCATTTGTTACCCATGATGATGGCTTGTCGATTTGAAATTTTCTATAATTCAGTTCCTAGACTATGTTTCAGAAGTTGTATTAAAGTTATATTGGTGTGTGGTCTCGCTGCTGTACTCATTTACTTGTTGCTAAGTAGGTTCTTTATTTTGTTTATTTTTTATTTAGAGAAGTTGAGGGTCAGTCCTATGTTTCATATAAAATCTAGATTCAGACTTCTGATTTTTCCCAATAGGTGTATCTGATGTTGGATATACTGGTTTTATCCTTGCAGTATGAGATTAAAACCGGCAGGGCAAAACATCGAGGAAAGACATCCTTTGTTGAGCACCGGACATTTTTGCATCTCTACCACAGTTTCCATCGACTATGGATATTCCTTGTTATGATGTTTCAGGTTTGTAATCCCGTCTCAGGGTTCCGTTTATTTGTCATGCTCTGTGTATATTCCTCAGAAGATACTTATAGTCAACGCCTATCCTTGGTGGCCTGCTGTTTTCTGTGACTGTTGTTTGAGTGTCATATTATTATTTTAAGATGTTTGGTTATATAACCTGTTCTTTCACTATCATTAGTAGTATGGATTATTCTCGTATGCTGCTACTAGTCTAACATGCTTCTTTACAGGGACTAGCCATAA